TTATTACTATTTCAAGACAATAGATTGAAACAAGTATTTCTATCAAATCTATTGTTGAATTTTTCAAACGCATTAAAGTTTACTGGATGTAGATATTTTAAAGTTACATGTAAGTCAGTTTCCCTACCTTAAGCATTGACTAAAAAGTGTAGATGTGCGTGTATGTGTATATATTTGCATATTTTGAAGCTAGTTTGAAAGATATGGCTTCGATTCTTTCTCTTCTCACGTGTCTCTATAGCTGTGTAGATTGTGTTGATAATTATTCTCATTCAACGCCAAACTATGTCTACATATTTTTGAATTTTAATGTGGTTTAAGCTTAGAGAATTCACACATCAATATTGAGTACAGCTTATTAATTAAAAGAAACATGTTGAAGGTTGCACAGAAGATTTCTTATATATATATATATATATATATATATATATATATATATATTTAATATAAGATAAAATATTTTCATTTAACGTCTAAATCCAATGTTTATTTTACTGAAATATAAATTCTACTATGAGATAATCTGTTCAGATTTGTTTTGAATTAAACATAGAAAAAAGGATAACACTCTCATTTTAACTAGAAATTAGATAAAGTTACATGTTGTACATCTAAACCATTGTGTAGGCGGATATACTGAAATTAATACCTAATTAATTGCACATTGGACTGAATGTTTAGACTCAATACTATTCTAGTTATTAGGATATTGCTGACTCACCATAGTAGCGTAACTACTTTCTATTAGTTCGAAGTAAATTAATATGAAAATACCGAACTGTTGACCAACTAAATTAACATTTATTATTATTATTATCATTGGAATATAAGATCTCAACAAGCCAAAATAAATGTGACTTAACTGTCAAATAAATAATTTGGTAATCAGTCACTTTGGTTCACTTAAGTAGGCAGTTGTCTGTGAACCAGTCGGCCACAGGATTTAACCTCCGCTCCACCTAGTGATGTTTGGCTGATTGCCAAGTTCATTGAGATACACGTGGTTGCTGAATTAGATTTTATTCTTGCAATTAAATAGAAACAGGGTAATTAATCACAGTCAGATAAGTACTTACCGGCGAACAAAGAACTGAAGTCCCATTTGATACAACAGTAACAACTGGAGTAAAAACAATTAGTAATAATGTAGTTTTAAGTAGTCAAGCCAGTAAGTTGAGTGTTGTTTATCTGTCTATTACAAGTGCTTGTGAATTGGATAGTCTCTCAACACATAGATAATAAGTTACTACTACAATGTAATCACTCACTAAAACATATTTAATTTTAAAATTGTAGTTCATTGTGTAGTCACTCTCGTCCATACATGGAAAGAATGATAGTAACCAATTTTTAACTTCATGTCTTTAGTTCATCAAACTACGCGGGAATATTGTATTCATCCGAATTTACCTTACCAGATATTTGCAGCATAGTTCTCGAATTAAATGAGGAAAACCAATTAAGCAGTAATTACTATTCCATAACATATATATATATATGTATCAAAAATGCTTATTTTCTGCCTGTGAAACACTCATATCGAAGCTTATTTCATTTATGTACATGCATAGAATTAGTCATTATTCAACTGGAGCAATTGAAAAAGTGTTATTAAAAAGTATCTGTATTAGTTTGTTGCTTTGTTTGTTGTTCATACGCATTGAATTTTGGCAATTATTTCTGCTTATATTATTTTTATGTGTCTCGCATTTTTATGTTCCATTGGGTTTGTGTGTGTTAGATTTGATTTATTATCGTGTGTTTTAATGTTTTGTTATAGATGTTTGTGCGTGCGTGGAGCAAAGTGTAAATATTTTAGAATTGTAAAATTTACGCTTTATCAACTTACAGTATTATGCATATTTACCATGGTGTTTAGACTTAGATAATCGGTTACCTGAAGTTGTAATTCATTTTATTATAAGGCGTTCAACTGCCAACTTGTCATTTGCTAATTCATATTTGACTCTACCTATCAGGATCTGAGTAATCATCATCTTTAGCCTTCACACACTTGTTGCGATTTGTAACTGTTTAAATAAACCTAAACTTAGTTTCTGAGTTTCATTATTTCGATTATCTGGCGTTACAATCAAATGGCAACTTTTTTTCTTCCTACACGTTCCCCAGTGGAACATAGGGCTTCAAGCTAGTCGCTTGAAGTTTCTGTAGCAGTGTTTTATTTTTACAGGATGGGGTTGCTAGCCTCATGCCCAACCTTTCCTCTTCACCAGCATTATTTCTGGCTTAGCGAGGTAAAGGAGTGCGTCGGCCGGGGATCGAACCCCGGACCATGTGCATGGTTGGCAAGCGACCGTGGCAACTAAACCACCTTAAAGAATATATGAAGAAATATAAAATAGGCGTCTTAAATTGATCTCGACTGAACCAAAAGTGGAAAATAAGAAGCGTATAAACTATTCACAGATGTAATTTAAAATCACATCATTCGACTGGTATTGTTACTCACTTCTAGAATATTCAAAACCATGTAGATTAGTATCCTGAGGGCTGCAAATAACTAACGTTTGATTACAAACACTGTCGAACATTGGATTATCGTTAGATAGTGAAGAATGTAGCTGTAGCCGCGGTTGTGCCTACCATTCATCAGTATTTCCCTGTCATACTTCATCTAAAATTCATCTAAATTTATCAAAAAATGTTTGTTACAGCATAGTCGTTATTTCAAACTTACTTTAGCGCATCAGTTGTCCCAGAAATTTACAGAATTAGTTTTTATTTCACTATTGCATTCTTTTATTCTTGAATGCATTAACAGCTAATTCAAGGTTATTGCTCATATACTTAACAAGTACGTCAATATTTTTTGTATCTAATGCATCACTACTGGATAAAAAACCTGTCAAGACTGCGGGCGGGTCGACTTTGCCTAATCCTCTGGAAGTGCTCTTCTGTGGCTATATTTCTATTGGCTCTGTTAGACAAGTCCTTTTCATTGATTTTATGCTATCAAAATTGTCCTAAAATAGTAGAATGGTCTATGCAGGGCATTAATCACCGAACTAGTGACTAGGGATTCTCAGATTCGAAAGGAACAAATGGTATATGAAATCGGTTTGGCAATCAACGAGAATGCACATCCCTTGTGGATCAGATTTCAAGTCAGTAGCTCAGTGAACAATCCCTTGAGACAATCACCCGTTTCTCTGTGGTCGTCCGAGTGCTATCCTGACCCTGGCAGCAAATGCAATTTTATTCAGTGCCTTTTTTGTACCCATATAATGCAAAATTTCTGCTTAAATAAATACACGGATCATTGCTTACGCTATATGTGCTACTGACTGAGTGAGATGAAGTCTTATTATACCACTCGTCTCAATCAGTAGCACACACTTGTACGCTACTATGCTTTCTTGCTTGACTATCATTTATGATATTAAACAGATCACATATTGTGACCTGAATAATTTCGGTTTCCAAAGGAAACTGGTAAAATTTCACCTGGAACTTAGTAAATTGCGAATTTGACTTACTTACACTACCCATTCGGCGGAAACATTCAGTGCTCGTCTATTGTTTTCATCGCTTTTATTTTAGAACGAAGTATAAAAGGATCACTGTTTATCTTTTCTTTATCTGCATCTATATTTTTTGTAGTTGACAAACTATCCATAACCTAATTCTCTGAAGAAATGTTATAAAGCCACTTTGTGAAAGTTTGTGCGTCGTGATATAAACTATACCTCATAGATAGATGGACATATGAAGTTCGGATCAAAAATTAGTTGACAGCACACAGAAATTGAGTCCAATACCCTACGTGCGAATAACAAACTTCAACCAGTGTAGAATTGAGTATTAGCTCCACTTAGTGATGTTTTCCACTATGTTTGCTATGCGTATGTAAAAGATGATTCATGAAGGCTAGCTAAGCAACTCTGCCTCTCTAAGTCATGAATTGTGGTGGTAGTGATAATAAATATAAGAAACTTAAAGTCATATCTACCCGACAATGTTACAAGATTAACGAAATATAAGAACCTGAACAGAATACTGTGAGCAGATAACTCATTAGTTTGCAAACCTCTATTACCTGTTGAGTGAATAATATGGATATCCATGGGGAATGATATTCTTGCTTTATATCTCGTGATTCAATATTTGTTTTCTAAACTGTGTAAAAACGGGTGTTCTGTAAGCCATCCAGAGCCCCATCTAGGGCTGTCGTGATGTTAGTCTGGTCGTCAGAGGTTTGGCTTACAGTGTTTCGATGCCTAGAGTCTTTCTTCATACCTGCGAAATCCCACCTCTCTGCGCCGAAGATGGGCTGTAACTCTGCGTGTTGAATTGTCTCTGTCTCTGTGGAATTGCGTATATTTGATGACATCATCATGTAACTCTGACATTTGGTGTGCATTTTTGCACAGGGCGGAGACTGTCTTTCAATAAGTGGTGTCATTTTGGGACAGTGGCTTCGGTAACTTGAACATGTAATACCAATGTCATCCCAGCAGCTTGCATATTGTTCACTGTTCGCTAGTCCTGGGGCTGGCTGAGAAATGTGGAGGAATGGTCAGTCCATGACGTGATACTTAGGGATGAAGCTGGTTTGGATGGGATCTGCTGGTGCTCTACGAATCTGTAGGTGGTGGGGATCCGAGAGATAATCTGGATCGCCGATTCGTGACATCAGCTATCTCTGAGAATCGTAATCAGTAGCGAACATGCCACAGTTTCCTCTTTTCACTTCCTGAAAGTAGCATGATGTGATGAACGCTCTCTATATGCTCTTGATAAAGTATGTTTACGTGTTTTCATAGTTCTGTTCCTTAATCGTTTTATTTGTTTTCCATATACTGTGTTTTATTGCTTTCGTGTTGCACATCTCTTGGTGCGCTAATTGTGCCAAGTTTTTGATATTTTGATTTAGTTGCAGTTCTTTCTACCTGCCTAGTTTGTTTCTGTTTCTAAATTTTTTTCCAGTGCTTCATGTATTGAATCTTACCATCATCTTTTTTTTGTTTTTTATCTAACAGCGAAATTGTTGGGTTCAAGATTTATTCCTTGATTTACGTAATGGATATCTGTTAGTACGTTTACTGGAATGCTTGACAAATGAAGTATTGGTAAGTTGTGCAGAATTCAGTGGTTGCATTACTTCCTTGTTTCTACACAGATTATTTTACGCATGAACTTTCATCTTTTTTTCTCCTTTTATATGTTTTTAATATATAACGATACAGTTTGTCATATTTACTGGTAATTAGCAGTGACATTTAGTTTATCAAGTGTGACTTAAGGCTCCTGAAAATGTATCTCACCTTTTGATTGAACAAATTTTTAAATATCAAAGCTGATTATATAAGTGCGATTATAAAATATTTATTCGTTCTTAAAGTTTAGATGATTGTTACGTGTATATCAAGTAGTCAAGTTTCGGTCAGCTGGTGCCGATATCTATTGGAGTGATGATTAGGTTAAGGCGAAAAATCCGACTACTGACTCGAAAGTCAGTCGTTCAAATCTTTCAGCCATCTAGTAGGTTCCCATTTCAGATACAATGATGAGACTTGTTAGGGCAAAATTATGGCGAATTTATCTAGCATCAAGTTAATATACAGCTTAATTGCCACACTATGCATTCTATCGACAGAAACATCCGTCATCATATGACAGTTTATTTGCCTACTCATAATAGGTGGGTATGATTTGAGATGTTTTGCTTATCTCTGATTGTCATAATATTTATTTTGTACACAATGAGAAGCAAGTCGTGAGAGAGTAAGTTAATTTACCAAATTAATGTAAGTCGTCCCACTAAACTATTTCATACATACCATCCCCTTTGAATAATAAATCAATGTATACTAGTTTAGTTGAGGCGAAAGAGTATTATTTTGTTTTTAAACTTAATTAACCTATTAACTGGAATATCTCTGAAAATATTTTATATGTTCAGTAGTACTGTCAGGAATTTACTTAGCTCTTATTGTTTTATTTTTGTCTAATTCCTTTGCTTTCCGAGTAGAATGTAGGGCTCCGGAGTCTCAGTACCGATGATTTTGTCTTTTGCAGAGTGAGGTTGCTAGTCTCCTGCTCCACCTGCCCTCTTTATCGGGCTTACTACCGGTTAAGCGAAGTTTAGAAGTGTGTCGGTCGGAAATCGAATCTCAGGCCACGTGCATAGTTGGCAGGCTTGGCTCTTAGACAGTAATACATTTTTACTCTCAACTCGACTGAAATGCAGGTAGCATTATGCCAATAATCAACTTCTATAAATAAACCATCGGACCTCAGTAAATATATATATATATATATGCACCTATCTATCTACATGTAAATCTTAATTTCTTCGTTGCACTCTCTTCCATCTTGTAGTATTTTGTCATTCTTATGGTCTTCATTTAATCAGAGTATGTTAATGTGAATTGTGGTGGGTCCAAAGTATCCAAGATTGCACCAGGTTCTCTGTCGCCATTTCTATCTTTCATTTATTATTTTCTTATGTCATTAATATTGGTTAGTTGAGATCAGTCACCAAATAGTCGTATAAAAGCGACTGCATGAAAAACGTGATAAGTTGGAACTTATTAGGTAAACAGTAAGAATCAACTCGAGAGATGATAGGAGAGTAGTAGTCTTCAAAATCTATAATGTCATCATATTTCAAGCAGGATAGAGTGATGATTTAATTAATTGTATGCCACTTCTAATTATGCCTTAGACACTAAATTTTGTGTCAAGGTTTTGTCTTTGAAAACGTTTTATACGATTTCTCTAGTGTTTGTAGGCAAATGATTGTAAATCTTTTTGTTTTGCTCACCTATTTATCTGCCTACAAATTATAGTACAATTTAAAACTTTCCTAAATCTGTTAAGAAAAGCTAAATTCTTGCTAACTCGAAAAAAGATTAGCGTAATCTGGCTATTCGTAAACAAAGCTGCCTATGAAATGTGATCTGCATATTAAAAAAAAGGTTGGCAGATGGTGCTAAATCATGTGAACTAGAAAGCTACTCCTTATTAATGTTGATAGTTGATAAAAGTACCTCTACATAGGTTTGACTCGCCTTTTGGTTTATTTTTCAAAAGTGTTGCATTTTCTAATGATATGAGATTAGAATTAGAGAATAACAGTTGCATTTTTACACAGTGGGTAAATTGCTGTTACATGTGACAAATTTTGTTGCCTTTTTCTCAACGTCGAAATTATGACGCTATTGTTATTCATTTAGGCCTATTTATAGTATTTTCTCGCGAAGTGAGTTATACGTCTCAAGAATATTTGTAGTCCACACTGCTCCCTTAATATTATTTGGGACTGAAAATGATCGAATGTGAAGCTGTCTTGAGTACTCAGTTATGTGCATTGTGTAGCAGTTCTCCAGTCCCATTTTACAATAGAGGTGGGCGATAATAAAAATTGGTTGTTTTTGATTAAAACAATCCCTTTCAACCTCTTGTGTAGGGTTAAACAATCCAGTCAATAATAATGAAGCTCCGTGCAAAGTATTAGTCAACACGAGAAGGTCAACTGATGACTTTGAGAGATTAAAATAGAACTAGGTTGGAAAACGATTGTCGATAACCTTGTGAAAATGACAGTAATTCACAACGTCTTTGTTACTGTACGTTGGAGACAAATGGGGAGCTGTGTACAGTCTGAATTCTTGGGATACTAAGAATCAATGGTTGGAGACTGCCATCCAAATTCCGAAATTATTCTCTAATCCTCAACTAGGTATTCTGCCCTCCAATACGTGTTCGTTCATTTTTATTTCATGACAACTCGAACTTCTGCTCCTTTGTACAAAATCCAATTGTGACAAGTTACTTAGTGAGTATGTGTTTGAACTGTTCCTCAACTACTGAGGTATAAATAGCCTAATATGATTGTCAGCTAACTGATTCTTCTGTTTTGATGGTCGCAGTTTATCTATCTACTAACTATTCACGTAAAAAATACATATTCTCCATGACTAGCGAACAGTTCGACACACTACATGTATGCACTCCAGAAAGATGTCAGTTCCTGTTTGAAAATCTTGGTATTAACGTTTTCGATTACTGCGAGGAGCTACTCAGGTTTTATTATCTGAAAGGGAATAATTTTCTCTCAAGGTTACACGCACGCTTTGCTGATGAGCATAAAAAACAGCCTAAATTCAATGCCTTGAAGTGGCTGTCTTCAGTCAGGCAATAGAAATTCTGTATTCTTTTAAAAAAATATATTCAAATGAAAACATAAGCAGAAAAGAAAAAGTGGATTTTGTAATTAGTAGGATCATACATTTTACATACACACTTCAATGTTGGAATAATAGCAGAGAAAATGTTGTAAATCAAGTGGTCCAAAATGTAAGCATGTTAATCTTTTTTGTTCAAGTCATCATCAATTTATATGCATTTCAAAGTATAAAAGTAGGAGGGGGTGAAGCCAGAAAACAAAAAAAAGCAGCACCGTGTTAGGTTTTGGTGTTGTGTAGCAACTCAAGAAAATTGTAGTTCATAAGATTGAAATTGGCTCAGTGAGCTGAAATCACTCGTATAGATGATTATGCAATCAGTGCAGTCAAAATCAAAATGTAGTTGCCATAAGGGTGAGGAATCCGTTACACTTGCTCCTGTATGCTTAAGTTAGTTGAAAGTACTGGATTGCATTAGCTTAGGTCAATTGTAGTAAATTTGGTCTCCTCTACACATTTAGTATTTTGAACGATTTGGAGAAAATATCCCGTATCCATGTGTCTGGTAGTCGGCTTCTGTTTAGGTATACATTTCTTAGAATGTACTCGTAAAACCGGATAGCAGCTCTTCTCTGTGTTCTTATAATGTCTTTGCCACTTCAAGTGCATGTGACTCAGTTAGATGTAACATCAGCAGGGTACTTATGCAGCTTAGATTAGTTTATTGAACATGTGGTGATGTATAATGGTACGACCTTAGCTGCAGGGTAACATTCTTTCACTGCTCTCTATATTCTTTTCTCAAACCTTTGAGATACTGCTTCTCCTTTGCATGACAGACGAATAAAAACTTTCTTCTCTTCTACAGCTGATTGTTTCGTTTTCTTGACTTTGCCTTCACCATACTTCGAGATAAATCCCTTTGGATATCCATTCTGTCTTAGGCATTTCTCAAGGAAGCCTAGTTCACCTTCCGGCTTATCAAGTGGACATAGCTTCCTGTGTTATACAGTGTCCTTACCTTTTTCAAGCAATTAATGCTTTACTTTGTTTATATTCACCATACACATCACAATTTTGAAGCCATCTGGATTATTATTATTATTATTATTACCAGGTGTTTTATTTGATAAATAATCTTTTTTCACAGTGATGTCATTAATTTCTCTCCACTCCACTCATCCCTTCACCTGTAATACGTTGCATGTGTATTTCAGTATTTTAGATAAATTTTGTTCATTTGTCTATCATTAACTGAATATCTTATTGCTTTTCAACACTATTTCTATTTAGGGACTTGAATATATTGAGAGTCGTGTTCACTGGATTCAGAATATTCAACGCGTATTAGATTTTCTTCGATATCGAGGGGTAATGGCTTTTGTTATTGCTATTGTCATTATTATTATTATTATTATTATTATTATTATTATTATTATGTAATTCTATAACAAACCATTATGTCGCTTTAATTTTTTCTTGCTACATACATCTGTAGTCTTCAGTTTCTTTATGCTAGTGAATTATTTTCATGTAATTAAATCAGTGAAATCAAGTTTGCTACAATTGGTGACGGTATAATTGAATTGTGCTATTGATAAAATAAATCACCAGTTATATAATGAATGCGACTCTACATCTTGAATAAGAATGACTATATATAGTACCAGTAACTGATTCGGTATTCACTACCTTTGTATACCGCCACAAATGCGTTTAAACGAACTATTCGTAGTTCATTTGAATACCGCTTTTTTGAAATCGTATTACAAATAATACATGAAGAGAAGGCGAAAATATATGTGAAGATGGCATATGAATTATGTAATAGATACGGAATGATATACACTTAGAAATAGGAGTAGTTCCGTACTACTTTTAGTGCTACTTTTACCAGTATGAGTACTATTTGGTTGTGGTAATGCATTTCATAGATTTTAATATTGTTTTGCTATTTTGTGTTCGTATTCCTTACTTCACACATACTATATGTAGAAATTACAATTTTCTGCTTGAGGAACTGGTGCGCTTTTTGTCTTTCTTGTTCCATGTATAGTGAAGTTCTTACGGGATTTCATAGTGGGTTCTATATGGTGTACCGTAAAACAGTGCGCTATGCACTGCCGGTATAATAGCTACAGTCACAGTTTTTAAATGAGCGATACAGAAACTTTACAGTTACTTAATCAGGCATATCTTTAACACGGTTAGTGATCAACACGTCTGTTTGTAATTTCAAAAGAACCGATTCACCATTGGTGAGAACTTTGTAAGACTGTATCAGCTTACATGACGTTTTCTTGTTACTAACTGCTATGCTTTGTTGTTATTATGATTGGATTTCAGAATAACCCAGGGAAGGATTATTTCAGCTGACGAACATTCCTTTTATTTGTGTATGTAGAAGTATTGGCTCTCCCTCTGTCTATTTAAATATTTAGGCTGATGGTTCTGCCTGGTCCTTTATATTTGGAATCTCATCATACTATAACTGCCATTTCAATTTTTCTTGTCAGTGTAATATTTTGAAATGTTGTATTTTTCTGTCTTACTTTTAATTTGTCTCTGTTGGACTTATCGCTTATTATTTTCATTTGATTTTTTTGTCTGTGTAGATTCGCATAGTTAATATTAGAGCCGATGAAATTGTCGATGGTAATCCGAAATTAACTCTAGGTCTTATTTGGATTATTATTTTACATTTTCAAGTAAGTTTGTGCTTTATAGTTATTAAATATGTGAATGAATATTACATGTGAATAAATATTTTTTAAACCGACAGGTCATATTTCTAGACTTTTCTCTACCCCTCCTATATCAAAGGTTATGTGATAGTATGTATGACAAGTCTTCACGTTACTCAATATATTTCATTACGTGGTTACTAGTTTGAGTTTTTTATTTTTATTCACATGTTTGACCTTCATGAAATTCTGCTATCTAAAATCACTAGACAAATTTATACATAATTATGATTTGTAAAGTTTATGCCTTCAGTCATCTTACTTTTATTACTCTGTCCGGACTTATTTACAAAGATAGCTTTCTTGTGTGACAATTTTTTCATGACTTTTATTGTGTTTCAACAGTTCAGAAGTTTTGATGATATTTTATGGTTGGAGACAATCGTCAGGAAGCCTTCGCCCCAGGTTTCGCGCTAGTTGGCACTCTTCAACAAGACGTGTTTGCAACCTTAAAGGATTTCATGTCCCTTCTGAGATTCGAACCCGTGTCACCCAGTGTTGCAGTCAGAGACGTTACCACTGAGCTTTTCGGGCTCGCAATTGACCTACTGTAGGACTGTATTGGATACTTTGATTAAACACTTGTAACTAACTAGTGTGATGTGCCTAGTCCTATCTTTGTTGAAGACTAAATTCTGTCTGTCAGGTTAGCAACAGAGCCACCATTATAGGTAGCCCGCCATCACAGTGCAGACTGACTGTTAGAATTCAGTCTGCACCAAAAATAGGACTAAGCACATCACACTAGTTAGTTACTAGTGTCCAATCAAAGCGTCCAGAAGTTTTTTCATGCTTTTTACTTTCTCATTATGTATCAGAATACCACTTTCAGATATATATATATATATATATATATATATATATATATATAACGAGATCAAGTAAGACTAACAACGTATTATTCAGAAAATACAGCTAAAAGGTGAATCGATACATTCACAATAGCAGGATCTACATACCATAAACGCCCATGATAACACCACCTCTGCTCTAGTTTGAAAGCTATGTGGTTTACTTGGGGTTTTTTAAGTCCTGAATATAGAGTTACACGGTAAGGAACTGTGATCTCAAAACCATGTGGATCTATCTGAACAATTCGTTTGTCACAACAATCTTAGAAACCGTGTCTCATAAAATTCTTGTATATTGTTTGTTTACATGAAACCACTGTAGTAGATTTGATGATATTTTTGATTGAACACTAGTCAGTAACTAGTGTAATGTGTCTAGTCCTATCTTCGGTGAAGACTGAATTCTATCAGTCATGTTTGCAATGTGGCCACCATGCTAGGTTTGATGATAAAATGTCCTTCAATAAAACTGCAGACTCCAGTTCATGATGTCAGTTAGTTGTAATAGTGCCATTGTTATAATAACAAAAGGTTCTGAGTGATTAATAAATAGTTCTATCTGGACACTTTTTTGCTGGAAAAACAACTTAACTACTTATTAGTAGTTTTGTTTTCTTATTCATTGCATCCACATAATCAATTTTAAAATTCATGTTCATATACTAAGAAAAAAACAGAGTTAATTATTCTACCTTTTATACAATAGTCATGAGATAATTTCTTATCAACCTGATGAATTTTGAAATGAACGAAAATATGTTCAGCAATAGAGATTATAGCGTATTGATAAAATGATTAAAAATGTCTATTAAATCAGTATATTAGACAACAGGGTTATAATAGCAGTTCCTAATAATTTATACTTTCATCAAAAATGCTCAGTTAAACGCGTTCTTTTCTTTAGTTTTCTTCGTCATAGATCATTTACATGTTCCATGACATGATTATGATCAGTTTATAATAAAGAATTGCGTCGGTGGTTCAGTGGTTAAGGCGCTCGCCGATCATGCACATGGTCCGGGATTCGACCCCCGGCCGACGCACTCCCAGACCTCGCTAAACCAGAAATAATGCTGATGAAGAGGAAAGGTTGGGCATGGGACTAGCAACCCCATCCTGTAAAAATAAAACACTGCTACAGAAACTTCAAGCGACTAGCTTGAAGCCCTATCTTCCATTGGGAACGTGAAGGAAAAAAATTATAAAGAAAGGGAGCTTTTCACTTTTGCAATAGAGTCTTCTAATCACTTTTGTGGTTGTTGTTGTTTATACACCTCTGCTTCATGTATTTTTTCTTATGCAAACAGTGTTTTTTTTTACCTAACTTGTCCCTAAAGTTAAATGTGAAGGCAAGTTGGCTAGAGATACTTGTCAACAAAAATAAATAATTAAATATCTCAACGTAACTTTTGGAAATTTCTTTTTTCACTGAAAACCCCTGCAGATTTTGCTTCCAAACTAAGCAACAGACTATCAATGCAAATAATATGTGTAGCTTACCTTAATCACGGAATGAACCATAATTATCTGCAATCGAGTTTTTGTAACTTTAAAATAAAATTCGATATTTAATGAGAAGTTTCTCAGAAGACTAATGTGTAAATGGTGGGTTTTATTGAACTGTAAGTTTCCAGTTTGAATGAAATTCAGATCAGTTAAACTAGGAAGTATGAACTATTCAGCATGTGGAGAAAATCCATTATATTACTTGTAGTAGGATTTTCAATATTTTAGTTGAAACTCTTTAGCCTGAATTGAGTGAATTTGAGACCCTAGTATCCATTGTTTAAAACTCTAAAGCATTACTGTCAGAGCTATATCAAAGAAAAAAAGTCATCTTTTGTACAACATGCAGGATTTAATTTATAACCAATAAATTCGGATAAATAAAGCCAACAAGAGAAAACCTCCATGTACAAATAAATAAAATAGTCATGAACATCCTGGCTGCTTTTTGTATTTTTATACTGATATTATCCTGTCTGCACACGTGGCTAAGTTAGGACATAAAATGCTGTTATGCTGTTACAATGTAACTTGTAATACTTGTTAATGTCTCATTCCCTTTTTCTCTAATTTTTGATCGATTGAATACAAGTCAGTTGCTCACTAGTGTTTGATACCATGTGTAAAGTAGGCCAATATCCATCCACTATTATACTAGCATATCTAAATAATTAAATTTATAATGAGGCACAGTTTTTTTTTGAACAATCAGCAAATATCTTGCATGCTTTCAATACTAATGTAAAATCTGCTATTTCACTGTTATTCGAAAGATAGCTGATTTGGAAATAAGTGAAGAATGTTGAAACATGTAGATTAAAGAAACAGTGTTACAAAGTAGTTCTTTTGGCTATATCCCTTATAAGGAATTAACTCAATACAATATACCGTTTATCTTATTTTCATGTATTCCTATATTGTTCAGTGATGCGATTCATTTGATAACATTCACTGTGTGTTGTTTAGTTATTCTTATTTACTGGATTGATTTTGTCTTAATTCTAGATCACAGATAATCGTGTTTGTTTTGTTTTTTTCGCACAGCCCACCATTTACTATTTAGTTTGTATACCTTTCCCTCAAACGAATTCTTTATGTTTCAAAATCCATGCAATTTACATCAATTTGTTGGTTTTTACTTTCTGTATTATTCGAAATCCTAATCAGCATGAAAAGAAGAGATTATTCGATATGTGATCGTCTGTTTGTTTTTTTTCGAAAAATGTCATCCACGTGAAGATACGATGTACAAAAACTGTGTAGGATATTCCCACAGTATTTTGATTAGTCTATGCTTTATTCCCAGTTGTTTCCTGACTGACATTTGGATACACTTGTTTAATTTGCTGTTTCTTCTCGTCTTTTATTATTTTCTCAAATTTCCCTATGTGAGTCATCATCACCTTTGTTTAATTTCTCTCTACCCCAGGGCATTTACAGCCCTTTCTCATACAATCAGATGAGCAGGACAAGTGCAAACTGATTTCTAGACTTAATGGAATCGACTTTCTCTTCCAGCTTTTCATAAACATATCCAAGCGACAAAATGAGTCACAAAAAGTAATGCTTACGTAGACCGTATTGTGAATCGACTGAGCACGACATCAGATACGTTTTTAAATTCAGTTATATTAGAATTATATTAGATTAAACTAATATAGGAAAAGAGTATTAATCCAAGGTTAAGGAAGACTGTAGAATTATTTGAAAATGTCTTTCAGATTTATGAAATCCTCATGATTCTCCGTGTAATTATTCTTCCGTGTGTGCATATTTTTGTTTTGTCATTATACTTCCTCTGAATTTCGCTTATGGAGTGAGGCAAAGTTCTGTACAAAGTTCTACATTGAAAATTCAGTCATATGAGTTGCCATAGTAAATCTGAATTCTTAACTTCGTCTTTCATTGGTACACTAAATTAATATTTATTATTATTACTACAACTTTCTAAAACCTTAATGGTTTAGAAAAATTTTTTTCTTACGCGAAATGTCAAGGTTGGAGTTGATAGTTATTTATGTCTGGTTCCCCGCGTAGAAGTTGTTTACTACAAATTTGAAAATTAAAGTGTTTTAAATTGCCCAAGAAGATGACACACCCACTGCATAGAGTAAAAAAGAGGAAATCGTTACTCTACTCTCTAGAAACTTTGGTCAACAAGGCCAGATACGATGAAATAAACTATAGATGATGTCTAGGTTTTTATGCAAGTTGTACATGTCTTAGGTTATGAATGACACTAAGCCTGTTAAGGCTTATGTAACTATCCTCATATATTATTCAAAATCAGAGTAATGGAAATGAGCGGTTGTTTTCAATAAGTTTCTCTTTAGTCTGTAACAAGGGAAAGGAAGCAATACGATAAGCAATATCAACCATACAATAAAAATTTTAAAACAGTTTTATGATAGATAGTAATCAAATCAAGTAGATTTAAATTTTGGAGGTTGAAACTAAACAGATGCAGTGTTAGTTGTGCAACAAAATCAATATGAATGCATATAAGGAAACAAAATCTGGAGATAGTGATTCATTTTTATACAGTAATATGAGTGTGTGTATGTGTGTGGATTTATTCTGTCTACACATGGTTGTTGATTATTCTGGTATGACAGACATATCAATATCGAATCTTGCATGAAATTGCATCACTTCGATTTATTTTGTGAAAAAAAAATGTAGAATATGACCAAAACGAAAAAACATGAGTATGAAAGATAGCAGAATAATCGGATGAAAACTATTAACTGTGTTCATGGTTTTAATAGCTATGAAGAGAAAGTACAATTAGGAACAAGTGAATGATTTTAAACTGTAGTCAGAAGTTATGTAACAAGCCTTTCTTAACAAACTGGGAATCCCATTTATGCCATTTACATCCATTCAGCTGTGATATGTTTCAGTATCTACTTCTAACTACAGCTCAGTTTGAACCTACTCCATTCATCAGTGGAGATAATACCGCGACCTGATCAATAAGTGCGTCGGTGGCATAGTGGTTAGGACTCTCGCCGACCATGCACATGGTCCGGGGTTCGATCCCCTGCCGACGCACACCCGATATCTATGGTCGGCCTGCAAAATTTGGGCTACCGATATCCATGCTGAAAATGCCATACTTATACTGAAAATACGCTGTGGCATCAAGCTGTAATCAAAATAAAAAAATAAATATTGCCGTTACATAAGCCGGTAAAGGTTAACAGTCTCATCGGCTGACTCTTGTCATTGCATCTAATTTCAATTAAATAGCATAAAAATGTTTAATTGTACCGATAATCCTTTGTTATTGAAATTACGATATATATTCATTGTGTTTAATGTTTCACTTTCTTTCATCTCATCTTTCATCTGACACTAACAAAATGACACACCTTGTTTTAATTCCACAATTAACAAGCAATTATTTATTATCTGATGCTTATTTGGTCCTCTTCACAAATGTAACCCGCTTTTTGGGCTTCTACAGCAGCTCTTCTACTGACACAGGTTATCATTCTTTTTGGAGGACGTTACTCCACATACTCTTATTTATAAACAGGACACACTAAACTTCTATCAACACTAACAACAATTAATAATAACAACAACCATAATAAGCCGTTCAATGAAATTAGACGAATCAGTGTTTGTAAGAACTCAGTTGAAATAAACGTCTAAGAAAAAATATTTTCAATTTCCTAAATGTTCGGTTGATCTCACTCTAAAGCTGTTTCGTCTTACATTGATTTTGTCACAAATGGAATCTGAAGCCATCCTATCATGTGTTCGAATTTCCCAACTTTATGTTACAGTGATAGTTTGGTTAGTGTTATTAGGAAACAGGAATCATCTGAATTATGCAAATTTATTAAAGGGACTAACTTTTAGATTGTTGAACAATGACAGTTAATTAGTACACTTGAACATGGTAATTTCAATGCATGATTTTTAAATAATAGGCTAAATGCTATTCTCTATGGTCAACAGGGGAACAGTAAGTGGCTTCACACACACGCAAACTTCTTATTAGAGATGGACGACCACATACTTTTCCAATGGCGTAAATTATTTTCAGCAGCACAGCACTCATAAATAACTGCAGTTTAACTTCTAGTTCATGAACATTCTCCTATTTAAGTGTTGTTTTGAATGAAAACTGTATTAAACATCAAAGTTTCATGCATTATTACACCACATAACTGCCTCTTGTGAAATACGTGTCATTTGTTTGTCATCATGGTTTTTTCTGGGATTGGTTTATGCTCGTATTGTACCGAATAAATCGCACTCTTTGAACTAATTATTAATGATGATTTCTAGTCGAACATGACGGCACGTCCGAATGTACACTGGTCTAACTGACAAGTCTGAGGCAGAATGATATGCTCGTTCTTGATTCCACTACTTACTAATACTAATTAAGTTGTACAGAACTCTGGATAAATTTCATAAACAAAAATTGTTAATTTTTATACATACAACATGGGCGTTAACTATAATTCCCTGTGTTTGGAGTATATATTGTGAAAAAGTTGTTTTCTTTGTGGCCAATAGATAGGCCAAGGTTATAATAAGCTGTTCACACACTTGTAATCATGTAAGCATGTGTGTGTATGTGTCTGAAGTCGGGGGAAGACATTTAAGGCGCATAGTCAGCCACATACCTGCAATCTTACATGTGTATGTGTTTTTCTAACCATTGCAGATTAGTACTTCAAGATTAAAATTGCTAGTGCTGAGGTGGAGGAGAGGGGTGAGCAGGTTGTAATTACTTCTATGATTAAATATAGTGGTTACAGATCTTGGCTTCATTTGCAATTGGTTGTTTACTTGGTTTTTGATAAGTTAATCTTAGTTTTTGAATTGCGCAAACGATTTCCAACAAATGGTATCGATTTTTCTGCGGAAAGACAGCTTTTTCCTCACATACAATATATATAACACGCGAACATAGAAATAAACACATTATGTAGTTCAAGGTGGTGTGTGCATGTGTTAGAACATTCTATATATATATATATATATTTTTTTTGTCAATTATCTCAAATTTCATGGAATTTTCTGTCTTCCGGATTATGAGGTTGTTTATATTGTAGTAATAATTATTTATTCACCTGTTCTTTATAAATTAGAATTATCAGTTAATTTATTTAATATTTCTTGCGTGAGTCTTAAACAAGGTTAGATTTTATCATGAACTGACATCGCTTAGCAAAATACTAAAAAGCAATATACATTGCATAACTATTCCGTACTAGTTAGGGACTGTTCAAGTCTGCAGTGACAGAATTTGTAGGGATGTATCTCATAGGCTTAAGCAGTCGACTTTCAATCAGTGAGTCCTAAGTTCGAATTCCTCTTCTACCCACTTCAGCCTTGACAAATGGGTAGTATCATCAACCCTGATATAATCCTAATCACTGTTCAAAGCAAATGGTATGCCAAAAGTCTGATCTGGGTGACTCAGCTCTATTGGAAATATATCAGTGTACTATTGAATATCATACACCTACTGCCTACATTTCAACCTGGTCTAATAAATTCCTACCAAAAAAGTTTTCTTTATTATATCGATTTACCAGCTTGAAACTTACGTAGAAAAGATAAATGTATGCATTGTCCTTTTCTTTAGGTGATATATATACATAATGTTACATGTACCGAATTGAGGCCTGTAGGCGATACCTTTCGTGTGTGCGTGTTTTTGCACACCCATTTGTAACCTATAGACAAAAAGAAAGGTATCACTCTTCTCTTCCATCGTACTCATTTAATTAGTACTTATGCTTTTTCTATTTTCAAACATACGTGGAATTCGCTTTCACAATAATAATAATAATCAGAAGAATAAGTGTATTTAATTTATTTTTTTGGTTTTCTCTATAATTCTCTCATGCTGAACTTATAGTATAAGTAATCTTATTAATTATTTAGTTGTAGAGTAGTAATAGAAAAGAATTACTCAACGTTCACTGTAACAAGTATATTCTTTTCTTAGGTTAGGTGTAGTCAGTACATTCTCAGGCATAGACGTGTAATACTGTGAATTTGCAGGCACATGCATAGATATACACACCTGACTGACATAAAAAAAGTGTATAAATATGTATACGGTCATATTTATTAACTCTTTTTTTAAATATTTTGCTGTTCTCTATTCTCGACTGTTTATCATTTATTATTATTATTATTATTTTTCGATTTGATATACAAGTTGGCGGAATTAATTGATAATCAGTCTAAAGTTCAATCAAGTATTCGTGTTAATCTATCGATGGATCATGCAGCTAAGCAAACATTACTCAGCTGGTGTCGAGCTGTTACAGCTAATTATCCAGGTGTATATGTAAAAGACTTTAATGAGTCATGGCGTGACGGACGCGGATTTCTTGCTTTAATACACCGTTATAGGTAAGTGCCATTTATCAGTTAAGATGAGTTAGTATTCTGTTGCTTTATATAACTGTATCAGTCTTATGCATGCATTGTTTCATACACAAATTCCCATTAATCAATTTGAACACACAATAAAGCAGGATAACTGGAATCCATCTTTTTTGTTAGTATCTTATCAGCTGCTTATAACTGGAATAATAAAAGTTAATAGTCTTATTGCAATTGTAACATACTTTATTATAACAATAATTAAAAATAGTCATTGCATGTGTAGGTGCATCGAAACATTAAGTTAGTAAAATATAAAAAATATTGCTGTACTCACTCATATATGTAACAGTGGGATCGAAGTTTTTTGGATGAAACCAAGAGTGGGTAGCAACAAGATATTGAGGTATGTAAGGTTAATTATGGGCTCACGTTAGTCATTAGAAATCATTAATAAATAAATGAAATATGAAGAAAAAGTGTTTTGAGCTAAGCTTATTTAGTCAGAATTTAGAAATACGTGGCCTGATGTTTAATAAATGTTGTAACTGAGTAAGAGGGAAACTAAATCAACATTTGCATTTTGAAGGCTGATATAATCAACGAAGGTTAAAAGTCGAGTTACCAAGGTAGAGGTAGGTACTTAGTGCCACTTTCTTTTAAACACATAAGTCAAGTTTTAACCATTTGATGCTGATGAGTTATGCAAACTTCAAGAGGCCGGAGTCTGCTTGTTTGTTATTTATTATTTTGAAGAAATTCAAGATGTATCCACTTGATGTGTTGAATAGATTACATTTCTCGTGACTGTGCTGCTCAAAGATTTACTTCCTCTTAATGGTAGACTTTTCGACATGTGTTTGGCAACACTAGTATTAGGCTCTTCTTTATGCTTTTCCAATTTATCCGCCCAGTCAACTACGCGTATGTTGATTTACACAGTTAAAGGTAACAAAGGAAGGCTTTCTGTCATCTTTTCACCTAACTAATGAATATGCTATTTAATACATGAGAATAAATAAAACGTATCCATTCTATCCTCCATATATTGGTAATACTTTGCACACATTATTATTGTTATTATTGTTGTTGTTGAGTCCGTATACAACGGTACTTATCGTCTAAGAGTTAATAAAATTTATCAAGGTCATGTGAAGAGGAGATGAAAACGTGTGGGCAGACTTGGAGCCAGGTGAAGACTCTAGCAGAGAACCGAACGCAATGGAGACGCACGGCTGAAGCCCTATGTTCCTCTAGGAATTAAAGGAAACAATAATAATAGTATCAGCTTACTTTCATTCTCTGAATAGATTACACTAATTTATATGACGTTTTATTATTCAAGAGTTTTAGCATTCCACACTCACACTATTCAAGTAGTGATTTATTCTCATGATCTTTGTTTCATCGAATTAGTTTTGACGAGGGGGGGGGGAGGAAGGAAATCCTAACTTTCACACAAATAGTGGATAAACATCTGGAGTTTTATTACATTAACTTACTTAGATTTACTCATTAATATCAGATTGTAATAAGTTAAATTCTTTTTGTGTATCATATTTAGTAAATTATCGCCACTAGTCTGTCGTCACTGTTATATACTTTTCTATAACAATTTAATGGCAACATTGTACACTAGTAAAAGAAGACATACCAATTTTATGTTCAGTGTATAAAAAGTAATCCTCCCTACTAACTGCATATGCTGAAATAGCACATCTAAGACACATGTTTTAATTTCATGGCACTGTATATTGGATATATTATGATACATCCTTTTACCCTCTTGTTCTATTGCACAATACATAGTCTCTCTCTCACTCTCCATATATATATGCAGGATGTCAACTTCCATATGACAAACACATGTAAATAGTAGGAGGGTTCCGTTGCAAGTAGTTAGGCATAGTTGGTTACTTTTTTCATATTTCAATTCATAAATTCTATGACAGTTTTATTGAGGAGTTATTCCTTTACTGAGTAGGATATATGAAAAGTATGAAGGAGGAATGTGCAATCGTTGAGACTCTTTTGCATGGATTTTCAAACTAATCCAAAATCGAAGTTTATTCTCTCTAGTAATCGTGATGAAAACTGGAATGGATCTCAGCACGTTGTTTATCTAGGTGATATTTCTTAATGCTGATATAAACGAGTTAAGTGTTTTAGTTTTTAGAATTCATAATGCTAAGTGAATTAATTATTTATTCATATTTGTATAAAGTAGAGAGAAAAAAAACCCATTGATGCATCAAACAATTGGATAGGCGAAAACTGTTCACGTTTTATTTAATTAAGCGTTTACTTCACTTTACATACTAACACTATAAATGCTCTGAGAGCGTAGTTAGTATTTCTGACGATATTACACTTTATCAAAGAAATTGCTGTGAATGAGCGCAGGTAAATAATTGTATCCCATCCTCTCGTCCTACTAAGCAGTTTGCAGAGTCGTTATGTAATCATGCAATGTAAAAACTACGTCGACAGAATTTCTATATTCCATATCATTTTGATTGAAATTAGATTTTTATAAAGTTATCGCTTTTCAGTTATGCAGTTCAACTACGAACTGTAGGATATTTATTCATAACTATATCCTATCTGATTCACTTATGGCGACCGGATATCACTAGATGTTGCACAACAGGTGTGATTTACTCTGATTTCTGAAATTGTTAGTGGCTACTGGACTGTACTTTATTTCTCAACATACACAAGTCGATTATTTTCCAAAGGCCAAACTATATATATATATATATATATATATATATATATATATATATATATATAGCTATTCTAATCTTCACCACCTTTATGACTGTCGAATTACCTCTAGATTTAGACTTCCTAACATATAACTTCATCAAGAGTTTTTTGTTCGCGCAAATGCAGTTTCATCGTAATGTTTCATTTTTTTCTTTCACACAATTTTTCTTAAAACATTATTTGAATTGATTCGAAAGGTTGTTGTGTCTCTGAAATACATTGTCAATTTATGCTTCAACTATTCAAATACACGCTCAATACAACAATGGTCTTCTGACTTTGGTAACTTCAACTCCCCCCACCACCACCAAATATCGAATTCTGTCTTTCGAGGATAATTGCTCGTATTATCAGCTTAACTACTTTTAAACTCCATCCTATATTCATCAAATAATTTTGTGGATGTGTTTTTTTAAAGTAAATGGTAAAGCTCATTTTTGACCAGCATAAAAAGAGAAGACGTAATATTATTTACGGAGGAATTCAACTGATAGTCATTACAACACGATAAAAGTTTTCAGCGAAATACTTTTTCTTCTATGTAGAAATCACTTGTAAGGGTAATCAGTGGTTGCATGCCTGTTGATAATTAAAGTCAGTAAATGTCAGCAGCGTCGTGCTTTAATAGTGTGTAATTTTTGTTGAATATAGAATTCTAATCTCCAGGGTAGTCGTAATCCATAACATTGTGGAATATTATTTTTAATATTGATTATGTGTGTATATTGGATTTCCCTTCAGAAATGTTTTGTAACTAATTGGCATTTCTTTCCTATTGGTTTAGTGATAAATTTATAATTGTTTTATTAACGATTATGTATTAATGTGGACTGCAAATGAGTTTATAGAATTATCTGTAATAATCAATGATTTCCAATAAGTTGTAATTTCTGTCATTTATATAGTTACAGAGTATACACATTTTTTTATTCTCTATTTCCTTTTCTTGTTATTAATCTTGTTCGCGCATACATATATAGGCCAGATTTAATCGATTTCCGACAAGTGGATCGTCAGTCAGCGCGTGAAAATCTTGACTTAGCATTCGATTTAGCTGAACGTGAACTTGAAGTCACCCGCTTATTCGATGCAGATGGTACGTCTCAGCTTTTGTCACTTTTTTAAAAGAAGTGCATTTATGCTTGTATTTGGCTTTTAAATCGGTACTAAATGGAAAGTAAACAGATCGTTGTCCACCTTTTATTTATTTAGAACATATCTGATGAATACTGACTGACTGAGCGTTTTATAACATAGAACTTTACACAGATGTGCAACAGTTCGAGATGCCACTCTCCATGCAGCACACAAAGGAATAAAAAACAGGAAGTAGAAATAATAAACATAAGTGTGAGGGGAAAGAATAGTAATGTGGAAGAACAACATAGTTTTATTGGATATAACGAATCACAAAAAGTAAATGCATCTGCACCAACATTGACAGGGACGATTTTCAGCCATATCACAAATTGTCTCCAACCATTGGTTCTTACCATTGTGAGGATCCCAACCAGGTAGCAAGTCTACTGCTTCCTACCTGGCTGGCTGGCTGGCTGGTTTCAACTAACTGTTATGGATCTCATTAACTGAGGCCAAGTTTTCGTTTGACCACCACTAGCTCTTTTCCAACCTGATCCATCCTATGTCAGCTAGCTAACATTGACTGTCGACGAAGGCGATGGTTCGGCGTATGCCTAACACATGTCCTAACAATCTCAATCGATGTAACTTCACAACCTCGTCTACTGATTTTCCCTCCTTAACTAGCACTCCACCGAAGCCTAACCTCAATATCACTCACCGTATTGTACCGCCTAACACGAGAGAGAGAGAGAACGCCAACACCTATGATCGAAGACAGCTAGCTGACCTTTTCATGTCTTCCACTTTCAGTGGAGCACAGGACGAACTGCTGAGTAGTACACACCTCCGTTGGTCGACAGTCAGCCAGATATCACGTCTATGTCAGAGATGGAGTAAACTGGCATTTGCGAAACGAGCCTTCTGTATCCGCCATGCTGAGATTTCATCAGCCATCAACCCACTGGGACGGACTGATGCAATTTCCCACAAAATAGGTGATGTGGTCAACACTCTCAGCCACCATTTCACTCCCTATCTTTAAGCTAGGGGCCCATGTGGTCCAGTCCACTCCTGTAGTATCATCTTACATTTGAAAGCACGAGCGAGTCGCATGCCAAACATTCGTAGATTGCAGCTGAAGGTGTCCAGAAGATTCCGCATATTGTCAGCGTCTTCACCTAGCAGGGAGGACTGTACTGTCTGCATATTCTAAGTCAACGAGGTTATTGTCTGGTAACAGGTCAATCTCTGAGTCGCTGAAGTCGGTTAAGGTTAATTCCATTAGTACATCTATGATGAAGTTAAACAGAAATGGGGACAGTGGGCATCCTTGACGGACACCATTGGTTGTTATCACTTCAGATGACATCTCTCCGTAAGCTCTTACTAGGCTGCATTAGTTCGAGTAGATTGCGTTAATCAGTGTGATGTATTATTTCGGCGTTCCTTTCACAGCCCAACGTCGCCATAGTTCCTGTCGGTCGACGGAATCGAATGCTGCTTTCAGGTTGAAAGATTTGGCAATTGTTGGACACTGGTGAGTATGCGTGTGTTCCAGAATCTGTCGAAGGGTGAAGATGTGATCAATACACCCTCTTCCTGGTCTAAAGTCTGTCTGGTTCTCTCGCGTTGGTTTCTCCCGTGGTCTACGCATGATTATTGAGCCTAGAACTTTTGATACCATATTAGTCAAGCTAATCTCCATGTAATTACTACAGGAAGACTTGTCTCCCTTCTTGTATACTGGGATAATCAATGACTTGCACCAGTTCGACTGGACTACCTCTGATTCTCAGATGTTGCGTGATACCTTTGTTAATCCAGACAGCAGATTGTCCCTATCGTCCTTAAACACCTATGGAGTCATTCCATCAGGTCCCGCTGCTTTGCTTTCTTTCAGATTAGAGACAGTGTTTGTAACCTGAGTTAGGGATTGGGGACTGGTGTTTATACCACATTCAGATTTAGTGAATGCACACAGGTCAAGAAATGCCCTGTAGTAAATCATACAAAAATACAGTGAAAAACCTCAAAAGTCTATGAGTTATGAGGTAATTAAATAATGCGAAATAAGTTTCAAGATTATTAGTAAAGCAGTTGATAAGTTCTCATTGATTTTCTGTAGTCTTTCAGATGATAAAGGTATTTGATATCGCATTTTTTTGTATACCCATTTTATGAATAATAAACTTTGCTGTAAACCAAATCAATTTTTATACCTGAATAGGTGAAAAAATCCAGATGTTCAGGCTAATTTAATCTCTATACATCTCTGATAAAGTCGGTACGAAGAGGTCAAAATTCTCATCATTTGTTCGCGTCACATTAGGCTAGTTAGTGACCATTATTAGTAGGTCATAGTCTTCATTTGTCCCTATTAGTTATTAGTCTATACTGTTCAGCTTTAATATTCTCAGTGTTGACGCTACTAATGATATTCAGACCTACTAATCATTCTTTACGAAGTATGAGTGTAGTCACTGATGAAATAGTGTCTTACAATCGTGGTTTATTGTGTACTTTCTAAGATTCCAGGGTGTACGATGTAAGTGGGCTTGTAAGGGCCTTAGAGTACTGTTTAATTGGCTACCGGCTTAACGCTTGTAGTGCATGCGTAGATCTGCGACTTGCAGGAAGTTCTACGCCTTAATTTTTACTTATTAACCTTAATTTTCGGGAACTATAATCTTTTTTTATCTGAAAATTTCAACCAACCGGCATGCATTCTTACTTCACTATAGCGCATTTATTCTGTTTTCACGTACCATTTGTTTTAGATATTGCAAAGATAACAGATGAACGATCAATTATGACCTATGTCGCTTCCCTTTATGATAAATTAGTTTGTAATTCTGCACAACGTTCATCCTATCCTTTACCAATTATACCTCCAATGCCCTCCTTATATCAAGATTCCAGTTCATCTGGACCTATAGATTCAGCTTTCCAACTACAGGCTTCAAATCAGCTTTCTGATGAATTGAAATCACTTTGGTCTGATTATCGAGTTTTAGCTAGTGATCTTATTCAATGGCTTCGGTCAACAACTGATCGTATGGCTAATCGTCATTTCCCATCAGATTTAAAGGCTATGCAAGAAAGAGTTATGGATGAAATTAGACGACATCGACGCGATGAACGACCTAGACGAGAAAGAGAACGACAACAACTAGTCCGCATGTATGAAGAATTAAAGGTGAGGACTATTGTGTCTATTGAGTGAAGCATTCTATGATTTACTCTTTATTTTATACTGCAGTAACTGATAGTAACACTGTGATCAATATTTTTTGCTTCAGTACTATTTGAACAATTTTTTTCACAACTGTATAACAAGTCTCAAAATTGTTTGAATTATCATGCATTTTATTGTGGGAAGTAGAGATTACAATCTCTAACTATCAAATAACAAAAATTATTAACCCCCAACTACTTTGTGTATTTAAATTATTCAGTCTGATAGCTATGACTGCTGTGCACCGTTATTTCATATTCAATTTTGAAAGGAGTTAATCATCAGGATGCTTAGGTTTTAGAATTCATATCAGCTCCAACAGTATGCCTCTCTGATGTGTACCAGCGACAAGCAAGATTCAGTACTTCCTGTTGACCGCTCCTCCCCCCCCCACCTCCCTCTCTAAACACAAACTTGATATGCTGCCAACATCTCATTGAAATATTGTAAGCTTTCAATCAAGGTTTCAGTATTAAATGTCTTTGTTTAAGTTATTATCTTTCTAGGTTTAATTAGCTATTAGAAATTAATTAGTCATATTATTAAGGTGAAATCTGTTAGCATAATGTTTATGACTAGATAACCAGGGGTGATATTTACGTAATTTTAAATAATTCCATTGTTCTGACAAGTTTACCACATATTTTCTGAAATGCCAGGCTTCTGCTTCTCCAATATTTGTATTTGTAAATGATTTATTTTTATAGGCTAGTTGACATCTCTTCTTGCTGAAATTTTAAATTAAAATCCATACGAAATAACAAATATTTTATTACGTTATTAACATTATGGAATGCGCTCATCTTAGGTGTTGCTACAGTCTGTATAATTTTTAATGTTCATGACAAAATTTTAATATGTTGTGAAAATGTGTATACTATGAAAAATTGTGAAAGTGGATGGATAACCAATGCAACTTAATCTGTGGTAATTCACCCTTCAAAGTATTTTTTTAGTAAAATGTAGTTTCTATCTTCGTGTATACTCTTACCAGAATATTATATCGTTAGATGTTATAAGTCAATAAACAGTATCTCTTTTCATATTTGTTTTCTGCCCAACATTGAAATCCAAGACTTTGTCTACTGCTCAGCTACTCAGGGCCCAACCGACCCCGTCTTCATTACATTCTATAGCACTCTTCTTTTTACATCATACTTCACAAATTCTCACATACATGGAGATTAATAGCTTCTAATTAGTGATTGCGTGATAATGAAGAATCATTTGGAAAGTTAATCATTTAAGAAATATTCAACTAATTAATATTCTATATCTTCAGTTTAACTTCACTCATTGTCCATGTAAATTCAGATGTTACTTGCAATACCGTTTTAAGCGTTTATTAACTTGAGTTTCATTGTTTCTTTTATTAAATCAAATAGCCCTCTATTGAACGTGGATTAGTTCCAGTTGACTTATTCCTTCGAATTGAGCAAATTCATCGTTTGTGGGATGAGTATGATGTAGCGTTACAAGAACGTGAATTGGCAGCAAGAAATGAAGTGCATCGGTTAGATCGTTTACAATGGGCCGGTAACCGAGCTCTCCGTGATTGCGTTCAGGTTCAGGCACAGTTGACCGCTTTGGAACGTCGAGCTACTGAGGTTCGTCAAAGTTTTCGCCCTTTACAATCATTGTTCATTGTAACTATAAGCTGGTTATGCACTAATTATGAATTCATCATTTTGTCTATTGCTGTATTCTTCGTCAAACAGGAAAAGATTCTATTTTATTCATTAAGCGCTTACAGTCTTATATGTCTTTTTCGGTTAACGAGAGGTATTATCAAATTGTGCATTGTTTATCAGGTAATTCTGTCAGCGAATGAATTTCAGATACTCCCATGTCAAATCTTAATCACTTTTCTTTGTGGATGAATATTCATGGTTTATTCAATCATTTGAAGCAAACATTTCTCATCCGAGACATGTGATATGATAATTGCATTATCCCACTTGTCTGCAGAAGTTAAAAAATATAGATCACTGGATTCCAAAACAGTGACTAATTATTAACATGCTCGCTGCGAGCCATAACGATCGTGAGCTTAATCCTTTTAAAGTTGTTAACTAGTACACTTCTGAATAGTCCTAAACTAAATAGGAAAAAAATGTCGTTTACTTTTCATTGCTTCCGTAGGAGATGTCCATCAGCAGTAAAATCTAACTTATAACATTTGTAACCTGTCGCGTAACCCAACTAATTTGGTAAACTTCTCTTACTTCTCCTTTAGCCAATTAAAATTTCTAAAGTAGTACATTCTGCCGAAAACTGAGAAGCAAGTATAAGCATCGTAAGACTTCCTGCTAACTGTGTATTCAAGCGAATCTTTTAAAATTTCATGGAAACGACTTAATTTTTTGTTTCACACTTATGTATACTACATTATGTTTTCATAAGACAGCTAATTATTATCCTGTATACTTAGAATCGGTACTCCAGCATTATCTTTAAAGATGGACAGACTAAGGGTCAAATCTTGAACTAAGCTTTCAAATCTTCTTTGTTCTCCACTTATCCTCTGTAAATTTTGTTAATTGGCTGTTTGACACTGTTTATTTCTTCATTTGTCTCCTGTGTGTCTTTTAAACAGAAATATCTTAGGACCTACAAGTGGCTCTATTTAACAGATTGTGCATTTACCTATGTGCATTTTAACGAATTAATGTCAATAAATTAATACTTGTATTTTTTTCTTGGTCTTTTTCTCTATGTTATTCTGTTAAATCAGCTGAAATCCGAACTACCTCATCAACATGCATTAGATGTTAGCAATGAATTAAGGCGTTGGCGTGATCAATTGACTCAGATTGAAGCAAAAATCAATGGTTTATTCAATCAGGTTCAACATCTTCGTACTGGAAGATATAATCAAACAGAACAAATTTATCGGAAGTATGTTACACAATTTTTCGCCCACTAAATTTTTTTTATATTTATTTATTTATACGTTATAATTAGTAATACTTTAGTGTTTTTTTTTATTTCTTCTCGTTCCCAGTGGAACAATAGGGCTTCTACCTAGAGGCCTGAAGTTTCTGTAGCAGTGCCTATTTTTACAAGATGGGGTTGCTAGCCTCATGCCCAACCTTTCCTCTTCACCAGCATTATTTCTGGCTTAGCGAGGTAAAGGAGTCCGTCAGCCAGGGATCGAACCCTGGACCATGTGCATGGTCGCCGAGCATGCTAACCACTATGCTTTAGTGTGCTTAGGACTAATTTGTAAATGTTATTTCTTTTAAGCGAAACACAGCTACTCAGGTTTACATAGCGCTGATTTGTACTTTGAATAAACATTAGTAACTAACTAGTGTTGCTAACTGAATTCTATCAGTCAGTCTGCACTGTGATGGCGAGCTACCTAGAATGGTGGCTCTATTGCAAAGCTGACAGACAGAATTTAGTCTTCACCAAAGATAGGACTAGGCACATCACACTAGTTAGTTACAAGTGTTTAATCAAAGTATCCAATACAGTCCTACAGGAGGTCAATCGCGAGCCCGAAAAGCTCAGTGGTAATGTCTCTGACTGCAGCACTGGCGTACGTGAGTTCGAATCTCAGGAAGGACATGAGTTCCTTCAAGGCTGCAGATGCGCCTTGCTGACTGGTGAGTGCCAACTAGCACGAAACCTAGGTCCAAGGCTTCCTGCCGATTGCCTCCTACTATCTAATATCACTAAATGCTGATTTATGTTTAGATTTCCGTGAACAAACCCTTGGTACTGTACTATTTGTCATCTTCTGTGTTGTCATAATGTTATATCGAAAAATAGTTGTGTTTTTTTAAGTTGAGGCAGTAAAGGTCTGTCAAAGTTTCCTCTGGATTCATACGATATGAAAATAAAATCTGTTTGAGTTTACTTATTACTGTTTGTGTTTAGTGGTATAATCACATGAATATCATAGAACTTACTCTAAATATTCACATGAGAGGTGAAATGGGAAGCAGAATTCTGTGCAAATTAGAAGTGTATAGCAATTAGTGTAAAAGATCAGCTCTCATTGAAAGCTTTTAAAGTTGAATAAAGAGGAGGTTTTTAGTGACAAAGGTTATGTAAGTGTGGCGAGCATAACCCCACCTTTCTAGCATTATTATCGTCTTTATTGTTGTTATCACATAATTAAGTGAAAGTATATATTTCTGATATTTACACTCAAAGGTGATGTATTTAATTACAATATATTCTTTTGAAACTTAATTGTATGCAAACAATGAGTGTCATCAAGCAGTAAGCCTCAATCCATGTGCTTGACAGCTTCTCATCCTGCGGAGGAGTATTGACTGACTGGTTTCAACATAGAACTTGGCAGCAGTTTCAGTCGCCATACCCAATGTAGCACACAAAGCAAGAGAAGAAAGTAGAGGAAATACGAAACAGAGAGAGTAAACAGGGATATAAGACAAAAGGAATAGTAATAACGAAGAACAATATAGTTCTATTGGGTATTATAAGTCACAAAGAGTGGATGCATCTGCGTCAGACATTGAGGACGATTTTGAGCCATATTACCGATTGTCTCCAGCCATTGATCTTTACCGTCCCGAGGACCCCAACCAGGAAGCAAGTCTACACCTTCCTACGTGGCTGGCTTAAACTAACTGTTGTGGATTTCATTGACTGATGAAGCCATGTTTTCGTTTGAAGGAGTAGTAGTAGTACACTCATTAAACTACTTATCACCTCATACACATAAATCACACTGCAATACCAAGCCATCTTTTAAAACTGAATTGTATGAATAAGTTTTCAATTAACTGGTCGTATATTTCTCCTAACTCTTCTTTAAATATAGAACCCTTATCATTCACATGCTCAATTGTCATACCGCTATTTACTTCCGTTTACTGTCATTGTTTGTCATCAATCATCATTATTATTGTATTTATGCTATCATTACAGCTATCAATCACTGTTGTCATCATTATGTCAGTGTATGACAAACATGTGTACACAGATGTTTAACGGTTTAAAGTGTTTTGTATTACTCGTTCACTAGGCACATTTTGACTAGTTACCGGTATCTCCTTTTTAACGGAATATATTATTGAACAATTAAATTATTTTCTAAAGAAGACTTTGATGATTAGTATCAATACCAGAATACTGATTTAGTAATATTTACTGATGTTATGTATCTTTTCTTCTCGGTATTATAATAGTATTATCATTCACGCAAAAGAATCTTTGTTTCCGTCTGGAACAGGCTTTAAATCAGTGCTGAATAATTTCCATAGTAGAATAGATTTGTATAAGTATTTATCTAGCTAGGTAAACTAAACAATACTCTTACATTAATGACACTTAGTTTATTCAGTAAGAAGGAGCATTTCCGTGTTATTTCTGTCGTAATATGTGTGACTGCTTTCTGCTCTCTTATTTGTTTTTATACTATGTGATTGGATAGCATCTTCACATATCTTTCAGTTTATCAACAAATCCTATTTGTAGCTTCGAGATGACTAAGTGCAGTCTTTAATTTCAATTTTTATCCGATGTTGCAGCCAGATACACCATTTTAGGTAGATAATAGGGATGAGAGGGAAATTCATTTAAATAACCTATCTGAGTTATAATTGAGCAGAAAAATAATGTTGTTTCGCCGACCATGCATATGGTCCGGGGTTCGATCCCCTGCCGATGCACACCTGATATCTATGGTCGGCCTGCTAAATTTGGGCTACCGATATCACATGCTGAAAATTCCATACCTGTACCAAAAATACTGTGTGGAATCAAGCTATAATCAAAAATATAAAAATATCCACAGAATGAAGTGACTCTAAGAGATATTAGTATATTGAGTTTGTGTTCTTCCGACATCTTCATCAAAAGAGTTATATCTGTGGGAATATATTGCACACAATGACGATGTTCACATTGATTCCTTTCTTTCTCTTTTTCTCTTACATTTTTGGTCAGTTTTTCTTTTATGCAATTGTGCTGATAACTCTGTGTAGCCTTGTACTGAAACTTTTACAAATCATACTTCCGGCTGGGAGTACATCACTATCTGAAAGTACTAATTTGTGTATACTTTTATTGTTTTCCAGTAGGTGAGTTTAAAAATTATGTGTTTACAAGACTAGCAATTACACTTTACTACTTTTTTGCTTTCTTCTTTAACATTCCAGTGTTTGCACACTACACCAAAGATTTCTAGATCTCCAACGTTTGTACCGAGAGTTTACACATTCCTCATCCTCATCAACTTCTGAACTTGTTGCCGACTCTTTTTGTTCACCGACAGTTAGTCTATCAAATCATTCCATGTTGACGTCTTTCAAAAGTGATGCTAATGGACAGAATGTTCACCTTCAAGGGAAATTAATCAGTCCACTTGAACAGTGTATGCGGTGGATTACGGAGCATGCTAAAATTGTACAAACAGCATCTTATGGAACAAATAGGAAGTGTAAGTGTCTTTTGTTTTATTATTTTTCTTAATCTTACGCCTATAAATGGTTGAAACGCAACACATCGTTCTCAATGCTAATATATTCACAACCTGACCTGCAAATATTCCCCACGAAAGTTCATCTGTTTGCTAATTATTCTGGAACATGTACCATTGCGAACCTTCTTGTTTTTCTTATATATCTAACATACATTTAGTGAATTTGGCCGGAAGCATTAATTATTATGTCACGCTTATTCGTCAGTATTTAAGTGTCTGGATCCCATTCTTCTTTTCGTGTACCAAACATCTGTTGGGTTACGAGAATCGCAGCTTGCGCAACCGCTATCGCTTGTTATTGTTTTTCGTGCCTATACACCACCATTCACTGGAATGCGAATACATCTGTCTGATGAATTCTAAGTGATACGAAGTGTATCTGTTGGTTTCTGTTGCTGACTGCTCTGGACTCTCTAATATATTCACATCATTTTGCTTCAATAAAATCAGCAAGAGTAAATTAGAAATACGAATTCATAAACCTAAAAACTGATTTATTTTCAGTAATTCATATATCCCATGATTGTGGAGTTGTGATTCATTAGTCTAAGTGTTTGACTTTTAGTCAACAGGTCACGGGTTCGAACCCGGTTCTATGCACTGAGACTTCCTCAGCCCTTTCAACTACTATCAGCCCTCACACAAAATAGTTGTGACGCGTTGCTAGCTACATGGAATTGCAAGTGGTTGATGAGTAATATCACATGATTACAGACAAATAGGTACACAAATTCACGGCTAATGTTGACTCATCATCATTGTGCTAAGTACAATACCTGCATATTCGTTCATTCATTCGTGTAAATATTATTAATCGTAGTCATATAGTCGAAGTTGTTAAATAATAATGTAACTGATATTATTCTGCCCCAGAAAAAAGTGATAGGTTGGAGATTGTGTAATCAACACAGTCAATTATGCAACTTTATATCACTGGGCAGTACTATAGTCTTGCATTGTATGACTGGGAAATTCTCCATAACTATTTTACATTTGTTTGCCATAGGAGTAGTAGCAGTAATAATAATAATAATAATAATAATAATAATAATAATTGTAGGCTTCGATAAAGATATGTAAATCGTGTGCATTTGTGATGATCTAGAGTATCGCAATATTTGCCTAGTATGTGTTTGCCTTCGGCTAATGTTTCCTTTTGTGACAAAAAAACTAGTACATTTAAGATATCAGTTTATTACTATCAGCCATTGTATCATTGTAATTATTTGTTTCCTATTTTCAGCTGTTGAAGAGGCTGCCAGGCATCATGAACAATTTCATCGAGAAGTGTTAAACTTTAAAAACGAAATTGATCGATGTAAATCAAATCAACAAAAGGTGAATAGTTATTTTGTCTCTTTTTACTTTTTTTTTGTGTTGGTTTTTTTTTTCAACTTTCTGTTATCTTGAATGATCTCATATCTACACAGAAAATATCTTTAGTTATGTAATGACAGGCTGACTGCCAAATTTACCTGATTTATAATGTTTTCTAATTATCGCACCTTATCCTGTTTCTAAGGCTCATAATCCTTATGTTTAAATACTGCTTTCTGAGCTTCATTCAATAATGATATATCTGCCATAATATGTTTGCCTATCATATTAACCGTTTAATGCAATAATGACCTGTTGGCTTAACCAATTTCAAATAGTGAACACGGAACTACTTTACCGTGTATATAATTGACTGCGGGGATTAAAAATGAACACAGTTCAATTGTTAGTAAATCATAATGGTTATTTATTCATTTTCTATATAACTCTTGTTATTTGTTTTATTTAAATCAATATTTCAAACGTACTTATACTTCTTTAGAAACTAATATCTTTTTCTTCTAATGTACTCTTATAAACCTTTGAAATATTCATGTTTAACTTGTTAACTATGCTTTTTTGTATTGTTGGAAAAAAGATAAATGTCAATTTATTGCTTTTGTGGCAGTATTTTTGTTTAAGGTTAAAATCAGATATATTTATTTTAGAGGGAAAATAGTAATCAAGGTTAATCTCATTCATGTTGTCGTGTAACTGTAACTATAAATGTAAGTAGGAAGATGTAAGTCAGCATAGTGATTTTTTCTGTAAAAAGATCTTATGTGTTCTTAATCACATTAAGTGGAAATTCTTGACACCTTGAAGAGAAATCCAAGTCCCCAGTAAAGGAGCTCAACTGTGTTTCTTATTCTTCTGTCAAGCTTGGTGAAGTCCTTCGGAGTAGGCATATTCATCCGTTTCATCGAACGATGAAACGTCAGTTTATGAATCTAATCGGCGGTCTGTGGAAGTGAAGTTACTCAATGAGATCTCTTTTTTGAATCATGTGTTCCCAATTAAATCTAAATGTAAAATATAATTAGTTGGACTAATAGTGTATAGCTCAAACATATAAAATACTTTTGCATTTTATAAAGTTACCTTAATAATCATGATTTAGATTTCCCTGGTAGATTTTGTCACGTAGCAACATCGTTTAGGCAACCATCGAAAACAAAAAAGCACTGGACAGCTGTTTCTTCCAACCTTTTGGGGCTCTTCAACAGCTTGAGCCCATGACTGAACGTTAGATCTTCAGAATACTGGGCGAACACGTTTATCATTCAGCCACTGGTGATGACAATGTGTCACGGATTGACAAAAGTTAGGAACCATAGGTTATCGTATGCTAATCGAGTGAGTGATCAGTAAATGTCCTCCACTCCTAACTTTTGAGATCTTTGGTTTGATTCCCGTTGAGATAAAAGTTGTGCACTGATGAGGAGTCCCAAACTAGGTCAAAATGACTATCCAGTGCTTTCCAGTTTTCAACTGTTCTCAAACTAATGTCGGTTATTACTGGTGTCATCATCAAATACAGAAAACCAAGCGGGCGAATCACTTGACCCTCACTTTTTTACAAAATTTCTTGTCTGCGAAATTCTTTTAAACATTAATGTCTGCAGTTAGTATAATCGCCTTCATATTGTTGATTCTTTCTGTACTCTACTATTTGAATTCAGTTGCCAACACGATCCCAGGAAGAAAAGCAAGTTCTAGAGGAATCGTTTAAAATACTTGAACAGAATTATCAACAATTAGTGGTAAGTGTAAAAAATTTCCTTTATTCAATGTCTCCTTTTTAAAAAATAAAAAGGATTATCAACCCACTGATTTTAGAGTAATCCTAAAAATTACTTGTTTCTCAAGTTTGACCACGGATTGATATCAGTTAGAGGACCAGGGAGTACTGAACAGCTGTCTCATCCTAGTTTGGAAATTATCGGCAGTATGTACGCACTGGGGTTAGATCCCAGGACCTTCCGTTTACAAGACAAGTTCGCATACCATTCAGCCACTGGGACCCGATTCAATGGCTCATGAATTCTAACTTCTGAAAAGATTTTCTAGTCTTATAGATTATTCAAATTAAAATGAACTCTATTCACTTTGTGTATTTTGATAAGGCTATTTGTTTGTTCTGAAAAAAAACTTGTGCAGTTGTGCAATTCATATTCTCTGATGATAATCATAAATCATATTTTGTAAAATTATTTTTCGGTGTATCTAATTGAAGAGTTGTGAATAATTTACTCCGAAAAAATGATCCATTGTGTAGTTTAAAATAATAGTAATAATGATGTGGTCTTATTTAGTTGGACCATTTGAACGTATCATTTACAGCTAATAACTTCTAAACACCTTTTGTTATAAATTCTGACGTATCATATCTGTCGCAGACATGTAAAATTATTCCCCATATACCTGAATAACATCCTTCAACATTGAGGGAACTCAACTCCCGACTTACTAACTAAAAATCGAGTGCCTACTGTAGTGAGCCTTTAACTGTTTCATCGTTCCTCACACTCGACTAACTACAAACTACACAACTTTATTTTAGGATCCGGATAGTTGTTTCCAGATAGATCGCTAATGAAGTTAGCAGTTTGTTTGATTGTAAGCACTAATTGGAGAAGTTTGCTCACTGATTCTGTCAGTAATGACGAGTATTGAAGCAAAACTTTGTATCTAAATGAAGTTGACTGTTAAATAAGTTCTTTGTTTCTAATCATTTTTTATCGGTATAGAATTGTAGCGAAAACTGCATTTATTACTACTGAAACAGTTTTCTGTGTATGCTACTATGTTTTAGAGATTAGAGCAATTGCATTTGAAATGTTTTTTCTCCTCATTTCCATTGTCCACTTTCACTGTGATGGTGGTTTCTCCAATTAACTTAGTGAAAGCAACAAGCAAAGTGGAGATGTGACGCATTGCCTTAAGCACTGGACTTTCAGCCAATGGGTCCCGGGTTCGAGTCCCGTTCCACCCACTTCAACCTGGGCAACTAAGTAGTATCATTTGCCCCCACACAATAAATGCCGCCTATAGCCCAGTACTGAGTAACTGTGATCTAACTAAACTAAAATAAACAAGCAAAGTAGGATACGTTTTTTTCATTAGCAAAAATAATGACCGACGACTAGTATGAATGCTATTTGTAAGTTCTCTCTGGATTCCTGTATTTGTTGATTCCACATTTATAGGTGCATCATAAAATTTACTAATTTACAAGAGATGTTGGAGAATGTCATGTATTTAATGCCAACCTAATTTCTTGGCCTTAGGACTGTGGTCAAAAAAATTTTATGTATCGTTCGAAGATATGCATTTGACATTTTTATTACTTCTCATTGTAGCCGCTTTATATGAACATTGGAGTGTTGTGAGACTGCGTTTAGTCTGTTGCTAGTCTTGCGGTCGACGATAGCAATAGTAGTATCTGCAGGTTACATTTTATGCCTAAAACTGATGCTAACCAGTATTGAGTGTTCTTATTACTCTGCTTTTGTTGACTAAGTTCTGTTGTAATTACCTGGAGCATATAAGCAATCCGTTTTTTATTTCAAATGATGTGGTTGTCAATGAATATGACGGATTAATTACCCTAATGACAAACTTTAATGCGTCGGTAGTTCAGTGGTTAAGTGCTCTCCAACCGCGCACGTGGTTCTGGTTCGATTCTCAGCCAACTCACTCTTGAATCTCGACTACGGGTAGCAAGCCCGGTAAAGAGTGTAGTTTAAGAGTTAGACTAGCAACCGCATACCTTAAAAAATAACAACACAGCCACCGAAACTTCAAAGGTCAAGCTTGAGACCACTCGGAACAGAAAGGAACGAAACCAAGTCACAAAAACGCGTCAGTTCTTTTGAACAATCTCGCATGACAGTAACCGTGTTTTGGGTACATATGTGCCTATTCTACTTCCATAATGGGCATTTTGATATAGAAGATGATAGAATAGACAGAGTTGTAATAATGTTGCTAATGTATCTAATTCATATTTCTACCTAACTGTTTAAACAGATTTATCAGTTTATTCCTCATTGTATTGACTCTTTGTTTGAAAGTGTTATCCTTTGGACAGATTCTGTGGCATGATAGTTTTACTCACCCTACCAGTCTGGTAAAGTGACCTCACATGGATCAGAGTCTATCATTTAAAAAAATTTGTTTTCATTATAGCCTTCTAGTCATGATTATGATCATTTTTATTTTATTTTCTAAATGTAACATTTATTTAACAGGATGCATCGGTTAAACGTCGTAATATGATTCAGTCTTTATTGGAATTTATTGAGCGTGCTCATAATGAATTAATTTGGCTGCGTGAACGTGAGTCATGCGAAGTGACAAGAGATTGGAATGAAGTCTATTATGATGGTTTAGATCGTGTTCGAATTCACTTTCAAGTAAGTATTCATCTATGTACGAACTTATACGCATTTCGGTTATATCACAATAGTTAAATGTAAAAGTATACCTTTTTGTCACCAAGTCCTACACAAGTAGATCTCAATAGAATAACTTTTGTTAGTCTGAGTTTTATTATCATAATTATTCCCTTGGGTTCCTAGTGAGACGTAGGGCTTCAGTAATACATCTCTGTTTCACCTTGTCTTCCTCACTCCTTTTTATATGGCTCCACGATTGCCCATGAACTTTCATCTCTTCCTCACACTATCTCCTCTATGTCACCCTTGTACTCCAACTCATCGTTTCCCTTTCGGATTCCACTCTAGGACCTCGATCATGATGTCACTCGGTAGTCTCCTCAACATCTGTTCGATCCATCTCCATATTCTTTGACATACTTGCTAAGCAACAGATTCTTGGTTGCTTAGTTTTCAGAGCTCCTTGTCGCTAATCCTTTATGGCCATCTGTCCTTCAGTATGGAGCTGAAGAAGACAGATGTGAATGGAAGTCTACTCTAATTTTTAATCAACACTTATTTAGTTACTCAACCAAGTGATATTCTGTAGTTGGAAGAAATTAACTTATCTAGTCGACTTATTGGATTTTTAAGCTGAAATACTAAGTCATTAACCGATTCAGCTGTTATACTCAGCTTTAGTACACATCAGTAATTCCCTATCATAATATTTAAGTTTTATCGAATGTATAAGTTCTGTCGATATTCTGCTTAATATCAACAAAGGCGAAATAGAAGTTTATGTTATCTTACCGTCCAAATCCAAACTAATAAATATGTAGATATTTATTTGTTTATTGATATATAACACAACAAAACAGTATTATTCCCTGGATGACATTTCGGACACAATTTATTGTTTATAACCATTGCCAGTTGTAAATACACAACTTCGAAACTTGGTTCTTACATTTCTCATTCTTTCTCCCCATTTTTCGTAAGGGAATTAGAATTCTCCAGATGTCTGGTGCAAGTGTGTTTATTTATCATTAGATGTCAATTAATGCATCAGTTCCCTCTTCCGCATCTAAAGACTGTGATAATTCTTGACTGCAAAAATCACTGTCTTGTAATATCAATTGATAATAGTACGTTTAATCCAATCAGTCATCGATTCATCTATACACGCGCTAAACGCCTACATACTGGATGTCGATTATAAAGGTTATCATTCTTTTTTCCTTTTATTGAGTGTGCATGTGCATGGTAGGGTTCTAACTAGCTATATCTGAATCACTAGTGTAGTACTCTGCCAGCTGAGCTACAGAAGTCAACTGTTAACCAAGGCACCAGTTCATTGCAGTTAGAATGGGTAATGGCTAGCTGTCGTGTGAATGACTAGTACAGTACTGTCTGCCAACTCAAAACTATTTCAGATAGTCTCACCATCAGTTAACAAGTTAGGAGTGACAGGAGAAGACCTAGCTGCCATAGCAGTTATTGCAATGATTAAGAGACAGTAATATATCATTCATGCACATGACACCTGGATATTACACGTGATTAGATTATTTTATCGTTTATTGGGGTCAAACAGGGAAATTTTAAGTAGTCATGACCAAAGGTAGTTTTTTCTTCAAAAAGTTCTACTTTGCGAAATGATTAGTCATTCGCATGCATTTTAATGCTTTGGCAATAAGCTGAGGGCTGATGACACTATATATTTTATATTACTATATATTTTTGCTTAATTTTAGAAACTTATGCACGATATTCATGAAAGAGAAACTGTCTACAATGAACTCAGTGTATTGGGTTCATCAATCCAGTTAGAGAATTATGCTGTAACTGATCTTGTACAGGTAAGGAATAAAGATGTGAATCTTTCATGTGAAAATGTCTTTACACTCACTTTTTAAAATTTAATGTTCTTCATTTTGTAATAAAACATATATTTTGTTCACTTGTTTGACTTAGAGTTGACATTCTACCATCCTACCAGTTCAGAAAACATTGACAACAAAAAGGAATTAAATATTCGTTTGACGTTTTTGAATTCCTTCATTAGCATCGGCATAATAATCGAACATATTGAGAATCTAGGATATCATATAATTATGAGGGATTGTATCAAGTGTTATTTCTTTTTCACTTGTGAGACTTTGGAATTTTCTGGATGAATTTGCTTGCTATTCTGTACTGCTATTCAGAAAATTTTCACTTCATTCACTTTTCACTATCTTACCAGCTTATTACTGGGTGATGTGGATTCAATCTACCTGCTAAAAAATATTCAGCAGGTGTATTGATCATGTCTTCACCCTCCAACAGATTCTGAAACATAGACATACTTACCGGCGTTCAACAATCGTCATATTCCTTGACCTTAAGGCGGCATTCGATTCCGTCGACCAAGAGGTATTATGGCGATGTTTGACTGTGAAGGGAATGCCGGGAAAATACATTGCAATGATCAAGGCACTCTACTCGAACTCATGCAGCCAGCCAGGTGGGAGCTTACGACGAGTTGTCATCAGAAGTGGTGACAACTAGTAGTGTCCGTCAGGGATGCCCACTGTCCCCGTTTCTATTCGATTTCATCATAGATGTACTGATGGAGTTAACCTTAGCTGACTTCAGCGACTCAGGGATTGACCTGTTACCAGACAATAACGTCGTTGACTTAGAATATGCAGACAGTATTGTCGTCCCTGCTAGGTGAAGACGCTTGCAAAACGCAGAGTTCCCTGAACATCTTGACAGGCAGCAATCTGCGAATGTTTGGCATGCGATTCGCTCGCGAGAGAGTGTTGACCACTTCACTTGTTTGGGAAGTTGCACCAGCCCCAGTGGACAGATTGCTCTCAGCATGGCGGGTACAGAAGGCTTGTTCGGCACATAGCAGTTTAAGCCATCTCTGGCGTAGACGTGATATGTGGCTGACTGTCGACCAACGGAGGTGTGTACTACTCAGCATTTCGCTCTGTGCTCCTTTATGACTGGCTGAGAGACATGGTCATTGAGAGTGGAAGACATGAAAAGGCTGGCTAGCTGTCTTCGATCCTAGGTGTTGGCGTTCTCTCCCCCGTGTTAGGCTGTACAATATGGTAAGTTATATTGAGGTTAGGCTTCGGTGGAGTGCTAGGTAAGGTGGGGAAATCAATCGACGTGTTTGTGAAGCTACACTGACTGAGATTGTTAGGACATATGTTACGCATGCCTAGCCATCATCTGTCGCCTTCCTCGACAATGGGCGATATTAGCTAGCTGACATAGGATCAGTTTGGAAGAGACCGCTACCAGTGGTCAAACGAAAACATGGCCTTATCAGTCAGTGAGATCCACAACAGTTAGTTTAAGCCAGCCACGTAGGAAGGTGTAGACTTCCTTCCTGGTTGGGGTCCTCGGGACGGTAAAGATCAATGGCTGGAGACAATCAGTGATGTGGCTCAAAATCGTTCTCAATGGCTGACTCAGATGCATCCACTCCTTGTGACTTATAATACCCAATAGAACTATATTGTTCTTCGATATTACTATTCTTTTTGGCTCATATCTCTGTTTACTGTCTCTATTTTGCATTTCTTTTAACTTTCTTCTCTTGCTTTATGTGCTACATTGAGTGTGGCAACTCGAAGTGCTGCACATCTGTGCAAAGTTTTTGTTGAAACCAGTCAGTCAGCTGACTATCTTTTCACTCTATAACATTAATGTCCCATTTAAAATACAACAGATTGCAATTAATTCCTCATCAATTATCGTTTACACAGTACATCAAAATTGTATCCAACATGTAGTTAACAACATATTACCAGTTTTATGATGTCTAGACAGGGCAGAAATTGATCACAGAAATGAAGATAAGAATTTTAGGATAAAACAATCTGTCAGTTTTACGTTACCCCTGCAGTCTCGAAGAGCAGAGTGAATTTTGCACTCTGAAACACTTTATTTTTCAAACTAGTGAAATCTCAACATTTACTGCGTAATTTTCAAACAAATAACTTCATTCTCAAACGGCATTATACATAATTATTATTATTATCATCATCATGATTTAACAGAGTGAAGATATCTGGAATTATAGTGAACAGGGTATAATTTTATATTTTGTTTTTATTTTACATAACAAATCACGTTCGAATCATCATCATTCACCAGTGTAAATAAAACGGACATTTTAAAAATGCGTAGAAATATAAATCTATCTAGATTGCTTGACACCAATTTTTCTGTAAATTTCTGCATCCGTCAATAGGGTGTTTAAATATGAAAATGTTCATTCAAGATAAACCTTACCAAGAGTAACCTGTTTGTTGTTGGACAAATTTGACTTACTAAGAACTGTTAATTGGTTATTATTATTCATAACTCTGTATCACTCACTGTTTGTTATATCGAACAAACAGACATAAAAAGGAATTGTATTGATGGAACAGCTGACATTTTCACACAAAGATACATTCATTGACTGGATTATTGTGAATTGGTTTTCATGAAACCCGAACACACTCATCCTAAACCCTTGCGAGACCTGTACGGCATGCAGTATCATTCTGTTGCACAAGCTTTCGCAGCTAACGTTTTGTACAAATATAAGGTTTCCGGGGGGTTTTGTGTTCTCTTATCTAAGTGGTTTAATTGCGAAGCCTTCATTTTCTTTCTAGACAACAACACATGATCCATCAATAATATAAAGTAAATGCTATGATATTTAGACGACTAGAAGTGGGGATGGTTTTTGTGTCTACTTATCATTAGCTTTAGGTACACTTATAATTGTTATATCTCTTCGTGATTGTCATTTATTTGATTGTTTCAAATACACTTTCCTATCCCTAGACTTATCTCAATGCGTTAGAACGTCATTGGGGTTGGCTAATACAATTAACGTATTGTTTCGAAGCCCATATAGAACAAGGAACTCGTTTCCAAGGCTTTTTCAATGATGTTAGACAATGTGAACTTATGCTGACTACAGCATTAGAGGAATTGCGTTCGTATTATGAATCAACTCTGAAGGCGACAACAAGTGAACGAGGTGAAGCACTACTGAAACAATTACAAGTAAGTGTTTCTTACTGTAAATGAATTCATTTTATTTATATAGTTATTGTTCTTTTGGGGGGTGTAAATTTCCTCTGAGGAAGAAAAATAGTAGATACACTATTTTCAATGAGTAATTAAACTGACGTGTTATATGTAGTTCTTTCTGTGTAATAAAGTTGCAGAAAAGTCTGATAAAGGAATACAATAACCAGTGTAAAATATTATGCAGGCTTCTTCGTAGGTCAAAAGTTCCTGCATTCAGTTTTATAATCTAAGGTTTATATTCCATTCTGTATTAATCAGATTGGTTTTCATTTTGCAGTGAGTTTTTATATCTTTAATTAAAGATCGGAATCTAGCAGTTTTCGCCATTATCTTCTGGTGTTTTCTTCTCCGTCCTACTTACAGTTGAGTAACTTTCTAACGTACAGATAACCTTTTCTTTTACTTTGTAAATTGTTTACCCAGCATAGTTGCTTAGGAAAGTTCAGCTATAACTGGCAATCTGAGACATAAAATACACTATGTGAATAATAACAATGATGCAAGATCACAAGAATTCAAGTTAGTCGATTGATTGTATTACACCGTGAACTGTGTGACGTAGCTAATAGTACACGGTCCTGTATTTCCTTGGTCCAGTAGGTGGATATCAGATGCGCCGGTTATATATTAAATTCAGTCATCGCCACTCCATAATGCTTTTATACCAAAATGAATAGCTATAGCCTCGTTGATTACTTGTCCCGCTACGGGTATATACAGTTGGGCATTGAATAAGTGTATATCAGCTGTTAGTTCAATACAATTCCTTACTAAATAAGTTCATTTTATATAACACAGTGGTACAGTACAGTATTAATTACTGGATGAAGTTTCAAGCGCAATTTATCGCTCATAATCATGTCAGTGTATTCACATGACCTGATAACTTGCTTCATATGGCCTTATTTCCAGCTATTTTTTATCTCAATTATCCATTTCAAGGGTAGGTGTTGCGTCATTCCGACTATATATGTTCGGTGTTGATTCGACGAACAAAGATTCAGCGATTACTTCTCCTCTCTCTCTTCACTTCACTATATTAGTTTTGCAAGTGTGAATGCGTTGAAATGGCTGAGTTTTTTAAAAATCTTAACGGGGTCAGTCATTCTAAACCTAGCCAAATTCCTATGTTCTGATAATCTAGGTGTCCGTAATCTACTAGCTTGATTTATGTAATTGAAGTCACAGTCATTACACGGTACTTGGTAAATCGTATTAGTGCAATATTTTGTTTGAAGCATACTCAATTTTCAGTCAGTTGAATAAACTAGTCGAAATTTTACCGGTGAAATTTTTTCTAAGCAGAATTTAATCCTCCATCTCTTTCTTTGCTTCAGGAGCTGTATACTCGAGTAATCGGTCAAGAAGCATTCATTTTCCAATTGGTTGACTTAAGTCAAGAAATTGTGCCACCGATTCCAAATAATATAAATTCACAGGATGACAATACCTCGACACTAATTGGTCGTCGTATACGTGTTCTCTGTTCATTTCAACCGAAAGATTATTTTATAGATAGTCATCAGTATTTTTCTGGTGATATGCTGTCAGTTAATTCTGTTATCAATACAAATAATAAATCAATTGTAAATAGTAGTAGCATTATAGAACCTATATACTGGCCAATCGGTGATGCTACTGGCTATTTTGATAAAGGTGATTTTCTAACAGTATTGGAGAATCCAGAAGATAACAAACTACAAGTACGCTCATTTTGTTCTTATGCCTTTCATTTTGCAAGCAAGAGTGATAATAGTTATTATTATTATTATTATTATTATTATTATTATTATTATTATTATATTCAGCTTATTAGTTCTTTTAGTGTCCGACTGGTGTCAAGTTTGATTTTATTTTATATCTCCCTATGTCTAGATTAGCTGGAGAAAGACCCTAAAATCTATGGTTCACTAAAGAGACGTTTCAACCGCATTAATGAGTGACAGACCAGGTTGAAACAGGGATCCAGTCTCCTTAATTTTTTCATTGGTTCTTCAGATGGTGTTAGCTTGTATATTCTCTGTTATATCAAGTAACTAGCCAGGATTCCTGAAAGTTTTGGAGACGCGTCACTGACAATCCCATATTTTGTAACGTTCAAGCTGATCTTCTAATGATTAGATTGACACTATCCAACTAATGAACACTATTGATTATTGTTGGAAGTTACCAGTTAGTTATACGAATTAGTAGTAAGTAGTGCGATGTGTAACTCATTAATATTATGTTCAACACTATCCGATTTCTGTAGCTTTTTGCCACCACGAGTAGTAGGTGCTATTCACCACTAAGTTAATGGATATGTTCGTATTTTGTTGTCACTTGCTTTATTACGAGGATTTTAGGAAGCTCACCTACTGTTTTAGATACATAGCACATGGGAGGTGTTCGGGTCTCTGTCTTAACACCTTTTTAGGCAAAGGTATTTACAAATTACTGTTAACCAATGCTAAACAGCTCACAGACCATTAGCTCACGTTCATCTCAAACCATCATTCTGCAAGTGTAGCTGGTCTCCATCTTATTCTAAGGTTTCTTTTTCCGACTTAAATACTCCTCAGAAAACAGAAACTTTGTCTGAACCACATTGGTTGTCTGCCGACTGAGATTTTTCATGGTCATTTGGATGACTTTTCGTAGCGTACTTCGAAATGACTCATAATGCCACACGTAGATTCTCTTTCAGTTATCTTGGGGATTCTAAACATTTCTATTTATCTCCATTTGACTGTCTACTCTGACATGGTTATTATGTCTCTTCACTGTAATGTCATCCTGTATCTCTCCACTTCTTTTTTGTGTGGTGTTCTAATTTTTAGCAACTTGAAGTGGTTTACCTTTACTCATATATTTATTCATCTTCCTAATATTTATTGGAATGCATTTCCTAAATGTCCACCAGTTGCTTTGAAAATTGTACGAATTAGAGATAGTTTTTGTTTTCATTTGTTACTATCATGTTTAGTTCTTATTCCCACCCTAATCTTTTTTAATATTATTATTATTATTAATAGGTTCGTACACCTAATGGATCTACTTTGACTGTACCTGTGACATGTTTCTTGCCATGTTGGCCGTGTAATGAAGCGATGGACCGAGCTAAGCGTATTATATCAACCCTACAACACTTTAAAACATGTTGGTCTGAATTGAATCTACGGTTACGTGGACATTTATTAACTGTGGCAATGTCTAAACTTATTGAAACTCCCACTCAGTACGATATTCCTCAACAAATGGATATACGAAAAGTAGGCTTAATTTGGACATATATTTTTTTTTCGTTGTTGTTATCGTGTAACCAGGTATTCAATAATTTTATGTGTAACTGAAACAAATTTTAAGGGATATTACAGTTTTTTATACTTCATCAACTTTATTATAATCACTGAAAGTACATTTCATTCCCCGTCGAATCAATTTCAATGTCTTTCATAACAAATCTTCATTTATTAATGATGTGTTAACTGTTTGCAATGACGGTGAGCTGTTTTTTTTCGACACTTAACTCACTCAAGAACACTAAATTGCATCTTATGTACTTATCATGTGACTAGGGTTGAATAGCTATACTCCAGTGTAGCTCTCCGTCGATGAGCTTATTCCCTTCTACCGTAGAGTTGCTGGCTTATCCCTACAAGAGTAAGGTAAAGTTATTTTCAGTACTTTTTATTGGATTTATAGTTATCGATGGTTCACCTGAAAGATTTAAAGGAAATCCAAATAGGTGGTCAGAAAAATTTTGGGAAGAATCAGTGATACATGAATCTACTTCAGACATTGGCAACCATAGAAACTCGGCTTTTTTAGTCTTCTAAGAAGTCTTGAAGTCAGGGACTCTGAAGATCATCATATGTTTTATATTTCCACAGGGGGAGTCTTTAATATTATTATGAACTTAATGGTTCTGCAGCGTGGAGCGTGTTGTTTGCATGCTAATTGATTTGCAATATCATTGTATTTGAGGTGGCGAATTAATACTGGATCTTAGGTTTTTCTTAACTGTGTTAGATTATGGATCAGAAAAAGGCTTTTGTAAACCTACCATAATACTGTCCCAGTATTACTCAGAAGACACAAAAGACAAGAGTAAGTAGGGGAAATGAGTTGTGTTGAAATTTAGTCCCTTTTCTAATGTATTAGAAATGAGTTGTGTATTGGACAAATAAACTGTATTCATTATCTGACTTTATTAATGTAGATAAGCAAAAACACAGTTTTTGTTTAACGAAGAAATTTTTTTTCACTGTTAATGGGTGAGTGAGTGAGTCACCAGAATAAGAATGTCGATAATTTTTCTTCGCTTAAAATCTCACCTTATATGTAGTCAGTAAAGTTCTACACGTCAAGAAAATTTCCATTTTTTATTTTAGAGTGATTAAATTATAAGTACATACAAATCCCACTTCAAACCCTAATGATTATTCAAAGTTATACTAGTACTTCTAATTGGCTTACTATAATGTATGTGACTTACATCAATAAATAATAATGTTCACTGTTTGCTAGTCTTGTAACATTTCGAGTGAATCCAATGTTTAATGTGGTTAAAGTAAGTTAAAACACGAATGGAGAGTTCATTATCAGTAGAATGGAAGATGTAGTTCTTCCACCTAGACTGTAGGACTCATACTCTTACGACGTAAAAAGTAGCCTAAAGCAGTATGTTTAAGCGTTTTACAAAACTGATATTAGCAATGACAACTCATTACTACTGCCACTATCATAAAATTTAATGCAAATCAAGTGACTGTGTTTACCACTTTTATGTTTTATTCAAAATACTACGACACTGACACATTTTGCCAGTTGTCAGTTGTCACTGTTTTGACTAAAGAGCTGGATTCTTGTAAAACCCAACGTAGCTTCATAATTGGGATTGGTAGAGGACACCTTTTGTATGGAAGATATACACTAGTTCCCAATTATATTCAATGTTTGCATGTGCTTTTTTGTTTGTTTGTTTCACCATGTTTTTCTCAATAAAATTTCACATGGTATTGGTCTGATAAAAGATTTAACATCGTAGTAGGTATTCTTCTCTCTCCTTTTCTCTCTTGTTCTAATGTTTCTGTTTATTTCTTTTTCTCACGAAAGCCTAAATACATATTGTACTTCTTCTTTCTATTCAATATGGTAAACATTTCTTTACATTAAGATGGATAACTGTTCAGAATATATTTTGATATAATCTGATCAATATTCTTATCCCTTTTTTCAAATTAATGAAATAGTAACGGAGTTCATTGTGTGTGTGTGTGTGTGTGTGTGCGTAGGCGTGTTCGTTTTAGCATTGCTAGTTGAATAAGCATTTTACATGCGTATCTGTGTATTAAACTATTACATATAGAAATAACTAATTGATTTTTACCAGTAAATTATAAAAAAGTAACACTTGATAGATTATAAAAGCTACTTCAATAAATATTTGTCTAAAAAACTCATCGTTTCCAAGTGGAGTATAGGGTTTCTACCTCTAAGCTTTGATGTTTCAGTAGCGGTTGAATCGTATTTACGGCGTGGAGTTGCTAACCTACCTGACTCCTAAATTTCCCTCTTCTCCGGGCCTACCAGCAGCTAGTCAAGGTATAGGAGTGTTTTGTCGGCTGGGCATGGGACTCGGACCACGTGCGTGGTTAGCGAATATTCTACCGCTGAACCACCGACCCACATGAATCAATCACAGTTTGATTTCAGTTTGTATTATTATTATTATTATTATTATTATTATTATTATTATTGAGTCAACTTTATTAAATGTGATAGACTATTCATGACGACGCGTTGATAGTGTATAGTTTTAAAAAAAAGCTGCATATTTTCCAGGTGAATGTCAGCTTCCTTAATAGGAGGTATTAATTTATTAGAAATTAATTATTCAGCAATTGTTTTCAATAAATTCTTCTTCAGGCTCTACAATTATAAATCCATTAATTTAAGCATATAATAGCCAGTAAGGGCAAATTAGAATCATATCAGAAATGTATTGGGGAACAAGTATAAGTAAGATGGGATGGAACAATAGTCAGTTCGTTTTGAATATGCTTGGTCAATGAGAACATTATATATATAATACTGGTTTCGAGGGTGAGTGTAATCAGTGGTGTGCGAGGCAATATGAATACTACAGAAAATAAACCAACGAATGGTGTGGACTAGACATAAGTTCAAGGTTGAAAATAACGACAGTAATAATGATTGTAAAATAATAACGATGATGTGGTGTAAACTTAAAAGTACTATTGGTGAATAATCGTCAAATCTTAATAATAATAATAATCATAAATTAAGTGAAGTGGAATGGACAGGATTTTGTAAATACGATAACAAGTTAGAAATATGAATAATATTCAGTGATGTCTTCAAAAAAGTAAAATAGTAGATGGAACAAATCACATGACGCTATATACTAATGATTGGCTGATATGAGTGGTTGAGTACCAACCACAGCAACCAGTAGTGCTTTCTAACCAGATTAAAGCTATCCAAAAACACTGGACAGTCGTTTTGCTCGTTCGGGGCCGAGCTCATCAGTGGTGCATCAGATTTAACTCAGCTCAAAGGGCCAAATCACATTTAGCTATTTACAAATGTGTGTTGTTTCTCCTTACCAACTGTTAATCGCAATAAGGGTATGGTATTGATCAGAACTTTTCTTGGCAAAATTTTCGCCGCATAAATACACCACTCATTTCATTTCATTTCATTTGAATGCATATTTTTTTCACAGGATTAGCACATCTTGATACTGGCTACTTTTACTATGCATGTCTCATGGTAAGATGTACCACTTATTAGTAAGAGTATCAACCGTAATAACAATCATAATTTAAGTTGTAATGATTGGGTTCAGTTCACCAATTCAAACTGAAAACAACATCAATAGCATACTACTACTACTATATTAATGATTATTGCAACCACATGATAATAGTGTATGTAGTATGTATGTATGTATGTGTGTGTGTGTTTAGAAGGCGGTTATGCGCAGAACCTATTGATAGGTAAATAGGCTGAAGTATTTTTAAGCTCATACTTAATGCACAAGCACACACGCATTCATGTTGTTTATCCAACTGTGACATTTAGAAAAGAAAGTATTGTAGTTCACTGATAAGTGAATAGAATTATACTCTAGAAATGCACTTCTGTGTTCTCTCCTTTCTTTCCCTCCTAACATAAAACAATCAGTATTAAAACATAATATTTTTTTTCTATAAAAGAAGAATGGATTTTGTGTCATTAAACTTTTCACTTTTTGGCTTTTACTTACTGGCTTTATGAGTACGTGTTTGTGTGTTTGGTGAAACGGCATAGCGGTAAGACATTCGGAATAATATTTGTCAGTGTGTTTGTGATCAATTAAGAGTTAGAATAAGCATATTGACTGACAAACCCTAAGCGCTAATCGACATTTACCGATCAACTTTACACCTCGGTAACTCAACACAAATTTGGTGTTTAATAGTGTGGTTCACTTGTTGAAAAATCTGATATAGTTTTACTGGTAACGTTTTCCACTGCGAATCTGAGAGACACATGTTTAAGTCACTGAAGAAGTTGCGAATGTACTGTTGATTGTTAATAAGAAAGGGATATATGTCGGAGAGGGGCTACCTGTCTTCTGGTATCAAACTAAAAGTTTTCACTATTAAAGCTGAAAGTAAGTGGGTAGTGTTAACAGTAGCGTAATTGTACAGCACCTCAAGATTGGCATATTTGTGAGAAGGTTTAAGTTTGACGGCATAGAATTATACTCTGTTGAGTATTTTTAAGCTTATCAATCAAGTAAGCATCGTGTAGTTTCTAATCCCTCTTCCTTCTTGGATTAGATCAGCTTCTGATAAAAAAAAACACCTTGGTATCAAAACGAAGTTTACCAAAGAAGGTTCGTGATCACACTCCTACCTCTTAACTCTTGATTAACTTCATATATATTCCTATGAAAAGTGCAAATACATTACGCGATTCAGACAAATTATCTCTTCTTATTGCTTTGTCTAAAAAAAATGCCGCAGAAATGTTTGACTCCTCAAAAGCACATACACCCGACCAATATCTTTTATTCTGTGCTATTTTTTTTTTACATCTTTTGCTTTCCAGGTGATTTATCGTGATGCTGAAAGGTATTGCTTAGAACTCCAACTAGCCAATGTACCTCCTTCAGAAGTGGAAAACTTTAAGCAACATTTTGTACTGTTTCAAAATAATTGTATTGAACAATTAAATAATGTCCCAACAACTAATAGTAATGATGATAATAATAAGGGATTACAAATTCAGTCCTCTGAGCTGTATACAATTACTGATGAATTGAGAACAATATTGAACACACTGACAGAACGTCTGAGAGAATCCAGTTCTTTACCTTTACCAGGCAGATCAACCGATATAGAGGCGCGCATTAAAGATCATAAGGTTAGTATTTCACCATTCCGTGTCAACACAAACTACTTTTTTGTTTCTGAAGCTTATTTGGTTGATAATCATCAATTATTAGCAAAGCAGCTGAGAAGTACTCTTGAATAGCTTGCTATCACCTCCATATTGAATTATGCCATTAGCTTTTACCACAAAATCAAACACAGATGAGGTCGCTCGTATTGATAAGAAGTATCGAATGCATTTAAACAGCGAGTCAGTCTGCGTACTTAGGTAAAAGCAAAGCAACATGTATACAGTACAATACAGTAAAGCTCTGAAGGCAAGCTGTTGAAGTTTGTCGACTAGTTGACGTAGGACCTAGCAGTATTAAGTGGCACTCCACGTTGTCACACCTTATTTCTGTATATCATTTAGGGGATAGTAAAAATGGGAATGAAGAAATAAGGGTATTCATAGAATTCTTCACCCTTAAAGTTATCCAAGATGTTATACAGGTAATTAAATTTCATTTCCTTACATATTATACCGCGTTGTAATTCCTCTATCGCTTCCATCAATGTACTTTATGAATATGCATTTGATTTAAGCATACAGCATCATCAGTAGAAGTTTCCAGCTGGCATGCTAACAGATAGTGCTATTTCAAGTCATCAGTTGATAAGAACAGCGTCAACAATAGAGCGTTAATAGAACCTCTTAGATAGTAACATTTAGCTTTGATACACCGGTAAAAGATATGGGAAGTAAAAGTGCAGTATATTCATCTCACTTCTGTTGAACAATTTTTGAAAAAATAAAACAATGTGTAATCAGTTATAAGATATTTTTGCATGCCTAAATAACAAATAAAATATGTACTTTTCTCATTCCATGTTGTTCTTTTGTCTTTATGTACTATATAGTACCATGTCCTTGTATTATTATTTAGGTGAGAAGAATAGTTATTAAATATGAAGTATTTATACAGATTATATTTATCCACCGGATTATTTCTTTCAAACATTGATTTAGTGTGTTAAGACAATTATCTCACGTACAATACAGAAGTTAGGGATTAGGTACTGTGTCGTCTATGATGAAATTAGTTATTGAGATTATGACCCATCATTGGATAATGCAGTCGAAGCATATATTACTAATACCTCAGAGTTACATGTCTTGTCGCCGAACGTTATACAAAGGAAAAGTAGGTCGCTCAAGCAGCTGTAGGGTGTTTTGAACTGATTCACTTCAGATTAGTACGGCCGGACACGAGCGGAATGACTGCCCGGTAAGCACCTCTATCTGGTTTTCATGATCTACTAGCTGACATGAGTGGTTTTCAGCTAGTTACACCATTCAATAATGTATACCATTATGTTATTTTGAGTAAATATTCCTTAAATTTCCGAATAATCAGTGTTATAGAAATTATATAGTTGAGTGGTAGTTACTCACAACGTTGGGTTTTACCAAACTATCACCTCCATCTGACACTAAATCCATCTAACTTGTTTGTTATTATTTATTCTTTTTCCCTACCTTCTATTGCGAACTGTGACGATTTGCATTGTCGTATCTTTTTCTGAGAGGTATATGTCTGCCTGCACAAAGTTTTCATTGATGATATGGGATTTTTTTTCCTGCATTCTCATTTATCGTTTAACTTAGTATTCCATAATGAAAGACAACTATTTTAAGAGTGACATTTCTCGGCATGCATGCGTTTCTAACATCCTCTTTTATCGACTGTTGATTTTTATGTCCATAATAGTAACTTACTTTACACACCCTTTTTTTAAATATATCACTTTAGGAATGGTCTCACGCCTTAGCTCGTGTTTTGGCACAATGTACTGAATTGGAACAGCACCTTAATCAGTCACTGGTGGCAAATGAACACGATAAACCTTCTAATGGATTATCGGATAGCATACTGAGTACTAGTCTGTTTGCCTTACACAGAGCAGCTAGCGAATTAGCTTTAACAGGTCATGAGTTCGGCTGTCGTTTAGCGGATGCTGATGCATGGATTGCTCGCTTAGAACAGACGGATCAAATGTTGATGGATTGTGAACTATGCTTATTAGGATGCGCTGTACGTGTACATGGACTTTTGCAACTAGATGATCCGAACACTGATCCAAGCAGTTCTACAGATCCAGATGGTCTTCGTGTCGCTGTAGTTGAAAGAGCTCACAGAGATTTAAAGGTAAACTTTGTTATTCTTTTTTTGTTTGTTATTATTGTAATAACAGTGTAAATTGTCACAACAATTTCACTTTTTTATCCACTTTTTCGTATAATAAGGTGGAAATTTCACGCATCATAGGAACAGAGATTATTGAAGATATAGATTCTCTTTGTGTTGTGCATTCATTTAATCAGGAATTGTACAGTCTTTTTCAGGAGTTAATGATCTGCAGAAATCACTACTTTTTTGTAATTCTAATTGAGCTCATTAATTTGAAATACTCGTCGGAAATCTAGTTAGTTAACATTAAATATTGACAAAATAATTATAAGGTTGAGTATACATTTTATATTTAGCAACCAACTACAAATATTTGTGAACTCAGCAATCATATGCATATTCAGACACTGAATCCAGTTTAGGGATTTACCTGCTATCGGGGGACAGCCTCGTTGATTTAGAGTAAGCAGTTGATATCATCGTTCTAAGTGAAGACAATGAACACCTGAAGCCGAGGTTTTAATTTGTTTGCCATGCAATTCACCCCTGTCGAATTTAAGATGATGCTGGAGGACTGGTCTGCACCGGATTAATAGTTTAAAGATCGGGAGTGAAATGGTTGAAATTGTTGATTACGCTACTTACTTAGGAAGTTACGTCAGCTGTAATCGACTAATTGCTGACGACATCTCAGCAGGAATACAAAATTCTTGTATTGCATTTGCCAACTTGTGCCATTCATTTCCTTATATGAATGCACGCAGACAACTGCGAGCACCAGATTGACTTGACAAATGTACAGACGAAATTCGAAAAATACTAGGGAATTTCTGGGAGCCTGGTACTCAGATCAATCTGAAATCGACAGATACATTAACACCAAGATAATCAATACTAATACAAGTTATCTTACGTTTGAGAAAATCTCCAGGAACAACCAATCACGTTCAAGCCCACCAGGAGAGATGGCTAATAAAATCATGGGGTGTTCTAAAACGTCACGTCAGGTAGAAATATGCATCGAGAGTGTTGTCCCAAAAGACAATGAAAACTTTTAAATTAAATCATACGGCTAATAGAACACTACACTAATAGTCAGTCATGTGTTAACAGCTTGGGAAATGACCTATCTGCCGAGACCCTAGATGGGTAGGCACTGTCTGTTTGGAATTCAAGTACCTAAGCCAATCATCCACACTTTCTTAAGCACACGATCAAGACAGGATATTGTTCCAGCCGAAGAGGTCACACTGAACCCTTTTTCAATTTTATTTATCAGTTTATGTGTTGAGAAATTTATCTGATTTCCCTTGTCTTAAATGCTATTGAAGCGTTCACCTATGAACAGTCCAAAGTGGTTCGAACTGATCCACCAGAATTTTAAAGCTAACTGAATCCATAAACGATTGCTGTGTTCATTGTTTTATAGGTAAATAACTTGTATGCTTTAATTAACAAACATATATCTATCATTATAATTATTAATATTATGTTCATCACCAGTTATCACTATTACTAATACTACTGTAGTCCGTAGCCGAACGTCTCCCACAAATCCGATCGGACTTGGATTCGCTTAGTCAACAGTTAACTCGGTTTATGGCCTCCAGTGGAACCTACGAAGATACACTTAGCCGTGACCCTAATTCCTGTGAAAACTCAAATTTAATAAAGTTGAATCTGTCACTACCTGCAGATAATCACCACTTAGAAGCGAATCTTGCCCACTCTGAACATCGTTTAGCAGAGGCAACTAAAGAAGTTGAACAAGAGTAAGTTAACAATGAATTAAATATTTTTATTTATATCCTTTCTTTTGGTTCTACAACAGTAGTTAATTGGGTGTAATGAAAATTTTAAGAATTAAAAGTTACTGATCACACTCATCGTGGAAATGAAATGTGAACAGTCTACAAAACAAAGGGCGGTTTGTGATTACCGTTGGTGATATAAGGAAATTCTTTTCTAGATAGCATGTTTGCAATCTCTCAAACTCAAGCTTATCGTTCACAACTTTCTTCAACTTTATCTCTGCTCTTCATTTCAAAAACTCATTGTGCGCGTAAACTAATTGCGTAAAAGTCGCAATTGGAAAGTCTGCTTCAACAACACTGTCGAATGTCAAGTTTAATCACGAGCTGACTTTATTTAGAGAGCTGTTAAAAATCAAAGAATACCGCTTCTTTGTAGTTTGGGGCTCTTCAGTAGTACGCAGCCATGACCCCGTCAGGGATCGAACCCGGAACCTTGTTGATCACTCAACTACTGGGGTGGAATCCAATGGTGGACTTGCCACATTTAGCGCAATATCGAATATGGTATGAAAATATAAGAAATAAGAAATTCTGGTTAAAATTAGATGTCTATAGGACTTTATCTTCCGGTTTTCATGGTGTATAGAAGACAAGAGAACCAATTGTAGAGCTCTGAAATACCACCATATATTCAGTTGCTACTCTGAGTGGATGCCTAAGATCACCACTAATGAAGTGTTACATTCATCTGCTTATTAAACTATGTTTATAATTTCAAATGTTCATTATTTGGTTGTGGTGAAGAGAATATATCTACCCACAGGATTAGGCATTTACCGAGGTAGTTGCAGTAGATGGTATAAAAATCCTACGAGGTCCTATAATGGAGTATCTGCTGTGTCGTAGACATTCCTTAGATAGTGCTCAGTGCTTAACACCTGTCGAAAGACAGTAGAACAAGAAAATGTGAGTCATGATTTATCAATTTGATAAATTCTTGTTTCACATCTGACAGTCCAAGTGATGAATTCGTTAGCTCATGATGAAATCCTGTAACCAATCAAATCCCTACAAACCAACACTTGAAAACCAATGAGATGCTCACTAGCGACTTGCCCTATTCAGGTGGGTAGTCACCTGGGGTTCTAGTGAGAAGTCGTGACCAGTAGGGTGCAGCAGGTCGGGCGTGAGGACAAATACTCGCCGAAGACATTGGCTAGGGGTCGCGCTATGTCGTGAATTGGCAGAAGTTAGAATTCATGGACCATTGGATCGGGTCCCAGTGGCTTAATGGTATACGAGCTCGCCTTGTAACCAGAAGGTCCTGGGTTCGAATCCCGGTGGGTGCGTACTGCTGAAGAGTCCCAAACTAGGACGAAACAGCTGTCCAGTACTCCCAGGTTTTCCAATGGTTCTCTAACTGATGTCAGCTCATGATGAAATCCTGTAACCAATCAAATCCCTACAAACCAACACTTGAAAACCAATGAGATGCTCACTAGCGACTTGCCCTATTCAGGTGGGTAGTCACCTGGGGTTCTAGTGAGAAGTCGTGACCAGTAGGGTGCAGCAGGTCGGGCGTGAGGACAAATACTCGCCGAAGACATTGGCTAGGGGTCGCGCTATGTCGTGAATTGGCAGAAGTTAGAATTCATGGACCATTGGATCGGGTCCCAGTGGCTTAATGGTATACGAGCTCGCCTTGTAACCAGAAGGTCCTGGGTTCGAATCCCGGTGGGTGCGTACTGCTGAAGAGTCCCAAACTAGGACGAAACAGCTGTCCAGTACTCCCAGGTTTTCCAATGGTTCTCTAACTGATGTCAGCTCATGATGAAATCCTGTAACCAATCAAATCCCTACAAACCAACACTTGAAAACCAATGAGATGCTCACTAGCGACTTGCCCTATTCAGGTGGGTAGTCACCTGGGGTTCTAGTGAGAAGTCGTGACCAGTAGGGTGCAGCAGGTCGGGCGTGAGGACAAATACTCGCCGAAGACATTGGCTAGGGGTCGCGCTATGTCGTGAATTGGCAGAAGTTAGAATTCATGGACCATTGGATCGGGTCCCAGTGGCTTAATGGTATACGAGCTCGCCTTGTAACCAGAAGGTCCTGGGTTCGAATCCCGGTGGGTGCGTACTGCTGAAGAGTCCCAAACTAGGACGAAACAGCTGTCCAGTACTCCCAGGTTTTCCAATGGTTCTCTAACTGATGTCAGCTCATGATGAAATCCTGTAACCAATCAAATCCCTACAAACCAACACTTGAAAACCAATGAGATGCTCACTAGCGACTTGCCCTATTCAGGTGGGTAGTCACCTGGGGTTCTAGTGAGAAGTCGTGACCAGTAGGGTGCAGCAGGTCGGGCGTGAGGACAAATACTCGCCGAAGACATTGGCTAGGGGTCGCGCTATGTCGTGAATTGGCAGAAGTTAGAATTCATGGACCATTGGATCGGGTCCCAGTGGCTTAATGGTATACGAGCTCGCCTTGTAACCAGAAGGTCCTGGGTTCGAATCCCGGTGGGTGCGTACTGCTGAAGAGTCCCAAACTAGGACGAAACAGCTGTCCAGTACTCCCAGGTTTTCCAATGGTTCTCTAACTGATGTCAGCTCATGATGAAATCCTGTAACCAATCAAATCCCTACAAACCAACACTTGAAAACCAATGAGATGCTCACTAGCGACTTGCCCTATTCAGGTGGGTAGTCACCTGGGGTTCTAGTGAGAAGTCGTGACCAGTAGGGTGCAGCAGGTCGGGCGTGAGGACAAATACTCGCCGAAGACATTGGCTAGGGGTCGCGCTATGTCGTGAATTGGCAGAAGTTAGAATTCATGGACCATTGGATCGGGTCCCAGTGGCTTAATGGTATACGAGCTCGCCTTGTAACCAGAAGGTCCTGGGTTCGAATCCCGGTGGGTGCGTACTGCTGAAGAGTCCCAAACTAGGACGAAACAGCTGTCCAGTACTCCCAGGTTTTCCAATGGTTCTCTAACTGATGTCAGCTCATGATGAAATCCTGTAACCAATCAAATCCCTACAAACCAACACTTGAAAACCAATGAGATGCTCACTAGCGACTTGCCCTATTCAGGTGGGTAGTCACCTGGGGTTCTAGTGAGAAGTCGTGACCAGTAGGGTGCAGCAGGTCGGGCGTGAGGACAAATACTCGCCGAAGACATTGGCTAGGGGTCGCGCTATGTCGTGAATTGGCAGAAGTTAGAATTCATGGACCATTGGATCGGGTCCCAGTGGCTTAATGGTATACGAGCTCGCCTTGTAACCAGAAGGTCCTGGGTTCGAATCCCGGTGGGTGCGTACTGCTGAAGAGTCCCAAACTAGGACGAAACAGCTGTCCAGTACTCCCAGGTTTTCCAATGGTTCTCTAACTGATGTCAGCTCATGATGAAATCCTGTAACCAATCAAATCCCTACAAACCAACACTTGAAAACCAATGAGATGCTCACTAGCGACTTGCCCTATTCAGGTGGGTAGTCACCTGGGGTTCTAGTGAGAAGTCGTGACCAGTAGGGTGCAGCAGGTCGGGCGTGAGGACAAATACTCGCCGAAGACATTGGCTAGGGGTCGCGCTATGTCGTGAATTGGCAGAAGTTAGAATTCATGGACCATTGGATCGGGTCCCAGTGGCTTAATGGTATACGAGCTCGCCTTGTAACCAGAAGGTCCTGGGTTCGAATCCCGGTGGGTGCGTACTGCTGAAGAGTCCCAAACTAGGACGAAACAGCTGTCCAGTACTCCCAGGTTTTCCAATGGTTCTCTAACTGATGTCAGCTCATGATGAAATCCTGTAACCAATCAAATCCCTACAAACCAACACTTGAAAACCAATGAGATGCTCACTAGCGACTTGCCCTATTCAGGTGGGTAGTCACCTGGGGTTCTAGTGAGAAGTCGTGACCAGTAGGGTGCAGCAGGTCGGGCGTGAGGACAAATACTCGCCGAAGACATTGGCTAGGGGTCGCGCTATGTCGTGAATTGGCAGAAGTTAGAATTCATGGACCATTGGATCGGGTCCCAGTGGCTTAATGGTATACGAGCTCGCCTTGTAACCAGAAGGTCCTGGGTTCGAATCCCGGTGGGTGCGTACTGCTGAAGAGTCCCAAACTAGGACGAAACAGCTGTCCAGTACTCCCAGGTTTTCCAATGGTTCTCTAACTGATGTCAGCTCATGATGAAATCCTGTAACCAATCAAATCCCTACAAACCAACACTGGAAAATTCGTTATTTCTTACCTAATCGAAATTCTGCTTTCTTTACTTTCGTTTTCCTCCTTAAATAGCAACTGCCTTGGTCATCATTTTATTATTATCATAATTATTTCAATGATCCTCTGGAATCCTCACAAACCCGTCAAATGATTATCATCAATCTTAGCATTCCCATGTTCTGCATTTTACGGTACTTACGATCAGCTACCTATATCTGTGACTGGTAGTCCATTTTTACTTTCTATGAAGCAAACTGCCGACCAGAGGGGGCACGCTTAAATAGCGTGATTATCTGTCCAGTGGATAAGAGAATTATACGAACTAAATAATTACAAGGGCGTTTTATTTTCAGGCTAGGTGGGCAGGAGTATTCCATGTCACTCATTATTGTTGTTATCTGTGGATAAACGCCTCTCATTGGACAGTTTTACCTAATTCTTCATTGGCTGTTAGAGAGCGGAGACAAGGGGGTGAGGAAAAAAAGGTGACACATCATCTCACACCCCTGAAAAATAAATTTAATACACAGAATGAAATGTCTAGGCAGTGTGTGAAGATCTGCGAATACAAAAACAATACTGTTTTGTTTTTCATCTATCGAGAAATACAAAAACATTCTTAATGAGATCTGAACTTTTTCCCTATACTCTTCTTTCTATTAAACCTATAGGGCACGACACATTAGTCATACGATGATGACTAAATAAATTCCAGTTTGCGTTATAATAATAATAATTTTACACTTAGTGAATAATTTTTACAAATCATGTTGATAAACAGTTCATAAATAGATTTCTTGTTTTACGTGGGTTGGTTCCTTTCTTTAATTATGAAAGTTTTAAATTCTGTTACACAATTTCATACTCGTATATGTTTAATTATATCTTGCCTAAATACAAACATCATATCCTCAGCAAAAGCTGAATACGTCAGGGCTTCTCAGCCGCTTGTTTCTTATGCGATTTCAGTCACAGGCATACACATGCATAAACTTATGTATAGTCAGGGTCACTGCAAGTATTCCAGTGGGGGAGCCAGCACTCTTTCGATGGCCCTCTACACCAGTAACTTATAACCAGATTTTGTACTCATTTCTGTATCTGGTTTGATGTCAGGTGATGTAGTGCCTCCTTATGTTTGAAATTAGTGCTCACTGGGAACAGATTTGTATTGTGAATAACCCTTGTCACAGTCCGCTTGCACAGAACTCCATGGATTCCCATAATTTAATTTTCGAACTGGCTCAGTTTTCCTACTGGATCATCATCCCAGTATCTTAGCCTTTTATATTTGGCTGAAAACTAGACAGTTACTGATGCAATTGATCGTTTACTTCAACCGAGAGCATTAGTGTAGCATCTAATATACAACTGCTTGAGGCCAATCATACATGGAGTGTTTAGTGATAGAGTCTGTTCTACTTCGTCCATACAGAAGAACCGGCTTTGGTCACCATAGAGAAATGTACGACTTTTGGAACTGAACTTTGCTAATCCGTCATCATTTGAACGCAAAGCAGAATACCTGGTTTGTTATTCATTTGCACCCTCAGATCCCCAATTTGATGTAAACGACTTGCATTAAATAAATAAGCTATTTCTAAGTTATTCGAAAGTATATGCATTTTTTGTAATTAATATATAACTTTCCTTAACATTTGTGTTTGTGTGTCTTTAACAGACTTAAAGCATTCGGTGAGTCGTTAGTACGTTTCTCAAATTATCAAAAGTTATCCAGTCAACTTATTTTATGGCTAAGTGAATTTGCTGGTCGTATGCGATCATTCGGTGAAACGACTCAGTCACTGGGATTGAAGTCTTCCAGTACAAATACCGTTTCTGTACAAAATCCTAATTTGTTAAAAGAAGTTCTTAAACAATCAGATGATTTATTAACTGACTTACAAGAACACTCTGACGTTATTGAACAACTGAACAAAGAAGTAGCCCAATTGATAGCTTCTTTAACTGTAAGTTCTTTAAACAAACTAATAGATCGATCTGATATCATATTATTGCACTAAAATGTATTTGCTGTTCTTCCCCTATAAAGTCTATCAATTTTCCATCATGCATTTATTCCCCTTGATGAATTTGAATAAAGCAAGAACGAAAGTGGTTTGTGCAGAATAATATGGTACCATCATTTATTTCGTAGGCTTCTCATCAGCTGCTTACAGCCTAAATACATAATGAGGTTTGCGTTTCTGTACGCAAACCTCATTATGTATTTAGGCTGTAAGCAGCTGATGAGAAGCCTACGAAATAAATGATGGTACCATATTATTCTGCACAAACCACTTTCGTTCTTGCTTTATTCAAATTTTCCATCAGTATCCATCCCAACATTCTATGTATTAGTCAATTTAATCTTGAAGTAATGAGTTATGATTTGAGGTGAAATTAGTTTCCAGGTATCAGGACGATTCGACGTATCTTCATTCATCCAAATCCAGTGCTAACTCAGTTTCGCCAATAAGTCCTAAAGTGTACTGAGCAGAATTTTGTTGTTGTTGACAGAGCCTTGAATGACTTACATCTTTAGAGAATGTGAATGTGTTTGATTAGTTGTCATCAGCTGTTCTGGCAATGATAGATAACTACTTAACCGAATCCGATTACTCATTTTTCGGTGAGTAGGCATTAAGTTTAGTTTAAAGAAATTAATTATTTAAAGAAGAGGAATTGGCGTAAATTTTCAAAGTGGTTATAGGAATGGAGAATTGTGATATTATGATCAGGATACCACTGATTATCAGCCATATAGCCTAGAGTCTGATCATTAATATCTTGTGATACTGAATTCACTGCATGTCTCAGATCGATATTCACTGACTTCTTTCTGTCCAGTGCTGTGTGTAAGGGATTCAGCTATGTGTGGATAACCAATTCTTACATTCAATTCAAATTTGTCTTTGAGGTGCTGTAACAGAATGTTGTCGTATTTCAGTTAAGTAGTAAGTTTGTGCGCAATTCGTTTCAGCTATGCAGCAAACTGATCGTGAATTTACTTGCTTAAAATATAACAGAGATTAGTAAGAACTTCCAATACCAACTTTGTTCAAAACTGATTATTCTGAAGTATTAACTTGTAAATAATTTCTGAGAAATAAATTGCTAAAACCAGGTGATTTTTTATGGTTTGTGGGTGGGAAAATAATTTGACATCAATATGTCTACCATTTTTAGTTCTGCTTTATATGCTCATCGATTTACAGAAGTAAAATTTTTTGTAGATAGAATCTGAGTTGACATGAAAGGAAACGGAAAGTGTTAGATTCATTTCCTTTTGTATAAAAAGGGATTTTAGCTACCCGACTTTTGGATTAAAGGATGATACTTCCTTTTAGAAAGATATATAATTGACGAGTTGTAAATAGAATGGAGTGCGTCGGTGGCACAGAGGTAGAATGCTCGTGAGCTACTCACGTAGTCCGTGGTTCGATCCGCGGCCGCACTCCTAAACCTCACTTAGTTGGTAATAAGTTGGACAAAGAGGGAAGGTTAGGCATGAGATTAGCAATCCCACCTCGTAAATAATAAAACCACTGCTACCGAAACTTCAAAGCACTAGCTTCAAAGCTTATGCTGCAAGGAATAAAATAAAATAAATAAATAAGTAGAATGGAGATTACCTTGTCTACCTCTGTTTTTCCCATAAAATCGCTTTCATAAATCAGAATGAATATATTTTTAGCAATTTTCTTTGATTACTTTGTAGAACTATGCCCAGCAAACTCAAAATTATCGTGAATTAGTTGAGAGTACATTTCAAAAATCTGGTGGTTCAAGAGATTATCAATGGTCACCAGGCTACGGCTTATTTGATATGGGTAGAATACTGCAGACAACTGATCAGTTAAACACTCAATTTAACACACATTCTCGTCAAATATATGATATCGTGAATTGTTTGAATAGAGTAAGTTTTATTTTGTGCCTGATTTTTACACCTCAATTGACAAGGTGATTTTTTGATATCAGAAACTAAGAAACATATTTCACTTCTTTAACAGGTAAATGTAATGATGATGGTACTTGATAGCCCGGGTATTTCAAAGTCGAGTTGAGTTTTTTTTTCCCCGAAAAACATCAGTTCTGCTTATGTTAATTAAATTTCCATTGGATTTTTTTTGCTCTGTAACTTCACGATGATATTTCAATCACGTGGTTTACATTCCTATTAATCTAACTTAATTCTGTACAAATAACTATTACAGGAGATTCAGGACTCTTCATGATGCTCAGTGACTGGCATCTCAGGCCTATCTGATAAGCGCACAAATTATGCACTTTTCAAGTTGAAATACGAAAGTTACCAATGCGATCTTTTACACTGGTGTCTATAAAACAAAGCCTACACTATTATGAAGGCTTTCCAATAATCCTGATTTGATTACTTTTCTTCAGTTTGTAACAAGGTGCGAATTTCCAAGGTAGATCATTTAGGTGGCACATTTTCTTTCATAATAATTTATTCAGATTACCACATTCAAGGTTAGAGTTGCTTATGTGACTTTTCTAAACTTCTGAATAGAAACAATGAAATTTTACTCAACAACCACTTGAATTTATGTGCAGTTGATAGTCAGACACATTTATCGTTTGAAAGTTAATGGTACTACCGGATTTCCTAAACATTTTGGGTTAGGATTCAAATCCGTGACCAACTGGCTTTAAGTTAATTGCTTAAACTAATGAACTACAGTTCAACTAAACGTTGTAAGTGTTAAATAATAATCATACCCCGCCCCATACTGATTTGTCTTGATACACTCTGTTTTATAATTTTTTTCTTGTTATTTCAAATTTTTTAGCTTTTAAGATCCGAAGAACCTACACTTCTGAATAATTTATCTGGTCCAAGTTTCGTCAAATCTTATCGTGAATTGTATACAGGAGTATGGCCTAAGGAGTTAAATAATCGTTTAAATGAGGCTGAATCATCTCCATTCATGCCTGTTATACAATCGAAGTATCTGGAGAATAGAAAACAACCTACTATAACAGAAGACTCAAATGAAAACTTTGTTGAGGAATTAGGCCTCAAGTGGGGTGTCCATCTTAGCGGCGTTTATAATCTACCTATATGTATGCTGCCAACAGGTTGGGAAGCAGCCACGTTGTCTACAATATCTAAGGCACATGAATTATATGGATCGAAAATATTTCAGGCCACTGGTTCATGGTTTGTAACCCAACTTGCTGGTGAGAATGAAACACATGGACTTGGTGAAACTCTTTGTATTGGAGATGCACTACGTTGTGGATTGATTGATCTCGTTACAAAAACTTGTCGTCAAAACCGATGTTCACTTGCTATATCATTGTCTGAGGGTGTAGAACGTGGTTGGCTAACTGCCTACTCTGTGCAAGCTCTCAACAAGTGCATAAAAATTGGAGACTATGCTGCACCTGTAACTGATTTCTTGATTACTTCTGTGCGTAACTTTAACAATCGGTATATTGACCCTAAAACCGGTGTGGTAATGCCCTATGGTAAAAAGATTGTCGATTTATATGCAGATGGATTCATAAATGATGCAGATTTTCATCATTTAGCCGCAATTCTTTCCAGTGGTATTTGTGTAGAATTTCGAGATTGTCACATTGCATGGTGTGAAGCATTTAATGTAAATGAAGCAAACGCCTATTTGAAACCTTGTCTGTCTGACTGGTTAGCTGCTGGTGCCTATAATCCATTCACACGACGTCTACGTGTTAATATTCTTAAGTCTGAACAAAGTATTGGCAATGGCAAACATAGTAAGCGGTTGAATAATTCTTTTCTGTTTATTGAAAGCGAAATGACAATCAAAGATGCAATTAAGAATGGCCTTTTGAATCCTAATGTCCCAGAAGTTGTTGTTCCCATTGGAAATCAGCAAGGCGGTTACTATAGTGATTCCTATAAACGTATCAGTCTTTCCGAAGCTATTCAAATGGGTCTAATTGATGATGTTACTGGTTGCTGGCTTGGATCAGGTTCGTCTTCTGGTCGTCTGAAAGTTGGAGTAGAAGTGGCTCAGGCAGCAGGTCTTTTAGCTAGAGCTCCTTGTCTAGCAGAACTTGTCTTGTCCGGTTTGATTTCATTCAGCACTCCAAATATGAGCGAGACACATCCTAATAACAAAATAGGCATTCTTGATGCACATAACAGCCAATATCTATTGTTTCCTGAAGCAATTGAACGTGGATTGGTTATTGGAGACCAACCAGCAATAATGCTAATGCATTCTAACCAAGCTTTGAGCTTAATTGAAGCATTGAACATGAATATCATGACGCCATCTGGATTTATAACTTTAGAAGATAAGGCTCCGATGAATTTATGGGATGCAGTCAATAGTAATCATATTCGACTTATTTATACTAAAGCATATCCACCTCCAGTTGGTGTACTCGCTAGCTTGGAGTCAGTTCAGAAATCAAATCAAATGTCTCAACAGCATCCAATAATACGAGCTATTTGTACAGGTTTAATTGATTCGTCAAAAGAAGAAATTGTTTTACCCAATAGCGAAGCACGTCAACATGGTCAAAATTATTCACAACAACGTATTGCTTTAAGAAAATCAGCAAAGCACTCAGCATTGTGTGATTTACATTCTATACAGTTATTAACTCAAGGTTGTGGATTATTCAATACAGATGGGCATGAACTGACTGGATTGGATGCACTTAGTGCTGGATGGTTTAAACCGTGTGAAAATTCTCAAGATAATCCTAATGTATATGGGCAAATAACGGATCCAATTACCGGAGCTTCTATGATGCTAATGTCTAAAGTTAAAACAATGAAAAATATTGATATAACACCATCTGGTGCTCAACTGATATTGGGCTTATCAACCAATCGTCCTTCTTTAGCCTATTTAGTCAACCAAAGTTTTATAACGCGTTTAGGTTGGCTTGGTCCAGGTTTACATGATGATAATTTATTGCACAGGACAACAAATGGTTCATGGTTTAAGCATATATGTCGATCGGATGATATTGTAGCTGTTATTGATCCGATTAGTAAACGCAAAGTAACCCAAGCTGAAGCAGTTCGTCGTGATCTATTGGATATGGAGACTGGTGTATTCCGAGATCCTGTTCTTAATCAAATTTATCCCATTAGTGAAGCAATAGAAAAAGGACATATTCTAGTGAAAGAAAAGCCCATTTTGGTAAGTTATAAACATGTTACCTCTGGCATTTTCATTTCATTCTATTTCAAGTGGACTATTCTTACCTTAAAATTGACATCAAGTTTTTCCATAATGTGTGTGTGTGAGAGAGAGAGACATTTTGTGACAAATACATTGAGGATGAGTTAATAGTAAGTAGTTCCAAGCGGTGATTCAGCATTATCGTTTCGCTTTATAGAAACTATCTGAACCGAAAAACGATACATTTAATCAGAAATAAATTTCCTAGTATGTCTATTGGTCTCGTTAAATACCTTATATACTTATTGAAGTTACCAATGTAAACCTGAGCAGTGGAGAGATTCACATCAAATAGCATATGAGTTGCTAGTTGATTCTGTGAAGCCTAGTTGCTGAACCGTTCTTCATTTTGGTTCAGTTATAGGTTTTCTTTTTTATTTGATCACTACATAAATGTAGATCTATCAACGTAAAGCTGTTTTAGGTAATCTGAACAATAACTATCATGTTATTTTTTAAAGGGAAGAGTTATTTACAGATTTCGAATAGAGTATTTTTCCAATACATGACAGTCTCTGCAAAGTGTTTGTATTTTTCTATTCTGTTAGATAATTAGCAGTACCCTAGAAATATGGATTGCTGACTAGCCAAGCTGAAGCATTTCCCTAAAATCGGTCGGACCATCAAAAAGTATTGGTGTGGTGGAACAGCTGAAGCGTGAGACAAGAAAAGTCAGTTTTGCAGAAGTAATAAGCCAACTTGTGAAGTGAAATCTACTTCCCTAAAACAGACTTCTGGTTCCCTCTTGGATGGAAAACAAAGGAAATTAGTACAAGAAATTTCATGAAATCATTTGTTGAGAACGAAAAAACAGCCCTATCTGAGGCTATAACCATTTGATTTCTATGAATTTCTTTTGAATTTGTTATTTATCAGAAGAATAACTTAACCTCAGGGACAAACTTTGTTAGCTTAAGGATCTAACTGACCCAGCTAGACAGTTTTAAGGTATGTGAGGGGTGGAAATAATTGATTACAAAAATTAAGACAGTTAATTATTGGAAGTTAGCAACAGATTGTTAGTCAACAAAAAGGTATACATTTCGAGTTATAATAAGGGATGAGAATAATTAAGGAATTGAAGATTAGTTAATTTGTTGAGGTTAGCAACAGGTTATTATGTAATCAATAATTTGTGAAATAGTGATGACTTAAAGAATTGATAAATGGATTACGTAAGAATACCAAGATACAAATAAGTTGATCGAATTGTCCAGAATACTAATCATAATAAAATGACAAAATAAAATAACAAAGTCAAATGGTGTTTACAAGTATAGCGAAAAATCATTTGTAAGACTTTATACATATTCCGTAGACGATAAATAACTTGGAAAGCTTTGTTAATGTCGATTTGATGTCCTGTATCGACGAGATGAGCTATAATTTGAGCTACGTGTCGCTTTATTCTGCCCTTTGCCTAATCAAGATAGGTTGTGTTAAGAAATTCGACGATGAACTTGCCTAATCGTATGCCCATGGTAACTAACTCCACAGGAGCAGTCGAACTGGTAAATACACAGGTAGTTTATCTTTATTTCATGAACTAATTACTAGTTGAGAAAAAACAACAGCATAACTTAGCTGTATCAAAAGTCCTCTTGAAGGCCTTTCTCAGATTTTGTGATACAATCTCATTGTTGACATTCCTCGTAAACTGTGGTCTAAGGAAAGCTGATTTTCTTCGGGTGGCTAAATCTGTTTATGTGTGTATGTATTCAAAAATTCCATCGGATATGCATTCCTACTTGATAAATTATTAATATTACCGATTTCTTTCCTGTGGTTCGTCAGAACAAATAACTCAAGTTTGCTGAATTAAACATCTAACTAGATTCAGTTTTGAATTGTATGAAACTTGGAAAGTGAGTATACTGTTCAATGTAGGTTTACGATGTGAACTTCTACATGTTGTTTCGTGTTCTCGTTTTGTCACTAAAACATACAAAAACGAGATAGAGTCATTCTTTTCTCCTCATTTATTAAAAATTACAGATGGGATCGCTTTGTTAAATTCCTCGAATACACAGTTCGCCTCACTGTTATTACCTAAATCTATAAATGCATCATCAACATAACGGCAATAAAAATCCAAATCTTTTACTACATCTTTCAGGGTGTCATTCCCTAGTTATGCCAGAAAAAAGTCCTCTAGGATTGGACCTAGTGGTGATTCTATAATAAATAACACCATCTCATTGCTTATACGTATCTTTATTGAAAAGAAAATCTACGTTCATCGTGTATCTTAAAAGCACCTCCTCTAATAAAGACACACAAATGCCAATCCATATACCCTCATTTGTTAGTCCATTAAATATATTGTCCACTGTGCTCACCAAAGGCTCATTGGTGAATAAAAAAAGACATCCTGAACTTATCTTTAATCCTTGGAGTCTCTAATCCTCAAAACTCTGAGTTTTTAAAGTTTCTTGTGTAGGTGTTGTACCAGGCATTTTATTTTCCAGATACCATCGTATGACACTTAAGTCAGGTGCACGTGTCAGACCAGTAGATCAAGCTCAGTTATATTATCAGAACATAGGAATTTAGCTAAATCTAGAACGATGCACTCCACTAGGTTAAATAATCTATAAGGAAAAATTAACCACTGCTATGCACACAGCTGAATCCAATCGCACAATAGATTGTGGCAGGGTCAGAGTATTCAAAAGTAATGGAATAAATCGGAGGGAGCGGTTGCTTACTGAATCTTTGTTCATTTAGTCAGTAGTCGATGAGTGCGATTGAAATGACACAAATCAAGTTTCGGATAGGTGGAAAATTGTATTAGAAGGAAGCTAAAACGTCATGTGAATATATGGAGATAATTATGAGCAATAAATGGTGTTCAAAATGTCAACCAGTTATCGCTGTTTGTGGTATCGAATGCATTTATCTAGCATGGGATTATATTCTACCACAGGGCCTTAAATCCCACTCTAATATTAATCTATATTTTTGGCCTTTAGAAGTCAGTGACGTTCTACAAATCAAAGTAATAATAATAATGGTTTCATGATGTTAACCATTGGGTTTCGTATGTGATCGAAAGAGTAACATTAGTAACTACATTATTATAATATTATTATTCCCTTGCGTTCCGAGTTGAACATAGGGCTTTGACAACACATTTCGACGTCCTCTTCATCTGGGTCCACGATTGACCAAACTCTCTCATCTCTTTCTCACATGATCTCCTCCATGTCACCCTAGGACGGCCCCCTGGTTGCCTCCCGTTTGGATTTCACTCAAGGGCCTGGCGTGCGATGTCATTCGGTGGCCTTCTCAGTATATGCCCGATCCATTTCCACTTTCGTCTACATATTTGTTGAGCGATCGGCTCTTGGTTGGTTTGTTCCCATAGTTTCTTGTTGCTTATTCTTTCTGGCCATTTGATCTTCAGTATGGAGCCAGCGAAGGCAGCTATTAATGAAAGTCTGCAACCTGTTGGAAATCCTTTTCGTGACACGCTGGGCAAGTTTCTAACCTATACTTACTTTACTTCGGCTATCTCCTACGGAAGGATGAGCCGGCTTCATGAACATCTCGAATCATCGCTGCCCACGTTCGGCGATCTGTTGCAAGGTTTTGCGACAAGGTAAGAGAGTTCATGAAGTTTCATGGGAATTTGGTACGAGTGATGTCCCCAGAATCGCTCGGCCTTTTGTTTGAGAGTGCAGCTCTAGCCTTTACACAACCAAGTGTGACCTACAAGGCAGTAGGAGTGGAGTAGGGAATCCACTATCCATTGGCAGCCGGTGACCGAAGTTCGGTTCATACGCCTTTTTGAATGGGGCCAGACATCCAGGACATCCAACAAGCCCTTTGTCCATACGTCTGCCGGTGAGCTCCAGTGAGATTAATACGCCAGTCGTTGGAGGTTTGGAATCAGGGTTTAGCCATCTCCCCTAGACTGTCATCCAATGGACAGTCAACCCGGTGAAGAGCGCCGGGCATCCGCTTTCGCCCTCTCACTTTGGTGAAAAACACCTCCGCCACGTGAAGGCAGTGAGTAGGACTTCCTCAGGAGAGGCTATGTAAGACGCCCGGTCATACGGGAGCATTTCAAGAGGTGTGCGGAGGGGTGGCCAACCCGCAGCGCAAGGCACCCACCCCCGACCATCCTGAGGCTTTGGAGGCTTCTAACCTATATAGAAGTTCTGGCTGACTTGACATTTGTGTTGGAAATCCAAATCTGGTCCTATATGCTGTTGAGTGCAGAAGATTTCCAAACTGGTTTCAGGTTGATGAAGGCGTATCTTGCCTTTCCGATTCTGCCTGACTTTGACATCTTCGTCCGTTCCGTCTGTAGTTGAAACTTCCTAGCCGGATAAGTAAAGGAGGCAACCTCTGTGAAATCTCTCCCGTTGATGGTGATTGGTGCTGGTTGTTGTTGCTGTTGATTGGTTATCTTCATCACCTCTGTCTTCTCTGTGTTCACCTGCGGTCCTGTTTTATGTGCCTCTTCAACCAGTTTATTGGTTTTCGCTCGCCTGCAAGTCTTCGAGTTTGTGTGACATTAGAAATATACATAGTGTTGTGTTATTTAAACTGAGTAATTTGATGGTAAATATTTGTTATTTAATGCAAATCACTTATAAAGTTCTTTGCAATTTAAAGCCTGCCATACTAATCTTGACAGAAACTCCAGAAAGCATTCAGAAAAGTGAACATGCAGTTAATTTTTAGTGTACAATTAGTATCATAGAGAAGGTGAATTTGCTTTTGGATTTATTAGTTTTGAAGTGTTTTAGATTTTTAAAGATCAGTGGTTACTGGTCGCAGTGACTATAAAAGTTGAGGTATGTGTACTGCACCAGACTACAGAAAACAGGTGAATAACACAATTTCAATGGATGCAAGAGATCACTGAAAACCAGGATTAAGGTCTGAGCTACTACAGATTGTTTTATTCAAGGGCTATTGATAAGGCTATTTGTGTCGTTAGCTCTGTGACAGAATAATTGACAAATTAGCACGAACTTTCTGAAACCGAAACACAACTCACAAATGACTTCATTTTTAACATTGGGCCAGTATTATTTACTGGATAAAAATGGTGCATTACAGTTCTCGTTATACTACATAGCGTTATAATTCACTTTAAGGAAAAGAGCATGCTAATAAGAAAGATCAGTATAATTTTATTGTCATTTGGTGACTTAAATGCATGTTCTAGCTGTATAATTGAATACGAAATTAAGATACTGACTTATGTCGAAGAATAAATATCCTGAGAGGTTTATCAGTAAGTATTCTAAAGAAATGGGAGTCAATAAAACTGTCCGAATCGTCTCAAAAAAGCCTGTATGTATTAGTTAGCCACTTCAGGGATATTTTATACAAGAAGTAGTCAGGTTAAGACTTGAAAAAAGTCATAAGCAGAACTTGTTATGCTTCAAAGCTCGTACTTCTCAACACTACCAAGTGTGTGCTTCTTATTGCGTTGTACAGAAAGACGACAGACTACTTTTATAGTCGAACATTTAGATAAGTGGTTGAAGAACGGTAAATTCAAAGTGCCAAAACGTTTGATAACAAAACATCTTACAGACTGCGGGCATTTCAAGTGATTGACTGTTGTCAGCAGAAAAACAAACAAATAGGTGCAATTAGAGTCTATAAACTGGGTGTCTGTGTACAGGAGGAAATGGTGGTAAATTTGAATCTACTGTGGTATCTTTCATTTTGCTATTTGTTATTATGACTATTTTTCTTTGTTCCGTCCATTATTATTTTTGTCTTAGTTAAAACTAATTCTTGTTAGTATGATTTTCTTAACTTGCCTCATTCTTCTTCTTCTTATTCTTATTATTACTTTTACTTATTTTGTTATTATTAATATTTTCAAGTTCTGTCTTATGCTTTTTCCACCCTCTATCCATCTGAACTTAACCTGTAAGACATTTTCGCCTTTCGTTTTGCTACGATTGATTCACTGTAGTTTTCAAGGATTTGATTGGTTACACGTTTCATCACGAGCTGACACCAATTAGAGGACCATCGGGGAACAGGGGGTGTAATGGATAGCCGGAACCCGATCCAATTGCCCATAACTTCCAAATTCTGCCAATTCGCGATGCATAACACCTTGTAACCAGAAAGTTCTGGTTTCAAACCTCGGTGGGTGCGTACCGATGAAGAGTTCTTAACTGGGACAAAACAGCTTTCCAATACTCCCTGTTCCCTCAGTGGTTCTCTAACTGAAGTCAGCTCGTGATGGTTAGGACATGTGCTACGTATGCCTAGTCATCGCCTTCCTCGACGGGCAATGTTAGCTGACATAGGGTCAGGCTAGAAAAGAGCTAGCGGCGGTCAAACCAAAACATGGCACCAGTCAATGAAATCCAAAACAGTTAGTCTAAGCTACGTAGGAAGGTGTAGACTTCCTGGTTGGGGTCCTCGGGACGGTAAAAACCAATGGTTGGAAACTATTGGTGACATGGCTCAAAATCGTCCTCAATGGTTGGCGCAGATGCATCCACTCCTTGTGACTTATGATTTCCAATTAAACTGTTTTGTTCTTCGTTGTTACTATTCCTTTGTCTCACACCTCTGTTTACTGTCTATATTATGCATTTTTTCTACTTTCTTCTCTTGCTTTGTGTGCTACAAGAAGGGAGTGTGGCGACTTGAACTGCCGCACATATGAGCAAAGTTCTATGTCGAAAACCGACCGACCGTGATGAAACCTGTAGCCAATCAAATCCCTGCATTCGAGCACTTGAAAATTATCTTGATGCTCATTGTAGTTTGTTTATCAGTCACATATCTCCTTATATTTTTCCCATAGTACATAGAGTATTTCGTTGAGGTATTCTACCAAAATTTGATGAATTGATTAAATCCTGCCTTATTAACATTTGTTGCCTGTTTTCAATTTGTATTGGGAAGTAAATGTTTCCAATCCCTAAAATTCATATCCTTGGTAATTTTTCAGGACGCTTAGATATATGGCTAGAGCACTCACGAATTTACTGTCGACTCTTTCGCTTTCCTTATTACTCAGTGGTAACAACACTTTTTCTTGAAACTCTGCTAGTTATTCCAGCCTTCTGAACATCACTCCATAGTTTCTGATACTTCATCTCTGATAACAACTACTATTTGCGATTCCGGAATAAAATGTTGGTGCTTTATGAAAATAGTATTTCTCATGGAGAGTAGCTTTTGTAATTTTATACAATATGGAATATGTACCCTTGCTAGACAAACAAACAGTTTACTGTCACGGAAATTCAATATGATTTAATAAGAAAAGGAAAAGGAAACCAGACTGATTTTGTTTTATTCAAAACATCAGGTTCACTGAAATTCTGGATACTTGTCTTACTCTTAAAGATGTTTTGTGGTTCATAAGGTAACTGAAACGTAATTATAGAAGAGGAGAAGGGTGTATTGAAATTGATACAACTACAATTGATGCTTTGATTGTTTGCCCATCAATAAAACCGGACATTTTAGTACTTTTCGCATAATATTAGCTTGTGTTCTGTTATTATTTCTACCATTCCTTGCAATAATATCCTTTAATCAAACAAAGACTTAGTGGGACTTCAGGAGAACAAAATTCAAGCTCCAGCAGGATCTGTTGGTCTATTCCCTGATGAGTTCTGAAACACAGACGTTCATACTGGTCTCACATACTTATCATTTTTCTTCAGCTTAATGCTGCATTTGGTTACATTAGTGAAGAGTAGACTGCCGCGGAAGTTAGTTATGATAATCAAGATATTCCACTCGAACGTATGTAGCTGCGTTCCAAAGAGATGACCACTGTTACCATATTTATTTATTTTCACTAGAAATTTATTAAGGGTTATGACCCTAGTCAACTTGTTATCAGTGAAAAGTCTCAGTAATCTAAAGTGTGCAGACGATATAGTCATTTTATGTGATGAAACCGAAAGAGTTCAGTCTTCTAAACCTCTTGAGCGAAAATCTCGTTATCTTTGGCATGGGTTTCATCTCTGTCAAGTGTAATATGACACTGCAGGATGGATCTTCATCAAATCATAACTTAATGGTAAGTAGTGAATTAGTCTAGTGCGTTTCACTTATTTAAGCAGCTTCATTATCTATAATGGACAGCTTCTTAATGAAATAGAAAGGCTCGTTGCTCAATTTGCCGTTGGAGTAATACCAGGCTACTTATAACAGGGAGTGTGGTGCTTCGTAATTCACTGCATCCTATCTCACTCCTAAAATATGGCCACTTAGTGACTCGAATACATTTTGTTTTTCGACTATAGATGTCTTCATTCGCCTACTGGCATCTGGTGGAACGATTTGAAACCAGTCATAGAGTATTATTAAATGAGTCAGATTCGTCACTCGATCTGTTCGTGAACCTTATTAATTTTCGATGGATGGGTAATGTGTTGTTTATACCAAGACCATCTCCCTCAATAGTGACAAGTGTTGGGTGAGGCAGGATTACTTTAGAAAAGTGTTAAGGATGACCAGATATTTATATGGCACTAATGTATGAAGACATTGCTTGTCGGTCTCAGTCACACATCATAATGCAGGAGAGTCCTCAGAAAGCTAAGAATCAATGGTTAGCGGAGCTGAAATTCCCAAATATTTCCATTAATTTCTGCTTCCTCCAATACAACTTTTTCCATTTCATTATCAATACATTTCTATTCTGTCCTTTTGTACACGTCTTAGAAATGTGGTAGTTAAAAGTGATGCATGTCTGTGCGAAGTCCTCTGTTTATTTGTGAGTCAGTGGATCACTTGATTAAAACGTTTTTTTTTCTCTCACTAAAATTGGTTACAATTGTTGTTTCGTTATCTGCTATTATATTATGGCTTCAAGGATACCTCTACCAGACTGAAATCATTATATTTAGGTAGATAATGTGATCAAGTTTCATCGGACAGAAATAAAATTCATTTATACAATACCGTTTTGCTATCCTCCAAGTTATACTTGTTGTATGTGTTTGCTTTTTTTCCTTCATTTTTTCGATTTATCAGAACGGTAACACGTCTACACCTCAGTCGATTCATACAGAAGTCAATGGATCAATTGAAATTGTTTCTGTTAAAGAGACGTGTACATATAAAATTATAAATGTTCTCGATCCTCATACTAGCACTCGAATTGATCCAAATGAGGCTGTAAAGAAGGGTCTTATTAATCTGGAGTCTTTCACTTATAATGGTGTTCACCCAAGTATATCAATTGATTCAGCTCAACAATTAGGTTATGTATCAGTACATACTACAGATTATGATGTATCCCGTGATAATCTAGTGGTAGATTATACAGAGAAAGCACCATTTACTTTAGTTCAACTATTCAACAATGGTCAATTAGTGAAACAATCGGGATTAAAATGCGCTATTAAAGTACCAGAAGATGGAGATACTATATCTCTAAAGGCCGCCATTACTATGGGTCTAGTTGATGTTGACAATACATTAGTTAAAGAATCCAATACAGAAGAATGGTGTCCTTTGAACAAGGCCATTTCACTTGGTTTAATTGATGATCATAAAGGCGTTTTGTTGTATAAAAACAAACGGATTCCTTTAAATGAAGCTATAAATAGAGGTTTGGTGTCCGAAAAACAGACATCATTGACAGAAATTTTATCTTTTGAAAAAGCTCTTCAAGATGGTTTGATAGATCCAGTGACAAATACTTTTCAACAACTGAATACTTCTAGTGATGCTACTCCATCGAATTCAATCAGTGTTCACGATGCTATCAAACAAGGATTACTAAAACCTCCAGTTGTTGAAGTAAGCCTGTTTTTTAATTACCTGTAATTTGATTGATATCGTGAAGTGAAACAGTTGGTTGGAAGGTAAAAGGAGAAGCATTGAATTCCCTAAAATAATGGCAATGACCGTAAACGGTTATTTGTCCAGCCATTGACTTCTGCTAACTGACTGACTAACCGGAACCGCTTTTACCTGATGGCAGCATAGATGAAAACTTGTTTCTTGTGAACTTCAATCTCATTGGTGAATGAGTTTGTCTATTTAAGCCTCTCTTTTCTAGCATTAGCTTGTAGAGAACTGATTGATTTCACGGTAGATACTCCCTTGTTTTACCTGAATTAGTAATAGTCATAACACTACATTATATTATTTTTCTATGAAAATATACGTATGCATTTCATATTTCTAAAGTAACCTTTCGAATACTACATTAGCCGTCTACATAATTGAAAGCTACAGATAACTAAACTGGAATTGCACAGCTAAAGTGCTACAGTGCTTAAACATACTCTGCAGAATTCGTCTCATGTCATCTAAAGTTTGGTGTTCTATCGTAGTCATTTCGTCACCAAGGTTGATGGCTTCTTTTGATTATTTTTTAATTGGTTGGAGGGTTTCATTATGAGCTGACATCAGCTAGAGGACCATTGGAAAACCTGGGAGTACTGGACAGCCGTTTCGTCCTAGTTTGGAACTCTTCAGCAGTAGATAATACGCATAGATCGTCTACATTTATAATAAAGTGCAATCGGTTGGTCAAGACTGTTTTACCTTCGATGACATGTTAGCGTAAACATCTTGAAGATATAGATGAGAAATCAAAAATCTTATTTGAGACAAAAATGAAAACCTTGTATTTTCAAATGTATTTATGAACCGTTTCGAACGTTTGTCAACAAAAGTATAAATTGCGACTCAGATATTCGATTACCTTGTGAACATGAAGAATATTAGAATATTGTAATGCATCAAAACTCTAAAAGTACTACCACTAAAATAAAGAAGGGAAAAAAATGACGGAAGGAGTTTGTAGATGTACATAGCCTTCTGTATTAATATTGTTGAATATATTTTTCAATACAATTTAAATGTAGAAGTACTTTTTTGTGTGTGATGCATTGGAGATTAAAGTTCTAGGTGACTGAAATGACACTATCTTCTGACCACCACTTACGAATGGTATTAAGGTAGAAAAACCACTGAAATACATTAGATGTTAGCTCAGAAAAGCTTTCATGAGTGAGATGGTGGGATATAGAAAATGAATTAATGAATTTATTCTTTTTGTTTCTTAATTTATTATTTTCTGAACACATATTCTTGAGCTCAGTATACACTTAGTTTTCCGATTCCGCTTTCGGTTAACTGATCCCACTTCCTTGCAGTTATGTTATGTATGACCTCATCAAATTATATCCAATAAACATAAGTAACTTAAATATGTTAGAATTCATGGGCCATTGAGTCGGGTCCCAGTGGGTGAATGGTATACGAGCTTGCCTTGTAACCGGAAGGTCCTGGGTTCGAACCCTGGCGATGGGTGTCTACTGCCGATGATTCCCGAACTAGGATGAAACAGTCGTCCAGTACTCCCTAGTTTTTAATGGTTCTCTGACTGATATCAATCTGTTGTCGAACTTGTAAAAAATTAAATATGCTTACCAAGTTTATTTTCACACATTTTCAAATTAGGATTAAGTGAGTCAAATTACAATAAATTCTTTCCTTTTCCTTTTTAAATAACTGTTTCGTTAATTGTCTGTCATTTGTAGACTATACACGAAAATTCTGCTGGCTTACCTAGCAAAGGATATACTCACAGTATGGATTCTTTAATCGCTATTAAACGTCAAAACTCAAAAGATCCATCTACTGTTGCATCACGTACTAATACACTACCTCCGGTTACATCATCTGGTCATATGCTAAGTAACGGAAATGATTTTATTGCTACAAGTGGTCGCACAGAATCCAGAATAATTAAATTTTTAGACTGTCATGGTGTTGGAAAACTACGTGGTAAATCGTCTCACTGCAATCTACGCCATAAATCGAAAGGTAACGATGATGGTGATAATGGTGATGAATACACTATCCGCAAAAAGCCAAGAATTAAAAGTTGTGAAATACCTAAACTAAAGGAGCGCAACTGTGTTCTCTATGCCTTTTACTATCTACACGAAGATGTACGAGTTGAAGCAGCCATTACAGATACAATGGTTCGTGAAGGACGCGTAGATGTGTATAAAAAGATTATTTGTGATCCAACAAGTGGAAAGTTTTTCCCCATCCCCGAAGCTCTAACTAAAGGTTTCGTTTTCGGTATTGTTTTCACTCAAGCTGAACAACTTTCAGAAAATGGCCAACAAGATTCTAATCCATTATATTGGCTAGAAGTTTTCCACTATCGTCATGACATATATCGCCTAGAAAGAGTATTTGATCCTTATTTAAACAGTCTTGTTTCGATATCAGATGCTATAGATACCGGGATTATTGATCCTATCCATTGTACATATACTCATCCAGTAAATGGAAATTTATATTCAATTGAAGAAGCTCTCTATCAAGGTTGGATACAAGCATTACCTGTTGGTAATCCACCACCGTTTGATTTAATTGGCAGTTCATTTGATCATGTTCATGTACGTACAATTGAAGAGACTACAACGTTTACAACATGTGTACATACAGTTCGTCGTGCTGGTAACAATATTCAAAACAATACTATCGATAAAGAAACCTGTTCAGTTGATCCCAAGTCTACACTTGCCTTACTTCAAACAACACTAAATTTAAAGCGTCAAATACCGTGTAAAACACCACCAAGTTGTCGACCGAATCATCGTACACCGAAAGAAGCGTTTATGCGATTTCATATTAAACCAGATGATCAGTCCAAACCAGATGAAACTGATCATGTGTATCAACAAGGCAGGTCGATTAATACAACAGATGCGATACCCAGCGAACAAGCTATTCTTCGTAAAGAAGTGCTTGATAAATCTAGTCAGGTAAACTTTATTAATATAATTGTTTTTTTTAAATTCATTTTTTATTTGAATAAAAATATTCATTTTAAATATGATACATCATTACCTGACTGTAAGCGTCTTGCATTCTTTCTTCCAGCTTGCTGAATAGGCTATTTGATTCTATTTGAGATTGCATTCCATTTTCAGCAATTAATTGTGTGAAAATATTATGGATTTGAAGCATTATCTAGAAGAATCACTAAAATACAAGAAGTATTGAATTGAGATTTTGTCCCACTTAGGAAGTCTACAGTAGTATAAACTGAAAACCTCACATCCGATCTAACTCAAGAAGCAAATATGTTACAATCCCCTCTACTCAGTCAGAACCAAAGTGTTATATGAATTCTAACAGGTTTTCAGCACTTCTTGACTTTTAGTGATTCTCTTGTCGTCTCCATCTTGGAACATATCTACAAAAAGATTTTTCGGTTATTCATTCACGTTTTTGTCTGTATTAATTCAACTGGTGAAACACTTTAAGTGGACACTGAGTAAATAAAGTTTGGAGATTTATTTATAAATGTAGCAGTAACACTACTTCGTCAGCCATTAATACACCAAAATAAATAACTCTAGATGAAATCAGTTTTTAAAACTTTCTCCGATAGAAATCATTACTGCACAGTTCAATCATTTACTATTTAAATCCTCTTTTGAGTAACTATTCAAAGCGTTATAATTATAACCAGAGGATACAACATAAAGCGAAAGTACAGACACTTTGTCAAGTGTATTGATCTTTACCTAACCTTTCTGTTCTTTCTGTCTAACTGCTAATATTTGCTGTTTGGTGAATGTTTAATCATTGTCATTTATGTGTCATCTAAAATTATCATTTAAGTTGTGGTTTACAGACTTGTTTGATTTGAAGGTAGTTTTCCTTCAAACTAACATCGTTTGGAGAAGGGCTAGGAGAGTGAAGAGCAGGAAATAATTGTTCATTAGAGCTAACCATTTATAGCATTGAGTGTGATTTTAAAAAGAATGATCTATAGATCGTTTAAATTCGAAACCGAAGTAAATACTGCAGAATATTCAAAATAAAAATGGATGGATTTCAAGATTTGACAATATGAATTAATCCCAAAGATATAAATGAACCTCTAGATAAATGCATCTAACCACTTACCTCCTGCTTGTATTTCAAGATTAAGTTATTTCACGATCAATGATTTTCACTTTGTTCCTATGAATCAGTCATTGGTTGTAAGATGACCGCACTTTGTATTGTCTTTAGCTTCTATAATAGTATATAACAGTTATGCTGTACCACATAGTCAACTCAGAGTATAAAATTGGTAAGTATATAAAGGATCATTCATACAAACTAACTTTAAGAGGAAGGAACTTATACTACTTTTCTTGTGTACGTGAACTAGTACTAAACAGTCCAGAATTGTCTAGGTAACGAGATGTTGGGCCATTCGCTTTAGCACTCGGTTTCCACGGGTTCCAGTCCCGCTCCACCTACTTCAGCCTATGCAACTGGTCAGTATTATAAGGCCTAACACGATAGGTGCAGTTCTTAGCCTAGGACATGAAAAATCTGCTCCGGGTAATGAGAGAAGATTCAGAAGATAAATTTCCATCTTTTAAAAGTTCATAAATTCTATCACGTTAAGACAACTTAGTATTGAATGATTTGTGATACAGAAGATTAAAACTATCCTTTGTTTAACTGAAAACTAACAAAACACAGTTAATCAGTTTTGAATAACCACTCAGTTTTACTGATAAGATATTGTTCCTACATTTGTATTACATTTTAAATAAATTATTGGCCGAATGGTCGAAGTTTATTGATAAGATTTGCGTTACGATCGCACAACTGAGTAATACAATATTACATGTAAAACGTTGAAATGCTTCGCTCACCAATAATAACGTAGCAGGACAAAGGACTAATTCTTTTTTTAAATAACATTAACTCAATTTAACTGGTAACACATTAGTTTTTCTCTGTAATTTTAATTATTTTAATTTAAATATCAAAAGATAATTAGATTAACTGAACTTCTCTCTCTCTTTTCCTCTTTTTTCCCATTTTTACGTTGTATCATTGTTGTCATGAATGATATTAATAATTTTTATTACGATGGTCATTTTTAATGTGCCTATATAATAATGATAATAATACCACTGCCATCATCATTATTATTATTATCGTAATAATAATCATTATCATTATCATCATCATTCATCATCATAATAATAATCACTGTGATGATCAAATTATGGTAAACCACTTCCCCCTATTACTGTTGCTTTCCGCCTGGTTTCCCGCTTGGTTACTTGTCGGCTCCTTATCTATATCCTGCTGCATCGTCCCAACCATTGCTTGCCTGCCCCCATTTGCTTTCTTTGTCTACTTGCCTGCTTGCTTATTATGCATGCTTGTCTGCATGTTTGTCCTCTACTAATTTATTGTTTGCAATTTTACAAATTTCAATTGATTTTCCTGTTTTTGTATGCATTTTGATTTTCAACCTCTTAAATATCCAGAATTTACATTTTGATAATTCACCTGGAGCATTATTGAAGAAGCATACACACTTTATGCAGCCGATAAATTTAGTTGATAATACCACACTCCCAGCTATTACTTTATCTCTCGTTAGGTATCAACAACCTGATCCTACTCCAACAATCACACCAAAATTACAATCTCAAAATATTCCACGTTATATACTTCTTGAAACAGCTATTCAGAGGGGATGGGTGGATGTTCAGGATGGTTTACTCAGAACTCACTGTGGTCGAACTAGTACCATTAATTTAATGGAAGCTGTAGAAAGAGCTTTAATTGATCCCTCACAGTTATTGGTCTGTGTACAGCACCATACTGAGGATAGTTTAGGTGAATATCCTTTATATGGAGACCAACAAATTCCAGTATACTACAGTTTAGCTACATTATTAGACGCGACAACATCAATAATCCAGAAAGTTTCTGCCGAGTTAGTTTGCACCCACTGGCGTTCCAACCTCTTGAACCTCATCCTCAAAACAGCGAAATCTGGAACATTGAACCGTGGAAGAAGGAATGTGAAAATCAAAACGAATGTCAGCGAAAGTGATCAGGAAATAATATACAAAACAGTGCTGAAGCCATCTCAAATCAATGGAAATGAAGGAACCGACATAACAGGGAAAGAAACCCCAATAAATGAACACGAAAAAACCCAACAAAAAAACAAAGGATCCGCAGAATTCCAACAAAATAATATCCAAGAAAAAATCGAAAACATCGAAGCAAATAATAAAAGCTCGAAACAAAAGACCACCGAACATTGCATACAAAAAAGCGAACAAAAAAATGAAAACAAAGACGAATATACGCATGACTCGGAGTTGTTGTCTGAGATTCCTGAGAGACGAGGTGGAGACAGTGGTTGGGACTCTGACATGCTGTCATCTGATGGTGTGAGGTCTGGAGAAGTGTCTGTTATGCATGACCGACGTGGACTTGATTTGCGTGAAGCGATTGAATCAGGTCTTGTTGACACGAAGTCCGGCCTAGTTCGTGATCCATCGAGTGGTGAGGTGTTGACGTTGGCACAGGCTGTGGACAGTGGACTTATATCGGGTGAGCGATCGTTGATTCGTGATCCGAGTTCTGGACGTCTTGAGAGTCTTGGTAAGATGATGTTGACTGGTTTGTTGGCGCCTGTGGGTTTGATTGGCCTTGCTGTGGAGTCGATGTCGTCGAGATCAGGAGGTGTAGTGTGTCCGTCTACAGAGGCGTTTGAGCCTGTCTCTGAGGTTGGTGTGAGGAGGTTGTCTGGTGTAGAGTCAGTTGGTGAATCGGACGGTGCAGTGGCTGTGGGTGTTATTGATGATGGTGCTGTAGTGAGTGAATTGACTTCAGGTCAGCGAGAATCGACAGGTCGTCCATCAGATTTGATGAAGACAGACACCAGAGTTGGTGAACGTGGTGATTTGAGCTTCCTGTATGACGCGTCACGTGTTGTTGTAGAGGATGGTGAAGTAGCTGGTGTTGCAGCATCTTCGGAGAGGTTGAGGGAGTATGGTGTGTCGGATGTGCCTGGTGTATCCGGTGTTGGCGTAGTCGACGGTGGTGTGGATAGATCAGTGATGATGATGAGTGAGAGTGTACTACCGGCGGGTGTAGATGATGGTGTGATTGGAGTGGATTCCACGCGTGACTCGGAGTTGTTGTCTGAGATTCCTGAGAGACGAGGTGGAGACAGTGGTTGGGACTCTGACATGCTGTCATCTGATGGTGTGAGGTCTGGAGAAGTGTCTGTTATGCATGACCGACGTGGACTTGATTTGCGTGAAGCGATTGAATCAGGTCTTGTTGACACGAAGTCCGGCCTAGTTCGTGATCCATCGAGTGGTGAGGTGTTGACGTTGGCACAGGCTGTGGACAGTGGACTTATATCGGGTGAGCGATCGTTGATTCGTGATCCGAGTTCCGGACGTCTTGAGAGTCTTGGTAAGATGATGTTGACTGGTTTGTTGGCGCCTGTGGGTTTGATTGGCCTTGCTGTGGAGTCGATGTCGTCGAGATCAGGAGGTGTAGTGTGTCCGTCTACAGAGGCGTTTGAGCCTGTCTCTGAGGTTGGTGTGAGGAGGTTGTCTGGTGTAGAGTCAGTTGGTGAATCGGACGGTGCAGTGGCTGTGGGTGTTATTGATGATGGTGCTGTAGTGAGTGAATTGACTTCAGGTCAGCGAGAATCGACAGGTCGTCCATCAGATCTGATGAAGACAGACACCAGAGTTGGTGAACGTGGTGATTTGAGCTTCCTGTATGACGCGTCACGTGTTGTTGTAGAGGATGGCGAAGTAGCTGGTGTTGCAGCATCTTCGGAGAGGTTGAGGGAGTATGGTGTGTCGGATGTGCCTGGTGTATCCGGTGTTGGCGTAGTCGACGGTGGTGTGGATAGATCAGTGATGATGATGAGTGAGAGTGTACTACCGGCGGGTGTAGATGATGGTGTGATTGGAGTGGATAATACGCGTGACTCGGAGTTGTTGTCTGAGATTCCTGAGAGACGAGGTGGAGACAGTGGTTGGGACTCTGACATGCTGTCATCTGATGGTGTGAGGTCTGGAGAAGTGTCTGTTATGCATGACCGACGTGGACTTGATTTGCGTGAAGCGATTGAATCAGGTCTTGTTGACACGAAGTCCGGCCTAGTTCGTGATCCATCGAGTGGTGAGGTGTTGACGTTGGCACAGGCTGTGGACAGTGGACTTATATCGGGTGAGCGATCGTTGATTCGTGATCCGAGTTCTGGACGTCTTGAGAGTCTTGGTAAGATGATGTTGACTGGTTTGTTGGCGCCTGTGGGTTTGATTGGCCTTGCTGTGGAGTCGATGTCGTCGAGATCAGGAGGTGTAGTGTGTCCGTCTACAGAGGCGTTTGAGCCTGTCTCTGAGGTTGGTGTGAGGAGGTTGTCTGGTGTAGAGTCAGTTGGTGAATCGGACGGTGCAGTGGCTGTGGGTGTTATTGATGATGGTGCTGTAGTGAGTGAATTGACTTCAGGTCAGCGAGAATCGACAGGTCGTCCATCAGATCTGATGAAGACAGACACCAGAGTTGGTGAACGTGGTGATTTGAGCTTCCTGTATGACGCGTCACGTGTTGTTGTAGAGGATGGCGAAGTAGCTGGTGTTGCAGCATCTTCGGAGAGGTTGAGGGAGTATGGTGTGTCGGATGTGCCTGGTGTATCCGGTGTTGGCGTAGTCGACGGTGGTGTGGATAGATCAGTGATGATGATGAGTGAGAGTGTACTACCGGCGGGTGTAGATGATGGTGTGATTGGAGTGGATTCTACGCGTGACTCGGAGTTGTTGTCTGAGATTCCTGAGAGACGAGGTGGAGACAGTGGTTGGGACTCTGACATGCTGTCATCTGATGGTGTGAGGTCTGGAGAAGTGTCTGTTATGCATGACCGACGTGGACTTGATTTGCGTGAAGCGATTGAATCAGGTCTTGTTGACACGAAGTCCGGCCTAGTTCGTGATCCATCGAGTGGTGAGGTGTTGACGTTGGCACAGGCTGTGGACAGTGGACTTATATCGGGTGAGCGATCGTTGATTCGTGATCCGAGTTCTGGACGTCTTGAGAGTCTTGGTAAGATGATGTTGACTGGTTTGTTGGCGCCTGTGGGTTTGATTGGCCTTGCTGTGGAGTCGATGTCGTCGAGATCAGGAGGTGTAGTGTGTCCGTCTACAGAGGCGTTTGAGCCTGTCTCTGAGGTTGGTGTGAGGAGGTTGTCTGGTGTAGAGTCAGTTGGTGAATCGGACGGTGCAGTGGCTGTGGGTGTTATTGATGATGGTGCTGTAGTGAGTGAATTGACTTCAGGTCAGCGAGAATCGACAGGTCGTCCATCAGATCTGATGAAGACAGACACCAGAGTTGGTGAACGTGGTGATTTGAGCTTCCTGTATGACGCGTCACGTGTTGTTGTAGAGGATGGCGAAGTAGCTGGTGTTGCAGCATCTTCGGAGAGGTTGAGGGAGTATGGTGTGTCGGATGTGCCTGGTGTATCCGGTGTTGGCGTAGTCGACGGTGGTGTGGATAGATCAGTGATGATGATGAGTGAGAGTGTACTACCGGCGGGTGTAGATGATGGTGTGATTGGAGTGGATTCCACGCGTGACTCGGAGTTGTTGTCTGAGATTCCTGAGAGACGAGGTGGAGACAGTGGTTGGGACTCTGACATGCTGTCATCTGATGGTGTGAGGTCTGGAGAAGTGTCTGTTATGCATGACCGACGTGGACTTGATTTGCGTGAAGCGATTGAATCAGGTCTTGTTGACACGAAGTCCGGCCTAGTTCGTGATCCATCGAGTGGTGAGGTGTTGACGTTGGCACAGGCTGTGGACAGTGGACTTATATCGGGTGAGCGATCGTTGATTCGTGATCCGAGTTCTGGACGTCTTGAGAGTCTTGGTAAGATGATGTTGACTGGTTTGTTGGCGCCTGTGGGTTTGATTGGCCTTGCTGTGGAGTCGATGTCGTCGAGATCAGGAGGTGTAGTGTGTCCGTCTACAGAGGCGTTTGAGCCTGTCTCTGAGGTTGGTGTGAGGAGGTTGTCTGGTGTAGAGTCAGTTGGTGAATCGGACGGTGCAGTGGCTGTGGGTGTTATTGATGATGGTGCTGTAGTGAGTGAATTGACTTCAGGTCAGCGAGAATCGACAGGTCGTCCATCAGATTTGATGAAGACAGACACCAGAGTTGGTGAACGTGGTGATTTGAGCTTCCTGTATGACGCGTCACGTGTTGTTGTAGAGGATGGCGAAGTAGCTGGTGTTGCAGCATCTTCGGAGAGGTTGAGGGAGTATGGTGTGTCGGATGTGCCTGGTGTATCCGGTGTTGGCGTAGTCGACGGTGGTGTGGATAGATCAGTGATGATGATGAGTGAGAGTGTACTACCGGCGGGTGTAGATGATGGTGTGATTGGAGTGGATTCTACGCGTGACTCGGAGTTGTTGTCTGAGATTCCTGAGAGACGAGGTGGAGACAGTGGTTGGGACTCTGACATGCTGTCATCTGATGGTGTGAGGTCTGGAGAAGTGTCTGTTATGCATGACCGACGTGGACTTGATTTGCGTGAAGCGATTGAATCAGGTCTTGTTGACACGAAGTCCGGCCTAGTTCGTGATCCATCGAGTGGTGAGGTGTTGACGTTGGCACAGGCTGTGGACAGTGGACTTATATCGGGTGAGCGATCGTTGATTCGTGATCCGAGTTCTGGACGTCTTGAGAGTCTTGGTAAGATGATGTTGACTGGTTTGTTGGCGCCTGTGGGTTTGATTGGCCTTGCTGTGGAGTCGATGTCGTCGAGATCAGGAGGTGTAGTGTGTCCGTCTACAGAGGCGTTTGAGCCTGTCTCTGAGGTTGGTGTGAGGAGGTTGTCTGGTGTAGAGTCAGTTGGTGAATCGGACGGTGCAGTGGCTGTGGGTGTTATTGATGATGGTGCTGTAGTGAGTGAATTGACTTCAGGTCAGCGAGAATCGACAGGTCGTCCATCAGATCTGATGAAGACAGACACCAGAGTTGGTGAACGTGGTGATTTGAGCTTCCTGTATGACGCGTCACGTGTTGTTGTAGAGGATGGCGAAGTAGCTGGTGTTGCAGCATCTTCGGAGAGGTTGAGGGAGTATGGTGTGTCGGATGTGCCTGGTGTATCCGGTGTTGGCGTAGTCGACGGTGGTGTGGATAGATCAGTGATGATGATGAGTGAGAGTGTACTACCGGCGGGTGTAGATGATGGTGTGATTGGAGTGGATTCTACGCGTGACTCGGAGTTGTTGTCTGAGATTCCTGAGAGACGAGGTGGAGACAGTGGTTGGGACTCTGACATGCTGTCATCTGATGGTGTGAGGTCTGGAGAAGTGTCTGTTATGCATGACCGACGTGGACTTGATTTGCGTGAAGCGATTGAATCAGGTCTTGTTGACACGAAGTCCGGCCTAGTTCGTGATCCATCGAGTGGTGAGGTGTTGACGTTGGCACAGGCTGTGGACAGTGGACTTATATCGGGTGAGCGATCGTTGATTCGTGATCCGAGTTCTGGACGTCTTGAGAGTCTTGGTAAGATGATGTTGACTGGTTTGTTGGCGCCTGTGGGTTTGATTGGCCTTGCTGTGGAGTCGATGTCGTCGAGATCAGGAGGTGTAGTGTGTCCGTCTACAGAGGCGTTTGAGCCTGTCTCTGAGGTTGGTGTGAGGAGGTTGTCTGGTGTAGAGTCAGTTGGTGAATCGGACGGTGCAGTGGCTGTGGGTGTTATTGATGATGGTGCTGTAGTGAGTGAATTGACTTCAGGTCAGCGAGAATCGACAGGTCGTCCATCAGATCTGATGAAGACAGACACCAGAGTTGGTGAACGTGGTGATTTGAGCTTCCTGTATGACGCGTCACGTGTTGTTGTAGAGGATGGCGAAGTAGCTGGTGTTGCAGCATCTTCGGAGAGGTTGAGGGAGTATGGTGTGTCGGATGTGCCTGGTGTATCCGGTGTTGGCGTAGTCGACGGTGGTGTGGATAGATCAGTGATGATGATGAGTGAGAGTGTACTACCGGCGGGTGTAGATGATGGTGTGATTGGAGTGGATTCTACGCGTGACTCGGAGTTGTTGTCTGAGATTCCTGAGAGACGAGGTGGAGACAGTGGTTGGGACTCTGACATGCTGTCATCTGATGGTGTGAGGTCTGGAGAAGTGTATGTTATGCATGACCGACGTGGACTTGATTTGCGTGAAGCGATTGAATCAGGTCTTGTTGACACGAAGTCCGGCCTAGTTCGTGATCCATCGAGTGGTGAGGTGTTGACGTTGGCACAGGCTGTGGACAGTGGACTTATATCGGGTGAGCGATCGTTGATTCGTGATCCGAGTTCCGGACGTCTTGAGAGTCTTGGTAAGATGATGTTGACTGGTTTGTTGGCGCCTGTGGGTTTGATTGGCCTTGCTGTGGAGTCGATGTCGTCGAGATCAGGAGGTGTAGTGTGTCCGTCTACAGAGGCGTTTGAGCCTGTCTCTGAGGTTGGTGTGAGGAGGTTGTCTGGTGTAGAGTCAGTTGGTGAATCGGACGGTGCAGTGGCTGTGGGTGTTATTGATGATGGTGCTGTAGTGAGTGAATTGACTTCAGGTCAGCGAGAATCGACAGGTCGTCCATCAGATCTGATGAAGACAGACACCAGAGTTGGTGAACGTGGTGATTTGAGCTTCCTGTATGACGCGTCACGTGTTGTTGTAGAGGATGGCGAAGTAGCTGGTGTTGCAGCATCTTCGGAGAGGTTGAGGGAGTATGGTGTGTCGGATGTGCCTGGTGTATCCGGTGTTGGCGTAGTCGACGGTGGTGTGGATAGATCAGTGATGATGATGAGTGAGAGTGTACTACCGGCGGGTGTAGATGATGGTGTGATTGGAGTGGATTCTACGCGTGACTCGGAGTTGTTGTCTGAGATTCCTGAGAGACGAGGTGGAGACAGTGGTTGGGACTCTGACATGCTGTCATCTGATGGTGTGAGGTCTGGAGAAGTGTCTGTTATGCATGACCGACGTGGACTTGATTTGCGTGAAGCGATTGAATCAGGTCTTGTTGACACGAAGTCCGGCCTAGTTCGTGATCCATCGAGTGGTGAGGTGTTGACGTTGGCACAGGCTGTGGACAGTGGACTTATATCGGGTGAGCGATCGTTGATTCGTGATCCGAGTTCCGGACGTCTTGAGAGTCTTGGTAAGATGATGTTGACTGGTTTGTTGGCGCCTGTGGGTTTGATTGGCCTTGCTGTGGAGTCGATGTCGTCGAGATCAGGAGGTGTAGTGTGTCCGTCTACAGAGGCGTTTGAGCCTGTCTCTGAGGTTGGTGTGAGGAGGTTGTCTGGTGTAGAGTCAGTTGGTGAATCGGACGGTGCAGTGGCTGTGGGTGTTATTGATGATGGTGCTGTAGTGAGTGAATTGACTTCAGGTCAGCGAGAATCGACAGGTCGTCCATCAGATCTGATGAAGACAGACACCAGAGTTGGTGAACGTGGTGATTTGAGCTTCCTGTATGACGCGTCACGTGTTGTTGTAGAGGATGGCGAAGTAGCTGGTGTTGCAGCATCTTCGGAGAGGTTGAGGGAGTATGGTGTGTCGGATGTGCCTGGTGTATCCGGTGTTGGCGTAGTCGACGGTGGTGTGGATAGATCAGTGATGATGATGAGTGAGAGTGTACTACCGGCGGGTGTAGATGATGGTGTGATTGGAGTGGATTCTACGCGTGACTCGGAGTTGTTGTCTGAGATTCCTGAGAGACGAGGTGGAGACAGTGGTTGGGACTCTGACATGCTGTCATCTGATGGTGTGAGGTCTGGAGAAGTGTATGTTATGCATGACCGACGTGGACTTGATTTGCGTGAAGCGATTGAATCAGGTCTTGTTGACACGAAGTCCGGCCTAGTTCGTGATCCATCGAGTGGTGAGGTGTTGACGTTGGCACAGGCTGTGGACAGTGGACTTATATCGGGTGAGCGATCGTTGATTCGTGATCCGAGTTCTGGACGTCTTGAGAGTCTTGGTAAGATGATGTTGACTGGTTTGTTGGCGCCTGTGGGTTTGATTGGCCTTGCTGTGGAGTCGATGTCGTCGAGATCAGGAGGTGTAGTGTGTCCGTCTACAGAGGCGTTTGAGCCTGTCTCTGAGGTTGGTGTGAGGAGGTTGTCTGGTGTAGAGTCAGTTGGTGAATCGGACGGTGCAGTGGCTGTGGGTGTTATTGATGATGGTGCTGTAGTGAGTGAATTGACTTCAGGTCAGCGAGAATCGACAGGTCGTCCATCAGATCTGATGAAGACAGACACCAGAGTCGGTGAACGTGGTGATTTGAGCTTCCTGTATGACGCGTCACGTGTTGTTGTAGAGGATGGCGAAGTAGCTGGTGTTGCAGCATCTTCGGAGAGGTTGAGGGAGTATGGTGTGTCGGATGTGCCTGGTGTATCCGGTGTTGGCGTAGTCGACGGTGGTGTGGATAGATCAGTGATGATGATGAGTGAGAGTGTACTACCGGCGGGTGTAGATGATGGTGTGATTGGAGTGGATTCTACGCGTGACTCGGAGTTGTTGTCTGAGATTCCTGAGAGACGAGGTGGAGACAGTGGTTGGGACTCTGACATGCTGTCATCTGATGGTGTGAGGTCTGGAGAAGTGTCTGTTATGCATGACCGACGTGGACTTGATTTGCGTGAAGCGATTGAATCAGGTCTTGTTGACACGAAGTCCGGCCTAGTTCGTGATCCATCGAGTGGTGAGGTGTTGACGTTGGCACAGGCTGTGGACAGTGGACTTATATCGGGTGAGCGATCGTTGATTCGTGATCCGAGTTCTGGACGTCTTGAGAGTCTTGGTAAGATGATGTTGACTGGTTTGTTGGCGCCTGTGGGTTTGATTGGCCTTGCTGTGGAGTCGATGTCGTCGAGATCAGGAGGTGTAGTGTGTCCGTCTACAGAGGCGTTTGAGCCTGTCTCTGAGGTTGGTGTGAGGAGGTTGTCTGGTGTAGAGTCAGTTGGTGAATCGGACGGTGCAGTGGCTGTGGGTGTTATTGATGATGGTGCTGTAGTGAGTGAATTGACTTCAGGTCAGCGAGAATCGACAGGTCGTCCATCAGATCTGATGAAGACAGACACCAGAGTTGGTGAACGTGGTGATTTGAGCTTCCTGTATGACGCGTCACGTGTTGTTGTAGAGGATGGCGAAGTAGCTGGTGTTGCAGCATCTTCGGAGAGGTTGAGGGAGTATGGTGTGTCGGATGTGCCTGGTGTATCCGGTGTTGGCGTAGTCGACGGTGGTGTGGATAGATCAGTGATGATGATGAGTGAGAGTGTACTACCGGCGGGTGTAGATGATGGTGTGATTGGAGTGGATTCTACGCGTGACTCGGAGTTGTTGTCTGAGATTCCTGAGAGACGAGGTGGAGACAGTGGTTGGGACTCTGACATGCTGTCATCTGATGGTGTGAGGTCTGGAGAAGTGTCTGTTATGCATGACCGACGTGGACTTGATTTGCGTGAAGCGATTGAATCAGGTCTTGTTGACACGAAGTCCGGCCTAGTTCGTGATCCATCGAGTGGTGAGGTGTTGACGTTGGCACAGGCTGTGGACAGTGGACTTATATCGGGTGAGCGATCGTTGATTCGTGATCCGAGTTCTGGACGTCTTGAGAGTCTTGGTAAGATGATGTTGACTGGTTTGTTGGCGCCTGTGGGTTTGATTGGCCTTGCTGTGGAGTCGATGTCGTCGAGATCAGGAGGTGTAGTGTGTCCGTCTACAGAGGCGTTTGAGCCTGTCTCTGAGGTTGGTGTGAGGAGGTTGTCTGGTGTAGAGTCAGTTGGTGAATCGGACGGTGCAGTGGCTGTGGGTGTTATTGATGATGGTGCTGTAGTGAGTGAATTGACTTCAGGTCAGCGAGAATCGACAGGTCGTCCATCAGATCTGATGAAGACAGACACCAGAGTTGGTGAACGTGGTGATTTGAGCTTCCTGTATGACGCGTCACGTGTTGTTGTAGAGGATGGCGAAGTAGCTGGTGTTGCAGCATCTTCGGAGAGGTTGAGGGAGTATGGTGTGTCGGATGTGCCTGGTGTATCCGGTGTTGGCGTAGTCGACGGTGGTGTGGATAGATCAGTGATGATGATGAGTGAGAGTGTACTACCGGCGGGTGTAGATGATGGTGTGATTGGAGTGGATTCTACGCGTGACTCGGAGTTGTTGTCTGAGATTCCTGAGAGACGAGGTGGAGACAGTGGTTGGGACTCTGACATGCTGTCATCTGATGGTGTGAGGTCTGGAGAAGTGTCTGTTATGCATGACCGACGTGGACTTGATTTGCGTGAAGCGATTGAATCAGGTCTTGTTGACACGAAGTCCGGCCTAGTTCGTGATCCATCGAGTGGTGAGGTGTTGACGTTGGCACAGGCTGTGGACAGTGGACTTATATCGGGTGAGCGATCGTTGATTCGTGATCCGAGTTCTGGACGTCTTGAGAGTCTTGGTAAGATGATGTTGACTGGTTTGTTGGCGCCTGTGGGTTTGATTGGCCTTGCTGTGGAGTCGATGTCGTCGAGATCAGGAGGTGTAGTGTGTCCGTCTACAGAGGCGTTTGAGCCTGTCTCTGAGGTTGGTGTGAGGAGGTTGTCTGGTGTAGAGTCAGTTGGTGAATCGGACGGTGCAGTGGCTGTGGGTGTTATTGATGATGGTGCTGTAGTGAGTGAATTGACTTCAGGTCAGCGAGAATCGACAGGTCGTCCATCAGATCTGATGAAGACAGACACCAGAGTTGGTGAACGTGGTGATTTGAGCTTCCTGTATGACGCGTCACGTGTTGTTGTAGAGGATGGCGAAGTAGCTGGTGTTGCAGCATCTTCGGAGAGGTTGAGGGAGTATGGTGTGTCGGATGTGCCTGGTGTATCCGGTGTTGGCGTAGTCGACGGTGGTGTGGATAGATCAGTGATGATGATGAGTGAGAGTGTACTACCGGCGGGTGTAGATGATGGTGTGATTGGAGTGGATTCTACGCGTGACTCGGAGTTGTTGTCTGAGATTCCTGAGAGACGAGGTGGAGACAGTGGTTGGGACTCTGACATGCTGTCATCTGATGGTGTGAGGTCTGGAGAAGTGTCTGTTATGCATGACCGACGTGGACTTGATTTGCGTGAAGCGATTGAATCAGGTCTTGTTGACACGAAGTCCGGCCTAGTTCGTGATCCATCGAGTGGTGAGGTGTTGACGTTGGCACAGGCTGTGGACAGTGGACTTATATCGGGTGAGCGATCGTTGATTCGTGATCCGAGTTCTGGACGTCTTGAGAGTCTTGGTAAGATGATGTTGACTGGTTTGTTGGCGCCTGTGGGTTTGATTGGCCTTGCTGTGGAGTCGATGTCGTCGAGATCAGGAGGTGTAGTGTGTCCGTCTACAGAGGCGTTTGAGCCTGTCTCTGAGGTTGGTGTGAGGAGGTTGTCTGGTGTAGAGTCAGTTGGTGAATCGGACGGTGCAGTGGCTGTGGGTGTTATTGATGATGGTGCTGTAGTGAGTGAATTGACTTCAGGTCAGCGAGAATCGACAGGTCGTCCATCAGATCTGATGAAGACAGACACCAGAGTTGGTGAACGTGGTGATTTGAGCTTCCTGTATGACGCGTCACGTGTTGTTGTAGAGGATGGCGAAGTAGCTGGTGTTGCAGCATCTTCGGAGAGGTTGAGGGAGTATGGTGTGTCGGATGTGCCTGGTGTATCCGGTGTTGGCGTAGTCGACGGTGGTGTGGATAGATCAGTGATGATGATGAGTGAGAGTGTACTACCGGCGGGTGTAGATGATGGTGTGATTGGAGTGGATTCTACGCGTGACTCGGAGTTGTTGTCTGAGATTCCTGAGAGACGAGGTGGAGACAGTGGTTGGGACTCTGACATGCTGTCATCTGATGGTGTGAGGTCTGGAGAAGTGTCTGTTATGCATGACCGACGTGGACTTGATTTGCGTGAAGCGATTGAATCAGGTCTTGTTGACACGAAGTCCGGCCTAGTTCGTGATCCATCGAGTGGTGAGGTGTTGACGTTGGCACAGGCTGTGGACAGTGGACTTATATCGGGTGAGCGATCGTTGATTCGTGATCCGAGTTCTGGACGTCTTGAGAGTCTTGGTAAGATGATGTTGACTGGTTTGTTGGCGCCTGTGGGTTTGATTGGCCTTGCTGTGGAGTCGATGTCGTCGAGATCAGGAGGTGTAGTGTGTCCGTCTACAGAGGCGTTTGAGCCTGTCTCTGAGGTTGGTGTGAGGAGGTTGTCTGGTGTAGAGTCAGTTGGTGAATCGGACGGTGCAGTGGCTGTGGGTGTTATTGATGATGGTGCTGTAGTGAGTGAATTGACTTCAGGTCAGCGAGAATCGACAGGTCGTCCATCAGATTTGATGAAGACAGACACCAGAGTTGGTGAACGTGGTGATTTGAGCTTCCTGTATGACGCGTCACGTGTTGTTGTAGAGGATGGCGAAGTAGCTGGTGTTGCAGCATCTTCGGAGAGGTTGAGGGAGTATGGTGTGTCGGATGTGCCTGGTGTATCCGGTGTTGGCGTAGTCGACGGTGGTGTGGATAGATCAGTGATGATGATGAGTGAGAGTGTACTACCGGCGGGTGTAGATGATGGTGTGATTGGAGTGGATTCTACGCGTGACTCGGAGTTGTTGTCTGAGATTCCTGAGAGACGAGGTGGAGACAGTGGTTGGGACTCTGACATGCTGTCATCTGATGGTGTGAGGTCTGGAGAAGTGTCTGTTATGCATGACCGACGTGGACTTGATTTGCGTGAAGCGATTGAATCAGGTCTTGTTGACACGAAGTCCGGCCTAGTTCGTGATCCATCGAGTGGTGAGGTGTTGACGTTGGCACAGGCTGTGGACAGTGGACTTATATCGGGTGAGCGATCGTTGATTCGTGATCCGAGTTCTGGACGTCTTGAGAGTCTTGGTAAGATGATGTTGACTGGTTTGTTGGCGCCTGTGGGTTTGATTGGCCTTGCTGTGGAGTCGATGTCGTCGAGATCAGGAGGTGTAGTGTGTCCGTCTACAGAGGCGTTTGAGCCTGTCTCTGAGGTTGGTGTGAGGAGGTTGTCTGGTGTAGAGTCAGTTGGTGAATCGGACGGTGCAGTGGCTGTGGGTGTTATTGATGATGGTGCTGTAGTGAGTGAATTGACTTCAGGTCAGCGAGAATCGACAGGTCGTCCATCAGATTTGATGAAGACAGACACCAGAGTTGGTGAACGTGGTGATTTGAGCTTCCTGTATGACGCGTCACGTGTTGTTGTAGAGGATGGCGAAGTAGCTGGTGTTGCAGCATCTTCGGAGAGGTTGAGGGAGTATGGTGTGTCGGATGTGCCTGGTGTATCCGGTGTTGGCGTAGTCGACGGTGGTGTGGATAGATCAGTGATGATGATGAGTGAGAGTGTACTACCGGCGGGTGTAGATGATGGTGTGATTGGAGTGGATTCTACGCGTGACTTGGAGTTGTTGTCTGAGATTCCTGAGAGACGAGGTGGAGACAGTGGTTGGGACTCTGACATGCTGTCATCTGATGGTGTGAGGTCTGGAGAAGTGTCTGTTATGCATGACCGACGTGGACTTGATTTGCGTGAAGCGATTGAATCAGGTCTTGTTGACACGAAGTCCGGCCTAGTTCGTGATCCATCGAGTGGTGAGGTGTTGACGTTGGCACAGGCTGTGGACAGTGGACTTATATCGGGTGAGCGATCGTTGATTCGTGATCCGAGTTCTGGACGTCTTGAGAGTCTTGGTAAGATGATGTTGACTGGTTTGTTGGCGCCTGTGGGTTTGATTGGCCTTGCTGTGGAGTCGATGTCGTCGAGATCAGGAGGTGTAGTGTGTCCGTCTACAGAGGCGTTTGAGCCTGTCTCTGAGGTTGGTGTGAGGAGGTTGTCTGGTGTAGAGTCAGTTGGTGAATCGGACGGTGCAGTGGCTGTGGGTGTTATTGATGATGGTGCTGTAGTGAGTGAATTGACTTCAGGTCAGCGAGAATCGACAGGTCGTCCATCAGATCTGATGAAGACAGACACCAGAGTTGGTGAACGTGGTGATTTGAGCTTCCTGTATGACGCGTCACGTGTTGTTGTAGAGGATGGCGAAGTAGCTGGTGTTGCAGCATCTTCGGAGAGGTTGAGGGAGTATGGTGTGTCGGATGTGCCTGGTGTATCCGGTGTTGGCGTAGTCGACGGTGGTGTGGATAGATCAGTGATGATGATGAGTGAGAGTGTACTACCGGCGGGTGTAGATGATGGTGTGATTGGAGTGGATTCTACGCGTGACTCGGAGTTGTTGTCTGAGATTCCTGAGAGACGAGGTGGAGACAGTGGTTGGGACTCTGACATGCTGTCATCTGATGGTGTGAGGTCTGGAGAAGTGTCTGTTATGCATGACCGACGTGGACTTGATTTGCGTGAAGCGATTGAATCAGGTCTTGTTGACACGAAGTCCGGCCTAGTTCGTGATCCATCGAGTGGTGAGGTGTTGACGTTGGCACAGGCTGTGGACAGTGGACTTATATCGGGTGAGCGATCGTTGATTCGTGATCCGAGTTCTGGACGTCTTGAGAGTCTTGGTAAGATGATGTTGACTGGTTTGTTGGCGCCTGTGGGTTTGATTGGCCTTGCTGTGGAGTCGATGTCGTCGAGATCAGGAGGTGTAGTGTGTCCGTCTACAGAGGCGTTTGAGCCTGTCTCTGAGGTTGGTGTGAGGAGGTTGTCTGGTGTAGAGTCAGTTGGTGAATCGGACGGTGCAGTGGCTGTGGGTGTTATTGATGATGGTGCTGTAGTGAGTGAATTGACTTCAGGTCAGCGAGAATCGACAGGTCGTCCATCAGATTTGATGAAGACAGACACCAGAGTTGGTGAACGTGGTGATTTGAGCTTCCTGTATGACGCGTCACGTGTTGTTGTAGAGGATGGCGAAGTAGCTGGTGTTGCAGTATCTTCGGAGAGGTTGAGGGAGTATGGTGTGTCGGATGTGCCTGGTGTATCCGGTGTTGGCGTAGTCGACGGTGGTGTGGATAGATCAGTGATGATGATGAGTGAGAGTGTACTACCGGCGGGTGTAGATGATGGTGTGATTGGAGTGGATTCTACGCGTGACTCGGAGTTGTTGTCTGAGATTCCTGAGAGACGAGGTGGAGACAGTGGTTGGGACTCTGACATGCTGTCATCTGATGGTGTGAGGTCTGGAGAAGTGTCTGTTATGCATGACCGACGTGGACTTGATTTGCGTGAAGCGATTGAATCAGGTCTTGTTGACACGAAGTCCGGCCTAGTTCGTGATCCATCGAGTGGTGAGGTGTTGACGTTGGCACAGGCTGTGGACAGTGGACTTATATCGGGTGAGCGATCGTTGATTCGTGATCCGAGTTCTGGACGTCTTGAGAGTCTTGGTAAGATGATGTTGACTGGTTTGTTGGCGCCTGTGGGTTTGATTGGCCTTGCTGTGGAGTCGATGTCGTCGAGATCAGGAGGTGTAGTGTGTCCGTCTACAGAGGCGTTTGAGCCTGTCTCTGAGGTTGGTGTGAGGAGGTTGTCTGGTGTAGAGTCAGTTGGTGAATCGGACGGTGCAGTGGCTGTGGGTGTTATTGATGATGGTGCTGTAGTGAGTGAATTGACTTCAGGTCAGCGAGAATCGACAGGTCGTCCATCAGATCTGATGAAGACAGACACCAGAGTTGGTGAACGTGGTGATTTGAGCTTCCTGTATGACGCGTCACGTGTTGTTGTAGAGGATGGCGAAGTAGCTGGTGTTGCAGCATCTTCGGAGAGGTTGAGGGAGTATGGTGTGTCGGATGTGCCTGGTGTATCCGGTGTTGGCGTAGTCGACGGTGGTGTGGATAGATCAGTGATGATGATGAGTGAGAGTGTACTACCGGCGGGTGTAGATGATGGTGTGATTGGAGTGGATTCTACGCGTGACTCGGAGTTGTTGTCTGAGATTCCTGAGAGACGAGGTGGAGACAGTGGTTGGGACTCTGACATGCTGTCATCTGATGGTGTGAGGTCTGGAGAAGTGTCTGTTATGCATGACCGACGTGGACTTGATTTGCGTGAAGCGATTGAATCAGGTCTTGTTGACACGAAGTCCGGCCTAGTTCGTGATCCATCGAGTGGTGAGGTGTTGACGTTGGCACAGGCTGTGGACAGTGGACTTATATCGGGTGAGCGATCGTTGATTCGTGATCCGAGTTCTGGACGTCTTGAGAGTCTTGGTAAGATGATGTTGACTGGTTTGTTGGCGCCTGTGGGTTTGATTGGCCTTGCTGTGGAGTCGATGTCGTCGAGATCAGGAGGTGTAGTGTGTCCGTCTACAGAGGCGTTTGAGCCTGTCTCTGAGGTTGGTGTGAGGAGGTTGTCTGGTGTAGAGTCAGTTGGTGAATCGGACGGTGCAGTGGCTGTGGGTGTTATTGATGATGGTGCTGTAGTGAGTGAATTGACTTCAGGTCAGCGAGAATCGACAGGTCGTCCATCAGATCTGATGAAGACAGACACCAGAGTTGGTGAACGTGGTGATTTGAGCTTCCTGTATGACGCGTCACGTGTTGTTGTAGAGGATGGCGAAGTAGCTGGTGTTGCAGCATCTTCGGAGAGGTTGAGGGAGTATGGTGTGTCGGATGTGCCTGGTGTATCCGGTGTTGGCGTAGTCGACGGTGGTGTGGATAGATCAGTGATGATGATGAGTGAGAGTGTACTACCGGCGGGTGTAGATGATGGTGTGATTGGAGTGGATTCTACGCGTGACTCGGAGTTGTTGTCTGAGATTCCTGAGAGACGAGGTGGAGACAGTGGTTGGGACTCTGACATGCTGTCATCTGATGGTGTGAGGTCTGGAGAAGTGTCTGTTATGCATGACCGACGTGGACTTGATTTGCGTGAAGCGATTGAATCAGGTCTTGTTGACACGAAGTCCGGCCTAGTTCGTGATCCATCGAGTGGTGAGGTGTTGACGTTGGCACAGGCTGTGGACAGTGGACTTATATCGGGTGAGCGATCGTTGATTCGTGATCCGAGTTCTGGACGTCTTGAGAGTCTTGGTAAGATGATGTTGACTGGTTTGTTGGCGCCTGTGGGTTTGATTGGCCTTGCTGTGGAGTCGATGTCGTCGAGATCAGGAGGTGTAGTGTGTCCGTCTACAGAGGCGTTTGAGCCTGTCTCTGAGGTTGGTGTGAGGAGGTTGTCTGGTGTAGAGTCAGTTGGTGAATCGGACGGTGCAGTGGCTGTGGGTGTTATTGATGATGGTGCTGTAGTGAGTGAATTGACTTCAGGTCAGCGAGAATCGACAGGTCGTCCATCAGATCTGATGAAGACAGACACCAGAGTTGGTGAACGTGGTGATTTGAGCTTCCTGTATGACGCGTCACGTGTTGTTGTAGAGGATGGCGAAGTAGCTGGTGTTGCAGCATCTTCGGAGAGGTTGAGGGAGTATGGTGTGTCGGATGTGCCTGGTGTATCCGGTGTTGGCGTAGTCGACGGTGGTGTGGATAGATCAGTGATGATGATGAGTGAGAGTGTACTACCGGCGGGTGTAGATGATGGTGTGATTGGAGTGGATTCTACGCGTGACTCGGAGTTGTTGTCTGAGATTCCTGAGAGACGAGGTGGAGACAGTGGTTGGGACTCTGACATGCTGTCATCTGATGGTGTGAGGTCTGGAGAAGTGTCTGTTATGCATGACCGACGTGGACTTGATTTGCGTGAAGCGATTGAATCAGGTCTTGTTGACACGAAGTCCGGCCTAGTTCGTGATCCATCGAGTGGTGAGGTGTTGACGTTGGCACAGGCTGTGGACAGTGGACTTATATCGGGTGAGCGATCGTTGATTCGTGATCCGAGTTCTGGACGTCTTGAGAGTCTTGGTAAGATGATGTTGACTGGTTTGTTGGCGCCTGTGGGTTTGATTGGCCTTGCTGTGGAGTCGATGTCGTCGAGATCAGGAGGTGTAGTGTGTCCGTCTACAGAGGCGTTTGAGCCTGTCTCTGAGGTTGGTGTGAGGAGGTTGTCTGGTGTAGAGTCAGTTGGTGAATCGGACGGTGCAGTGGCTGTGGGTGTTATTGATGATGGTGCTGTAGTGAGTGAATTGACTTCAGGTCAGCGAGAATCGACAGGTCGTCCATCAGATTTGATGAAGACAGACACCAGAGTTGGTGAACGTGGTGATTTGAGCTTCCTGTATGACGCGTCACGTGTTGTTGTAGAGGATGGCGAAGTAGCTGGTGTTGCAGCATCTTCGGAGAGGTTGAGGGAGTATGGTGTGTCGGATGTGCCTGGTGTATCCGGTGTTGGCGTAGTCGACGGTGGTGTGGATAGATCAGTGATGATGATGAGTGAGAGTGTACTACCGGCGGGTGTAGATGATGGTGTGATTGGAGTGGATTCTACGCGTGACTCGGAGTTGTTGTCTGAGATTCCTGAGAGACGAGGTGGAGACAGTGGTTGGGACTCTGACATGCTGTCATCTGATGGTGTGAGGTCTGGAGAAGTGTCTGTTATGCATGACCGACGTGGACTTGATTTGCGTGAAGCGATTGAATCAGGTCTTGTTGACACGAAGTCCGGCCTAGTTCGTGATCCATCGAGTGGTGAGGTGTTGACGTTGGCACAGGCTGTGGACAGTGGACTTATATCGGGTGAGCGATCGTTGATTCGTGATCCGAGTTCTGGACGTCTTGAGAGTCTTGGTAAGATGATGTTGACTGGTTTGTTGGCGCCTGTGGGTTTGATTGGCCTTGCTGTGGAGTCGATGTCGTCGAGATCAGGAGGTGTAGTGTGTCCGTCTACAGAGGCGTTTGAGCCTGTCTCTGAGGTTGGTGTGAGGAGGTTGTCTGGTGTAGAGTCAGTTGGTGAATCGGACGGTGCAGTGGCTGTGGGTGTTATTGATGATGGTGCTGTAGTGAGTGAATTGACTTCAGGTCAGCGAGAATCGACAGGTCGTCCATCAGATCTGATGAAGACAGACACCAGAGTTGGTGAACGTGGTGATTTGAGCTTCCTGTATGACGCGTCACGTGTTGTTGTAGAGGATGGCGAAGTAGCTGGTGTTGCAGCATCTTCGGAGAGGTTGAGGGAGTATGGTGTGTCGGATGTGCCTGGTGTATCCGGTGTTGGCGTAGTCGACGGTGGTGTGGATAGATCAGTGATGATGATGAGTGAGAGTGTACTACCGGCGGGTGTAGATGATGGTGTGATTGGAGTGGATTCTACGCGTGACTCGGAGTTGTTGTCTGAGATTCCTGAGAGACGAGGTGGAGACAGTGGTTGGGACTCTGACATGCTGTCATCTGATGGTGTGAGGTCTGGAGAAGTGTCTGTTATGCATGACCGACGTGGACTTGATTTGCGTGAAGCGATTGAATCAGGTCTTGTTGACACGAAGTCCGGCCTAGTTCGTGATCCATCGAGTGGTGAGGTGTTGACGTTGGCACAGGCTGTGGACAGTGGACTTATATCGGGTGAGCGATCGTTGATTCGTGATCCGAGTTCTGGACGTCTTGAGAGTCTTGGTTTTTTACTCTTGTCTCTGTGTGTCTTCTTAGTTTTCTCTTTTTGCTTTCTCAATTTTTTCCGATGTTTTTTTTATTTTATGTGTTTATCTGTTTCTTTTTTTCGCTTAGTAATTTTTCCCTAGTTGTTTGTTTTGTCAAATGTTTTTGGAGCGTTTGTTCGTATCTGTAATTTTTTTCCTGAATTTTATTCCTTATGTCTCAGCCTTTAGTTGTTGATTTTACTCGTCGCTTGCTCATCGCCTTAGTATTCTGTTACTGTTTTGTCAGCAAGCTGTATACTGTCTTTGGTGTATACTTTTTACGGCCTATTGTCTGTTTTGTTTGGCCAGAGTTTTTGGTCCACTGCTAGGCTTTAATGTTGACTGTTATTTGTGTGGCTTGGATTTTTATTTGTAGCATGGCACCTAATTTATATAGTATCTATTGTTGATGTCATCGTGTATATGATGTTATGTTTATCCCTATCGTACGCCACAGACCTTCTGTACTATCTGTTTCTGGGTGATCTGTTTACAATCTGAATTTTCCTTATTGAATACTTCAAAACCTAATTAGATGAATTATTATTTTTTTTTTAAATTTCAGCATTGCATTAAATATTATCTGTTGTTAGTGGGTAATTTCTAAAGAGGTAAAATTTGAGGGGATACAATTCGCATATCACGTTGACACTGTTTAATGTTTCAAGATAGAGGGAAATAACTAATGAAACGTACATATCAGTTAAAAACGGAGTTACATGATGTTGCCTTAAAATGTTTTCAGTAAATGCATATAAGTTAAAGTGAAATATAGTGTTATCTTGTATCAGAGCTTTAACCTATAATTACACTCAAATTGTGTTGCGATTACCTTCAGCACATCATTCGAATTTATGCTGTCCGACACTATGATGAGAATGCATACTTATTTCATAGTTCGGTGATCATATTCTCAGAAATACAGCCATATGTATGCATTTTTATACACATAGTCATACTACAGTTCTTCTGCAATCTTTATTTCTCTTTGTTCTGGCAGTCCCCATTTAAATAACATATTTTGTTGCTATTTTCCTGGACCGTTATTAAAGTAATTGAAGTTCATCCTAATAATAGAGTGTTTAATAATATGTATGTTGTCTAAAATGTTTTCCATGACCGAGTAAATCGACAAAGGTATACCTAAACTACTACTATCCAATAAGATCTAATTTTTATTTGACATCTTACTCGATAGTCACTTATCGCTTTGATAAATTCAATTTGGCACTATAACATGTAGTTTGCTAGAAATTTAAAATACCACGGCTTATTTAAAACAATTAGTTCCCTTTATGAATTTAGATAAAGCAATAAGAAGAGTTAATTTGTCTGAATCGTGTAATGTATTTGCACAACACATTTCGAACAATCTGATCACACACAGAATTGTCATAGGAATATATATAAAGGTAATCAAGAGTTAAGAAGTGAGAGAATAAACATAGGTCAAGTTAGAAGGACATATTGAAGGTCAAAATAACAATGATCACTAATTTTCTATAGTTGGTTTGTAAGGTTTAGTTTTGTTTTTATGATCACTAAACCAAATAAGAGAGGTAATAGTACACCTGCCCTGACTGGTATCAAAACAAAGTTTACCAAGGAAGGTAGTTGAGTGTGATGACGAATTGTTTTTGAACGCATAAAGGTGGTTTAAACTTTCTAATTGCTAGGGCTTCCACAAACTTTAGGATACGCCCCAAACACGTTTTATAGATAGGTTTAAAAGATCTGTTAACGTCAATTTTATGTCCTATCTCCATAATATGTTTCGCAATAGAGGAGCTAGGTCTCCAGTTCTGGGGATTCTATTTGCTTCTGGAGCCATTTAGGAATATACTCCGTTAGAGCCTCTTTTAGCAGATATCTATATGTCGTACATTGAGAGTTTATCGGAGGATTTAATCGAAAATGTGCCACTTTATAGAAGGTATGTAGACGATATTGTAATCATCAGTGATAAGTCTTGTTCTGCTACCTCAATTTTAAATCGAATGAATTAAGTCCAAAATAGCATATCACTTACATCTGTAGAAGAGGAAGATAACTGTTTATCTGCCCTAGATTCATTGCTTAGTCGACGGCTTGATGGGTTAATAAAACGATCTATTTATAGAAAACCTACCTGGGCAGGACAGTATCTTAATTACCACAGTTTCTGCCCTGTTCGGTACAAAAGAGCCTTAGTAAGGTGCCTCTTCAGTAGAATCCAACGTATAATCTGAAGACGTACTTGATGTAGAAGAAAGAAAGTTGACACAAACAAGTTGATCAGGAGATATAAAGTAGTTAGAACATCAAGACCCACTCTCCAACTCGCCCCTTAGAAAGCCGTCTACATCAAGCTACCCTATATGGGGCATCATAGCAGCTTGATAACTAGACAAAAAATGAACACTGCTGTTAAAAAGACTTTTTATGCAGCTATTATCATAATAATTGAGAATCTGAAGACAATATATCCATCTAAGCCCTCTGAACATGCGTCGGTGGCACAGTGGTTAGGACTCTCGCCGACCATGCACATGGTCTAGGGTTCGATCCCCTGCCGGCGCACACCCGATATCTATGGTCGGCCTGAATTTGGGCTACCGATATCCATGCTGAAAATTCCACACTTGTACTGAAAATACGGTGTGGAATCAAGCTGAAAATCAAAAAAAAATTTAAAAAAAATGTTGTCACATCCCACTGTATTTACCAATTTGAGTGTACGTGTGGACACACATACATAGGGAGGACTCATCGATCTCTGCAAGTAAGTGCTTCAGAGTATATTCCTAAATGGCTCCAGAAGCAAATAGAATCCCCAGAACTGGAGACCTAGCTCCTCTATTGCGAAACATATTATGGAGATAGGACATAAAATTGACGTTAACAGATCTTTTAAACCTATCTATAAAACGTGTTTGGGGCGTATCCTAAAGTTTGTGGAAGCCCTAGCAATTAGAAAGTTTAAACCACCTTTATGCGTTCAAAAACAATTCGTCATCACACTCAACTACCTTCCTTGGTAAACTTTGTTTTGATACCAGTCAGGGCAGGTGTACTATTACCTCTCTTATTTGGTTTAGTGATCATAAAAACAAAACTAAACCTTACAAACCAACTATAGAAAATTAGTGATCATTGTTATTTTGACCTTCAATATGTCCTTCTAACTTGACCTATGTTTATTCTCTCACTTCTTAACTCTTGATTACCTTTATATATATTCCTATGACAATTCTGTGTGTGATCAGATTGTTCGAAATGTGTTGTGCAAATACATTACACGATTCAGACAAATTAACTCTCCTTATTGATTTGTCCACAGCTTATTTGTTGTAGGGTTTTGGGTTTCCCGTGGTAGACTCTTATGTTTATGATACGGAATTATTCAGAACAACTCTCAGAACATTAATGGGTGTTGGTTCATTCCTAAGTCTTGATTGGCATTAGTTTTCTTCTGATCAGATTTACTTGCTCTGCTGTTCATTTATTTTTCATTGTAAACTTTTTAGTCTTAATCACTTCATCATCATACATCTTTGTACTATTCCATTTGTTACTTTACTTTCACAAACTTTATTCCGAATCACTTTCAGGTAGATTTACTTATCCTGAAAAAGATCATTTTTACTGTTCGTCGATCAGTTAATCAGAATTCTGATTGAGAGATAAATTTTTCTTAGTAGATTTCATGTTGTTAGTCATTTGTTTTGTTTTTCAAGAGAATGCATGATAGATTTTGATTTGAAGGCTGACCTATGCTTTTTCATGGTGACAAACAATGATGCTTATTGTATCACTTATATCACGGAAATCGTTTTTGATGGGCTATTTAAAAAAAAATGGTTTTACTAGTTTGCATTTCCTTCGGTTTAGTAGAACCGTTTTATGTACGTATATTTTATCAGCATTATTCGTTTTGCTTTTGTTGTCACTAGTTGTGTACACTACTGTCAACGTTAGTAGTTACAGTAGTACTAGTAGTAATAATGATTATGAAGAATGCTCATAATCGTTTTGAGACTTGATCTCTGAATGTTTTCCGTAAGTTTTAATATTTTCTTATTTCTGTATCATAGGATATGTATACTGTTTTCAAAATATTCCAACCGTAATAAGATTCCGTTGTGATTTCTTGTTTTTCTGAATACAACTTATTGTCTGCTTGATATTGTAAATGGTAATAGACTAAGTTGAAGTGAAGGTTGGCAGTATGTACAGTGCAGACTGACACCATTATTTTAAATCTATTCATAGCAAATAACACTGATTACTAAGGCGATCATAGTGAGTTGAATATCCGACAGTCATTTCACTCATTTACAGCGGATCCTATCGGCGATATGTCCGAATGAATTCAGCTTTTTTAAAATGCGATGTCTTTTCTTTCACAAATTATTTGGATAGTTGCAAAATTTGCCGTCTACCAGTGTCGTATAAATAAAATTTAATTAATTACTAAATGTTTCTAAATCATTTTTGTTCCTGTCTCGCTGTCTAACGTTATGTGCCTCATAACTTTATATACATAAGCTTCTTTTTTTCATTTTCATATATTTCTAACAAACCTAGAGTAAAGGTGTGCAAGTTAACCCTTTAAAATAAGGAGATAGTCTTTGTTCAATGAAGAATTCAGAAAAATGAGAAGGGTATATTATAAAACAGTGTGAATGGTGTATTTTCCCAACGTTCATATATCCCTGTCGGAAAAGACCATAAAGTGTGCTTTTGCTCCAGTAATTTCTGTTAGGACTACTACTTTATAGCGAAGAGCACAGCAGGAAGAAGTGTTGGCTGACACTCACCTGCTCTCTTGAAATTGGTTTACGAAAAGAACCATGATCTTAAACTTTGAAGCGGATATAATTCTTGAATGAATTTTACTTTTCCCTAATTTAAGCACACCGCACACAATCGATTCTACTTCATGGTGCAAATAAATTAGTAAAGCTGACAAGTTAAGTAATGCCGGAAAGTGTTCAAAGTGAAATTAACAATAATAATAATAATAATCGACAATAAGGCAAGGATATGCAGAAGTATTATAATCCCCTTTCATACTTTAGCCCTATTTATTTTTCGTTTTGTTTATTCAATTCGTATATCCTTCACTTATTATGTCGACTGTCATTATTAATTATACTTTGAACAATTTCCGGTATTATATAACTTGTCATCTTTATTTACTTAGTTCAGTCTAATTTTTGCAATATTTTCTTATGGTAAATAAGTGAATATTTAGATTAGCTACTAACACCAATATAAGTAGTATTGTTAAGATTGTAATGACTCATGAATTTCCTGTTTACTTTTAAAATCACTTAGATGCCTTATAAATTGTTTTAATATCTGAAATATTCTTAGGAATCCAAATACAAAGTAAATTATTTTCATATGAAATTTTGTAGCCAACGGGATCAGAGACAACGAAACGTCTTATTTCTCAACTACTTGCTGCACTTGACAAAGAAGCTTTATGGATAACAGATTTCGAATCACAAATTTTAAAAATGGGACACTTAAGCCTGGATGATAATCTGAATCGTCATCTTCTGGATGATCACCAAGTGGGTTGAATGATTATTTTTATCATAAATTCTCTGTTTGTAATAAAATTATCGCAGACCGTAAAAGTAGATTTTTAGTATCCTAATCAATGGTATAAAAATAAGCATAGTTCTTCTCGAGTTAAAATTCTATGGTACACTTTGAGTAACTGGTTGTCGTCTTTGTAAACCAGAGTTTTAACAGATTAACAGTGGAAAATAGAAAACTACTCTATCGAACTCCATCAGTTACAAAATGAAAATAACAATGTCTCAAAAGCTTGATGAGCACTTAAAAGATGATACGTACTACTGATTTACATCAGTAGTCGGGAACTAACCATGTCAATCAGTAGTGCTTGCCAGCTAAACCGAAGTTTCGCTGGTTTGGAGTCGAGTTTATCAGCAGCTCACCCCGTTGTACACACTCCAGAGAGCCAAATCACTTCAAACCACCCGAATTGCAGTTAGCTATTTGGGTAAACTGGGAAAACATAAAATCATAATTCAGGAATTATAGAGTTCATTATGAAAATTCACCACAGTTTCCGTGGGTAACTGAAAATCTTCAGATAACGGTGTGTGATCTGCTTGGTTTCATAAGTCAAGGAAACAGGCAAAACTAAAAATTGTATATACTATTGATTGACATGAGTAGTTGGTATGATAATAATAGTTTATATGATTAAATGAATGCATCATCAGTTAAGTTGTAAAATCTTGTCGGGTCATATTTTTATGATAAAGCTCCTCCACTACTGCTTATCAACCAGTATATGAAATCTGCATAGAGTTGGAAATGTTCATTGTGTAAAAACTCTTGTCCTGTCGAATAGTTTTGACACTGATTCTTCCAGTGTTTTTCTGAATGGATTTTCCCAAATTTTCGCCTTTCAATACTAAATCTAATCAATTTTTATGTGTATGTATTTTTACTGCAGGAGATCTTAGACAAAATTCGTATTCGCCAGTCTACAAGTAGATCTATACTGTTTCAAGCTGAACAAGCTGTTGAAGCACTACGTAATGGAAATCAACCAGAATCTATTTGGAAACCATTACAATCTAAATGTCAGGAGTTAAGAACAAGATTAGAAGATGTAAGATCAAAATCGTAATATATATGTTTTTGTCATAAACTTTACATTGTTTATGGATATTTTTAACGTTTAACTGACATTTAATAGTGAAAATTTTCGACAACAGGTGTGTTTGGAGACCGAAACGAAGATGCCTTATTTTTAAGGGCAAATGTCTATTGCCTCCACCACTCTAAATGTTATTTATTCATTTCAAACTACGTATTTAGTACAGTAAGTAAATATTGCACCTCACCACTACTACTACTTCTACTACTATAAAAACAAATATTTTATTTCTCTATTCTTCTCGAAAAAGACTACCAGCCTGGGTATCAGTTGACTAACCTTAAACAAGTTTTAACAAGTGTGATATAAAACATAAGATGAACGGTTAAAGCAGTACAGAATCCTGGAAAAAATGCTAGAATTTTCAGCAGTAAAAAGAGAACATCACAAGAAGTAGGGAGATTAACAAGATAAATATTAGAGGAGGGTGAAGAAGTCAATGAAGATTAGTAAGTTGTTAAGTATTTCAAAAACAACAGCAGTTCGCTGGCCTTGTAACCAGAAAGTTCTGGGTTCGAACCCTGGCGGTGGATGCGTACACCCGAAGAGTCCCAAAATAGGATGAAACACCTGTCCAGTACTCCCAGGTTTTCCAATGGTTCTCTAAACGATGTCAGCTCGTGACGAAATCCTCCAACCAATCAAAAGAAATCCCTACAAAACCAGCACTTGAAAATGAGATATGTGAAGGCGGACAACAATCTAGTTATCATTAGGTAGATCCGGAATGATTGACCCTGCAAGGTGAATAATCTAGGAAAATGGCCGGTCATTGCAATACATTCACCTGGATGTAATCACACAATAGAGTGAGGTGGATTAAAAACTTTAAATAGCATAAATATGTAGTGACAGATGTCAATTGCCGAATGTTTGTTCATCTAGTTAACACTGATCATGTGCAATCAGAATGACTCAACACCTCTACTGGATATACGGAAAATTACAATAAAAAACAACACAGAGTACAATCAAACGGTGTGTAAATGAATGAATAGAAAGTCTCTCTATTACTTTCCTATTAGATATTCATTTCTGTGAATTATCACTTATCTTAATGGTCATATTGAAAGCCCATTTAATAGACATTGGTCAGTCCTTAGGGCTTGATAAGTTCGCTAATTACGAACATGTAACATACATTATACACTAAGGATAGAAATTTTGTCTGAATTCTAATTCAATCACAAGCTTATGTGCATGAATGCCTAAGAAAACCCGCCTGTTTTCCAAGCCTCATATTATTATTATTATTATTATTATTCAAATAATAAGTTTTAGTTTTATTTGTTCGTAGACTTATCTTCACTTCGGCAGCTTTCATCCCTTTCTGTTTTTTTTAAATTAACATCCAGGACACTCCTGTATTAGTTAAACTTTTGAGGAGTTAAGATTATATATAGCTGAAATGTTTTAAAATTTATCGGTAGACACTTAGTAAATGGATTCACCTACAAACATCAGAATAAGACTATCTTTGAACAGTGGCATAAGTTACTATCTTTTCTTTTCTTTTTATATTTTCAGCTGCAAACTGAAGCAGAAAGTCGTGTACGTATTCTACTCAATAGTTTAGATTCATTAGAACACCTTACTTATAAACTTCAAAGTCTTAGAAGTCTGTTAGAAAATTTAGAGTCTGTACTAGTTCTCAGTGCATCCAATACACCAATGAAAGGTGAAGAGAATCAACTTGCAAACAAGCTGAAAGCTCTTAATCATCCAGATGAAATAACTCCACTTATTTTACGCCTTAAAGCTGCACTAACTGAATCGAATTCAGCTCACAACAATATTATCAGCACATTACCTAGTGTAATGCAGAAATTTATGGCAACTGTTTATCGCTATTCTGATAGTAAAGTAAGTATATGACAGTTGTAATTCTTTTTGTTATCTTTTTTGTGAATACACACCATACTACTATTGATGGATATAAGAATAGAAGTTGTGCACTGTGGTAGAGTATAATTCCATTATGAGTAAAAAATTTTTTGATGAAGTCTCCCAGTGTTATACAGTAATGTTTACTGATGACGTTTTGAGCACAATTTATTGCTTATAACCATATCATACCCACATAATGGTATAATTGGTGGACTTTCTAAACCCCGCGTAAATACGGTTTTTAAAAAAATTTTTATCTGTATTTCACATGTTTGTGTACTTTGAGGGCGAAATCATCCGAATCATGAAACATGAATCAATCGTCGTCTTCAATCCTAACACAAATTTATGTCCGCTAATGAAGCATTAAAACTCGGTCGGTCGGTCGGTTTTCGACATAGAACTTTGCACATATGTGCGGCAGTTCAAGTCGCCACACTCCCCACATGTAGCACACAAAGCAAGAAAAGAAAGTAGAAGAAATGCATAATATAGACAGTAAACAGAGGTGTGAGACAAAGGAATAGTAATAACGAAGAACAATATAGTTTCTTTGGAAATCATAAGTCACAAGGAGTGGATGCATCTGCGCTAGCCATTGAGAACGATTTTGAGCCATGTCACCAAATTGTTTCCAACCATTGGTTTTTACCGTCCCGAGGACCCCAACCAGGAAGTCTACATTTTCCAACGTGGCTTAGACTAACTGTTGTGGATTTCATTGACTGGTGCCATGTTTCGTTTGACCGCCGCTAGCTCTTTTCCAGCCTGGCCCTATATCAGCTAACATTGCCCGTCGAAGAAGGCGATGACTAGGCATACGTAACACATGTCCTAACCATCTCAGTCGATGTAATTCACAATCTCGTCGATTGATTTCCCCTCCTTACCTAGCACTCGACGCCTAACCTCAATATAAGGACAATGGACAAAGTTCTTATCTTGGTGTTTAAAATTCATCAGCAGTACACATTCACGACCTTAGACAACGCAACTGGCAAATCGAGTATGGTGGATATCTCATTCTCAATTACATCTAATACTTTAATGTTATATTTCAAAATAGTTTTCATGATGAATACACATTATTTGAAAGATAGTGTTGGGCAGTCTTTTCGTCCATATTCAATACTCTTCATTTGTGCTCAGAACATTTATTCAATACTTTTTTGTTTCCAGTTTAATCCTACCTGACGTTGATGAGCAATAAGAACCCATTCATCACAAACCTTCAAGATGTATTACATTTTTATTTTATTCCTTTACGTTCCCAGTGGAACATAGGGCTTCAAACTACAGGCTTGAAGTTTCAGTAGCAGTGGTAATTATTTTTATGGGATGAGGTTGCTAGCCTCATGACCAACCTTTCCTCTTTACCAGTCTCATTACTTTTCAGATAAACTACGTCTTCTTATTGTGTTGTCGAAATTCATAAAGGGAACTGATTGCTTTAAAGCCTCATTACTGGCTTAGCGAGATAAAGGAGTGCGTCGGCCAGGGATTGAACCCCGAACCACCTGCGTGATTCGCGAGCATCCTACGGCTGTGCCACCGATGCACCTACACTTCTGCTATCATTATATTTATATTACAGTCATTATATTGGAAATGTATTCGTTTCTTAATGTAAACACGTTTGACTTTCTTCCTATGATAATTTATTTTTTTCAAATTTTTTAAATACAGAAAGCATATAACAACAAATTGAATCATTTTACTGGCTTGAAGTGTAAACAATACGAAGAAGAAATGGAAAGGAATGATAGGGAGTTAGAAGATCGGATACAGAATACAGTTAAAGAAGCCAACAATCGTCTTGTACAATTACTCAGTCGTTTAGAGACACAATCAACACACCTTACTGAAGTTAATGCAATCAACAATCACTATCAAAAGCAATTATCTGAATCAACGAGTCAATTAGATAAAATTAAATTACAATTGAATAATATTCAGAAAAGTGTTCTGCGACCAGAAGAATTAAACACTTTATCCTCTAATAAGATTAAACAAATTAGTCAAGAACAACTGAATAAATTATATACACTACAAGGGGATTTAAGTAAAATTGAAAATGACTTAAAGGTAAGTTATATATGTATACATACATATATATATATTTCACCTCATCCCATGGTTTCTTATTATTTTTATTCATAATAACTCTACACCCTGTTTAATTTACTCCTGAGAAGTGAACCAATGAAGCGATAAGTTCTCCTCCATGGTTTTTTCTAGTAATTTCTTCTACCACACAACTGTTTAACAAGTGCTTCAAACTACAGTGATTATAATGGCTTAAATTGTCATATAGTCATTTTCGAGTATTGGTTCTGTAGGTATTTTGTTTGATTGCCACAATTTTGTTATGCTTTTCTCATTTATCATAGGCTTCGTGTTATCTGACAAGTGAGTATTCAGTTCACTAACTCAAGTAGGTGATAATCATTAGGAAGACATATCTGCATTTTTGATGAACAAGCTCAGCAACCAATATTACCATTTGTTCCTAAGAGTTATCTGAAGATTATTGATTGAATTTGCAAAGTGATCGCTTGGTTAAGCGAAATTACAGTACACCAAAGTCTACTCGTGCTTTTATGCTAGATGTTATACTCAACATATACGTATACCTGACCGGTATATTTTGTTCAGTACTAAGAGATACACAAACACAATGTTTGCCATTCTCCGGGTAACTCTAGTTGTCAATACAGTCATGTTTCAGGGTCACTTGTGAAATGAATAGCTTACTGTCAAAATTTCTGACTCCGAAAATGACTGGTGTAAGTTTGAATGGTGCAGAGGAAATATGTTTCTTTACAGTCATACATACACTCTCTCTATAAGTCCGCATAATCACGAACCTATTCCAGTAACGAAGTCCTGCATACTGACTGTTAACCTATAATATGTTTTTAATAATAGTAATATTTGGTTTGTTTTCTTTTCTTTTTCTTATTCTTTAGACTTTGGAAAGTGTAGATTTGCATTCACTTAAAGATAAGTTAACAGAAGCTAATCTAATCTCAAATAATTTAATCAGTGTAATTACTGAACCATTGTCAAACTCATTGGCTTATCAAAAACAATTAAGTGATCACTGTGAACAGTTAGAAAAACAATTTATGAAATATATTTTGGCAAATCAAACTGTTCAAGAATGTTTGAATGAATTCATGAATCACACCGATCGAATTGGAGATGACTTATCACGTGACAGTGTCGGTGACAAGAGTATAATAAAGACAGATGGACTTCCTTCAGATTTAACTAAATTACATGAAACTTTAGCACACATCAACACTATGCAATCTGCTTCACAGTCGATAAGAGATCGTTTAAATCAAACAGTTGAAGAAGTCAAGTTAACTGATCCTAGCAAACTTCGAGCAGTTCAATCTGAATTAAAACAAACTGACGTTTTGGATAATCGGTATGACTGATTTGTTATTTTTGTTTTTCATCGGTTACAGATTAAGCAGATTTCATTTGAATTAGTACTCAGTATTTTTATTTGAATGCTTATTGTGTTAACAGTATTCCATAAACAAAACACCTCAGTAAGCTTGTTGACATTACAGGATTTCATTCAGTGAAACGACTCATTTTTTTTATTAAATAGTGCAACTTTGACTGCATTAATTATCCTTCAAGTGAAAATACATCCGAAGGGTAATAATATGTTTAGCAAATGCTTATGTATGCAACAGCTAATCATAAAACACTTTAAAATGATTTAATAGAGATTTAATACACTTGAATAACATCACTGAATTACATGATACATCCTCTATAAGTGTTCTTCCTTTATTAATCTAAACTGTTTTCGTTAGTCAGTAGATTAGTCTGTGTCTTAAACAGAAGCCACGTGAAGACATTTTCGTGCGTTGACAATTGTCAAAATATATTCACAAAAACTGTACTAATCATCAATCAAAGGTGATAGAGATGAAAGCACACTTTTATAGATTAGCTGTCCATTCCGTGTCAGCGAGAAACATCACTCTCCAGCCAAATGACTACCTGACTCTTGATACAATTCTTCTGTTGTAACTGTTTATCATTTAAATTCTTGATTTATGTTAGGACAGGGCACACAATCAACATAGGATAAATTCAATAATTTTCTTCAAAATGATGCTATGTTTTTGTTTCATATTTATTTTTACTATTACTTCTTTGTAGGCTTGAAACACTGAAGGATGATGTGATATCCCGTATTTCCCAATTAAGTTCACTGAGGAATGAGTTCGCTCAATATGAGAATGACATAAACGAATTCCATACATGGCTAGATCAAATTGGTAATCAGTTGAATAGTCAAGCAACGGCTCACTTACCAGAAAATTATTTAAAACATAAACTACAAATGATAAAAGTATGTTTTATTGTGTTATTTTTATTTCACTTTCAAAGAAAAACAATATTGTATCACTAACGGCGTTATTTATGAATGTCGAATTTCGAAATTCGACATTAGTCAACTAAATTCTTTTCTGTAATATGAGTATACTTAACCTTTTCGCTGATTGATTCGGTTTCATTTAGATAATAAAATGTATCAGTTTGGTGTTCGTAGATCACAAGCTATGCTTAGGACTCTTTATCCCATCGAGTAATTAAAACTGACACTCTTTGCTTCCAACTGTAGAGAACCATTTTTAAGGTATCGTGTCAAGAAAACTACATTTTTTAAGATAGATAATAACTGGCATTATTGGAATTCATCATTTTGTCTTGTTCTGCTTTAACAGACTAAATTGCTGTCGAATTCTTTTAGCATATAAGCATCTTAACACGACTAACTGGATACTGTCGTTATATATTTTTATCAAGGGATGTTTTCGTCGGTAACAGCCATGAAATTTATAGTGCGTACTTTAGCTTATCGCCATCTGGGAGCTCCATTATAAAATTAAAAATGTTGGTTTGTAGATTTATGAAATTTAACTGAACCGACTGTAAGAAAACCTCTGGAAATCAAGAAACATTCAGCAATGTTTCTCGGTCTTTCTTAGGTCTGTTTGATGCTCAGTGAAAATCACAAAAGTCATCTTAAAACCAATGACTAAATGAATTTAAAACTAACTACCTTTTATTGTGTCTACTTACATTAACTGAATACTTTGGTATTTCAGTTAATATGCCTGGTATTAGGTTGTAAACTGTTCTCTGATAATGTGATTTCAGCTCATTAGTTTTGCTATATAACGTTTTACTAACGAGCTACTTGTTTGAATTCCTCATCACTTACTGAAGTTTTAGCAGTTATGTGGTACTAATGACAGTCACATAATTAGAATTTTTTATAGTTGGGTAACTGGATATGCATATTATCTACAGAATCATTGCTAGTACTATTAGTAATGGAAGTATTTTTCTATTTTTGCTAGTATAACTTCTTTTTTCTGTTAATATTTAATATGTTAGATGCAAATCCCGAATCGTCAGCTCCATTTAGACAGCTTGCAGCAATCAGTTGAAGCACTAGTAACTAGACTACCTGAAAGCGATGATGACGTAAAGTTGATCAAAGAAAATATGTGCAACTTAAATAAGCGTTGGTCACAGTTACTTGGTCTGCTAGACACACGTGAAGATGATTTGAAGGCGAGAGAATCGCTCAGTGACTCCTACATACAAGCACGTAACCAAGTTCAAGAAATGCTATTAACTGCAGATGGCCGTTTAACCACATTATCATCACCGATTACATTGAATATGAACACACTTAATCAACAGCTTGAACGACTGAATTCAGTGCATTCATTTTGGGAGACAATTAAAAAACACTTAACGGAAGCGGATCAATTAGGATCTGCTTATGACACTTTATTGCACACATCAAGTGGAGTGGAGAAACATTTTGGACGTGGTGCAACTTCACATGATCCTTATGTACCTCCAGGTAATTTTAAAAACTCAACATTATATGTTTATAGCTTGATAATATAGTTTAAAAAATACTTTTACATAATGTTTGTGGAGATTCCAGCCAACCTTTGAAGTGAGCAAATCAGATCTGTGATAAAAATGGGTTGTTTTAGTTACCAGTTCCTTGACAGAAGAGTTTTAGTACTCATCTGCAAAGCATTTCAGCCACATCAAAGGAAGCGACGTCTATCAGAAAGCCAGACTTTCACCAACCAAAGTTGAAGTTGAATTTAGTTATAAATATTTCCGGTCTTAATTGATAGGTGAACGTTTCCCTACAAACAACACAAAATACAGAGCTCAATTATCCCCAATAAACATTTGACCTACCTCAATAGTCCTTACTTTGTAATATTTTGATTGGTACTGAAGTGCAATGCCCATTATCTTCTTTCAACAGTTATAATGATAGAAATAAGAATTTAAAAGTACTCATTTACACATTTAGAAAAACAACAAGTTGAGATGAATATATACCTTTTAAAAGACTTTATGCTGTAGAGCCAGTGATGACAAACCAACTGGAAAGACATAAGAACCGTTTTAGAAGATGTAAAACCTGGATATTGCCTGCAAACTTTTAACATTTTACCTGTTGTATTAGTGTTAAATTCTAACAAGTTCTTGAATCTCGCTTGAATGTGTGTTGTTTGTATTGTAATGGGTGTATCTACTTATTTATTGCATAACTTTATCTAACTTATATTGTCATTTAGAGTTATCTACGCTTAAATACTTACTCAATATGTTTATATTATGTATGTTTGTATGTATATAATGTTATACTTCAACAGCGTCACGTGTATCCACTTTCACGGCTTATAAAGAGAATAAACTGATGAATATATTAAGTCCAATGGCTAGCAGTGGATCAAGTGGCATCTCCAGTGCTGATCCTATGTGTAATCTATATGGTAAGCTCATTGAAGCATACAAAGTACCTAGATAAGTGTACTGTCTCGCATGCAATACGAAACAAACTGTTGTCTGAGTAATGTGCATGTCTTTGGTCTTTCCTTTTCCATATGATTGTTTCCTCTTACATCTTAACCCATAATTTTCCAATTCCCTCGTTATCCAATGTTGAAATTCATTTCAGATCATTACATGCATAGTTGTATCATTCATCATCACAATATTTTTGTGTTTAAAGACGTCGTGGTAATTACTTCTTTAGAAACTCCTGATTCTCATCATCTTGATGTATAGCATGAAATGTAATATGACTGTCTTTACAAGCTTTTATTGAGATTAATTTATACTCATTTTAAATATCATCTTAGTAGTTACATCTATTACAGTTATGCTACCTGTCTCTAGTATTGACATTGAAATGAAAATGGTTTCAACCAAACAATCAATTGGATTTCGTTATTTTTACCGGGTACTTTCATCTTTTAGTACATGTTGACAGATCTAGGTCCATTTCATGTAGTTGTGTATTAGTTAATAAGACAGCTCTTAGTGACATTCACTAAATTAATGTAAGTATTTAAATCATCTACAGATCAATGGAAATTTCTAGTAACTTCTCATTATTTAGGTATATATACTAATCAAGAGACTATTTTGACTTAGATTTTTATGTGGGAATCATGCTTATATATATTGGTTAGTAATACCTTAGGTAGTGGGAAGATGAAAACTTCTGACTCTATTATGGAGGAAATTTAGTTGATAAAGTCTCACAGTGTTATACAGTAATATTTACGGACAACTTCTGACCTTAAATTCAAATCCGTGTGACGCCTGTACGTGTCATCGAAATCCTATTCGTTAAACGGCTATATTACACCCCTAGGAATAACTAGCAGAGTAACTGAGACTAATATTTATTGACTGCTTTCTTTAAATTCATTACTCCGTGTCCACTACCTGTCTGTTTAGATTTTGGGTTTCAATTAAAAATAATGATAAATAATAGCTTTGATTGGTTAGAGGTTTTCTTCATGGGCTGATGTCAGTTAGAGAACCACTGGAAAACCTGGAAGTACCGGACAACTGTTTCGTCCTAGCTTGAGACTCTTCGGCAGTACGTACCCACCGCCAGGGGTCGAACCCAGGACCTTCTGGTTACAAGCCAACGAGCTCGTAGACCATTGAGCCACTGGGACCCGATCCAATGACTTATGATCGGGTTCGAACCCCGGTGGGTGCGTACCGCCGAAGAGTCTCAAACTAGGATAAAACAGCTGTCCGGTACTTCCAGGTTTTCCAGTGGTTCTCTAACTGATGTCAGCTGATGATGAAACCCTCCAATCAATCAAACACAATCCCTAAAAAACCAATACTTCAAAATAATAGCTTTATTCCCGACAAAATGTTCATCCAGTTCACAGTGTTCTCAGTGTAATTTACTCTTCATCCACGATTTTCAAGTAAGGTAGCAATCGATAGTATATCATGGGACGTAGTGCCATTTGTTCTGAAGTGTAGACTAATTCCTTATTGTTTTTCGATGGTCTCCGAGATATGCTCACCGGAAGTTTAGAAGCCAATGAAAAATGTGCGTGAGTGCATATTGTGACTCAAGGATATTAATGAGTGATTAAACCAATAAGAAGTCGAGAAAATATCATGCATTGTGTTGGATAGCCCAGTAATTCTTACTTTTTTTTGTGTACTTACGACTTTTAGCAATGACTTCACAATACAACCTCAAAAACAGCATAAAACCTACTGTAAAGTTTCATCTTAAGGAAAGCTTAAGATATCCAAAAATTTTAGGATGACCACGTTCGAATTTCAGTCTGAGTGAAATATATTTAAATAGTCTGGTAACATACTGCATATTTCTTGTAAGAATTAATGGACAAGCGTTTATTAATCCACATTTTTTTCTGCTAAAGTAGATATCTTAAAAAGCCTGAAAGACTGGTCCGCATTCATTTCACTGAATACACACCGAAAGCATTACGCAGAACACTTTAATAACAAATCTAATTGTTATAGGATATATCAGAAATGCTTTCAGAAAGAAATTCATTGTTAGAAATGGAATACTAACTTCTGTGTTCATAAAAATAATGTAATGATCATACTGCAACTATCATGGTATGCAATTTTAAGCTTATTTCATCATCAGTGGTTTGTTCTGAATAGTTTTCACATAGTACAAGAGAAATTAACACGGTATGATGAACCAGTGATGATGTATGACACGCAGAATGACTTATTGCTGTTTATTTGTGTACAGCTATTAAACTAAATGAAAACGCGTAGTATTACATGCTTAAATATCAGTAGTCGTAATACATAATGCCGAATGTTTACGAACTTCACTAGCATATAGTCAGCATAACTATTCCAAATAAACATAATTACTGGCGTAAGCGTACAAATAGTCTAAGACACTAAGACTAACCCGGCTATATAGATGATTTAGCATGGTTTATTCGATGGTAATCTGATCCCACAGTTAATTAAATTGTTTTGTAAGTTGCTTTACGTTTGCAAGTATAATTTCCTGCTTTGCCTGTTTTTCGTACTTTTTTTGTCCTAATTTGTCCTGTTGATTATAACAATTCATATTATTTTGTACGATTTCTATGATATTCTTCTATTTGATTTGTTGGATTTACTTTGGAATGCATAAATTACTACATTTTTATCATTTTTTTAAACATTAACATGGAGTTTGTGTTGTGGACATGAATTCATGTTACCTCAGTTCATAACCTCGAAATTTAGCCATCTGTTGCATTGTCTTTAGTCGTTGTTACCCATTGTAAAATATTTATTCATATGATCTTTAAAAGCTTCAGTACTTTTTCCTTCGTGTGAGTTGTTTAATATCATTTACCGGTCTGCCAATGTAATGAAACTTTTTTTTGGTTTTTAAATCAATTTTGAGTTTCCCGTTAACTGATTGGGTCGAAATGTTCGGCCTCTATTGACATGTTGTTTCCTAGTACGGATGGATGCCTCGATGATATCTGATGATCAACTTGAAATAATTCGGTAGATGACGACTATCAGTGGAATCCAGGATGCGCATTTAGTTCCATTTCGGTCTAGTCAGTTAACGGAAAAATCGAAATTCACTTAAAAACAAATAATAAATGATGCCTGTTATGCAAGAGTCAAGCCTTATTGGTCCAAGTGGATAACGCTTTAGCGTTTTAAACGATGGGCACCGGATTTGAGTCTCTGTGGAATCACGAACAACCATTGGGGAATGCTGGTGTATCCAGCTGAGGAAATGTCCATCTTGGACTTCACTGCTAGTCAGCATCCACCAAATTAACTGGAGACAATTTTTTCTCAACAATCCATAAGTCCAAGTAAACTATCGTTGTAAACCTAAGTTCTTGGTATCGTTGCGTTTAATCAGCTTGACGATGTAATTGCAAAGCCTGTATTCACCATTTTAACAACACATTTAGAGCTTACTCCAAAATGAAGTAAGCTTTTGAAACTCTCCATGAATGAAAGAGAATACAATATCACCAAAAAAGACTGAAACAAGAAAGAAAGGTTTACAAAGCAAGATGACTACAGATATGATATTGACGCTGTCAAGTGATTCACCGTTGTCAACAGACAAACAAACAAGAAGATACTTGAAGTTGCAGAAGCTTGTGCAGCTAGAGCTTATAAACCCGGTCTTTGTGTACAGAAAGAAATGATGGTCTTTCTGAATCTATCATGGTAATGCCTTACTTATTAACAGTTATCATTATTCATATTTCTATTCTATATTTTAGTCTACCTCTTATTATTCCTGAATGATTTAAAATCATCCTTTATCGTTTGAACATTATTATTATTACCATTGTTATTAATATTATTTAGTCTGCAGTTCGTGATAATATCAAGTTATTTCTTTGATAACGAATTGCCTATTTAAGTGATATAACTTAACCGTAATGCATTATCATCTTAATTCTAATATCTCATACTTCCTTCCCCTTGTCTATCTGACCATGACCTAGTAATAACGCTAACACCTGTCGTTTTCCATGACTGATTCAATGTAGTTTATTTACTTATCAGTCTTATATCTCCCAATGGTATATATATATATATAACTGTACAGAAAGTATTCATTTAAATAGTCCCACCGAAATTCGATGAATTCATTAAATCTTGCTTTATTAACCTTTATTGCTTTTTTCAAATTCGTATCAGGAAATAAATGTTTGGTTGCTTGGAGGATTTCCTCATGAGCTGACATCGGTTAGAGAACTATTGGAAAATCTGGGAATATTGGACAGCTGTCTCGTCCTAGTTTGGGACTCTTCACCAGTAGGCATCCACCTTGGCTCGAACCCAGACCATTAAGCTACTGGAACTCGATCCAACGGCCCATGAATTCTAACTTCTGCCAATTTATGACATAGTGCGACCACTTCGTAATGTCTTCTTCGATGAGTTACTGCCTCACCTTCGAAATGTGGTACCTTACTGGTCACGCCTTCCCACTAGAACTCCGGTGGGTGCGTACTTATGAAGAGTTTCAAACTAGGACGAAACTGCTGTGCAGTACTCCCAGGTTTTTCAGTGGTTCTCTAACTAATGCCAGCTCATGATGAAACCCTTCAACCAATCAAACAAACACAATCCTTACAAAACTCACACTTGAAAATAAATGTTTCCCAGAAAGATCTACCTGGGTTAAAAATATTCTAAATCTTATCAAACTTGAATTTGATGAGTGGTTAAGTTTCCTCGTAAACAAGTCAGTTTGACCTGTGATACGTAATTTTTGTGTTACATGTGTTTTCTGAATTAGGATCCAAACTGTTTACAGAAAATTTAACCGAACAACAATAACCTTCATCATTCTCTCATTTTCTGCGGGTCTCTTGTCTAGACAGTCAACTCCTAAATACTCGAGTTTTGGACAACCGGATAGTATTACTAACTGTTACAGTATATATGCGTCAGTAACTAGTGTATGTGACTGTGAGCTAAATTATTTATTAACTGCTTTATTACAGTGACAAAAAATTTTGTAGAATATTACTACGCTAAAGTTTAAATGTTTATAAACTAAGATGAACTTGTGTAATGCGGAGATATTTCTAAGCTCTTGTTCAACTGTCTATCAAGAGTTTTTGTAAAAGAAGTTACATTCTAGACGTATAAGTGAATATATCTTTGTTTTAAAGTAAATCAAATGTCTAATAGTTTTATTTTCTGTTTATTTTTCCCTTTAAATCTTTCAATGAAAATTCATATGACATAATGATAAAGAAATTAATGAAGTCAATCGTGAGTTAGATGAGCTACACGAACGTTACGATCAATTGGGAAATTGTTTAAATGAACGGAGGAATGAATTTAAATCCATTGTAAACAGTTTGAATAATTTCGAAGAGAAGCGTTCAGAATTATTAAACTGGCTCAATGATCATGTAAAAACAGTCAACAGTGTGAATAAAGATTTGTCTTCTTTACAATCTGTAGATCGAGCTATAAATGATTTGAAAAAGTAAGAAATTGCTATTGTTGTTAGATATTGATTATTGCCTGTATACCCTGTTTTCATTAGCGTTTTCTTCTTTTGGAATTGTGACGAGTTAATGCTCATGAAGCCAAGTGAGATGAAGTGAGTAATTGTTACAGAATAGCAGTACAATTTAGAGTACACATCCAAATCTACCAGTGGAGTTTACTTACATGGAAATTTTTTGCTCCTATTCACCCTTGAACATGGCATGCATTGGTCAGCAGAAGCATCACTCATTTGAATATGTTTAACTTCATTGTCTAGTCGAAAGTTTCATGGATTGTAGCTTTCAAATAAATAACCATTATTGATGATACCAAAGCTTTCACTATTTTGATAAACTATGAGCTATAACATTTTGAATTCCAACTCCTACTTTCAGTTGCCTTGTAAGTTTTTGTCAGGAAATGTATATTCTCTACACGATTCAGATCGGCTGTCGATAACTAAATGGATTAGAGTTAGGCTTTAGTCTGAAAACACTTAGATTTCCTTCAGTCTCAAACAAATTCAAGCAACCAAGCATACATAGCTCATACTTTGAGCATTCAGTATGATGCTGATGGATAATTTCATCAAATTATTTGCTCGTCCTATGTATTAGCTACTTGGTAAGAAATGCAGCTAAAATATTTCCAAATCGCCACTTGAAGTGCACAAAAGACGTAGCATTATTTTTGGTTTCATTCATTATTAAATGTTTCCCGTCAGTAATTTCAATTTGCACGGCATTTTAGCGGTAAGGCTATGACATACACACATATATGAAAGTTGTTTCTTCCTTAGGTACCGCGCTCAATTCAATGAACAACTGCCTAAACTCGACAGCGTACGCCAGAGTTTTTCACATGTTTTGCATAATCGTGACCATCTACCAGGTGCTGTAGAATTAAGAAATTCAATGCATTCACTTGAACAACAATGGAATGAAGCGGCTAAACAAAATGACAAATTACAACAAGAATTGAATAAAGTGAAACAGGATTTAGATGAATTTGACAAATTAAATACTGATTTAACACAGAAACTACGACAAAAGGTTAATCAAGTCCACGGTGTACATGAAAAGTGTTTAACAGATTCTACAATGGGAAGTGAAAGTCACTTGGAAAAAGTAAGTGATATTATTTGTGTACATTTTTAAAATGTTCTAAGTAATTTCCCATATTAATTTGTTTATTAGGTAGATCAGTCAGTGAAACAATGTTATGTACTGGTTGACATTTTGAACACAGTTCATTCTTTATAATCACAACAGTTGCAACATTATAACCTTTAAATTAGTTTTTGTATTTTTCATTCTTCTTTCCCATTCTCATAAGGGTAGTGAAAGTTTCCAGCACAGGTGTTGAGTCACTCTCAGTTAATTCGATAAACAAAGCTTTAATCATCGATCTCTCCCTCCCATCTGTTATGTTCAATTTTAACACGGTCATTTCGTCAAATCATATTGTATGGTTTTAGCTGAGCTTTTTTCTACATTTTTTTTGTGCTTTGTTAGTCAAATTCACCCTAGTCTACTACTCTGACTTTTGTTTTTGACTCCACACTTATTTCATGGCACTGAATAAACAAAGTTATTATGTTTTTTGGGTTCCACTGCTTACTGTAGCAGCTTTAGTTTGTTTATAAACAAGTTTGTAGTTTTGATTGCAGTTATGTATGTTTGTATGATGTCAAAAAAATGTGTTGAAGTTCCTAACGCCAACAGAGTCTGCTCAGTCTGCTTTATCAAAAGAACAGCACTAAACATTATTATGTCTTAAAAGTCAATCTGAACAAAGACTATTCTTTTCAGTAATTTCTCTTCAGGTTCTTACAACTATAAAATTCTATATTTTCTTATCCGTACAGTAATGGACAGCTATGCGGCGGATACATTTTTACGTAGAATGACAGATTAGTTATGGAGTGTCTCTTTAACTACACTGCAGTGGTTCAAACTTACTATGAGCATGTTTACAAAAATGACTAGATATTAAGACTTTTTACTTATTTTGATCAGAGATATGGTCAGCTTTGCGAGGCTTCGTCAAAGTTAATACGATTTTTAATGTATTTAAAATAGTGTGAGCTCTTTATAAGTCTAACCAGGGGAAAAACCAGAAACAACAACATCTTATTAACAAGTTATAAACGGAGAAACACATCCCAGATACACCGCTTTCATCTAACGCAAAAAACAACAACAACGTAGGAGGATTAGTAAGCCGATGTTAGGTTTCTAGTACAGTTTAATAAATTATACATACATATATATATTTGTGTGTTTGTGTTTCATAGAATTAATAAACGTAACCAGTATAACAAATAATCTTCTTTTACTTCATTTAGATACAAGAATGTCGACAGGAATTGGATGCAATTGTTCCAGAATTAAATAAATTTAATCGTTTAGTACAAAGTTTAGAAAATTCCCTTCCTGAATCCTTAATAAATCAGTTAGGCATAAACAATACAAATGAACGTGTTCGTAGTGAATTCAATCAAGTAGTTGGAGAGTTGTCAAAATGGGAAAATGAAGCTAAGACAACAATTGATCCCAGCAATCAGTATGCGCAATTAGTTCAAAAATTAGCCTCACAAATGGAAATCATCAAGAGAGATGTTGAAGAGTAAGTGAAAAATTTCTTAGACTTATTATCTTATAAATAATGATTGTTATGTTGATTAACACATACTGTTTACAAGGTTTGCACCTATTTCCATTACAAATTGAGAACTATGGATTGTTATCAAATAAAAACCGAATGTATGATAAAAGTTTTAAGAATGACAAAAGTGAATCTTGGAACACCAGTCGACTAATCGTATTTCTAGTCTTGAGGAAGTCTCCTTTCAGTTTGAAGCAAAGCATCTAGTCTCTTGTACAATAGAAGTCTATAATCACTGGGGAGCTTTATTGTTAATTGCCGGTCTGCATACTGAATCATTCCTCCTCCTTACCTTTATTTTCTTGGGGATAATTACTAATTGTCTAACCTTTACATATTTATTTGTCCTACTTTTTATCCGTAGTTTCAGATTAACAAGTTAAGAATTTAATTCCTCTTACTATTGCAACATGAAAGCTTATAAAAATACGAGATATTAACTCTTCCTGTGACAAATTATGCGTATTTTACTTAATAAATTACTATAGAATTCAACATGCTCAGTTTTTTTTTTTAATCGGCATTAAGTTGACAGTTTACTTTAATAGATAGAATAAAACCCTCATGAAGCTTTTAGCAGCTTTAACTGTCCACTGTTAATGACCGCTGATACCGCTCACAGGAGAAGTTATTTCAGTTTTTGGCCGTACTTTGATTATTCTAATTTGCCAGTATTTTTTATGGTGTTGGAACGTGCAAATTCGCTTCGTGTAGTATACAAACTCAATTAGTTTTTCTTTGGAATCGTTATTATTATTGTTATTACTGTTATATTTTCAGGAAATGTAGGCTATTTCTCAGTACTACCAAATTAAATGTGATTTTACTCATTTCAATTTCACTAGCCTTGAAATAGAGCCTGACAAGAAGACAGTTGATATGAATGAGACAAATAAGAAGATAGAAGAAATGAAACCAGTTTTGGAACAAGCTCAGCAGTTGTGCAGAGAGTTGTGTGAACATTCTGCAAATCCAACTGACCAGTACAATATGAAGACTAAGGTGAGTATATTTCTTCGTGCCGGTGATGAATACGAGCTTATAACAGTAGTAATGTAGAATAAAGTTGTTTAACTATTTCCAGTAATCCAACCAAGAACCTGTCTCCCAACAGATATGCCAGTGGAAATTGAAATTAGTTTGACATACGCTGGGGAGACTGTCGAGTGACTTCATGCTCGAAGCCATCGAGTGGAACTCGGATCGGAAACAGCTAGTTGAACGTCCGAGAGTGATGAGGAAATGAAAGCTTATGGATAATTTAGGAGTCATTTGAGAAAGACTGAAGAGAAGAAGATGAAGTGGAAATGTGCTGCTGAAGCCCTGTGTTTCACCCAGAACCCAATGGAATAATAATAATAAATGGAGTTTAAAAATAATGGTTCGAAACTCAGCTGGTGCATATTTCAATTATAGGTGCAAATTTGTGTGAGAAGAAAGCAACTTTCAGGCATGCTTTCGACGGAAAGAATCGTGTGATTTCAGTGTTCCAACTTAACAGTTACTGGAAAACACTAGTTGACGTGAAATACATCAACTTATGATGTATTTCAAATGTTTATACGTTTTGCTGTCTTTATCAACCAGGTTGAATATTTATAAAACTAGCAATTTGAAATAATAATGTTTTTATTCTAAATACCACATTGATAATAACTGTCAATGAAATAACATTGATGGTTGTTGTCGAGTCCTTTTCGGTCTGTAGTTATAATATAAGCGATATGGTTTTACCTGTAGTTGTGTTACTTTGTAATCACTGGATAAAATAATAACCAGTTAGATTAGTGTTTAATCATCCTTTTTTTCGGTTACTGATAGGAAGATTGCACTGATCTCCCTTCAGATGTATTCCTCATTTATAACTGTGTGAGTATCATTCTACCTAGTCATTAGCATTTTAATGCGTGCTTAAAACATGAAGTTGCGATTAAAGTTTCGTTTTGTCCAAGATTTTCCACGTCAAAGCAAACATATCTTTCGCATTTACCAACTCGACCAGCAATGTTAGGTGATATCCTGTTGGTTTTGGTCGGCTAAACGGAAGCATAACATAGATTCATTAAATCTTAAACTGTTGCTTTGAGCCACATTGGCAGATGTAGACTGCCTGCCCGGGGCATGCTCGAGATTCTATGAATCGATGGTTGGAAACTATTGGTAGTATGGTTCAAAATCGCTTACAGTGGTGCAGATGCACTCGCTCCTTGTCATCTTCCAGATTCATTAAGTTCACATTATTCTTCATGTAATTGTTCTTCCTCCTGTATTTTCACGTTTATTATAGTGTCCCTGCAATACTTCTGTCTACTTTTATGTGTGCTTTCCTGAAGTACAACAACTCGAATCATTGCACTTCTTTGCTAAGTTCCAAGTTTAAGATTCAATCGGTCAGTCAGTATCACAGTATTGGCTAATCTAAATGCGTTTTTAGATTTAATGGACTTTGTGTAAAAATTATTTATCGAATTTCAAACTTATGCTTAGAAGTAGTTGTGCCAATTTGCGGGTCAAACACTCATAATAAATAAGTGTTATATCTAACTGCTTGAAATCTAGTCAAAACATTTATCCCTTTCTACTAACGAAACGCCACGTTCATTACTTACTTTCTATCTTTAACAATAATTCTAGCTTTTGGATCTTCAAAATACATATGACCACTTAGTTTATGAGTGTCAAAAACGTGAAGGTAAACAGATACACGGTCCTACAGCACCACCAGCAACATCTGAAATTGATCGATCAAATCAGCTAGAAAATTTGAGTCAGTGGTTGTCACTTAAAAATACACAACTACAAGATATATCCCATGATGTACTAGATTCTGGAGGATCGCGCATACAGATACCGGAAAGAAAACAGATTGAATCTGAATTACAAAACCTTGAAGTAAGTTATAGCTGACACTTTCTTTCCTTGTAATAAATTAATTTATTAGTGGTGGTTTATTGAGGTAAACTGATATCTAGCAGTCACCACCAAGGACCCTCTAAATGACTTTTAACTTTCAGCCCCTACTGATTTTGCATTTGAATTCGACTGGTCGCTTTTCGTCTACTTACCGTGTATTAAGACTAGTCGTCGTTGAATACGGTGTATTCAAGATTTGAACTAAAAAACCCGAACTGGTTAGTCCCCACGATAATTAAAGCACAGTAAAAGACAATGTATTCACAATGCAGCAGCATGAGGGTTTAGAAAGTTTAGATGAGACTGAGACTTTCTTAACGTTCCAACTTAATCAGTAACTCCGGAGCTACTGTTAACTTCATTTATCATTCGCATATACTGGCAACTATCTGCTTTACTAAAGCCTACTCATGCAGTTTAACGTAAAATATGCTAAATTCCCAGATACATTTCTATTATGAAAGTCATCGTTTGCTTATATTTCATCATGGGTGTGATTCGGAGAATTTTTACTTGTCTCAATTTGTCCCCTAACGATCTTTCCTGCCTTGTTACGATTCTTTTTCTTTCTCATTTTACAGTCATTGTCAGAAGAATTAAAGATAAAACAAAGGGAACTGAAAGATTTACAAGATAGTGTTCAATTGGACCAGTCGCCTACACCAACTCATATTAAATCTATAGATTCATGCATGAATCAATTGAATTTACTACAAAAGGCTTTAAATGAACAACAGAAACAACTAAAGTCAAAAATCAGTGAAGCCTTTCTTTTATCTGAACAATTAGAACAATTAGAAGTAAGGCTTCATATATTCTCTGATCATAAAATGGCCTGTATTTTCATGACTGTTGAAATGACTAATTCAGAAACCCTATTCACATTTGTTTAATCCGTTGTATGGTGAATATAGGGGTGTGAGAATCTCAGTCGGTTGTGTAAAGTTCCAGTCTTTGATCTGCTGGTTGTAAGTCAGACGGCTATAATATGTCAGGCTATTCAGTCAATCGAAGACTACTGTTATCAATCTTAATTTATTGTTTAAATGACAACCTGTTAACGAAATATAGTTAATGGCTGATACAGTTTCCCAGATAGTTAAATTAAAGCATGATTTACAAGTCTCTTCAACGAAAATATAAAAGTGTGGATATTAAACTATCATTGTTTTCAATATTTAGGCTTCACTTAGTAGTTATGTTTTCTAATTACAACGTCCCATCCGCTCCGTATAACTTTTTATACTACTGATTACTGTGCGTATTATCATTATTATTTCAGTAGTATGGAGTAGTAGAAGGTAATTTAACATACTGATATAACGATTTCCAAAGATGCGGTTAAAAGCTCCAGTTGTGAAATGTGAATCTGATTTCTAGTTTATATGATTTGGTAACAATCTTACCAGATATTTATTCATTTTATAGGATAAATTATATATAACTTATCTGAAATAATAATGAATACCTGTGACTAGAAAGGTGTAGGGTTAGCGTCTGATGCGGCATTACTTATAGTAAAGTTCAACAACACTGATAGCGGTTTGGAAATTGGTGATTTTCTTGTGAATACCCATACTACCTTTTCCACTTGCCTGATTACGTGCTTGGTAAAGCCTTTCTTCGGCTGAATATTCCCTTATGTAAATTTATCTTGATACAAATGCTCGGCATACTAATCTAGATAAACTGTTGTGTTTCTGGAGGGATTGAACAACTCTGTTCCTTTGATCAGATGTACATATATATATATTATATATTGTTTACTTGCTATCTTCTAAAAGTCATGGTAATGTTGGACTCGGTTTTAAACCGTCTATTGTAGCATATGGAAAACATGCGTCATCAGATTTCAACGCAGTAGCTAAATGGAGATGTCGTAGTCTTTCATCCTGATAGTTCTGAAGTCTGTAGTGATCATCGGTAAAGACCGTTGGACCACGTTGAGGTTAACCAGTGGTATTCAGTTTTCAATCGTTTCCTGTCTTATGTGTATCCATTATTAAAAACAGTGATGTAATTTATATAAGTTCGTTGGTAAGTTATAAGTTTACAGCATTCTTTGTGTAAAGGAATTGTAGCACTCAAATAGAAACGTTCATCATCAAAAAGATGTATACAGATCATCAGCTTAGCCCATTTAAAGTGAGCAATTATCAACCTGACTGAGTTATTAGTGATTAATCTCCCAATGGGTTGTCGTAATATTCATCTAATTTTAATTTCCAGGTGTTAATAAGTTTACAACTTTCTTTCAGACATGGATAAACACTGAAGCGATTCCACTTCTAAACGAACCTTTGGCAACAGACGGAAACTATTTAGAAGAGAAACCACATCCATGCCAAATACAACAAGAAAAATTACAAAATCTTTTACAACTAATTCGTGTTAAACAAAATGAATTGAACCCGTCAATTGAAAAATTGAATAACATTCAAAAATCGAAGGATACTGAATCACCAATCGACGAGAGTCAACAGAAGAAGCTGGTTAATACCGCAAATCTTTTACAAAATAAGTTGAACAAACTGCAAAGTGACGCTGATAAAAGACTAGTAAGTTTTTTGTTAAATGTAGCTCCATTGCACTGTCCTTATTATGGCGGTTTTTAGGTGTCAGAGGACTGGTGCATGACATATTTTGTTTATCTAGAAAAAAAGTCTTATAGTTAATATAGAGAACTGACTAGATTCTAGTTGTGTGTTGGTTAAAAATAATAAGCTTAAAATCCTGTTAGCCTAGTGGTTCTCCTGCCGCTACACTGTCGGGTTGTTTGAAAAACTCGCTGTTCAAAATTAAATGTGTGCATAAATCTAACACCATACAGGGAGCTATTTCGAAGTAAAAATGCAAATATCTACTTTCACATCACTTCATTATAAAAGAGGCCTTAAGATATCAATCAATGTATCAGTTGTTTGATTGCATTCTTTTTCACTGAAAGAATGAAATGTTTAGTGAATAGCAGCAAACGTTTTCTTTCAATTGAACTTGTAGTTGGTTATCTTAGTGTTTCCTTTTTGGTATACGCCCATACCCCATACATATTTCACACCACTATCTTAATTAGAGACAATATTATGATATAAGACGACATTGGTATCTAAAGTACACCTACTATGTTTATAAACATATTGATTAGGGTCGTTGAAAGCCTTAAATGAAAGTTCAAGTTAAAGTAAAAGCAGTTTTTCCATTATTTAGAAATAGTGAAGTAATAGCAATAGGTTTAAACTTAACACTTCGTTCACCTAATGATTTAGGTAAAGGAACACTTTAATGTCCCTCCAAGAAGAGGAGGATTTTATCCTACTCACACCCAAGAGACATAGCATCAATTTACCACCTTGCCTCAGAAAACTTGACATTTCCATAAGAGTTTTCACGATTATTTACTTCATTCTCCACTTCCTTTCTCTTTTTTCTTTCAAGTCTCAAATCGATAAGATTCAGAAGGCTTACTCTGTCGCCCAAAATGAAATCGACACTTATAAACAGTCGTGTGATGATCTTGAAACTCGATGGTTAAATCTACAACAAGTCTTATCCAGTATGGAAGCAAAAGACTTATTAAAAGCAGCATCATCTTTATCTCCACCATCTTCCCCATCTCTTTCGAGACCATCTAATCAGTTAAAACAAATACGTAGTCAAATGATTGAACTACAAGCTGAATTATTAGAACTGACTAACTATACGGCTTCTAATCAAAATTCAAATGTAACTTTAACGCATGAATTAAATCAGTTGGAATCGTTACTTCAATCAGTTGGTGATCAAAAACCACAAGAGTCAATTAGTAAGCTTCTAGATGATCTACATTTAACAACGAAAAGACTGGAAACCATTGGACAAGCCTTGGAAATGAATTTTGAAATGTTTCATGTCAAGGATATGGATCAGTTCTCAATTCATTTTATTAAAAAATTGAACTTCATATATGCTGAGTTGCAAAATATTCAATCGAATGTAAATGAAAATGAGAAGATAGCTAATTTAAATTCAGAGACAACAAAACAACGAATAGCATATTTTGAAGAATTATTAAAACAAGTAAGATGTGTTTACTTGTTTTGTTTCCTGCGTCATTGTGAGCAATTTTGATCTATATCACCAACAGTCTCCAACCTTTGGATCTTAGCCTTCTAAGAGCTACAACCAGGCAGTCTATACCTCCTTGCTTATTTTTCTATAACAACGTATATTAGGAGTACTCAACTCGATTAAACTGTCCACAACATAAAACAGTCCATTGCGTCGGTGGCATAGTGGTTAGGACGCTCGCCGACCATGCACATGGTCCGGGGTTCGATCCCCGGCCGACACACTCCTTTACCTCGCTAAGCCAGAAATAATACTGGTGAAGAGGAAATGTTAGGCATGAGGCTAGCAACCCCATCCTGTAAAAATTAACACTGCTACAGAAACTTCAAGCCACTAGCTTGAAGTCCTATGTTCCACTAGGAAACGTGAAGGGAAAACAACGAAAAACAAAACATTCTAAAATAAGAATTCACTTCTAGAAAAAGTAGACTTGAAGTTATTATAGATGTGATCGTCCATCTTATAGTAGAGAAAAATGTTCGATGACTTACATACATTCTGAGGTTTGAAGGCCTGGCTAGAAAGTTTCGGTGTGATACACTACTGTGTCGTCCGCATAAACAATTAGCCTAGAAATGAAAACTGAATGAGACGGTTGCATATGTTGATATCAAATATGAACAAATCTAGACTGATGTCAGTAAGATGTTATTATTCGTCCAAAGTTTAGCATATTACTCATCGGTCCACTTTAAGCTGATACATAGTTTTGGATTAAAACTATCTGCAGCTATTCGGTTCATTGGTCCTCCTTCTATCGTATGGTTGATTATGTCCAAAAGTATTCTACTACTGAAATAACCTACATGATCAGTCGACTAAAATCACTAAGTATCAGACATATCCTGAACAAGTGGATGAACTGCAAATACAGTGTCGACGTGAACTGAAGGTTAAAGGCGCTATACAGTATGCTTAAGAATCAAGAAGTATGTACGTATTGTTAAATAATTCTTGACCAATACAAATCAACTCCTCCTCAGTATTTATATTTGTCAACAGTTTGCTAATTTATTTCAATGAATAATGTAGAATTACAGTGAATGATAAAACCTAAATAAACTACTTCACTTTATAAATCTTCATATTATTCACACTTATTTAAAATTATTGTTTTACTCAAAATGATTTTCTATTCAATGTCTTCTGCAGCTTAGCGATTGTAAATTAAATCTAAATGATGCTCGTATTGAATTAACTGGTAAAATGACATCATTATCCGATGAAAAGAAGCTAAGTCCAATCTATGCAAACTTCTCAACTACTCTGAATCAGTATGAACTTCAGTGTAATAATGTGGAGAAACAAATTAATCAACTAATCTCTGCACTGAATAATCGAGTTAAACAAACTGAACAATTGGCAACACTTCGTCAAAATGTCAGTAGCTCATTGAAAAAAGTTAGAGAATCTCGTCAACAATATCCAGACAAAAAGTAAGCTAGGCAGTTTCTTTCTAAGTATTCATTTAGTTGATGCCACTGGGTTGTTTTGTTTTAAAAGAACACGACATACCTTATGGCCTCTCAGGTTAAATGTTATCAACTATTATTCTTGTTACTTACAGGTTGAAGTGAGGCATACATATCGTGTTAAGTTGTAAATCTTTATTTGAATGCATGCGCATTGAGTAACTAAACGAGGGTATCCTTGTCTAATTAGTAAAATAGTAGTAATATAAATAAAACTGCGAACATTTTTACAATTGCATTTTGATTTAATAAAACGGAGATTTTAAACAGATTCCAAAACATCTCACCTAACAAACCGACATCAGTCAAATAAGCCAACGAAGAACATTGAGTAAACACATTCTGATGGAGAAAAAAACTCCCACTCTAGTCCTGGTAAAACTAATAAGTTTTTTCCAATGCTCCGACACATAAGAAACAATTTTTAAAAAATTAACATTAATCCGCATAGGTATGCATTGATGGTATTTAGGATCCTCCCAATAGAATCTACTTTAAAAAGTCACTGAGAAGAACCATATGTGCACAGCTGGCCGTATTTTTGAGAGTTCAGCTTTCTCCCTGACTAATCAAACTGGAGGTTGTGTCGGAATGTGTTTAAGGAATCGATGCCACTAACGATCAGTTTATTTCGGCATGCAGATTTCATCTTGTTAGCTCTGATGATGTTGTGCTTTAATTTCCCTTAGATTCAGTCAAACAGAACTAGATGAACTGAATGCTGATGTTCAATCATTGAAACAGTTGAGTGAAGAACTTTGTAAACCAGCAGATAAATCATTGGACAGTCAGATCAGTTCACATCAATTAGAGTATGAAATCAAATCAATAGAGAATATAATTCGTGATGAATTGGCCAGTCCGTCGTCTGTTATAGCGCCTGATAAACAAGCTGAAAGGCTTATATCACATTTACGTGATACTCTCATTGAGGTATGTTCTAAAAAGTTTAATGATTTGTTGGTCTTTGTTTTCACAACTTGATTTTTCCAATTTCTGTCTGCTTATTTTTATATCCTTTGGACCAGTTCAACTTAGAAACTTTCAGAAGTCAAAAAGAAATGAACAACTGCCTCACTCTACATTGTAGATTCTTCTGCCTTGCTAACTTTCAATCTTACTCTTTGATCAGTCACTGACTTCACAATTCTCATGGGATTAAAACGACGCATTCTCATAAATTTTCTGTTTCGTCACGAATCATTGAAAATCACGGAGCGCTAGATGGCCGTTTCATCCCAGTTTGGGATTCTTCAGCAATGTACGCCCACAACTGCTCCACGGATGGGATGTGGGACCATTAGGTTGCGAGACGAAGCTCGTTGAACGTTCAGTCATTTGGGCCGGAATCCAGTGACCCTTAATTTCTAACTTTGTCAGTTCTTAATTTAAGTTCCTTACCTTTCCATGATTGTATGTTTATAATTCCCTAAAAGGTGGAAGTGATACAAATTTCCGCGAATTGCAACACTATTATTGATAAGGCCGAAAGTCGATCGGATCACTTCAGGTTTATTTTTCTCACTTATTACACTCCTGAAAATGACTGAAAGTCAGCTATTTAAATCTCTCACCTTGGAAGCTAATGTTCACCTGTTTTACTTTTACTTTCTATTTTGTTTTTATTTTCTGATGCTTTTCAAAACAACTTCAGTTGTCGTTTCAATCCTCAGAATACCTCTTTTATTCATCAAACTTGGAACATTTATGCTTATTGTTTCATAGCCAACCTAATCTACAAAATATTTCACCAACCGTTCAACACTATAAATCGGATTAGATTTCAACTCAGAGTAATCGCTTACTCCGTTTATATCTTAATAAGGCGAGAATAAATGACTATTGCAAAGTATGGTAAATTTATAATAACTCATTATCAACAGTATGCAGGCTGAAAATGTCCTGATAAAAAACATAATGGTTAAATCGAAAATATTCCCTATGACGCAAAAAGACAAGTAAAACTGTTCTTATACTTTACAAATTTATAAATACATCTTCCTTATAGATGACAATCATGAGAAAACTTTTGTCAAGCATAGATTTTATCCATAATATGCCATTGTATAACATGATATTTCCACATATTACTTAAACTAAACAACGATTTTTTACCTTTAGGTTCAACATGATCTCCATATACTCTCAAGCCATTCAAAATCAGATATGCTGTCAGTAGATCAAGATGTGATCACCTCAATACTCGATGGTTATTACACACTGAATAGTCGTATACTAGCCAGAAACGACAGTTTCGAACAACTAGATAAGTTAATTCAATCTGTTAATAATGTGTCACGTCAGAATATATTGAATTCTGAAAAGGACCTACTGAAAACTGATTATGATTCTGTGCATAAAGAGATACAGTTCAATTTGAATAAGTTTCGGTTGGCTAATGAAAGTGAGAAATTATTTAATCAACGAATGCATGAAATATCAAAGTGGATAAAACAGAAACAAGATTACCTGACTACGCCATCAACAATACAAGTGACCAAAACAACTCCTGGAAATACAACAATCCTATCGGATCTTTGTGAAGAACTAAAGAAATTGAAAGTAAGCTTAACTTGTTGACTAAAGCCTTTTGTGTTGTGTGCATGATTACTGACGTTAAAAGATAACTTCTTCGCAAAAGTAACTACTTATTTGTTAAATATACATCTATTTCTCAGCTTTTGTATACTCACATATTAGAGGATATGAATTAATTTTTTCTGAAACGAATTGTGCACTTCGCAAAGTTCTGTATGAATCCATCTGCTTAGGTTTGCAGTTTTTCTATATATGTTGTTAAGATGTCTGATACAGCATCAATTTGCTAGATTGTTATGTCCTTCATCTTTCCGTGTTGCTATGGATAGTCGCACCTTCAATTAGGGTTTCTTCTGAGGTCTAATAATTAGACAGTGAAAAGGGAGAAGCCTCTCTTCATCGGTTATTATTACGTTCACTTCTTATATTCAGGTGTGAAGCGAGCTATCAATACCAAAGTCACTACAAACATTCTGCTAGCTTAAAGTACATTTTACAAAAACTTGTTAGCGGACGAGGACAAAAGATAATGAAACGAAGATCTCTCACTCTTAACTGACTATTCCTTTCATCAGTCAAGCTGAAGAATAATCAAACCAACAATATCCAGAATATTGGCATAGTAGTTAACAAGCTGAACTAGAATACCAAGGTATAAACTAAACACCAGTATTATTTGGACCACTAAAGACTTCAGTCATTTGTTGCATGAACAGATTACACAAAACCATCATTTCAAAATAATCACAGTAAGCGAAAGTGTACTGCGGTTTAGCCTAGGTATCACATCTGCTGCCTGATGGATGAATTTCATCAAACATCAATGTCTAGACACCTAGAATTGTGTGAACCAATTGGCATACAATTAAATGAGTATAATGATGTAGTAGCTAATTCACTCGGTATTTAGTTTGACGGCTTTAAATCTCACTGTAAATATTTCCATCGACTGATGAAGAAGGGGTATGCGTGTACAGCATTGATGTTAAGTTTATTATGTGTAATACAGGGGTATACGAGTATTTGAATGTGGTTTGTCGATAAGGCTTGTCCAAAAGAGTAAACCGTTCCAAAAAACAACCATTTGAGTGGCTTTTATCACGCTTACGATATATATGTCCAAGTTTATTCAGTTGAAAGCTCAAACGGTCAGCATAGTTTCAAACTTCTCAAATAATCATTAGCAGAAGTTAGGAAGTTTTCTGTCTTAACCTCTATTTTCAATGTGATGCAGTTCATGGTTTGTTTATAACTTACTAATTTCTAAAACAAGATAGACTATAGCTTTTAAGATTGTTCTTATTGCCCATATTGGATACGCTTTCCAATTAACCATAGCTCATTTCATTTTTTATTCACAGTATCTAAATAAACTGTCTGTTAATTCTATTTAATGGTTTTCTGATATGATGTAAAAGTGGACAAATTAAAAGCGTGACAGTTGTCTATTTTAAAGTGCATTACCTATGATGTATTCAGTATATCACATCTATATCTTTTCCTTAAATATTTCTCATTTAGAATTTATCAGAAGAAATTGAAAGTTATCAGAAAAATATTGACGAAATAAAATTAAGCGGTGAACAGTTATGCAAATCAGGAGGACGTAAGTTACCCAACTGCCTATTTATGCTTAGTACGTCGTTTATCTGAAACTGTGTGTACTTCAGTAATCTTAAAAGATTAATTCAAAATGGAATGGATAAAATACTGAAAAGGCTATTAAAAAACGGAAATTATATTAAGAGTTTGAACAAAGAAGGAACAAACATATTTGCAGGATAATGTGGGCGGATTTCATCTCATGGATTCTTTTCAACTGTGTACATCTTAAACAGTATCAAAATATAAGTTACAAAATTTTTGAACAAACTTTTTTCACATACAAATTATTCACTATTAAAAGACTTACAGCGAATAATTTGTCCACTTATAGAGCTTTCAGAATGATCTTGCTTATACTTTCTATATGTAACTCGACGTCACTGTGAGAAAAGTATGTTCAGAAATTTTGGAACTTATATTTTGATACATTTTAGGATGTACGCTATTAAAAAGAATCCACGAAAATAAAACGAGCTCGTATTATCCTATAAATGTTTGTTCTTCTTTTGTTCAAACTAATAAAGGCAATCACTTGTGTGATATTATTATTATTATTGTTTTCCTTAATTCCTAGAGGAACATAGGGCTTCAGCCGTGCGTCTCCATTGCGTTCGGTTCTCTGCTAGAGTCTTCACCTGGCTCCAAGTCTGCCCACACGTTTTCATCTCCTCTTCACATGACCTCCTCCAAGTCACCCTTGGATGACTAACTCGCCGCTTCCCTTCCAGGTTCCACTCGAGCGATGGCTTGTCTAGTGATGTCACTTGATGGCTTGTTTCCTCAGAGAATGGCCAATCCATCTCCATTTCTTCCTGCCTATTTGTTGCATAATCGGTTCCTGGATGGTTCGCTCCCAGAGATCTCTGTTGCTGATCTTTTCTGGCCGGCCATCTGATCTTGAGTATTGAGCAAAGACATCTGTTGATGAAAGTCTGCAGATTGTTCGAAGTGCTCTTCATGACGCACCAAGTCTCTGATCCGTATAGTTGCACTGACTTCACATTGGAGTTGAAAATCTGGATCTAATTTTTGATGCTGAGTGCTGTTGACCTCCATACAGACTTAAGAGAAGTGAAAGCTTGCCTTGCTTTCCCGATCCTAGCTTTGATATCCTCGTCAGTTCCACCTGTAGTTGAAACGATGCTTCCCAGGTGGGTGTGTAGGTAAAAGGGGTTGTTTCTTTCAGGTTCCTCCCATTTATGCTGACTGTTGTCTGTTGTTGTTGCTGTTGGTGGTGTTGCCCAGGAATCTTCATCACCTCTGTTTTCTCTATGTTCACCTGAAGTCCGATCTTCCCTGGATGCTTCTTCTGCCAACTTGTTGCTTTTCGCTTGCATATCTTCCAGTTTGTGGGAAATCAGACATATATCATCGGCGAAGTCCAGATCCTCCGAGTATTTTTGTGGGTCCGTTTTATGCCTGTCTCCTCATTGCCCACTGTTTGTCGCATTATCTAATCTACTGCAATCAGGGAAATCATTGGCGATTGTAGGCAGCCTTGTCTTACTCCTGTTCTCACTTCGAAGGATTCCGTAAGTTTCCCGTTGTGGATTACTTGGCATGCAGCATTGTCGTATAGCTGTTGGATGAGATGTATAATTGTCCGTTGCATCCCAGTAGTGGCGTCATCAAGTCCTCTGTTGTCTCTGGGTCCATTTTCAATGCTTCTGCTGGGATATTAAGAGTCACAAAATAAAACAGGTATTGCTGAGAAAAATTGAAATTACTAGAAGAAGAATGATTTTAATACTACTGATAATAATCATAGAGAAGATAAAATCAGACGAAATGAAGTCACCACGAATACACCATTGTTGTGTTAATACTCTAGGCAAATGCAGCAAACCATCTGATGTTTAGATCATGCCCGTGAATTGTAGATGAATATCAGTGGTGTATATCGTTGTTTCTTTTCTCAACAGTCTTTTTCAGTCAGTTTCCACTGCAAATCTTACTAAAGATTGAGAAAACATAGCATGAAATTGTAAACTACTTTCATACTTTTTCAATAATCATTTATTTTGTCATCAATTCACAAAATTTACACTGTATCTTTTTCATCTTCCATCGAAAACACAGTTCTAGTAAATGAAGATTCTATTCAAAATCGACTGAGCAATTTAAGTGACATCTATGAAGAAATGAAATCAGATACTAAACGGAAATTGATTCTTCTAGAATCAGCTCTACCAGTAGCCCAGTGTCTTACATCTTCTGTAAACACGCTTAGCTTACGTATGGCAACAGCAGAATCACGCTTAGATGCACTACTTGAAAGTGATGCCAAAGAAATTTACTCTGACCAGATGCAGAAATCATTAATAGATCAATTGGAATTCGAAATGGTCAACGCATTAGAACCACAATATCAACAAGTTCATGACTATTGGGATCAATTAAAACAAATTTGTAAGCCTATTGATTTATTTACTAGCTCATCAACGTTGACAACATGTCTACCTAGTCATTCGGATGAAAAACTTGGACATGTGGAACAAATTGACAATGAACTAAAAAGATACGAGGAATTCAACAGAAAGGTTAGTTGAAATGAAACAATGATAAACAAATAGACTTCGTTTTTACAAAAAATGAAATAATAATAATAAATAATGGTAATTTGTTCAATGTAAGCGTGGAACTTGGGCATTGTGGTAGAGTGTAACGCTATATTCTATATCGGTTGATGTGATTATGAGCATTAAAATGCGCTGAAAACGCCACCCAGTTATTGATACCGTACCACTGTTTATTATATCAAATAAACTTTTCTAATATGGTATAACCTTGTTGCCTATTTGGCTGACATGACATTTATAAGAAGAGTTTCCACATTTTGTGCTTTAGCGAAGACAAACAAACATTGAACACAATTGTTCGAAATCATGATTCGTTACACTTAACAGTACAACAAAATTAATTATATAAGATGTAAGTGGAAAATGCAGAACAATGAACGCTGTTTGTTACATTTAGAAACAGAATACGGAAAGAAAGATAAGATAAGAATAGTATACTTTGCAAGTGTGCGTCGGTGGCACAGCGGTAGAGTGCTCGCCAACCACGAAGGTGGTCCGGGGTTCGATCCCCAGCCGCCGCACTCCTTCACCTCGCTAAACCAGCAATAAGACCGGTAAAGAGGGGAGGTTGGGCATGAGGCTAGCAACCCCATCCTATAAAAAAACAATCACCACTGCTACCGAAACTTCAAGCCTCTAGCTTGAACTCCTATGTTCCACTGGGAACGTAAAAGAATAAAATTTTAAAAACTTTATAAATTATACTGTAGAACAACAATTTCTAGTCCTTTGAAAAGACACTTCCAGCTGTGTGGTCGTAATCATGTACTTTTCTTTTGGTGATTGGCTATGTCTTTAGTATTTACAGTAGTTTTGTTGAGCTTGTTAACAAGCAAAACTGAATAACCAACAGTGGAAACGTCTGTGTTACTAAGAAAATATTCAAAACTCTTGGGGAAAAGTGAAGATTAATCAGAATATTAAAAACTGTGAAAAGCTTTGTAGGTTTCAATGATATTATTATTATTGTTCCCTTGGGTTCCTAGTGGAACATAGGGCTTCAACTACACGTCTCCACTTGTTTCTGTCTTCTGATGTACTTTTGACCTGCATCTATGTTAGTCCATACTGTTTCAGCTCCTCTTCACACGATCTCCTCCAAGTCACCCTTGCACGTCCCATTCGCCGCTTCCTTTTTGGGTTCCACTCGAGGGCCTGACGTGAGATATGCTGTACAATATAAACGAAATGCTTGGTAAATTAGTTGCAACCAAGAGAAAAAAGTATAGAAGCACAAATGTATGGATGTTCAGTAAGAGGTGAACACACTGAAAGAAAAACCTGAGGAAGTCAACACGAAACTAAGATCGTGAGGGAAACCCTGGCTGATCGCGTTTGTTTTATTTACAACCTAGAAACAAACATCCTTTGAAAAAAGGCTTTGCATTTGATAAATAACTTCAAATGAAGAGCCCTCCAAGAATGAATGATCAGTGTCGATACTGTATGCAGTTGTGATGCTTTCTAATGACTCGTATTTACTGTTTTGACAAACACGATTACGTTTGTAAATCCTTTTGGTGATTTTGCCTTGCATCAGTGATTCAAGTGAGAAATACTTAAAATTGGTTGAGAGAAATAGTTTATTTCATAGTTTATTAGAAAATATTGAGTGATATGGTTTTCATTCTACTATTTGGTAATTAGTTGCATAAGTTGTGCTAACAAACGAAATATTTTCATGTCTTCTTCATCACTTTATGTGACTGTCACAGATATTATTTAAGACGGTAGTATAAGTGAAGAACTCAGTAGTGTATACTGTATGAAATAATTTCTCTTAATCACATTCTGGTTGGTTCCGAATTAGTTCGAATAAAATCAAATAGAGTTAACTGGCACAACAGACTGGTTGGCAATCAAGCTATCTCAAATATCCATGTTCTTAGATGTTGACAGATGGCAGATGTAACCATTTAACACCTAAATAATGTTATTCTGCATCAATATTTGTTATTCCTCCCTCCTAAAATTTATAAAGAAGAATTCATGTATGAAGCATAATAGGCAAATCACAGGTCATGACTTCTTAGAATGATATTGCTCCTATTTTAGGTGAATTAATAGATGAAGTTGTTGACGTTCACGTGCAAAAGTGATCATGCACTTTCAAATTTTCTTTTGTTGCTTTATTAACTGACTTCAGAAGGTGTTATTCCATCTTTATCTGACACTGTGATTGCTCTTTTGTCTCATTTTCAATCCAACTAACACTATACCTAGATATAAATGCCCTGATTTGTGGTAATTCTATTCAAGTTTACCAAAAGACGAAAGAACGATAAATATGCATAACCAACTACTGCCTTCCCTATGATTTTCTCATACATTGTTCTTCAGTTGTTTATTGTCGATATTACTTATATTCTTTTTTATTTCAGCTAACAGATTTAGCCAGAATCGTCGGTAGTAATCGACAAAAAGCAATAGAATTAATGGATAAATTAGAACCGAAATCCGAATGGTTAGATTTAGCACTGAGACGTTGGGATCCAAAAATATCTGACACACCTTCATTAGATTGGGATGCCTATTTAGATGAAAGTAGCTTTATGATTGATGAACCACCAGAACAAATGCCAACATTGAATTCTCTTGGTACAGAGTACCCTTATCTAGCTGTTTTATCATATCAACCTGATATGCTTGATAAACTTCATGAAAGAATGGAACAATTTCAGGAAAACTGGAAAAAACGTCAAGGTGAAATAAATAAACTCTGTGATGAAATCTATGATGTTATGCAGTTGTCAACAAGTTCCACAAGTCATGCGCTAATTACAAGTGGCACAGCTGTCACTTCACAGAATCTCTCACCATCTCATAAATCAAGCAAATCTTTTGTACCATTTACAACAGATAAATTCTATCATGAATTAGGTGATCTTGTATCAAGTGTTTCAAAGCAAATTATCTCACTGGATAACCGTCTTAGTCAAACAGAAATCAGATTTGCTGAAGTTTATCCGTTGGCTAAGTGTTTTACAAAAGATGTCAATGAATTTCAACAGTGGTTTCAACAAATTGTCTCGAAATATGAAGATGTCAGTAACTTACCTCATTCTGACGATGATGATCATGACTTTGGCGGTAATCGAAAAAGACTTGAAAGTATTAAGGTAAGATTATGTATACTTATACACTTATGCATCTTGTGTCTCTCTCCTTTTCCAAATGTTTTTTTGTATATTTTGGACATGGTCAGAAGAAACGGATATCAGATGTCCCGACTTAAACCCTTTCTGGTTTCACCATTCTTCATGGGATAAACTTAACTCTGACTTAATCAATTGATGCTATTACCAATGATCTGCAACAAAAATTGGCATTTAATCTTACAAATAAAAAAGAAATTGTCAGTCTGTCTTGAGAAACACCGCAAACCCCTTTCCCATCAAATATGATGAATGTTCTTTATGCTATTATTGCGTCCTGCTATACTGAGTAATTCAGTGAAGCACCTTCACTGTTTCAGAAAAGACCGTTATTCGGAAAAAGTGTTGAAACAATATGTTTTGCAACCGAAGAGCTTGGAAGAAAAATAAAATTCAATATGTTCATGAATCCAAATGGTATATGTTCCATAACCCTTATTTCCAAAGATTGAAAAGTCCTCTCTATATGTGACCACACATACACTGAGGATGTTATCTTCTACTGCGTTTGTCAGTTTACACGTAAATTTGGTAACACGTTCATTGGGACGAATCGCCGACCGTTTCAACGGAACATATTTTAACCTACTACTTAGTAGGTTAAAGTCTCGTTCGTTATCGGAAGTAACCAGACAAATCGCTCCACCACCTTAGAACGGCCATGTACCACCATCCTCCGAATCAAGAAAGAGCTTTCAATCTGTCAACCCCTGTTGTGTCCGGGCCGGGTGAGTTTTCCCGCGTTGAATCGAATTAAACCGTGGGCTCCACTCCTGGTGGCGCCCTTCTGTGAATTCCTCTAGGTTTCAGCTTTGAAACCATACTTCCCCAAGAGCCCAAAGACTTAAAGGTTTCCCGGAGACTGCCCAAATATCAGTCATAGAACCATCGCGGATAGTCAGTTGGCATTTTTATGGTCAGAACTACGACGGTATCTGGTCGTCTTCGGAACTCTGACTTTTGTTCTGGATCAGTGAAAACATTCTTAGCAAACGCTTTCGTTGCAGTCTGTCGGACAGTGATCCCATAATTTAACCTCTATTACCGCCATACAAATGCTTCCATCTGTCCTTCTTTACCAACATAATATAACTGAAGTCCTATTTCATTACTTCATGCAAGAGTTTCTAGGCCTTAAGGGCTGTCTTGAGCACTCAAATTTATTCAGAGTAAAGATGTCATCCGCTCCCGACACTTGGTTAAAGGCATCCGGAAGCATTCCAACAGATGGGCAAGACAAGCTCACCCATCCCTGTCAGCACCCGTTTACGCAGATACGGCTGAAAGGCTGCGCAGTCACTACACCGAGCCGAACACAAGTTCTGGTCGTAACCAAAACTGCGAACAAGCAACGGCATGCGACAGCACAATCCAGGTTCAACTATGAGCTTTTTAACTACACCAACTTTCAGCTGGAGCTACTGCTGCTGATGGCATCAGACTTGCCCTCCAATTTGTTCTCGTTAAAAGATTTAAACTGTAATCATTCGAATTACGGAGCCTCAAGTGAGTCCCGTATTCGTATTTTTCGTCACTACCTCCCCATGCCGGGAGTGGATAGTTTTCGTGCCTGCTACCGTCCTTGGATGTGGTAGCCGTTTCTCAGCTTCCCTCTCCGGAGTCGAACTTTGATTCTCCTTTACCCGTTGTCATTACATTTCTGTTTTCTTATTCTGTATGGTTCTTCGAAGTGCATCATTTCGAACTGATGCACATCCATGCAAAATCATTCGTTTAATTGAATTTAGATTTTCCCGTCAATTGATTGGACCGAAGTGCTCGGGCTCAGGTTGACATGGTGACTGCACCATCCATCAGTTAACTTCTAATTACATGCCCAGACATCATCGAAGCGTCTGCATAGGAAGCTGACATGTCAACATGAGACCGAGCACTTCGGTCCAGTCAATCGACGGAAAAATCTAAAATTGAATTAAATAATTAATATGATCCGTTGCACAAGAAGTAGCTCTCTTGTGGCGCAAGTGGTCTAGTGGATAGCGCTTTGGCGTTTGAAACTATGGGCACTGAGTTCGAGCCTCGGTGGGAACATCATCACTCACTGCGGAATGCAGGTACATCCAATGAAGAGTCCGAAATAAGACGAGATGCGCATCCTGGATTCCACTTCTAGTCACCATCCACCAATTAAAATCATTCGTTGTTTTGTTTGTTTTTGTCAAGCTTCATTCACATTAACTGAATGGCTTTAAATAACAAGATCATATTGGTGACATCATTAAAGTAATTCTTAGTTTACTGAATGTAATATTAAAGAAATAAATGCACTAAAATGAGTTACAAACCTAGATTTTCTAATCTTAATTATGAAATCTTGAGTTAATACTTAGCTTTTTTTGTTTTTTATACCTTCACATTCCCAATGGAACATAGGGCTTCAGGTGAAAGGCTTGAGGTTTCTGTAGCAGTGTTTATTTTGACAAGATGGGGTTGCTAGCCTCATGCCCAATCTTTCCTTTTTACCAGCTTTTATTACTGGCTTAGCGAGGTAAAGGAGTGTGTCGGCCGGGGGTCGAACCCTGGACCATGTGCGTGGTCGGCGAGCGTCCTAACCGCTGTACCACTGACGCAAATACTTAACTATGACAAGTTTTAAGTCAATAGTTTCTGTCTACCCAGAGATCATTTCTACTGTCTATTTGTGTGCCACCACATTATTGATTTTCTCTTTTTAACATTTTAACAAAAGGCTTATCCATTTCTTGAATATTATGTCCTAATTAGTATGTTCACATTCTGTTTAGTCATTCTACTTATTTCATTGTTTATGAATACTTTAAACTTCTTAACTTGTTGTTTTCTGAAGATTCAGTTTGCAAGTTCTCTGTAAGCACTGATTACTACAAGGATAAGGTACACTACTTCAGGCGACTGCTAATTTATTCAGAGTACTATAGCAACGGAAGCCACCAGCTTTAAAGTGAACGAAATATATAGTATGCAATACACTGTACTAACAAGTCCTATCTCCTTTCAAAGCCTTAAAATCAATAAATGTTGATATAGCAACTGTTATTTCTAGAAGCATTTATTACTTCTTTATCAAAATCAGTATTGTTCTGCACCAGACAGTTGGAAGCATTAAGATGAAATCATCTTGTTCCTGCTATTATTCATCAGTATGCTGGTTAGTAGCGTTTTGTATATTCAAAGCTGTTCAGAACAAGCTCGATCCAGTGGAAGCAAATCATGCGCTGGTCAAATAGCAACTCTACACATCATCATTGAACGGAGCATAGAATAACAGTCAAATTTCTACCTCTACTCCATCTACTCTGAAAAGGCCTGTGACAGCGTTGATTGTGAAATGATTTTGAAACTGCTTCAACACTATAGAGCTCAGCACAGAAAATTTTTATAAACCTCATTGAACAGCTATATGACAGCGCCACATGTCAAGTAGTTCAAAATGAAAAACTCAGAACAACCTTTGAAGTTAGAATAGTAGTAAGATAAGATTGCATACAACCACCCATCATATACCTTATTGTGATAGACTCAACAATGCAAAAGACTATGGGGAGCCAAAAGACAGCAATACATTGCGCCACCGATAAGAAGGCTCCAGAAGATATGGACTTCACCGACGTTCTATGTCTTATGTCTCACAAACTCGAAGATCTACAGGCGAAAACCAACAAGTTGTCAGAAGAGGCAGGCAGCAAACACAGGACTTCAGGTGAAAACAGAAAAGACAGAGGTGATGAAGACACCTAACCAACATCATCATCATCATCACCAACTACAATAACAACAACGACAACGACAAACACCATTCACTATCAAGGAAATAAATTTGAGAGAAGGAAGTCACTTCCTTCACTCATTTAAACAACATCCTTCCAACTACAGACATGTCGTTTGATGAAGATATGCAAGTGAGGATGGTTTCCAAGGCAAGACAGACCTTGATCAATCTGAAATCAGTTTGGAAATCTACTGTGACCAGCATACACAACAAGATTTGGATTTGTAACACTGATGTCAAGTCAGTATTTCTGTGTGTGTGTGTGTGTGTGTGTCTGTATTTGTGTGACTAGTCACCGAAATCGTTTCCAACCTGCCACTGCAGACTTCTATCAATATCTCCCTTCGCTGGCTGCATACTGAAGATTAGACCAATCAAGAACACATTATCCAAAAAGTACGCCGAGACAAATGGAAATGGATCAAAGACAGGTTGAGGAGGCTGTCGGTTGACATCGCCTGTCAGGCTGTAGTTCGAGTGGAACGTGAATGGAGAACGACGAGTTGGGTGTCCGAGGAAGACAATGAGGAGACTGTGTGAGGAGGAGATGAGAGCTTATTGGTGAATGTGTAGGCGGCTGGAGTGGAACAAATGGAGATGGAGATGTTCTGTCGAAGCTCTATTTTCCGATCATAAATTAAAGGAATAATAATAATCACTTTATTCCACAACAATAACAATTTACAGCATGGAATTTTCAGCGTTTCAACTTTACATATTGCATTGGTTTAGCTCTTTTTATAATTCTATAAATGTATAAAATTTTAAAAATATTGATAGTTAATAGGAAAAATAAAAAAAACCCAACAAAATACACCATTTCTAGGTCATAATGAATAATAAATAAATAATATAACAAATCACACATGCAATAATATGCATCATTACATTTTATAGTTTAGTTAATGATTTAAAAGTTGTAAAAGTTCTTTTCTGATATTCGTCTCTTCACACAATACTCGTGCTAAATATGGTACGGTCGAATTTTTATATTTTGTAGTACTAGCATGAATGTTTATGAAATTTCTTCTGGTCTTACTCGAAGAGATACAAGGAAACAATTGTGAATAAAGAGGATGTTCACTATCAGACAAAATAACTTAAGCTAAGTGTTTACAAGAATTCATATGCCTATTGACAACAGTGTCGGTTAGTTGAGTCAAAGGGATAGCACTGACCCTACTTACAGCCTTCAATGTTCTTTGTAGTATTATATGGTCTTTCTTGAGTAGCCCAGGGAAGAATAATGGAGAACAATAGAGAATGATGGGCAAAACACATGAATTAATAAATTGTATGAAAAGAGATTGGGTTATACCTGAGTGCCTCAACTTCTTTATGTAATAAGTCAGACGGAAAATCTTCTTAGAAACTATAAGAATATGAGACGACCAGCAAAGGTTTGAAGAGAAACTAATGCCAAGATAAGAAACACTTGACTTACTCTCTATCATGGTACCATCAATATTACAACAATCATGAGATTGGATCAATCCATGCATGTCTTTTTCAGTTCTCAAGCTGAAACCAACAGTATTACATTTAGGTGGATTTAGTTTAAGACCATTTGAGCCAGACCAACCCTTAACTTCAGCTAAGAAGCCATTCATATGGGAACAATCCGATGTGGAAACTACAGGGACAGAAACCATCAGATCATCAGCATGCTTAATGAAGTTCACTTTGGGTGAGTTCGGAAGGTCATGCAAAAAGAAAAAGAAAAGAAATGGAGAAAGTACTGCACCTTGGGGCAAACCAATTTCAGTTAGCTGAGAAGTGGAGCGCTTTCCAGCCAAAACAGCATAATGTTTCCTATCCCTAAAATAAGAAGACAGCCATCTAGTTGCCCAGGACTCTGTCTGTGCTGAAATCATCTTTCCTACTAAAAGTGTCCTAGGAACAGAGTCGAAAGCTGCAGTATAGTCTAAAAAAGCAGTTAGAACGAACTTAGCACCTTTATCAAGGGAGGAAACAATATTGTGGTGTAGTACAATGGCTGCATCTAATGTACTTCTTCCACACTTATAAGCAAACTACTTAGGGTCACTAAAAGCTTTTAAAGAAGGTTTAAGAATGTTCAAAAGAAGTTTCTCCATAGTTTTCAAGAAAGGAGATGTTTTAGCGACCGGTCTAAACTTTATACCTGCCCCAGAAGATGATTTCTGTACAGGAACAACCTTGATTTCTTTCCAGTCAGCAGGTACCGTTTCCTTGTTAAATGATGCATTAAAGATTTGAGTAAGAGGATGACACAAGATTTCTGCACACTTTTGAAGAAGAATGCTTGGTACACCATCTGGACCAAGGCTGTGTGTTGAATTTAATGAATTCAAACATAATAGTACATCCTTTTCTTTAAAACCCGGAAAATGACCATTAACTTGACTAGGTACATTAGGTACAACCATATTAATTTGTTTCATGATAAATGATTTGTTTAAAGCATTAACATCAGAATAAGCATCAACAGATATTTGTTTTTTACTTGTAAGTTTATTGAAAAGTTTCCAAATGTTTGAAGGATTTTTACATGGTAAAAATTTTTCATTTTATAGTCTGTTCAACCTTTCTATTTCAATTTTCATAAGGGCGTTTATTTTACGGACACCAGTATTATCACAATTCTTATACAACTTCTCTTTTTGTCTGCTAAGTTTTTTCAGCTGCAAAGAAGAGATTCTGTCAAATCTCGAAAACAGTGTTTCATGTGGACAGCAAATATCCAAACAAAACTTCAGATAATCGGTTATATTAGAGACAGTAGCATCCAACTTATCGTCAGTAAATAGTTCCCAGTTGGTATCATACAACATGCTTCTTAGTGCTAGAATGTTGTCATGGGAATATGAACGTTCATGTATCTTCTTTGTTAAATGACTAAACAATTTTTGTTGTAACTTGCCGTGCACTTTCGGTAAAATACGAATAATGCAGTGGTCAGAGTTTAACAAAGGAGCTCTCCTTCGGGTTTCATATACATCACGGTCGTTTATGAAAACCAGGTCTAGTGATTTGTCCAGACGTGTATTAAACTTGACTAGATTCTCATGACCAAGTGAAGTAAGAAAGCTGTGATCACATGAATTAAAATCACCACAGACTATAGACAACAAGTTTCCGAATGCAGGAGCAGCGAATTCAGTAAATTCATCTGCAAACGTAACTATATTAGAAAGGCTACAATTGAGTGTTATGTATATATAAGAATATTTACTTAAGTGTTTTGGGCGACACCTGACGGTTATGCAGTCTATATTGTCATTAGAATAATTGAAGCAAACGTGATTTGATGTAGACCAACTTGTGTTTATAAAAGTGGCTACCCCTCCTCCACATTTTTTCTTAGAACTTTTTCTATCTTGGCGAAAAACTTTATATCCATTTATTGAAACTAGATTATCATCATAATGCTGGTGCAGCCAAGTCTCTTGTATTGCTGAAACGCCAGCATTTCGATAAACATTAGAATACATTAGGGATTGAAGGTAATCCATTTTTTTGGACAGGGATCTACAATTAGTGCTAACGAGTTCAGGAACAGTCATTTGATTAATTTGTGTAAGTTTCAGTGCACGCTGCCATCCACAGTGATGCTTTTTTTCTCAATTTTTGTGGATGACACAGCGCAGTAGGTTGCAATGATTTTAAAAATGCGCGATTATAAATAATACGATCAGGACACATTATTGATAAATTAAAACAAAATTAAAAAAGTTGGTTTGTATACATGGAGGTATACCAAGTGTCCAGGGAAAGTTTAATTCACAGATGGTCCTGATGTAATTTTATCGCTCTATCCAAAATACACGTCCATCCAACAAAAAGTATGATATCATTTCCAAACAACAATGTGATGATCCCCAATAAAAATCGTATTGAAACTCGGATTTCCGTCTTTTCTGTATAAAGTATTATTATTATACAGCAGATTCCTGCAGTTTTTTCAATCCATATGCTAGATTAAGTTTTCAGTTCAAATTAGAACTAATTGATGTAGTTTCATAAATATCACTTTATTCTAGCAGTTTTCTTCCTCTCTGAGCTTGGTTATTTCTTTGTGGAGCTTTTAATGTTAATATAGACGAAATCTTTGATGTTGCCTCATTAGAAAATATTCAAAGCCAAAGAAAGACAAAACTAGTTGTAAATATTTATCGTTATATCAAATACTGTACAATAAGATCAAAATTTATTGGCAATATAATTGTGCATAAATCTTCTATTCATAGAGTCTGGATGAAGAAGTCAATCGTCAAAAATCTGTACTAGATAGAATTATACGAACAAGTGGACCTTTGTTATCCCTAATCGCTCCAAATGAAGCTAATGCTGTCCACTCACAGATTAAACAGATCTGTGACTCCTACACCAATTTACGTAAATTAATTAAAAGTCGAGTGATTAACGCAGAAACCGGTTTGAAACAATCAGATGAAGTAAGCTTAACTATCTGTTTTACTATACTGTCTATACTAATCTGTTGTCAGACTTTAACTAATATAGTTCTCTAGTCCCAAATGTATTTATTAAGAATGTGTGTATCAGATGAGCTATACGGTAACTGGGCTAAGTGAAACGAGATGGTTATTCATGCAGTACATTTTAATTTGGCATCAGAGATTCACTACTATAGATAACAAAATATATCACACCACAGGATTTTTCCTACCTATTTTAGTATGGTAATCGCTATTGACAACTTTGGCTAAATTATCCCAGATAGTATGAATTATCATATTTATGTGTCAGTGATGTATAGCGCTTGAAGTTTTTATAAAACGCAGATTGGGTTATTGTTGATGAATACAGTAAAGCACTTCACGAAATATGGTTGGTCATAGAATCCCATTTTCGTTTAAATTTATTTAGTATTTTACACGCCCTTCATGTAAATTATAATTATGCTATTTGAGCATAATTTTAAGTGTTTGTAGTAAATCATTGTTTAAGCGAAGGTGCATGGTGAATGGAGCTTGTGGATGGGAGAATTTTAAATGAGATACATGAGTTATCATCATTGATTTAACTATCCCGCAGAGTCCATCTTTCCGAATAATAAAGTGATTTAGTTATGCCAATTTGTATAGTGTTGCAACAGCACAAGGCAAGACACGGAAGCCAAGGTATACTTTCAAGTGATCAGACCGCTATATAGTTTTATATTCTTTAACCAATCACTGAGTGTATGATTTTGGTTTTCATTAAACGACGCGAAATAGAATGTTCAAATGCATATATCATTCTGCTGCTAATGCAGTACTGAACTGTGGGAATATGTGAGAATAATATTCCCTTAGAACACATTGTCTGTATCACACCACCGCAGTGTTATTGAAGCAGATCTTTGTAACTGTACTTGCCAAATATTCAGCTGAATTCCACTCATCAGTTTTCTTAGATCAATTTTTGTCGGCAGTAAGAAAAAAGAACTACAACACTAATTAGCTTTTTTATCCTAATATCTTTAAACTAATGAATTTAACCTTATTAGGCGTTTTTGCTTCAGTCTTAATAACTATAGTAACATATCAAGGTATATCTTCAAAATCTTTACAGGTTGTCTTTAAGTTGTTTAAACATATAATTCATACATTCATTATTATTTATAGGTGCATATTTGTACTTGTTTACTGAATTTCTCTTCTTTTCTGCTTGTTTTTAGTTTGTCGAACAGTTACATTCAATGACAGACCTATTTGCTGCTATTTCTGAACAAGCTGTTCGTTTAGGTGTACCATTAGAAATAACTGGTACCACTGTTAAACCATCTATATCGTCACACCATCAAACTCAAATACCAGAACAGTTACTAGACCAACATCAGGCGTTAGATATGCTGGGTAGAATACATTCAATGACAAGTGTTCAACCAGATCATTTAGAGGAACATATAAGTGGAACTTCAGCTTTAATGGAAGCATTGGAATCTCGTCTGCCTGAATTAGAGGCTCTTACTGTAAGTATTAGAGCCCAGCTAGAAACAAAACCCACTGTCAAGGAATCAACTAAAAAGCGTGAATCAGGAACAGTAGAACTGATTGAGTCAGTGGACTTAGAAGCAGGTTAGTATATTTCTGTTTGATAAAGTTGTTGTAAACGTTTATTCTGCAGGTTTTGTGACTTCGTTTTCTGAATATTTTCCTTTCTAACAATAATATGCTGATGTAACAAACTCGAACGATGGTAGATGATAAGAGCGAAAGAAGTAGAAAAAGAATCGGTACTAGTTAACACCCGTCAACTATTTAGGCTTATTAAGGAAACTGGTCGTGTAGCTAATTGCAACTGTCTGGAAGAAGGATGGAACTATGATAGCTTCTGAGGATATATGTCCGGAAAGTTGGGTAGAATACTTTGAGTAGCAATCCAGCTGGTCATCAGGAGGACCACTTGACTAATAAGTGTCTTAGATCCTAGGTTCGGTTTGTCCTTATCATATGTAAGGTGACGCTACTGGACTGTTCCGAATAGGTAGCAAAGTAGTTATGATGGGAGGTCCTATCAGCTCTGATGAACTGATTGCTGACGAAATATCGTTATGGGTACAACAGATTCGTCTGATCTTTACGTACCGGTCTTGGCTTCATTCCAAGTGTGACTTTCTTTCAAAAGACTTGGGTTCTGAAAAAGTTCTTCCTATCATGCTTTAACTCTGTAAGACATGTTCCAATCGAAGTAGATAATGAAAAGACTGGAGGTTTGTCACCATAGGTATTCTCGTTCCTTTGGTTTTGTTAAGTCGAAAATTATGATAAGCAGTACTGCAGTTAGTCATAGAGTGACAGTGTGTATATGTTGGTAAAGTTGCGAAGCCTCATTAACGATGAATGCTGGCTGAAGTAGAATCAGACTACAAAAGCACTAGAGGTAACCAGAGCAGAAAATGGAATCAATTCTGAGTGATTTCCCTAGTTTTCACCTAATTATTCTCTTCGTTGCGCCTACATTTGTCGTTCTAGCATGATGACGTTATTTTTCTTTTTTTGGTTCTTCGAAGTGTGTTGACTTGAACTGATGCACATCTATCTCAAATTCTACACAGATCTGTCAGCCAATCGATCATTCTTAAATATCAGTAAATGTGCTCAACTTATTCCTTTTTTTTCTACTTTTTCCCTGTCTTTTAATAAACCTGACTCCATCCAAGATGACATATTTTTCGTCTTTCTCCACAATAAAGTTAATCTATGTTTCAGTTTAACATCAAAGTGTGATATAAAGTGTTAATCTTCGTTAATCAAGATAAAGTTATTTATCGCAGTGTTCAATGAAACAGTTCTTTTTGAATGAGATTAGTCCTCTGCTTTAATGAAACTGGAATATTAATGAAATTCAAGGGTATTTAGTACAAACATTTTGTTTCTCCTTATCCATATGATATGAATTTTAAAACCCAAGCAGTAAATTTTGCCTCATTTTCTACGGTACTGCCAAATATACAGTGTCTCAATATAGAGTGTTACAATTTTACAGAGTAGTGGTGAGGCGCTTAAAAAAGCTTATTAGTGCCAGATAAGCGTGCTCACCTCAAGTGAATATTACCTGTATAGTTTATCACTATTGTTTCGCATCTATTTATATCCTGCCGTTTTATTTTCCAGACCAATTATTTGCTTTACAGCATTCCAGTAAGCTTCCTCTATGCATGCCTTCAATAATTAACAATAATGTTGTTTCACTTCAATATAATGAAAAGATGTTTTTATGACTAAGTTAAATTAAAATTACTTTCCATAGAATTTCATTTCTGTAGAAAGCATGTTTATAACTGGTAGTGGTTTTCTTTAACTTAATAATACACTGTCTTTTTTGTGAATTTAACCCTGAAACAACTATAGACCAACAGTAGATGAGAAGAAGATATATAATTGTTTCATGCATGAGAGTAGTGTAGATATAATTTCAGAAACTGGGATTTATAATCAATTTGTAAATGGAACAACTGTTATGCAGCTATGACAGTTGCAACTTACTTGATATGCGTAGCAAGTGATTTACAAAGGTCTTAGTTCACTTCTAGCTTGACACATGGCTATACGCAGCTTATAACTAGAATGCATTTCATACATTTATTCCCCTTTAGGAATCTGAATAGAGCCAGAACAACAGTTTGTGCAGAATAAGATGGTATCACCATTTATTTCGTTGGCTTCTCATCATCTGCGTACAGCCTAAAGAGATTGTTAAGTTTATTTACAGAAGAATTTTAACTTACTTGCAAATTTTACATGATGTCAGTTGTTAGGAGGTTCTGGAATCAATGAACGGTGTTCAGAAAATTACACATATATAGTTTTCACCCAGAGAATTTAAGTTCAAACAAAAATAAATGTTCGCAAAGGAGTTGCGTAATAAAGGAAAGAAGTGAGTAAGATGATGGGTAACTAATAAATTGAGAAACAATATAGTGAGTCAACCTTTAGTTATAGAAACAAGACACAAGCAGTTACACTATGCAAAATGGGAAACAGGTTAAGACCGAAGACTGTGTAATCAAATGAAGAAGAAAATAAAGACATCCAGTTATTAGGACAAGGAGAGACTGATAACTGCTCCTTTCTGACCACGTAAGTCGGGTTTCAGGCGTTTGATAGTGATTGCTTCGGTAAACCTGAGGAGAACTGAACAATCTTGTCAACTGATAATTTTGAAGAATTTTGCGATGTCCACCTCATGACTCGTATCAAGAAGACGCCTGGCAATGGCATTATTGTAAGCATTTGTTCTCTTGAAACATAGGCTTTTTGGTACATGTTCGCGAAATTGTAGGTGTGTCCTTCTTTCTGTTCTCCCAATGTAACTGCTCCTACTGACAGAATGTGTTTGTATTACTACCAGATCAATATACTGGTAAACATCACAGTAGGTTAAACAAGTTTAAAATATCTACTGGTCTAGTAACAATTATTTGCATTATTCATTCAAGGCATGAATAAGACTTAACACTGTCTATACATATCTAATTCTGTTAAATGTTTTTACTGACCAGCATGGAACCCTTTAAACGAGGAATCTTTTGACCTCAGTTTATACTTGTTTGTTCTTCAGAGATGCTTCTACAAGAGACTGAATGTAATTTCTATATTATTCACTAAGAGAGTTGCTGATATTTTGGTAATATATATGTCACAGTTATTACTATCACTTTGACAGTGTTTATTTAGAATATAGTGCTTTCCAAGAGTTTTGTGGAGTGACTTTGGTAACTAGTTTGGCTTCTTTATATCTAGACAGATTTATTATGGCCTTATTATATATCCATTTTATGTCGCTAGTTGATATTATCCCCTGTAAATATGAATTTCACACATCTCTGCGTTGTATTATACAATGTATTTCATTTGTTGAATGCACCGATAATCTTGAATGTTGTTATTTTATAGAACAAATTCATGTAGTATTTAAATGAGTGAATTTCTCTTCATATTATGCATTTCTTCTTGATGAGGCCTAGGAATGGATAATTGTCTATACTTTCAAAGAATGAGGATTTTGTTTTTGTTTATGTTTTACGTTCTGTTGTAACCTCTTTTGTTGAATGTTGATATCTGTTGTACAGATATGCACTTTTGTTTATGTTAATTTGTGTGAATGTTTCCCCGTAATTAATTTTGTTGTGTTATAGTACACATAGATTTTTGTGTTCAAATTATTTATTCCCTCTAGATGCACTTTTGTGAAGGATGATTAACAAAAATATATATTTTATTCTTAGAAAATTAATGCCACTTTATTTCTTTTAGAAATATTCAAGATTTTCAAGAGAGAAAAAAAATGAAGATAATTCTACAAATGTATTATTTGTAGAAGGTGATAGTGAAATTTCCTGAGTTCATTCTAGATCTGAAATAGAAAAGAACAACTATCCCTATTAGTTTCAGTCATTTTCACTATCCTTTTCCCTAGTGAAGAAGTTGGTCCATAACAGTCAAGTTTCGAGGCAATTATGTCACTATTCAGCTACTGAATCAAAGTCATATATAGCCTGTGATTACCAGCATTTACGGATTCGCCATGTAGCAGTATTGCCATTCGGTATGATTAGTGAAAAACTATCCTCATACCTTACTTAGTGGTTCATATTAGTCACGACTTCTCTGGAGAACTTCCTGAAGTAGTGGTAAATGTGGAAATAAAGTGACAACAGAAAATGGATAGTTAACTCCACCTAATCTCTGTCTTATGTTTGTTGGAAGTCATAAGTAGGCTGAGTGTAGCCAACCTTGAGGAAATTCTCTTTCTCTGTACGATACAAAGCTGAGACACTGAATACTGAAACTGGAGACCTTTCGACTTCCAACATTTAATACATGGCTCCAATACATCACAGAGTGAATTATTGGTTTCTGTAAACTTAAATCTGGTAGTTAAAGTTATTTAGGTCATTAACGGTAGTATTTGTAAGGTGTACATATACGAGGTGTATTGATCAACAACTGGATTAAAATAATGTAGATGTTAGGCCTTCACTTCTGATTGAAATCCACCCATTATATTTGCAATGACCATCAAGTTATGTAAACTACTCTCCAGTAAACTGTTTTCCAGCCTAAATTGTATATACTACCTAGTCGTAAGTAGTAGAGTTTGTGACTTGCTTTAAACGCCAGAAAATATGGTTGCCAGATTTACAGTATATACAAAATCAAATGTGAATCCAATAAATCTTACTAATGTTTGTCGCTGTTTGTCCGTTTATCTGTTTTGTAATGAGACAAAAACTCTACAACTATGTAACTCTCTTCTTTGCGTTTTTTCTCTTCACAACGCATATTTTTCAGTCCTGAAGAATGCAGAAAAACTACAAACCGATTGGGTACACCTTCAGAATAAACTAACTGCACGTGTCAACACATTGCAATCAGCCTACAGAACATCATCTGAACAATTTTGGCCAGTTATAAGTGATCTAAGAAATAAATTAGATCAAATTAAAGAAGCATTAAACATTATTGCAACTGGTTGTAGTAGAAATGATCCATGTACTCGACGCGATCCACTTGATCCTAAAAGTTATAAAGAACAATATCAGGAGTTAGATGATTTAAGAGAAGAATTGGATGATGTTAATCAACAACTGAACAAATCATATGAAGCTGGACAACGCTTAATTCGTCTAATTAACGGTCAATCTGATGATAAGCCAACCAAAGTAACTGATAGTTTTATTTTAAGACGAGATGAAGAACAAGCTATACGTAATGAAGTTGATTATGCCCTGCATGGTTTAAAAGTACAACAAGAACATCTTGTTAATAAGTGTAAACATTTGACTAAAGAATTAAATGAACGTGAGTTGTGCGCTTCACGATTTAAGGTGAGTTTAGTAATAACATATATAAACATAAGTGATCTTATTGTAACTTCAATTTAATTTTTTTCTTTTTTTTTGGAATGAGTCATGCTCCATAAGAATAAGCAATCAACCAGACTTATTTACACATCAGTGTAAAAATTCAATGTTTTTAAATATGTTCGGTGAACAGTTAAAGATTCATGCGAATTACTTACTAAATTTTTAAGAATGTTACTCTACTATACAGATGAATTTTCAATGCCTTTTTAAATTCTTTTGGTGACTATCATCACTTCTTAACTAAGCAAAATAGTGTGAACACGTTTGAAAGACTAACTTAACCAATGTAGTGAATTTGTAAGGAACTTTCTAGCGAGCTCAGTAACAGAATAAATATTAGAATAAAAAAATTCAAGTTGATGAAATGATAGTGTAACAATATATTATAAAAAGTATAGTAATGAGTTATGTAAATTAATTGGTTACTTGGATATACAGTTAAAGTCCACGCCTACAAATTAATAATGCAATCCAAAATAGTGTTCACTGCTGGAGTCATGTCTACTGATAGAAGCTGTGCACCGGTTGTAGAATAGTCTTCGGATGAGGATAAGAGATTCCTGAAAAATCCAAAGTATACAACACGGTCAGCAGTGAAACAAGTAGACAGCATAGACTAGTGAGAAGACGAATCGGCCAGCAGCACACTATATTTTAGATTGTACTCCGAAGTTATGTATATTTCAACATGAACGGTTTTCAACAAAAGTTGTGTACAATGTTTCTATTTTTAATATCTCGCAAAAGAATGTACAATCGTATTGTTGCAGACTCCACACATCTTGTTATAAATATCGTGTAATGTAAAATGGAAATCTTTCTGCTGCTGGTTTCTAACTGTTTAAAAATTCGCATCCACTGTCATGTGAGAGATAAAGCTTAGGTCTTTCAAGCTTTCAGGCCAGACTTGATTATTTTTCAAACACTGGATCGAAATCTAATAATGTATAAAACCCAACCTCTTCAAGTTCTTTATGTGTAGTGCTGTCGTCGTTCCTAATCAAAAGTGTATAAAAAACTTCATAATAAACTTAGTGTGCTGTAGTGATTATGGACTCATATTAGAAATATTTTGAAGCTCCTCCTCCACTTTCTTTTTGAAACTGCCCTTTGTTTTTTTTTGCTTCGTTGTATTTGTTGCTTCCCAGTGTAATCTGCCTAGATATGAGAGCTTCTGTTTGATATATTTACAACTTTATTTATTAATTTCTGTAACATTTTCATAACACTTCTTTGATTATCCATTCACACTTTTTTATTCACAGTCTGATTTAGAAAATTTATTAAAATGGTTGACAGAACAAGAGAATATCTGGGATAATTTCGCGCCTATATCAAATAATGTTGAGACTGTTACCAAACAACTGAATGAAATTGTTCAGTGGAACGACAATTTAATGAACAAACACGCTGAGGTAGAAGCGTTAAATTGGTCAGCCGGAAAGCTTATGTCTAATACAGATAATGAATGTTTTACTTTGGATGACACAAGTAAGATAAAAAGAATGTAAATGCTTTTCTTTCCTAAATGGCGCTAAACTTTCTTCAGTTGTATCAATTCTCTGGTTTATAAAGTAAGCGGTGACTGTGTTAAACCATTCTGACCCGCTAATTCTATTAAATGAATAAGTGATGTGTTTATTTGTTGACTGTTATCCTACGGAAACATGGGAAACTCTGTTGCTTATTCAAGATATCGACGTAATCTATATTTCTTGAAGAAATGGAGTATGCTGTGTCATTGGATTGACAGCGATTAGAATTGTATAACCTTGATACAGTATCAATATTATTTCACCTCGATAACCAGTCACATTATTTTTTAACCTCATTTTCTATAGGTGATGATGGATCATTCCCAGTTCAACAGAGTTCCTCCTTGCAGTCTGATTTGACTGCAGCTAACCGACGATGGGATAACTTACTAGATTCGGGAAACAGTAGACGTCATCGTCTACAGACTGTTCTTCTTGGTCTAGGTGAATTCGAAAGTGCCATAGATGGATTAGTCAAGTGGATTCAACAAATGCAAACAACTGTTGATCAGATACCTGTACGTCGTGGAAATATTCGAGGACTGGAGGCTGATTTAGCACGAATCAAAGTTAGTCTTGTCTATTATTTTAAACATTTTCGGTCGTACATTTATCCGGATACTAAACTTTTAATTAAATGTTGGAAAGAATGGTCAGTTAACAAGTGAAAAATTTAAACTTTATGATTATAAAATGACAATCCGCCATAGTTTGATTACAGGACATTTCTCAAGGTTTTTGGTTTTATGCTATCCAAGTTAGATGGTTTAATTGCAAGACTTTCAATATCCTTCTAGACTTCTTCAGCTCTTACTTCACAATGAAGGGTTCGTGGTTTCTTTGGGTGTAAACATGAAAAGATCAGAAATAAGATTCTTCCCTCTTACTGAATCTACTCAGACAGACTATTGAAGAGCTCCATATCTAACGCGTAAAATGTTCATTTGGTGTTTATCGTGACTTCACTGTTTCGGTGAAGTTTGTTAGTAAATTGGAATAATTCCCAATACTCACTAGTCGTCTTGGCAGATTATCCGTTAAACTGATTAAACTTTTAAATTTATAGCACATCTGTTATTTAAGTCAAATTTGGGAAATAGATTGTAACTTTCCACCAGATATAGAAGTTTAAAACCACACTAATTTTAGTACGTGGTTTTAATAATCACTAAACGAATGATCTACTTACTATAATCCTGGGTTGTTCGGAAAGGAACATATTGTGTAGTAAGGTCGATATTCTATTGAGATTGATAGCCTCTGTGTTTAATGTCGCTTTATGATGTGAGATCATGCAGGAGAAATACACTGCAGTCATATCGCTTATCACAGAATCGAAGTTCTACACACTTCCCAAACCCTCACTTTCAATAATTTTGATTATTAGATGTAATAATCAAAGGATGCATTGTAGCTGCCAGAATGCTATACATATATATATATATATATATATATGTATATATATATAAATGAGTGTTCTAACTACAAATGCCAACTACTACTTAAGTATATCCAGCATATATGTAAACACCTGATATGAATATTGTTATGTTACTCGAATCCAGAACCTGATTAGAATTCGACTTGATGTTCAGTTATATTACATGAATAAACCAGTATATGTCTTCTATAAAACTCAAATAACTTTCTGTTGTTTTTTTGTTTCCCTCTTTCGTATTTTCACTATTTAATTTTTGTGTTGTCCTGTCACGTTTGTTTGTTACTTGTTGTGTGTTTTCTAATTTAATCTGTGTGGTATGTGGTATCGTTTTATTGACTTTCGTGTTTCTGTTTATTTCTGTATTACATTTTTATATGTCATGGGGTCAATGGTTATTGCTTTATTGCTGTCATTCACTTATGTTAAACAGTTATTTGTTAAACTGATTGCACGTTATCAGTATAATGTGATGGTTTTAAATCGTTTGGATACTGAAAGTGGAAAAAATGAAGTAATGATTCCCCTCATTGTTCTCATTATTTACCGATGTTGTCAGATGTTTATGTTTAATGTAATCCGTTTATGAATATGTGAATTTTATGGGCTTATTATAGCATGATTAGTTCGTGAAATTAATCATGCTGACATGGCTGATAATTTCTTAAAACTCCACATATTACTGATAAGTAGGCAAATTGATAGTAGCCTTGTGATTGTTGGCTAGACTAGAAGTAGGCGCTTGGTAATTTACGTATTCGATGTAGCACACGTTGATTAAGTGTTATTCACGAAAACTAGCCGCTTTATTATGACTAGTTTAGCTGTTTAATACTAAGTGTGTGGGTTGAAATGTATGTTGTGGAATAACTAAACCAAAAGCCACTGCATTACTACTATTCCTTTAGGCTCCTAGTGCACATAGGGCTTCAACAACAAATTACCAACCCTTCCTGTTGTCTGAAGTCGTATTTAACTGGTCCCACGACCTCCCATAAACTTTAATCTCCTCCTCACATGTTTTCTTCCATGTCACCGTCGGATGTCCAACTCGTCTTTCCCCATTCAGATTCCACTCAAGGATCTGGCACATGATGTCATTCAACAGTCTCCTTAAAGTATGTCCGATCTATGTCCATCTTCTTCGCCATATTTGCTGGACTATGGGTTCTTGACTGGTTCATTGTTCCAACATTTCATCGCTGCTAATCCTTCCTGGCCGGCCAGCAGTTTAATCTTCAGTATGGAGCCAGCGAAGACAGCTGTTGATAAAAATCTGAAGCTTGTTGGAAATGCTTTTGGTGACTTGCCAAGTCTTTGAACCGTATATAAGAAATAACTTGAGAAAAACCACTGAGCTTCCCCTTTTTGAGAGCTATTCTCGAATTCTCGAAGGTATATTAGTTTCCTGGATGTTGCAGGTACACTATGAATGAGTTACTAACTCCTAAAATTGGAAAATATTACTTACCACAAGACATTTTGGTTACCTTTTATTCTTAATCATATCATGATGGTATAAACGTCACATTCACACTAATCTTTTAATTTCTAAAGTCCATCATTATTTCATTCTTATAATGAATTTATTAGGAGAATTTTCTACGATGAATGTTATATCCCTTCTATTGTATGAATGGCATGCTGCTTCTATCAACGAAGAGTCAACAATTAGTTCCTCACTTAAATCTACTGGATTTTAGAACTTCCACTCTATTCTACTCTATATTGGGTTTATAAGGTGGTGTTTCTATTGCAGTACCTGAGCTGCTTACTAGTCACTCACTTTACATTAGTGATGGAGGAATTCCGCTTAGTACAGATTGCCTATTCCTAGTAACATGAGTGAAGTTCAACTAGCACAAGAAGAAATTGAAGAAAAGTATAAACAATAACATCAATAATCATCGAAAACCGTGAGTCGAAACGAAAAAAGTTGGACGAGATGTTATGATATGGATGAAGATAGGGCATGGATGCACTACTGTGATTGTTTTTATTTTTCAGTCAGATCACATAGGGGTTTCTTACTGTCTATTTTAGTTGTCCAACATTCTGAATTATGTTGTTTATCACTGGAACTGAAAACGCTACAACTTAAATGAATGAATAGCAAATTTAAGCATTTCAGCTGGGTTATAGTTTATTTATATGTTTTTTTAATGTACTCACTGGGTGATGTGGTTATCGCAAACATTTTTCAATGAATTTCTACTTTATCTGTTTGATTTTCGCAAATCCTTTCTTCCTTCCACAAGGTCATTCATCATAATATTAACAGTCATCAATTGTCTGTTGTAAGAATACAAGAACAAGCAAGAAAACTGGAATATAATGAACACAAGAAGAAAGACAAATCACCTGCAAATGATGATATTAACAAAGACGATAAGACAAAACAACAAATTTCAGAAGCCAAAACATTAGATCTGCGAAATAAAATTATTCAAATGAATAAAGCATGGGAATATTTGAAATTAAGTGTACGCAATAAACAAGCTGCTCTGGAAGAAGCATTAAGTGAGGTAGGATATTTGCGTATTATTTTAAATCCCACAGAAGCATTCTAAAATGGTACTCCGCAGTCAGTGATAAGTATTAGAAACAAAAAAACAATAGAATCACTTGTCAGTGGCTAGCGTTTTTTCTGAACTATTATTTTCATGATTCATGGTTGTGAAGGTGATTGAATTTGTGCTCCTGTTGAGATGATTTACTCGACTTAGAATATATAATGAATAAATCTCAGCTAATTCAAAACCGGTTGAATAAGATCTTATCCAGGATCAAAGCGTAATTTAAATTAGGAGAGAATGAAATCTTCTAAGTTAATATTTACTGGTTTGAAATTAAATAAAAGTTTCATGCTGCTAAGAAATGAATTAAGGAAATATAAGTTGACTATTAAAAGTTTAATTTACATACAATTTCTTTATCTCAAATCTGTCTCTCAGTGAATACAAGAAATATAATAATGACTTCCTTGTTGAATGTTAACTGCATAAATGAATAATATCCGTAGCTATATTACAGATTTTATGACCTCACTATTAATTATTTTTCCAAATCTCTTCTTTTACGTAGACTTTTAACTTCCACGGTCAACTGGACAAGCTCATACGCCGTACCCGCCAACTAAAAAACCGGATGCCACTACCAGGTGCACGTATTATGGGTGGTTTACCTGACAGTGCACGTGATCAGCTACGCCGCTTCATGGAAGTTTATGATGAACTTATTGAAGTTGGTACAGAGGTAAATATTTTTCCGACTCCTACATGTATATAGTGTTACTACGTAAATAGTTATCTACATGGTATTTACTAAAAATTAATGCATCTACATTAGTGTTTAAGCTTCTCTTTTCTCTGTATTTGTTTAAATAGTTGGATGAACTGCGTCGAAACTCAGCTGCTCTGTTAGTCAATCAGTCTACTTTAGAGTCAACTGATCATTTAATTGCGAATCTAGATCGCTTCTCTGATCATCATGCCCAACTGGTACAACAAGCTCAAAGTATTCGTGAGAAGATGGAATTAGGTTTGAGACAGGTAGAAGAATTTCATGATCACCTATCTCAAATGATGCAGTGGTTAACACAAATGGAGCGTGCTATTATACAACAGAAACCAGTCAGTCGAATTGTAGCACGTCTATTCCAACTGATTCGTGACCATACGGAACTACGTAAAGAGATCACTGGACACCGGGATGCCTTAATTAATCTGGACCGTTTGGGCAGTCAGATTCAGTGTCAAGCACAAAAGCAAGATGTTATCTTAGTGAAAAACCTTTTGTCTAGCATTCACACGAGATGGGAGCAATTAGTTTCACGTAGTGCAGAACGTACACGTCAACTAAACACCGGTCTTAAGGTTAGTAGGATTTTTATCTGTATTATGCGTACATTCATTTAAATGTTATCTTATTTTTCGAAACTGTATATTATTGCAACCGACAGTGCAAAACCTCGGTTCTACATTGTAATATTCCATATTAGATAAGCTTATCTGGTATAATATACAGTGATAAAGTATTATTAACTGGATGACGTCTCGACCACAATTTATTGCTCTTAATCATATCAGTGTATTCACACAGCTTCATAATTTGCCTAACTTATTTTTTCTCTTCCTCTTGTCATTCAATGTAATTTCCCATATATCCGGTATAGGCATTGCGTCATTTTTGTTGTGCATGTTAGGTGTTGATTCGATGAAAAAAGATACAGTGATTAACCTCATTCTCTTCACACCTAACTATATTACTTTTTAATGCTCTCACTCTGTCCCACTCTATTTTGTGATTACATACAAGTGAATGCAATGCAATGGTTGAGCTTTCTTCCATGCTACTTTGCTCACCAGGGTCAATCATTCCTATCTTTCGATAATCGAATTGATCCCTATCTACTAGTTTGACCTACGTAATTGACCTCACAGTCATTGCATAGTATTTGATTAATTATATTATTTTTCATAATTGGATCTATCAATTCCTTGAATAGACAAAGTTTTCCTCTGAGTGAGTTGATTAGTAGAAATGCCACTCTAATTCCAGCCTCATTAAGAATCCTAAGTAGAGCTTCTTAAATTCCCTCTTTATTTTGGAAGTGTGGTGAATGCTACTTATAATCAGATATAAATAGTACAGCAGTAAATGAAATCAGAAAAGTAACAACATGTTTTAGGCACTGGAAGAAAGCAGTCGAAGGAGAAAACTGTGTGAAGAACCTTACAACACTGTTTAGAATCCAACAAGCTATCGAACATGGTGATATTCGACCAATTTGTTAATGATGTGCAAATAAAAACTTAAAGATAAGGTATACCAAATTTATCTCCTTACAATGCGTTTGCCCTAATAAGCACTGCCTTCGAGCCTTATTGGTTTTTTCTTCTTTACAATAGTACTATCGAGGCTTTAAATTCCTTATTATTTATATTATTCACATTGTGTGTTATATCAAATAAACTTACCTTTCTTTACAATTATTGTTTGTTAGTTTGATAGGTATTCATTGGTAAATTTTCGCATTCATCTACTCTTTTATTAAAAGTGTACATAAATTCTTCCCACAAAATTTCCTGTACTCAGTGAGTTACAAGACTTGGAACCTTCTAGTTTGAATCTAACTGAAACCCAAGTTTCCATTCAGAGGGAAAGAATAATTTGAAATAATTTAGGATGAGTCAGTTCACATGCAGTGAGTAAAATTTGGTGCTAATGCATTAGTTCTGAATTGATGGTTTAAAAACATTGTATTCTCCTTAGTTTGTTACAGATTTCCGGTTTCGGTATTTGAACGGGGAATTTCTATTTCATACTTTTCTTAGTTCGATCTGGTTGTTTAGACCATACTATATGTAGACCGCAAGTGAAATTAAATGTTTTACAAACTATCTGCAGGTAGAATAATATTTTTTGCTTAAGCATTTATTTGTTTTACTTTTATTTTAGCGTAAATCATGCTTTCCATTAAAAGATTGTTCAAATTTTACCTCTCTTTTTTTAGGAAGCGACTAATTTCCTTGATAACTGGACAACATTAACTGACTGGTTGAAAGAGCAATTAGCTGCATTAGAAGAAGACGGTGATCGTGTGGCTACAAGACCAGAGAAGGTGGCTTACCAATTAGCATTACACCGTGAATTACAGCGGCAGTTAAGTACACGTACTGTAACCTATGATGCAGTACGTCGCTATGCTAGACAGCTACGCGATAGAGCCCCAGTATGTGATCATGATGAATTAGATGATATGGTCAGTGAACTGAAACATCTGTGGCAAGCAGTGTGTGCAAAAGCACTAACCAGGTAAGTGGTATATATATATATATATATACATATATATATATATAATTTTTTGTGGGACTGTTATTTCAGACATTTTTTATTATTGCATGATGTAGATTACAGCAAAGGCATAAAAACTGTGGTGTTATTTGTTTAGCGGTAGTTCATAATGTTAAATTGTACAGTGCTCCTTGATGATCTGGTTTTCTTCAAGTAATATCAGTTGACAATGAATGTTACTTTGAAATATGAAGTAACTAGCGGTTTACCTTACTTTATTTTAATATGCATAGCCCACGTTTAACCATAGCATATGAATATATAAAATAAAGTTGGACTAAATTATTCTCTGCATGTAATTCATTAAGTTTTTCGATATATGCATATGTCTTATTTTTATTTTGAACTTTACAGACAACGTGTTTTGGAACAAGCTCTTCTAGCAGCTGGTTTGTATAAAGAGGCACTAGAAGCTTTACTTGATTGGTTAGGAAAAATTGAACCACAGTTAGCTGAACAACAGACTGGAATTTATGGTGATGTGGATACTGTAGAGGTTGGTCACTGATTACTTACAATTTGCTGTTCTTCTAATAAAATAGCTTGTATCATTATTGTAGTTTATTTAAAGAGGAAGTTATTTACAAAAGGTAAGCATTTATGAGCACTAATGGCTACCAGGAGTGCATCGGTGGCTCAACGGTAGAATGCTTACGAATGATGCATGCGGAAAGGGGTAGATTTCTGGCCTACACATTCCTTAACGTCGTCTAGTTTATCAGCCGATGTTAAGCTGGAAGAAGAGGGAAGGTTGAACATGAGGCCAGCAACACCATGGCTACTGAAATCTCAAAAGCTTGAAGCCATATCTTCTACTCGAAAAGCAAAGAATTAAAAAGAAGAGTGACGGTGGATATTTAATATTTAGCAGCATTAGTAGTTTAAGTGTCATCCAGATATATTGACAAAGTCTTATCTTACTATGAAAATAAATAATATGAATACAAATCTTGAAATAATTACCAATTTGTTTTAATATCTCACTGAGTTAGTCAGCAAGGTAATCTGTGACGTTCGCAGCGTATTCATTCTTAAGATGTGATATGTACCCAGTTCATAAAAAATATAATCACAGATTGATGGTCAAAGAAAAGAAAAAAAATCGTGAATGACCAACGTTTAAGGGCTGATGTTAGTTAAAATGCATATTAATAAGTCATACATACAAAATACATAGAACTATGATGGAAGTAGTATTTGGACACACTTATTCTCACGTATTTGAATAGCTTAGCAACAGATGCAGTCAGCCGTATTAAGATGTTTAAAAGACGATTTAACATTGTCTGTCCCCAGTGTCTTATACTTGTAGTAGTGTGATGCAGATAATGTGTTCCAACGGAATATCGTTCTCGCACATTCTCACAGTTCAATACTGCATTAACAAAAGAATGCTATATATATTTGGACATTCTATTTTATGTATTTTGATGTCAACCAAAATCACACGCTCAGTGATCGGTTAAGGAATATAAACTGCATCTATATAAATAACAGTTTAAGCACTTGAAAACAAGCCTTGACTTCCGTGTCTTGCCTTCTACTGTCACATGCTGACTGTAGTATAAACAAATTAAGCAAGATTTACTAAGTCAACTTACATTTAGACTTGATAACAAGTCATTAACTATTGATATTAGTTGTTTTGTGAGGGAAGTTATTAAAATAGTATAATTATCAAATAAATATCTAGTTTTTTCAAGTATTGGTTTGGTAGGGATTTTGTTTAATTGCATGGAGGATTTCATCATGAGCTGACATCAGTTAGAGAACCACTGGAAAACCTGGGAGTACTGGACAACTGTTTCGTCCTAGTTTGGGACTCTTCACCAGTACGCGCCCACCGGGATTCGAACCCAGGATCTTCTGGTTACAAGGCCAGCGAGCTCGTAGACCATTGAGCCACTGGGACCCGATCAAATGGTCCTTGAATTCTAACTTCTGCCAATTCACGACATAGCGCGACCATTTCACAATGTCTTCTTAGATGAGTTACTGCCTCATCTTCAACCTGCTGTACCCTACTGGTCACGGCTTCCCACTAGAACCCCAGGTTAACTTCCTGAATAGGGCCAGTCACTAGTGAGCATCAGATTAATTTTTTCAAGTATTGGTTTAGTAGGGATTTTTTTTAATTGCATGATGAAATCCTCCATGAAATATCTAGTTGACAAAACTTCAAAATCATTCTTTGAAGTTATAAACACATCTGCCGTTTTTCATCCAATACCAAACTTCTCAATTATCTTACTACTGCCTTATCCCCATCGATTTTCTGTTACTGTCTCATAACACGACTTTTTATCTAGTCACCTGCCATTCTCTCTATGCATTATTAGACATATATTTTATTTTTAACTTTTCGTAATGGGGCAGAAAAGTCGATATTACTATAGTAAGACTTCAATTACTCACCAATTCAACCTTGAAAACAAAAGATACATAATTATAATCTCTTTTTCTTTATTTAATACATTGGCTCTTTATCAATGCCATTTTTATACTGTTTGACATTTTAGCAACTATTAGAATCTCATCATCGCTTCAAAGCTGAATTGGAACAACGTGCTACATCAGTGAAGTTAATACGTCAAGCTGCCAATGATCTAATGACTAAGGCTGCATCATCCAATACAGATTCAGGGATTTCTTCATCGACTGGAAATCAAGCTGATGTTATTGCTATGCAATCGCAATTAAATCACTTAACTAAAATATGGGATCGTGTTCAGAATTTATCTCAACGTCGAAGTGAACGACTAGATCAAGCTTTGAAAATGGTAATTTGTCATTTTTCTTTTTCTTATCAAGTAGTATTTAATTTAGACCATAAATTGTGTCTATTAGTTCCATCCATCTTAAAAATTAGCTTCATATGACATAAATATTTGTTAGTGTATTGACTACAAAAGACAGTCATATGTTTATATCGGTTATTTAGGATTAATAATTTTACTGGAAAAGGAGCAAGTGTCACTCTTAGAAAAGAATTCAGTGTAAATTTAACAGTTGACTGTACCGACTAATTGATAGAGTTGTTATGGTTTGTCCATTGAATTCCGTTCATGTTGATGTCACCATGTTCCCCCAAGGTGTACTGAAGAATACTTTCTGTGGCTATATTGATTTTATCATATAGCACAAATGCTTATTAACATCATCGCGTTCACTCTGACTCCGTTGGCATTCATCAGTTTACGTGAGCTTGCGAGAGCGAGCACATAAGAATAACTGAAACAAACATTTACTAATATAAGTATAAAACTTGAGCACTTTAGTAAAGTGTAACTCCATTATGGATACAATTTTATCCATAACGGAGAAACATTTACTAAGTTTTGTGAGTATGTCCTGAATAGCTTACAAGCGCAATCGCCACTCACATAATCAACATAGGAAGGATATTCGGAGTAAATCACTCAGGTCTTTAAGATTATCAATATACAGACAGAATTCTGATTACTTCATTTCACAGCAACCATTACAATTAAACAATTATGCGCCCACTGGGGTTCGAATCCAGGACCTCCCGGTTGCAACGCAAACTCACTGGTTATCTAATTGATATCAGTCCTTGGACAAACTTGAAACAATTCAAATCCTAACAAACTAAATCTTGAAAATTAATCTGATGCTGACTAGTGACTGGCTTCAGGATGAAGTTACCTGGAGTTCTAGTAAGAAGTCTTTACCAGTTGGACTCTCCCTGTCGGCAGTGAGGACAAACACTTACCGATGACACTGGCTGGTGGTCGTGTTCGAATCCCGAATTGGTAGGAGTTCGAATTTATGGGTCATTGAATCAGGTCCCAGTGGCTGAATGGTCTAAGAGCTTGACTTGTAATCAGAAGGTTCTGGATTCGAACCCCAATGAGTGGATACTGGTGAAGAGTTTCACGCTGGGACGAAACGGTTGTCCAGTACTTCCTGGTTTTCAGTGGTTCTCTAAATGATACCAACCCGTGGTCAAACCTGAAACAAATCAAATTCTTATAAACTAACTCTCTTATAAAGAATTACAATCTAACCTCTCTATGAAGATGGATAGCGTACTTAACCTCATGACTTGATGATTGGATTTTGTTTTGTTTTTTGTGAAATCACAATTTTATATTTTACATTTGTTGATTCGCACTCATATGGGTGGCATTCATTATTGGAAACACTTATTTACGTATACACTAATTTATTTACACTTACAGTATCTATTCATTCTCATGTATTTTGAATTCTTCCTCCTTATCTTGACTCTTGAACTTTTTCTGTCATAACTATGTATGCATGCGCGCATTCTGGTTGTCTGATTATATGTGTATTAACTACCTAGTGCCTACCTCTCCCAATCCACTAGTGTGCTAAGAATCAGGAACTCTTCTGTCTCAAAGTACGTTATAAATTTTTATTTATTTATATAGTAACCGTGATTTTAGATTGCTGACAGCTGAAGGAAAGCCATGAAGTTAGATGAGCTGTTTTTATTCTTTCTTGTTTTGTCTGAATTGTTCGAAAGAACTGGTTCATAGACTTTTCAGCCACTTCCGTTTCCATCGTTTTCTAATAAAATTTCGAACTACTATAGAAGTCTGTAGAAATTTACTAATTCGTATGGACGAGTCACTCCACAATATGCGGCTTGAAGTTTTCTACTTATTTCTAAGGTTTGAGTATGTTTTAAAAATAATTGATTGTAAATATTCCCTTTCTTACATACTATTACTCCCATTTACAGGCTGAACAATTTCAGGATACTTGTCGAAGTCTAATGGATTATTTTGCAGGTGCAGAACGTGTTATTCATCGTTTAGCTGCTTTGCCTACCTTTGATGACGATGAAGAATTGGAAGGTGAAACTGTTGCAACGCATGCTGACGGTCCACCGATTAATCTGACTAATGCAATTACCGCTCATCAGCAAACACACGCAAATTTAATGAATCAGGCTGATCGTGTTGAAGCTGCTTTACAGTTGGGCAATAAACTTCTATCTCAGGCTCATCCAGCAGCTGTGAAACGTTTACGTCAGTGGGTGAATACTATCCGTACGCGTTGGGAAGAGGTAAAATTATGTTTATTATTATTTTCACTTAAATACAAAACTAATACATTGTGAAATCCGCAGATAGTCATTAGAAAGCAGTATGACAGAATGACAAAATAAACTGATGTATGATTGTCACTAACCTTTGTTTCAAGCTATAATCGAAATTTTCCGCAAACAAATAGCCTTACAGTCTCTGAGTTCACCCAGATAGTTGGGACTCATTGGAGGATGGTAATCAAATATGTTTACTAATTATTCTGTAATATCTGGTCATGAACTAGCTAGTCAGTAGACAAAAGAATTGAACTGATATGTGCAACGTTTGGCTGGATCGTGGAAGTAGGGGTAATTTTATTGTTTTTTGAATATTGAAACAGAAAATCTCATTTTACAAGAATACAGACTATGTTGATGAGCTAGGTAGATATATCTTCAGTATGGACTGCTGAAAGTTTTAGCCAGATATCTTGGTCGATTAGGTTTGGTAATTTGCATGTAATGACAGGTACTTACTGTTTACATTAATATCTATTATCTGGAACACTAGTTGGATTCTACATCTAATTTATTTCTGTTAAGCGTTTTTTTCAATTCTGTTTAAAACAACTTTTTCCAGACTCATTATTTATTGTTTCATTTTTTGCTAATTCCTAAAAGTTAACATCTTGGTCAGAACAACGTGGAGAACGTTTACAACAAGCACTAGAAGAACAGCATAAAAGAAAGATTCAGTGTGACGAACTTATGAGATGGATTAACTCGAAAATTAATGGACTGAAGAATATTTCAGTCTCACTGCCAGAATCTTTAGCATCTTCGTCAACAAATCTACATTCAGCAAAAAGTAAACTTGACTCTGAGGAATCGAATCACACTGGACAATCTCTGGATAACAAAGACTTATTCTCTGCCACACAAGAACGAATCGCCTTATCTTCTGCAGCCTCTTTAATACCTGTGCCTACTGGTAGTAGTAAAAATTTAAAACAGTCAGAAAATGTAGCAGACTCAACACTGATTATCAATGAAATTACTGAACCTTCAATTGTTGAACATTTACTCCGTTTACATGGTCAATTAGAAGAAGAAATCAAACAAAAGCAGCCAATTTATGAAGAAATAGTCAAACATGCTAAACGACGCACTCCAGTTAAATCAGCAAATACATCTAATACTCGTCGAGGTCGTATGTCTATGCGATCTGGAGGAACACGGTTGAATCGTACACCCAGTTCAACAAATCAACAACAGCATAGTCCAATTGTATCTATTTTTACTTCATCAAATATTAATCAGTTATATTCAAGTTGGAGAGAACTATGGTTAGCTATGTTAGCGCGCAAATCTCATCTGAATGAACGTCTTGCCTACTTAAATGAAATGGAAAAAATGAAAGATTTTCAATTTGAATCATGGCGTCAACGTTATGTTTCATGGTTAAGTGCAAATAAAGCACGTGTTATTGACTTGTTTCATCGTAAAGATCGTGATCGTGATGGTCGACTTACAAGGGCTGAATTTATCGATGGTATTATAGAAATGAGTAAGTTCCGTAGATTTCATTGAATTCTTTGTTAACCTAATAAAGAAATAAAATTATTGTGACAGGGAAGTATTTTGTTTACCATATAATAATTCTATTCTTTTAAAGTAAATTTCACTAATGGTATTATAAATGAATAGGTTCCAACCATTTGAAAATTATTCTGAATAGCTAATTTTCGTAGTCACAGTTTCTACTTTTCGTCAGATGTCTATCTGCATAGTAGACAATAACCTATTGTACTCTGCTGTTAATAAAAACCTGCTGAATCAGAATCAATAAAGCGTTCGTAATGTTACTGATAGATTCATATCACACTAATTTACTCGTACTTAACACATATAGTTATGAATTATTTAAATATTGGATCAGTAAAAGTTTGCGATTATTGAGCGTTGAACACTTGCTTATAGAATATTTCGCACCTCTTTATGACTGTTAACTCTAACTGATAGAATGTCGATAGGTTCTTGGTTTGAATCCCAGTTTAATATGAATCCAATCTCTAGATTATGAGTCACAAACAGAACAAAGCCTGCATCCTATTCTATAATAGTAGCTACAAAAACAGCAGGAATGAAAGATAGTATACAGTTCTGCCTAATGTTTTCACTTTGCTAATTTCTCACGTAGCCCGAAACACTAATCATTTTGAAAATAGCAATTGTCAGAAATCATTGACTTGTGTTTTGAGATGATGATTCCAGTCAAAAGGATTGATAATTATTTTACACATAACCAATTAACTTCTCTACGTTTAATATTAAATAGACAGTACAAAGCCTAAAAGTAAGTATATGCATTTGTGTTTTATTTGCCAACCGGTGTGCATTATTATTATTATTATTTTGTCTGTCTGTTCACTATTCTCATGACGTCAATTTCAATAGCCTTTGTTTTCGGTGCCTACATTTTTTCAAACTTTAGAAGTTCACTTATGTTCGTGTATTCATTTTTATTGCATACTTGTTTATTTTATACTTCTTGCACATATCTGAGGTTAATGCATTAAATCTAGTCTGTTTCTTTCTTTGACAAAAGAATAATTATTCTACTTTGTTGGTTCACAGTTTTTACTTTCCTTTATTGAAATGTTTATTTAATATTCTTGAACATGTTGCGTTATTTGTCTACCAAGTAGTTTCTATAATTTCTGAATACTTATATCAGCTGTTCTTAAAAGTATTTAGTATTAATGGTATTCCTGACAGTTCTGCCATTATCTTGAATCACAAAGTTCAATATATTCATGGAAAATGACAACAAATCAAAAATTAATTCTTTATGTCGAAACATTTTTATTCAAAAGCAGTAAACCAGTTATGAAGTGCTGTGAAAATTAGTCATACCTGTTTATGAGATAAGCCAACTCCACAATTTAAGATGACTTTGGCGATTTGATCACTTAAGTCTTATTAAGTTATCATCAGGACTAATTCTTTCCCTAATCTCTGCTCAACAATACCAGAGTGTAACTAAGTTTAACAGTGATGTATCTGCGCAAGGAATCTCTATGGTAGTCACTTAATGATATATTACCTGCGAATAATGGCAAACTATGATGATATCATAATCATGTATAAGTTTTATTTAGTTGATCTGATAAATATTGAAAATTTACTCGGTATTATTATATGTGCTATGAAAGTCAGATAATCAATTTTACTGAAATCAATGATTTATAATTTTATGCACTGGTTCTATGGCACAAGTTAAACATAGGTGAAAAACAATAAAGCAGTGCCATCACCAGGCATCTCCTTGACATGAGTCATGAGGTAGACGTTGCTAGATCGTTGAAATTTTCAATAGGCAAAAGAGTTCAACTCACCTTAAGTTTGCCGAAGCAATCTCCATAACGCAGTGTAGAGTCAAACCTGCATGGAATTTCTAGGCAGAAAGAAGAGACAGGACAAACAGTGGCTCACTACGGACACATGGAGACTAATGGAAGAGAGTATGGTGGTGAAACAAAAGATTATCCAGTGCATCGACGAGTAACAAAAACAGGAGTTGAATGCAAGCTACAATACACCGAACAAAAGAGTAAAGAGGAGTGCCAGGGAAGACAAAACAAAATATTATGAAGCTATTGCAAGTGAAGCAGAACAAACTCCAGACAAAGGAAACCGCGCAACACTCTACCAAACAACTAGGTTCCAACACAAATTAAGCCAGTGAAGGATGACAATGAAAAGTCAGTCACCAAAGAGGTGGAGCAAAGGAAACACTGGACTGAACACTTCAAAAGACTCCTAAATCGACCACCACCTACAACGCGCCCAACAATATCAACAACGGAGACAGAGCTACCAGTGAACACCAACCCCCCACAACGAAATCAGAAGTCCTGAAGGCAATCAAGATGCTAAAAGCTGGAAAAGCAGCAGGACCAGATGGAATCCCAGTAGAAGCATTGAAAATGGACCCAGAGACAACAGCGAACTTGATGACGCCACTACTGGAGAAGGTGGCAAAGAAGAAGGCAAAGTAGCCGAGGATTGGAAGAAAGGATACTTATTCAAACTACCAAAGAAAGGACACCTAAGTCAATGCAAGAACTGGCGCGGAATTATGCTCCTGTCCATCCCAAGCAAAATACTAAGCCGCATCATCCTGGAGAGAATCAAACATGCCCTGGATGAAAAACTCCAACCGGAACAGGCTGGATTCAGGAGAAACAAGTCATGCGTTGATCAGATTGCCACATTACGGATCATCATTGAACAAAGCTTGGAATGGCAGTCACCTCTCTGTTTCAACTTCATCGACTTTGAAAAGGCCTTCGACAGCGTCGATCGAGAGGTGCTTTGGCAACTACTTCGCTACTACGGGGTGCCACCGACAATTATACATCTCATCCAACAGCTGTACGACAATGCTGCATGCCAAGTAATCCACAACGGGAAACTTACGGAATCCTTCGAAGTGAGGACAGGAGTAAGACAAGGCTGTCTACTATCGTCAATGATTTTCCTGATTGTAGTAGATTGGATAATGCGACAAACAGCGGGCAATGGGGAAACAGGCATAAAATGGACTGACACAAAAAACTTGGAGGATCTGGACTTCGCCGATGACATATGTCTGATTTCCCACAAACTGGAAGATATGCAAGCGAAAAACAACAAGTTGGCAGAAGAAGCATCAAAGATAGGACTTCAGGTGAATATAGAGAAAACAGAGGTGATGAAGATTCCTGGTCAACAGCAACAGTAGTAGACAACAACCAGCGTAAATGGCAGAAATCTGAGAGGATAAACCTGCTTTACCTACCTACTGACCTGAGAAGCATAGTTTCAACTACAGGCGGAACTGACGGGAATATCAAAGAGAGGATCGGGAAAGCAAAGCAAGCTTACATTACTCTCAAGTCTGTGTGGAGGTCAACAGCACTCAGCGTGAAAAGAAGATCCGGATTTTCAACTCCAATGTGAATTTAGTGTTACTTTATGGATCAGAGACTTGGTGCGTCATGAAGAGCACTTTGAACAAACTACAGACCTTCATCAACAGCTGTCTTTGCTCAATACTCAAGATCAGATGGCCAGAAAAGATTAGCAACAGAAATCTCTGGGAGCGAATCATCCAGGAATTTACTGTACAACAAATAAGCAGGAAGAAATGGAGATGGATTGGCCATACTCTGAGACATCAAATCATCAAGTTACATCACACGCCAGGCCATTGCTCGAGTGGAACCTGGAAGGGAAGCGGCGAGTTGGTCGTCAGTGGAAGGGTAACTTGGAGGAGGTCATGTGAAGAGGAGATGAAAGCAAGTGGGCAGAAGTGGAGCCAGGTGAAAACGTTGACAGAGAACCGAACGCAGTGGAGACGCACGGCTGAAGCCATATGTTCCTCTAGGAACTAAAGAAAACAATAATAACAATAAATTATATGATTATTGTATGCATACATTGATTGATTTTTGTTTAAAAATGAACTCTGATTTTGATTTCAATTTGTTTCCATGCTCATTTTGTTCACACCTGTAATTCGTTCTATCCCTGCGTAACTTTCGTCTCTAAGCCTCTCGTAATTCATATCAAGTTGAAAATAATTATCACCTTTTATTCGCCTTTAAAATTATTTCTCCAGTTATCAAATGTTAATTTTGCATAAGTTGTAACTGTTGTCTAATTCTATGCAATCTTGTCTTCAAGTCCCTTGTAATCTATATTCGTACTACCAAACTTTCATATCGAGTTGAAAATTATTATCACCTTTGTTACTATGTTGAATTAAGCAAATAATAATTGTATCCATTTAAACTAATCTATATAAATGCGACTGTACAGCTTTTGAGAATACGATATATCTATTTGAACATTCTATTTGATGTTGGGCTGAATACATTTCTCACGGTTATATACTGCATTAACAAAAGAATGCTATGTATATTTGAACATTCTATATCATGTCGTTTGACGTAAACTGAAAGTACAAGCCCAGTGATTGTTTAAATAATATTAACTGTAGATATATAAACAGCGGCTTAATCACCTGAAAATATACCTTGACTTCGGTGTCTTGCCTTCTGTTGTTACATTTCGACTATGTATAAAACAACCAAACTAGAACCTTTTTATCTGTTTAAAGATATGAAAGTGACTATATTAGTAATGGGATGATGATGATGGTAACAATAATGAATAAGGCTATAATGAAAATGGCAGTTGCAGAGGAAATTAAATCAGTAACCTGTGTGTTACGAGAACTGTGATTTACCATCTAAGCATCAAAGTACATCTCCTAGCTTTAACTCAATTTCACTTCAATTGTCAGTGGTTTCACTCACCTGATTTAGTAAGTAAGGCGATAATATTACGCATACAACATTTGCATCCCAGTAGTTAAATGGTCTACCAGCTCACATTGTAGCCGGAAGGCTCTGTGTTCGAATCCCCGGGTGTGCTTACTGATGAAGAGTCCCAAAATAGGACGAAACAGCTGTCCAGTATTCCTCTGTATTTTGGCGTCAATGGTTCAGTGGTAGAATATCTTCCAGCCATGCATGTAGTCTGGGGTTCGATTCTCGGCCGACGCACTCCTAAACCTCGCTAAGCCAGAAGTAGGTCAGGAAAAGAGGAAAGATTGGACGTGAGGCTAGTAACCTCAGCCCATAAAATCACCACTTCCACTGAAACTTCAGAGCCCGAAAATTGAAGCTCTGTGTTCCTCTAGGAACGCAAAGGAATGTAATAAAATGGATAAATAACAGTTCCACATTTACATTACAGACGGTTGAAATGTGAATGACTGAAGTAATATTCTAACCAAACCAATGACTCAGTCTAACAGCTCAGTTAACAGAAAACCCTTTCGATAATTTCCAGGCTGCTGGTTCCTGCTCAGCCTCAACGTTACTTTTCATCTCCTTATATTAAAATGGTCTGTCAATTCAAAATCATACCATCTGTTGTCGTCTGAATGAGAAATCAAATCTCACTGAGAACACTAACACTACTATGTAGGTGTATTCATGTGATGAGATACTAACAACATGGAATGCTCGTCCTAAACTTTCCTGTTACCTGCCGCCTGGTGTATACCTTAATATTGATGTAAGACATCAAAATAGTGTCAATATTCGGGATATCTTTGATGAATTGGAGTTATTTCATATAAGGCTTCTAACAACTGGTTGTTACTGTCATGTAATGTCTTAATGATATCAATATTTTTTACAAGTTGCCCGCATAGTCTGTGTGATAAAAATTTAGCTACAGACTATCGAGGCTGATTCTTACTTAAGGTTTTGTGTGCATTATTTTCTTCTTCATAGATTTTGGTCGTAGTTTTGCTCTATGCCTAAGTTACTATTTAAACATATGGGTATGGTTTTGGTTTCCATATTGGTTAGTTTTTTCGAAGTTCTCCTACTATTCGTATATTATTTGTTTCTTATTTATTGCTGTTTTAATTACAGTATTGTTCAAGTGATAAACTTCTACTAATGACTGCTTATTGACTGTTCCTCTTGTTAACTTTGTGTGTTTTTTTGTATTTTTTAAAATACAGAATTTCAAACGAGTCGTGTTGAAATGGAAGCAGTTGCAGATATATTCGACGCCAACGGTGATGGTTATATTGATTATCGCGAATGCTTAAATGCCCTAAGGACCAACTATATAAATCTAGACAGAGCATCATCCTCCAATACAACAGGCGGTAGTTCGTTGAGTTTGAATCGTTTTGGTCCGTCAGACGAAGAGACTATTAATGATGAATTAAGACGTCAAGTGGGTCTTTGTACATGTCATAATACATATAAGATTAGAAAAATGGCAACAAATAAGTATCGGGTTAGTTTCAGTTGAACATATTTCGAATTTTGCGTAAATTTTATGCTTAATTTGATATCAGTTGATCAATAAGTAAAATATGTGCCCAAAAGACATATCTCTCTACTGTAAATGTTTTCTTACACTAATTTGTCCACTCCCATAGAATAGTTTTAAGTAAAATTATTTTTCTTCATTCTAGTTTGGAGATTCACAAAAGTTATGCCTAGTTCGTATTCTTCGCAGTGCTGTTATGGTTCGTGTTGGCGGTGGTTGGGTAGCATTGGATGAGTTCTTAGTGAAAAATGATCCTTGTCGAGGTTAGTTTCATTGATAATATCAGTGTCAATACATACCTCCTGCTTAGCATTCTAGTATTTACGCTTAGGCTGTTTTGCTGCAAGAGTAATAGAACTTTCCAGATTTTCACAATTTCATTATGCCGATATGATTTTTCCTCAATGAACCAAGGCTTGAATTATAAATCTGGCTGAATAAAGACTGTCAGTTTTTAAGACTCACAATTTGTTCCATCCAATTCCATGTAACGTAACAGGTGTTAGATTCTCACTGATACAGAATTATGTTACAGCTAATCAAACTAAGAATTGGGAGGATTTCATCACGGGCTGATATCACTTAGAGAACCACTGGAAAACATGGGAGTACTGGGCAGCTGTTTCGTCCTGGTTTTGGACTCTTCACCAGTACGCACCCACCGGGGTTCGAACACAGGACCTTCTGGTTACAAGGCCAGCGAGCTCGTAGACCACTAAGCCACTGGGACCCGAACCAATGGCCCATGAATTCTAACTTCTGCCAATTCATGGCATAGCGCGACCATTTCGTGATGTCTTCTTCGATGAGTTACTGCCTCATCTTCAACCTGCTGTACCCTACCCAGCTGTTCAATACTCCCAGGTTTTCCAGTGGTTCTCTAACTGATGTTAGCTCATGATGAAATCCTCCATCCAATCAAGTAAAATCCCTACAAAGCCAATACTTGAAAACTAAGAATTGAAGCATTAAGACAATTTGCTTTAAAATGACAGCTTGCTGTGTTGGACATTATAAATGTGACATTCAAACAATTCAAATTTTCGTCGAATGAGGAATATTAAGGTAAAATTCAAAAGAAAACACCGTTCAAACTCGTCTTAAGTTTGAGTGGGGATAAACGCTATCGTGAGTCATTTTCGCGCATAGTATAGTAAGCGTTACAACAGATATTCCAGTGTGTAAAAAGTCGATTAAATAGACAAACGCAACATTTTAAATGATTACAGTTTCTCTAAGCTGTTAATAAAAGTCACAAGAGATCAACTACTTAAATCGCAATCGTAATTGCCTGTTTCCGTTCTACCTATTCAATTGGGGAGGTAAATTTGTTTTGACGACAACCTATATATTCACCTCTTGAGTTTAAACTCTTATGAATTTGGAAAAGCTAGTCAACAAGTGTAGATTCACGTAAACCAGTACTAAAATTTAGTCTGGCACCAATCAGTGTCTCGAAGACAAAATAAACTTACACAAAACAGAGATCTTAAAGAAGAAAATTCTTTTCTATGGCTGTATTAATATATAGAAAATCAAAACAAGTGATTCAGAGCAAAGACTCCTTTCAACGATTTTATTATCAAGCTGTACAATCAAATATGTATGGTTTTCTTAAGAAATTATATCCAGTGTGGGAATTAAATCAAAGGTGTGAATTTATGAAATATAATAATAGTATGAAATGCAATCAAAACGTTTGTGATTATAATCATAGTTAAATGTGAAGTGGCAAAACAATTAATGTCAAATATAGAATAATTCATAAGGTGTATAGATGTTGGGAAGGGGTGCATAATCATAGAATTAGTAGGCGAATATAAAATGTTACATAATATGCTGTGAAATTTCGTAAGATAGAATTCAATATTGTAAAAAATATATATAATTTTGGATTTAGTGTGACAAGTGGGACAAGCGGAAACAATTCGGAGTGAAAATTGTAATAATAGTAATAATCGTAGTAATGAGGGAAAGGTACATAGATTAACTAAATAAATAAATGTCTATCCCTCTACGGCCAAGGCAGAAGTAGGGATTGTACATACTTCTTTTGTACACAAAGATCTGGCTTAAATTCATGAATGGCCAAGGCCTCCGCTGTTTCTAGAAGTCTATAACGAAGAAAACGCGGCAAGGTAACATGGATTTGGTGGATGATCTTGAAACCATGGTCAGGGTTGGCAGAGTGACAGGAGTCGATCAGGTGTTCTAGAATAGAACTTCCCACACGCTTCCTTTCCCCTTGTAAAATCATGCTGGAGTATGTTCTCGTATCCATGTGGAAAGCGTCCTCTGACTACGGTCAATGTACCTCGTTCCAGAAGAGCAGGTGAACTGATAGATGCATATGGAAGCGGCCAGACGGGGGAGCTTATATTTTACAGAGATGGCGAACAGCTTGCGGCTGGTGAACGTCATTGGTAATTTTGCTGCAAAGAACGTCTTACTGACTGATTTAGAGAGACGGTTTTGAGCATATCTGAAGCTTGATCACCTTTGAATTCCAAGTTCATGAATAAGGTTTCTTTTGGAACTGAGTCAGTGACCAGTTTAGACTGGTATATCTTTCGTGTTGCTGTCAATAAGTCGGTTCGGGGAACCGTTTTCTGCTAGCGTGGCTTTTAGGAAGTCAAGTTTTCAGTCAACGTAGTCAGAACTACCTATGTTTCTCACTATTCTCAATCTGAATTTGTTCAGCCTGTCCCACTTGTTATTTCAAATCCAAAACCATTTTTTTGCAATATTGAATTCTATCTTATCAAATTTCACACCATATTATATTCGCCTACTAATTTTATGATTATGCACCCCATCCCAACATCTATACACCTTATGAATTATTCTATATTTAAAACAGTTAGTCCCTTTTATAAATTTTGATAGCATTATTAGAAGACGGAGATTATCTGAAAAATGTGATGTATTAGCGCTATACATTTCGAACAATCTGATCACACATTTACTTGTCAAGTCAATATATACGGCAGTAACTCATCTAAGACATTGTGAAATGGTCGCGCTATGTCGTGAATTGGCAGAAGTTAGAATTCAAGGACCATTGGATCGGGTCCCAGTGGCTCAATGGTCTACGAGCTCGCTGGCCTTGTAACCAGAAGATCCTGGGTTCGACCCCCGGTGGGCGCGTAGTGATGAAGAGTCCCAAACTAGGACGAAACAGTTGTCCAGTACTCCCAGGTTTTCCAGTGGTTCTCTAACTGATGTCAGCTCATGATGAAATCCTCCATGCAATTAAACAAAATCCCTACTAAACCAATACTTGAAAAAATTAATCTGATGCTCACTAGTGACTGGCCCTATTCAGGAAGTTAACCTGGGGTTCTAGTGGGAAGCCGTGACCAGTAGGGTACAGCAGGTTGAAGATGAGGCAGTAACTCATCTAAGAAGACATTGTGAAATGGTCGCGCTGTGTCGTGAATTGGCAGAAGTTAGAATTCAAGGACCATTGGTTCGGGTCCTAGTGGCTTAGTGGTCTACGAGCTCGCTGGCCTTGTAACCAGAAGGTCCTGTGTTCGAACCCCGGTGGGTGCGTACTGGTGAAGAGTCCAAAACCAGGACGAAACAGCTGCCCAGTACTCCCATGTTTTCCAGTGGTTCTCCAACTGATGTCAGCTCATGATGAAAATCAGCCTTATGGATCATCTCGATTAAATGTTTAGCTATAGACGAAGTTGGTAGTCTGACACCTGCATCTATTGGCTTGTCACAATTCATCTGTTTTTCTAACCACTTTGGGATATGCTCTCCCACCCTATATTTGACATTAATTGTTTTACCACTTCACATTTAACTATGATTATAATCACAAACGTTTTGATTGCATTTCATACTATTATTATATTTCATAAATTCACACCTTTGATTTAATTCCCACACTGGATATAATTTCTTAAGAAAACCATACATATGTGTAATTCCATAATGGATAAGATTTTATTTTGATAAATCACACAGTGTAGTACAGTTGTATTAACTGTTAATATAACTGTACTACACTGTGTGATTTATCAAAATAAAATCTTATCCATTATGGAATTATACTCTACCACAGTGCCCAAGTTTTATACTTATACCATACATATGTGATTGTACAGCTTGATAATAAAATCGTTGAAAAGAGTCTTTACGCTGAATCACTAGCTTTGATTCTCTATATGTTACAATGGACACTACCTAGGATTTAAAAAATGGCATTTATTTTTGGGTCACAATAAAATGTTTGTATGTTATAGCATATACATACATTAAAATGTTAAGGTGAGAGGAAATGATTAAATTTAGACAGTTTAACTTACAAACTGCCTAGACGTGTGAACCAATAAATAAAGTTCAATTCAAAGTACAACAGACATAAGTAATTCATAATAGGAAGGTGTGATTATGTGAATTTGTCTGGTCGCCAAAAGCATAATTAATGGACACAAATATCTTCTCTCACATGATACAAGATAGCATGTACTATGACCTTTAGAAAAACATTGTAAGCATTTGTGACTGATATCAAGCCAAATCAACTAATCTTATTCAAAGTGTAATGCCCTAATAAGGCCTTTCACTGAATATGTAAATGTTGTGTAGCCTGTGAATCTGCAAATGTTGTCTCTTGGAGAGAGAGAGAGAGAGCTGGAGATAAGATCAGATGGTAATTTACATTGAATATCTGGTCGTATCACTTGTAATAAGCGTTTAATAATTTGATGAAACTCAGATCATTTTCAAGTATTGGTTTGGTAGGGATTTTGTTTAATTGCATGGAGGATTTCATCATGAGCTGACATCAGTTAGAGAACCACTGGAAAACCTGGGAGTACTGGACAACTGTTTCGTCCTAGTTTGGGACTCTTCATCACTACGCGCCCACCGGGGGTCGAACCCAGGATCTTCTGGTTGCAAGGCGAGCTCGTAGACCATTGATCATTTTCACTTGTTATTGAGTTTTCATTGAAATGCATTGCATTTTGTTAACCTTCTCACCTCATACTACTGTCTTCTGGTTAGTCAGCTCAGGAAAATATTTTTAAGTTATCAAAGGAGCATAGAGATGTACATAGTGGTATGCCAGTGACAATGTTCAACAGAGATGGAGAATAAATCCTTGCACACATACCATCACTCCTTGATTATGATTTATTGAGTTGGATGTGTTTGTTTTTTCTGTCACTTTCAAACATGTGAAATGAATGAGTAATCAGTGTACACAACCATAATACTCTACACATAGAACCTCGCATTTTCCCTTGGGTCCTTTTTGTTTTTATCATGCTTCATATTTATCGAATAAATAAACCAAACTTAGTAGGGCACCAGGATCTAATGAAATATAATGAAGTATGAATTGTGATCTGAAACTTGTTTGGTTGACTTGCGCTTTGAACGATCTGAGAAACTATGCTATTAAAGCGTCATCAGTTATTTCAAACCAAGCTATTTCATATAAAATAAATAAAATGTTAAATCAGCACAACAAATATTACTGTCAAGTAATATTTTGTAGGGATTGTGTTTGATTGGTTGGGGGGGGGGGGTTACATCATGAGCTGATATCAGAATCATTGGAAAACCTGGGAGTACTGGAGAGCTGTTTCGTCCTAGTTTGGGACTCTTCAATAGTACGCAATTTCTGCGGTTCCGTCACTTTTATCTTTCATCTAAGGAGAAAATATTGTTTCACTTATAAGATTTAGTTTATTAAAATGTAAATGGAGGAAGGAAACAGTATATGGGTAGTGTTTAAAAAGCTCGTCACATAATTACTGACACTTTCAAAATTGTCTTTCTGATTGCAGTTAAGGTTCATATGATCTGTTAATGTCTGTTATTTAGTTGGTTTTGGTAGTTTTTAAGCCTAGAAATATCCTTTTTCAATTACAATGTTTATGCTCATGAAGAACTGGAAAATGTCAGAGCAAAGTTGTAACAAACAAGCTTCAATATTAACTCCTCTCGTCTGAACTGTGATTTGTTTTTTTATTGTTTTCATGTAAAGTTTCATGGACTTGAAATTCAAGATGATAGTCGCACAAAATGTAACACTGTCAATAGCACCTGTCTTGTTTGTAAATTATCTGCATTATCTAAAGCTGAAGGGATTTCACTTTCTCCGCCAACTTATTCAATATTCAGAAGAGTAGAATTCACAGCGTGGTAATTATGTTCCGTTTTCAGTACCTAAACGAAACCATATACATAATCTCTCAGTTGCTTAGAGTTACTATTTCATAAGTTGACAGATAGGCTTTTTGGACATAGTGCGTGATACTACTGCTTAGCTAATGAAGACGGTCCTAACTGTATACGAATCCCTTTCTCTAAGTTCATTTCAGAAGTTGAAATGAGAATATACTTGCCATGTTTACTTTTTTCATTAAGTCGCTTTGTGAATATTGCATATTTATTTATGATTCTAATTCTATGATTTGTTTCTTCTTTTTTTTTATGATTTTCCTCCATTTTTTTGATTTTACCCTATCATTTGAATGTTTTTGTTTTGCTCTTTTTTATATGGTATTACACACGCATATACACGTACGAAACCTACTTTTTATACTCTTACGTGTAAACGTATATGTATACATATAATTGTATTGATTATGCCTGTATGCACATTATCTATCCATGCATGCACATGTAATATATATATGTACATTATTTAGATGCTTGTGAACGCTTGACTAGTATAGCTGATCTGGCTAAAGCAGCTGGTGTTGGTAGAAGTTCCTACTGGCTTCCTCCTCCTTTCCCTCAACACTTCCCATCTTCTTCTTCTTCTTCTGCAACACGAACAGCAATAGTGAATCCATCTAGTCGATCTGATGTTACTCGTCATACACGTAATCATTCTGCATTGAGTTCAAATAGTAGTTGTAGTGGTAGTGGTGCTGGCATTGATTCTAGTACAAATAGTTCTGCAAATAAAAATCCTACTTTAAAAGGGACACACAATAGTTCACGTTCAAAATCTGTCAGTAAACGTTCACGTTATGATTCGCATAATTTATATCAGCTAACGATGAATGGTCCAGGACAAGACAATGCATTTTACTTAGTTATGCCAAGTACAAAGCCAAATCCGACAAATCATAGTAACTGTAGTAATAGTTCAAATACGCTTAAAAGCAAACAGCGATCATCTATGCGGAAATAATTTGTCAGCCTATATGATCTTTCTGAATGTGTATACCATGCACATACTCTCTGTGATATTCACCAAAATAATTTCATCCTTTTCTACAGAATAAATCGTCTACTCACTTTCTTAAAAAATGTAGAAATTAGCATTTCATACACACTACAAAAATGATCTTCCTCAACTCCTACTCGCCAATATTTTAATTTCTTTGACGAGATGACCCCAATCCATCCATTTTTACACACGCCTGAAGCCTCTTGTTTTTATTTTTCTAGTAAGCAAGCATGTCATAATGTATTATATTATGAATATTATTTTTTTCCCTTTTATTTTACTATGTATTTCCTTGTTGATGTTGTTGCCTTCGTTGCATGATTGTCACCATGTTAACTGTTGTTATTAATTTGTCATCAACAATCATTATTACCAACAACAATATCACCACCGTCATCGTGATTACTTACTTTGATTGCTGTATCCAAGTTTAACGACTGTTGTGGTAATAACATGCTCATTGAAATCCATCAATCTGTCGGGTACATTTTCTTCCGTAGAATTATAATTATCCTTATTGTATGTTTACATGTCGCTTTCTGTATGTGTGTGTGTGTGTAACATGTGTGTATTCTTGTTAATTTAAGTACATTTGAAGTGTATTTAGTTGTTTTGACTAATGTATACATGCATGTGTATTTACATTGTGTATTCTGCAGTGAATATAGTAGTAAGTGGTCTTAGCCTCCAAACTTGTCTTATTATATATTGTCAAAATGATGAGAACTGCAACAAAATGTTGCCTATTTCAAAATTAAAATCAACAAAATTCGAAAGATATTCATTGATGTTGCACTTAAATGACTAGTCAGAAATATCATTAAATTGTAAAGATGTTGAAAACAAAAATTAAATAATCGCAGAAACTAGAGTTTGCTTTACCATGCTATTGAATAGCACTTCATAGACAGTAGTAAGTGTTTACTTTCAAACATTTTGTCAGAATAACTAAGTCGACTAAAATCTGCGCTAGGTGACTAAGACGTTTTATTTATGTACCGTGGAATTCTTTTTTGCTAAATTCACTGTCCAACTCTCTATGTCATCATGTGTTTGAATAAATTTCTAAGTGCTATGATATACCCATTTATTTTCTATAGTTTGGTTTGTAAGGATTCGTAAAACATACCCATTTATATTGAGTGAGAAATTATGTAGTCCCACTAATATAAGCAATACTCAGGGATATGTTTGAAGTGAGAACAGGAGAAACATAAGATTGCCTACTATCACTCATCATATCCATTATTATGGTGGACTCGACAATTCAGAAGACTATGGGGAGCGAGGAGAAAGGAGTACGTTGGACCACCGACAAGAAGACTCCAGAAGATATGGACTTCACCAACGTTCTATGTCTTATGTCGAACAAACTCGAAGATCTACAGGTGAAAACCAACAAGTTGTCAGAAGAGGCAGGCAGCAAACACAGGATTTCAGGTGAAAACAGAAAACACAGAGGTGATGAAGACACCTAACCAACATCATCATCATCATCATCATCACCAACTACAATAACAACAACGACAACGACAAACACCATTCACTATCAAGGAAATAAATTTGAGAGAAGGAAGTCACTTCCTCCACTTATTTAGACAACATCCTTCCAACTACAGACATGTCGTTTGATGAAGATATGCAAGTGAGGATGGTTTCCGAGGCAAGACATACCTTGATCAATCTGAAATCAGTTTAGAAATCTACTGTGACCAGCATACACAACAAGATTTGGATTTGTAACACTGATGTCAAGTCAGTATTTCTGTGTGTGTGTGTGTGTCTGTATTTGTGTGACGAGTCACCGAAATCGTTTCCAACTGGCCACTGCAGACTTCTATCAATATCTCCCTTCGCTGGCTGCATACTGAAGATTAGACCAATCAAGAACACATTATCCAAAAAGTACGCCGAGACAAATGGAGATGGATCGGACACACACTGAGGAGGCTGTCGGTTGACGTCGCCTGTCAGGCCGTAGGTCGAGTGGAATGTGAATGGGGAGTGACGAGTTGAGTGTCCGAGGTAGAAAATGAGAAAACCGTGTGAGGAGGAGACGAGAGCTTATTGATGAATGTGTAGGCGGCTGGAGTGGATTGAACAGGACAATTGGAGATGTTCTGCTGAAGCTCTATTTTTCGCTCAGAAATTAAAGGAATAATAATAGTACTGTGAATAGTAATCACGTATTTTAGTATAAATAGCACTATATAACCTGCCAAGTAGACTGTTGAAAAGATTTGTAAATTTCAATTGTCCATAGGTGTTTTCCACTTAGCTTTTATATATACTATACTTCTTCGTTAAATGAACCACACAGTATTACAGGGTATCACATACATCCAATGAATCAACTAATTTAATATTATACACTGAAACACAGCAACTAAGTTTTATTCATAAATTAGTAGTGTATAGTTCAATATCACTGGGTTTTTTTAAAGATAAATCACACTATGAAGCAATCTGTCTTTACTATTTAGTATATCTACTACCGAATACACTGATATTAGACTGCACCATTCAGTAGTTTTTGCAAACGAATGAATTTTAAGATATACACTAAATTTCATTCACTGTTCAGCATTTATTTTGGTTATTTTTACACAAAGAAAAAATGCAATATAAATTAACACAGTTGCTTAAGATGTATCCCATCAAAGCACTGGAAGTATTGTTCATACTTTCATTGGAATGTTTATTTGAGGAGAGCTTACAAGGACACTATAGTCTTCATATTGTGCACGAATTGAAACGTAAAGAACAATCTGCTTCGTCCTCCAATAATGAATTACTGATTTGACGTCACTTTTGTTTGGGTTGGTTAACCATTTTTTTAGATGATAACGTATTTATTGAGATCGATTGCTGTGATTTTTTTCTTATGATTGATTAGTCTTGTTGAATTCATTTAACAACTGTAGCTTGGCTGATCTTCTAGTTGTTCAATTAATTTTTGTTTGCTGTCTGATATCACCTTTTTTGCTTATTAGATTCCTTTAAACCTTATAACAAGTTATGTAGTGGTTTTATGGTTTTGTAGGCAATGTTTATACCAAATAGTTGTAACAGTCTCTTAATTGTTCTTAAGAAAATTATGGTGTGAGAGAGTAAACACCTTCTCGTGACTTCTAGTGCATAACAACTGATTCGGAGTCATTTGAATAAGTTTCACCTTTTTGCCCGTGTTTAAATTTGTTATGCTGCTACCCTGAATAGCGTTTTCATCCATGTGTGCAATTTAAATAGCTGTTAGTACAGTTGAAGGTTCCGTTTATATGGGGGTTCGTTGTCTGTAGACTTAAGTTTCTGTTTCTCTGTTGCTGAACTTAGTCATTAGGATGCCCTGAAACATAAGTCGATTCTTTCTGTCTTCCCCGTCGGTTAAATAAATACTTGTAAAGATAATGTTCTTAAGATAGTAAACATTTTTAAATTCATTTTAAAACGATCATTATGATGTATTCCTAGATGCACGTCTATGAAAAATAAAGCACCAGCTTTATTAGTACCATACAATGAAATGCTGTTTACTGTTAGCAGAAATCAATAAATTTCCGTCTCATCACTCATTTGGTGTCCTGCCACATTTAATCTATGACATCCATCTTTTCCGTGAATTTTTGTTTCTTTCTAAACTTTCCTGTAAGTATTTTGTCTTTTTATGTTCGATCACACCTGTTCCTACACTTGAATTCCAGCCAGTGGTTCACATGTTCAAATGTCACTTCGTATACCTTAGTTAGAGGAATTATGTGATATTGTAAGCCCATCATTCAATACACAAACTGCACTGTACTAGATATTTTCAATTATTCCAGGCATTTTCCTTGTCTACACACTTCTGTGTACCCTGGCCTTAAAGTTGACTGGTCTGTTTTTTCCTACCTGCCTGCTTGCTTCATTTACATCGTCAGTTGTATGCATGTGAAGATGTTTTCATTTATTTTTTTCATATTTGTACCAAAAAAAAAAAATTAAAGTGATAAACACACTTAAAATTGATTAATTTTGTTGTCTAATCACCTTCTTTTGCTAGTATTTATTTTCGTCTCATATAATGAAGTTGCATGTGTGATGTGAAAGAGAATTTATAAACGTTCTTTTTTTGTAACATTGTTCCTAGTTCCGTTATGCGTTAACTTCAAACCATAGTGTCTGTTGTGTTTATAATACAAATAATGAAACTAATAGAAATAGTAATGATAATAATAATAACTTGGTTAGATTACTGTTTTTGTAATCATTTCATTTAATTATTTTCATTTATGCTCTGATAATATTTATGAGACACATGGTGTGTCTGGACGACCTGAGCACTCGTCAAAAGGCAGGGTGAAATTTTTCAGAACTGGCCTGCATTGAATCTTAATTTATGATATAGTAAGTAAGGTGCTACAATAAAATCTGACGCCATGATTGATTTCGAAAGATGCATAAAATAATTTTCGACATAGACAGACACAAGGAAATTTTGGTGATGGCTAGCAGCGGAATGCAGGACACATGTTTTGTTCTTCTGGCATTTAGTAACTTTCAGTATATCCTACAATGCAAGTGGTAGTTTGAAATGACTTTTAGAGAGAGAATTCAGCATTTTGCTATGCTGTATTGCATAACTTAAGAATATGATCATGAAAGGAGAAAAGCATGAGAATATTATTACAGATCTTCTCCGCAACACTGTGTTGAAAATCAAAGAAAGTGATGCTGACACAAGGCAGCAATAATATCTGAATTGATAAAAGGGTTCATATTCGTTCAAATGACCAGTTTCAAAGATTAAATATATTTTTTTAAAGTTGGTTTGTAAGGATTAGATTTGTTTATACGAGTTTGCCCACGGATTGATATCAGTTAGAGAACCATTGAAAACCAGGGATTGCCGGATAGCTGTTTCATCCTAGCTTGGGAATCATCGGCAGTACGCACAAACTGCGGTTCGAATCCAGTATCTTCCGGCTACAAGGCAAGGTCGTATACCATTCAGCCCCCACTGGGACCCGACTAAATGGCGAGCCAATGAATTCTAACTTCTACCAATTCGTGATTTTAGCCCGACCACCAACCAGTGTCATCGGCGGGAAATCCATCCTCACGCTTGACTGGATGGAACTCACTAGTCATGACTTTTCACTAGAACTCCAGGAAACTCCCTGCTGTAGCAAGTCATTAGTGAGCATCAGATTTGGTTTGTAAGGATTAGATTTATTTTTACGAGTTTCTTGTTTAAATACAAATATCAGTCATTATCAAAGTGAGTAGTGACAGATTCCTATCTATAAACTGCATGCATATATGTGACATGAACTGTTATTTAATTTCAAAGTAAATTTAAAAAGTAAGATTATCTCTGTGTTAAGTTATTTTTATAATAATTAATGTTTTTTTTGAAAAACATTCATATTAAACGTTTGTAGCTTCCCAATGGAAATCGACTTGTGATCTAGACGAAGATTTAAACAGTTCAACTGATGGTGTAATACCGTTAACGCAAGGAATATCAGCATTTCGTCGCAAATCCTCGTCTCTAATTAATAAACCTCAAATGTTATCACACAGTAGTACAGCTAGTTCATATGTCTCCTTGCCTGCATCAAATAATGGTTTAAATCAAACGAAAAGTAACAATTATACTAATAATAAGCATGGTTTTGACCGACAAACAGTGCCGACACGTCCTACAGCCACATCACTTCCACAATCATCTAGAAACAGCATGCATTTTGAAACAATTAATGATAAAAGTGTAGACGATAATTTCCACCGAAGACGTGCATCAGCTTTTTCTACACCATCTTCTAGTAATATGACATTAACATTTTTAAAGGATTTCAACAATAAACGAACTGGTAAGGACGCAATGAAGATAAATATTAATTTTTTATTGATAAACAGTTTAGTACACAAATAAAAGATCTCAGTAGCTAGAATACACCCAAATTAAAAGCCTATTGTACTGGTTAGATTTAAACACTTGAAGGAAGTCTTTTTTAAATTGAAGTGGTTAGTAGTGTATGGGAATTAATTCATCTGAAAGAAGGGAATAGTTTCAGCCATTCGAGTGTGATAAGATAATTTGTTTGAACTGACTCTTTCACCTAAACTTGGTTGATCGAGTTTCCCTACTGTGAGATGAATTCGTTTGAGTACAAGTCAGATGAACTTTGATTTTACAAACGAAGCTTATCATTTTACATTACTCTCTTTACTCATATGGGTCACAAAGTCGGGCAGCATTGTTTACTGGGTCATGAATTTCATTTCTTTCGGCAATATATTTTGTCAGTTCATGACACTTTTTTCATAGCTGCAAATTTTGTTCTTTGTCTGATAGTTTTTAACAAAAATGAGGAAATCGAAAAAATAATGTGTGAGTAATCTGCACAAATTTCATCCAAAAACACCTAATTCACCATGGAATGACATTAGTATTCAGTGAGAACTGGCCAGTTATTCTGTTCTAGTTCTACACTCTTCGATATTAAAACCTTTTGATTACCCAGTCGAAAATTTAAGTTTTAATTGTAAGGTTAAGTAAAGCATCAATGAATAAAGATAGTGGGGGATCTTTCCACCGCATCACAAACTTTCTAAAATGGGATTGAGATTGTTACAGAGGTAATCTGGATGTAAAGATATTCTAAAAAAGTAAATGTTGTAGAGAAATACGGAATCGGAATCGAGAGAGCATACGAATGATATTCATTGGAACAAGCACGAAGCATTTAGTATTATAATGCATTTCTTAAAAGAAGAATCCAGGACTAATTATTATTCCCTTGGGTTCCAAATGGAACATAAGGCTTCTGCAGAACATCTCCAATTGTCCTGTTCAATCCACTCCAGCCGCCTACACATTCACCAATAAGCTCTCATCTCCTCCTCACACGGTCTTCTCATTTTCTACCTCGGACACTCAACTCGTCACTCCCCATTCATATTCCACTCGACCTACGGCCTGACAGGCGACGTCAACCGACAGCCTCCTCAGTGTGTGTCCGATCCATCTCCATTTGTCTCGGCGTACTTTTTGGATAATGTGTTCTTGATTGGTCTAATCTTCAGTATGCAGCCAGCGAAGGGAGATATTGATAGAAGTCTGCAGTGGCAGGTTGGAAACGATTTCGGTGACTAGTCACACAAATACACACACACACACACACAGAAATACTGACTTGACATCAGTGTTACAAATCCAAATCTTGTTGTGTATGCTGGTCACAGTAGATTTCTAAACTGATTTCAGATTGATCAAGGTATGTCTTGCCTTGGAAACCATCCTCACTTGCATATATTCATCAAACGACATGTCTGTATTTGGAAGGATATTGTCTAAATAAGTGGAGGAAGTGACTTCCTTCTCTCAAATTTATTTCCTTGATAGTGAATGGTGTTTGTCGTTGTCGTTGTTGTTATTGTAGTTGGTGATGATGATGATGATGATGATGTTGGTTAGGTGTCTTCATCACCTCTGTGTTTTCTGTTTTCACCTGAAGTCCTGTGTTTGCTGCCCGCCTCTTCTGACAACTTGTTGGTTTTCGCCTGTAGATCTTCGAGTTTGTGAGACATTAGACATAGAACGTTGGTGAAGTCCATATCTTCTGGAGTCTTCTTGTCGGTGGTCCAACGTACTCCTTTCTCCTCACTCCCCATAGTCTTCTGAATTGTCGAGTCCACCATAATAATGGATATGATGAGTGATAGTAGGTAGTCTTATATTTCTTCTGTTCTCACTTCAAATGCTGTTCTGATTTTTCCGTTGTGGATCACTTGACATGTGACGTCACACAGCCGTTGAATGAGGTTGTTAAAAATTTGAAAAACTCCACGGTGTTGAAGCAGTTTCAAAATTATTTCACCACCAACGCTGTCACAAGCGTTTACGAAGTCGATGGAGTTGAGGTAAAGATTTGACTGCCATTCTTTGCTTTGTACGATAGTGATGCATAGCGTCGCAATTCAATTCTCACTTGATTTTGTTTTCATATATTCAGCTTATTCTTGTCGTAGTTCTGATTCACGAGCATCCTTTAGTCCCCCCAGAAGGACACGAATTCATATTTTGCTTGGCGTGGACAAGAAGATTATTCTGTGTCAGTTCTTGCAGAGGCGTCAGTTGCTCTTCTTTAGTAGTTTGACAAGGTAGCCTTTCTTCTGATCAGTAGGTACCTTTCCTTTCTTCTAAACGCTTTGCAATAGTGGCGTGAGCACATTCATTGCACTCTCCAGATCCGTTTCCAGTGCATCAGGATTAATTCCATCTGGTTCTGCTGCCTTCGCGGTTGGCTTTCAGTAGCTATATCGCACTCAAACTTGTGCTTTCATTGGAGCATTGGTTTCCATTGGCAGGCAGTTGTGTGCTTGCTGTGGGCGGTATTTGTGAACGAGTTGAAGGTGATGGTTGATTCAAGAGATTTTGGAGTGATCATTGTTTACTTTGTCTCTCCTTCTTGGTAATTAGTTTCCCCGGTCGCCTTTTGTCTATCATTGTGCTTGTACATACTACCTCCAATCACCAAATCATTGAATGCACAGAAGTCTGCGAAGAATTCTCTTTTCTCATTCATTTCGCCTAGAGCCACTGGACCCATTGTGAATGCTGTTTCTGTGTTATCTACTCCCATTTTAGCAATCATAGCTCTCACTAGGATTTTTATGTCGCCACTGGGGATAGTGTATACACTACTGTCTGTAGTTATGCATAGAATTCTTCATTCTTCTGAGTTGTTTGTAGCACTGTGTGTAGCATTGGATAATTGAATCTTGCTGTCATTATTCTGGATGAGTTTGGTCCCAACTGCATAAGAGCTTTGGCTCCTGTTGATAACATCACAATAGCCACTCCCTCAGTGTGCTCGTTGATTGTTGTCTGGGTTGACGCAGTTGATTACTGACTTTCCAATTAACAATTTGGAGAGCCCACTTCCACTAAATCTGCAATCACAGATTCGTAGTAATTCGATGCCGTATCTTCTCATTTCTTCAGCAACATGGGCAGTCTTCCCGCCCTCGTACATTATGTAAACATTCCACGTCCCGATGGTTATTTTCGCTTTCATCGGAAGAAGAGAAGTCGGCTGAGTGGTTTCCCGAAGGCTCTCACGATCACACATCATTTCGTCTCTCCGACTGTGGCAGAGAATAAGTTTGTTTTTATATTTTTGTTGTACTTTGAAGTTTCTTTAGCGATTGGATTGATTTCCCGGAGTAGGTTTCCTGGCCCCATTCCCAAGCTCACTTCTTTTCCCGGGCTTAGGCACGGCTAGGAAACTAGTGAATCGGTAAACTAGGTGAATTTTCAGAACTTATGCCTAGTTCTTTTTCAGAGTTTTCAGTAGAATGTAGTCATTTTTCTCAGCTTTCGAAGTTAGCGTGACCATTTCCGTTCAGCAACCAACCTGTCAGTCTGTGATGATATTAGATGGTTGGAGGTAATCGGCAGGAAGCCTTGGACCTAGGTTTCGTGCTAGTTGGTACTCGTCAGCAGGGCGTATCTGCAACCTTGAAGGAACTCATGTCCCTCCCGAGATTCGAACCCGCGTCACCCAGTGCTGCAGTCAGAGACGTTACCACTGAGCTATTCGGGCTCGCGATTGACCTCCTGTAGGACTGTAGTGGATATTTTGATTTGAAACTAGTAACTAGTGTGATGCGTCTAGTCCTCTCTTTGGTGCAGACTGAATTCTATCGGTCAGGTTGCAATGTGGCCACCATTCTAGGTAGCAAACAATGTACTGCTGACGAGTGCCAACTAGCACGAAACCTAAGTCCAAGGCTTCCTGCCGATTGCCTCCAACCATCTAATATCATCACAAACAATGTACACCGTGATGGCGAGCTACCTAGAATGGTGGCCACATTGCAGCCTGACTGATAGAATTCAGTCTGCACCAAAGAGAGAACAAGACGCATCACACTAGTTACTAGTGTCAAATCAAAACAACCTGTCAGTCATAGGTGAAAGACTGACCATCATATTAAGGTGTTGGTGATTTCTTGACATTGATTAGCAGACTGTACTGAGTAGCATTTAAGGGTATGTAAGCTTCTCATTTAGTTGAGACTAAGTTATTTTGAACAGATTTTCCATGTACCAGGCAATAAATTAGGCTTGTTGAGGTTATACTGTTTTGGTGTGACACCGACAATGTGTTCCAACGGAATATTAGTCTCACATATTGCCACAGTTCAATTCGGTATTAACAACAGAATACGATATATCTATTTGAACATTCTATTTGATGTTACCGACAGAATGCATTTCCCACGGTTATATACTGACTGCATTAACAAAAGAATGCTATATATATTTGAACATTCTATTTCATGTTGTTTGATGTCAACCGAAATCACAAGCTCAGTGAATGGTTAGAGAATATAAACTTTATAGAAATAAACAGCAGTTTGGTCACTTGAAAATATACCTTGACTTCGGTGTCTTGCCTTCTGTTGTTACAATACTACTGAATCGCTCACTCTGAAGTTGGTAGACTAGGTTTAGAAACTAGGACTTGCTAGCTAAAGCTGGTATGTATGTTGCACACTGAAGCCAACAGTAACAGATGTATCCAGTTCTGTGAGTCAACACCAGATAACTTGTCTTATTCCATCCTTATGCTGTAAAAATTTCAGTATTTTCTATTGATATAAGTATAAAACTTGGACACTGTGGTAGAGTGTAACTCCATTATGGATAAGATTTTATTTTGATAAATCACACAGTGTTACACAGTAATATTAACTGATGACGTTTCGAGCACAAACTATTGCTCATAATCATATCAAGTTACTCACACAACTTTTTCCTTCATTTATATATATGTATGGAGTTGACTAGATATTTGAATAAAAATCAATATCAGTGTTGTTGATCAAATACAATTACATGGGAAATAAGACGAATGTTCTTATAGTTATTTTCAATATTTTCTCTTAGTTGATTTCGAGAAATTGTTAGGGTTAGAAATTATACAGTTCGTGATCTTTTATAACTCTTACTCAATTAGCTGATTTGTCCACTGTTTTGTTCCATAAATGAAACCTGTTTATTATGTTTCAGATATGTTATTGAAGGGTATAATACTGCGGATAATTTACTTCACCACATTTTGTAATAATTGCGACTTGGATTGAAATTGGTTTATAGAGGATTTCTATATTGATTATTAGGAGAGTATGCATTCTCTGATTTATCTTAGACAAACGATGTGAACTTGCACTTGATAAACTGAGGCTATATTGCGTGTGATTTTCAGTATATAACGGATGTGACTATAAATTAAAATTATATCATTAGACATAACTCGGTATTAGTCATTGGTTTTGCTAAGTGATAAATACAATTTGTTGACAAGATATTGACTTCCTATGTTCGATTGTATGTGAGTTTATGCTTGTTGAAACAAAATAAGTATCATTTAAGCTACAAATGTTAATCTGGGAGTGAAAGAATGCTTCTTTCCTTGTCAGGAAATAAAATTAGTCAAATTTTTTCCGAGTGTTTTTACTTCTACCTATTATGCTTTTTTATTGTTGGAAAGAATGCGCATAGACATCAACCTCTGCAACCATTAAATTCATAGGGTATTTTTATTCAGTCGCATCAGTCTCATATTAAATGTATTTATTCATCTCTATTGCTTCAGGTGCTATCCAGTCTGATCAACTTCCTCAAATTAGTAAGACCACTTCAAAGCATCAACGTGATACATCTTCACGCAAAAGTGATGAGCCGTTGACTGCTGATTCGAATCCAACACTAACAGCTGATCCTAACTCTTGTGATATCGATATAAAAACAGAGGAAAACACTGTAACTTCTCGTCCCGGTTCAATTCACCTTGATTCAAGTACAAATGGTTCACCAAAATCTAAAATTCCGTTACCTCAACGGAATTCACTAGCTGATAGTTCAAGTCATCATCGAATAGATGATTCAAACAACACTGTCAATACCACTATCAACAATGATGTCGACGAAAATGACAATAAGGAAAAGGATTTCAATAATAATAATAATAATAATAACAATAATGACAATGATGAATCTAGGTGAAAAACTCTTTCCTCACTTTCTTTGTTCAGTTAATGTAATTTGAAATTCATTTTGTTGTTATTTCATTCTTCTTTACACTCTTATTTTAATTTTGATATATATATTTTTTAAAAAGAACACTATATATATTTTTTTGACCTCTTCCAACGACTGTGAAAGAAAGTTAATGGTTTCTTTTTCTTTTCTTTAACAAATATGAACTAGTTAACATTGAATGCACATAACTCTCAATCTGTAATAGTGATACTGGATATATAGGTGTTTACATATCTTAAGGAGAGTTATTACCTTCAGAAGACAATAGTAACCTCAATAGATTTTATTTGCTTTCTTCTTCTTTTTTTTTTCTATGAGAGGATTGAAAGTGGATGGGTAAATACGGGAGTGGTGTTTTTTTTTCAACCTCCACCTCTCTCTCTCTCTCCCTTTGTTTACCTTTTATTATTAAGTAAATAAATATACTTTGACAACTAGTTAATAATACACACTTATTATTTTCGTAAATATAAATTATCACATTTACTAATATTAATTCACTAACCTTTGTTTGTTTATCTTCAATACTACTTTCATCCTTTCGAAAGCGAGCATTATTTTATCTTCCTTTTCTCATTCATCAATTTATGTGTTTATTATAATCACTATGTCCGTTCGCTCACTTCGTCTGTATGCGCTTATCATTCACGTGATCTCAGCATACATACTCTCTCTCCTGTACTATTCATCTTCTATTGTAAAGATCCTCTTGATACTGTTATTCTTTGTTGCAAGTTCACAAAATACAATTTTATTTAATTTGATACCTTACTATAAATAGGTGAATAAGTTCTAGAAGGAATTTTTTTGATTGTTTGACTTGTATAACCAGTTGAAACTGGATGGTTATGTCGATTCCTATTTGACAATCGATTCTTTTGTATGATACAGTGAGTTAATGGGGGTTTCAACAGCTTTATATATATATGCATATATATATATATATTGGATTTCAGCTCTGAATGACCTCATGAAATCTAGATCCAGAAAGACTTTTTGTTTGGTACATCCTAACATTTAACAATAAAATTGACTCGCCAATTAGTTAAACAAGTTACTCAGTCATCTTTTGAGATTAATGTAGTGCACACTATTCTTCCCTGTAAAAATCACTAAAGTTTATGAAATATCTCCAGGTCTTAAGGAGTTGAAAAGAATCATTGGCAAAATGAAAGGATTGTCAATTTGTCTAAGTTTTCTTCTTCCACGAATTTTGATTTGGTTATGTTTGATATCCCGACTGATAGCTCCCGCCTTGATGTGGTGGTTGGGCTTGTATATTGTAGCAGTTACCCAGCGAGCTACACTAGCTGGAACTGATATTCCTACGGGTAGTTTGAACAGTGGTTGGACTAAAAGTATTTACCACCAAATTGTAAGTCATTTACACTATGTCGGGAGTCTGTAGATGAAGTCATACTGCTGGGGAATAGAGATGGAACAACAGATAGGTGTTTCCCTCAGATTGCCACCATGCCAGCTATAGTGCTCCTTTGCTCTGGAGAACGTAGGGTTAGAAAAAGTCGACCCCGAGAATTTTAAGTCCAGACTTACTTTGAGCCGACCCATAGTCGGTGGTAAGATTGTATGATATGGCTCAATGTACAATCAATGTTTTCTTCCTATTTAGTAAGGGATTCTGTAAGCAAACTGGTGTGGCTATGAAATCACCACTAGGGCTAACTGTAGCTGAGTTTTTCCCTTGCAAAACTAGAGAATGGACCTCTGAAAGCTGTAATTGTCGAAATGGAATTCTGTTGTTGTCTCATGAATTATACGTTTTTGATTATTAAAATCCCTGATAAATTCAATGTGGATCCTGCAGTAAATTTTATAGTTGAGAGAGAAACAAATGATGATGATGACTAGGGAAACAGGATAGTACAACAAAGAGGAGTGTATACAGAAAGCCTACATCGACAGGCCAGTATACTGATTATTTCAGTTTTGTACCTTTGAAATATAAACGCAATTTCATAAAGTGTTTGTTTCACAGAGCTATAGTAATCTACTCTAGTGACTGTCTTAATGAGGATTTAGTAAAATTGGTTATACGTAGAAATTCGTTGGAAAAAATATGAATTTACCCCTTAGGTAAGCTAGTATGTCAACAGTTCCAAAGAAGCCCTTTTTCTGAAAACTGCCGTCTCTTAATGATTACAGCAGTGAAACAGTAAGTAACACAATGCCCAAAGAATGATGTAAAAAGAGCATTTTCTGATTTGACGTTCGACAAATAAGGATAAACTATCTAGTTCCGTCTCTTCTGTATCTATCCATTTACAAATTGGGCATATTCGTCATCGAATATATGAACTTCATCCTGCATGTTTAAGCGATGGACAAAGAAGGTTTATTCGATGCCCTCATTTTAGGAGGTCTTGTGGATACGCAACAAAGTTGTTGTTAACAAGGGCGTTTACAGTCACCAGTCTTATTCCAACTTATCTTAATTTTGATTCACGAGTTCGTCTCCTACAGATACCTATCTGAAGAGGCCGAAGCTGAGTGTTGAGGAGAAACTCATAGAGACACCTTGGACATGACTACATGAAAGTAAAAAACTGACACTCTTCCACTTCCTCCTTACGTCATTGTTTTGTTCACCTTATTACACTACCCCTTAATTGTTGCATTAAATGTTTTTCTTAATTTATTTGATATTCAATTCAGTATTATGCTTATGAATATTATCTGATATTTATGTTTTTGAACAGTAATCCATTGATTTTAACAATATTATTTACAAAACACCAGTGTTGTCGATAAGAATTATCCTTTAACTGTTGTGGACAGATATCTGTAGGACCTGATGAGAAAGTTATCAAAAGAATATTCAAGTGTTGGGTTGTGGGGATTTAATTGGTTACAGGATTTTCATCATGAGCTGACATTCGTTAGAGAACCATTGGAAAACCTGGGAGTACTGGACAGCTGTTTCGTCCTGGTTTTGGACTCTTCACCAGCACGCACCCACCGGGGTTCAAACCCAGGACCTTCCGGTTACAAGGCAAGCTCATAGACCATTAAGCCACTGGGACCCGATTCAATGGCTCATGAATTCTAACTTCTGCCAATTCATGAAATAGCGCGACCCCTAGCCAATGTCTTCGGCGAGTATTTGTCCTCACACCCGACCTGCTCAATCTTGTTATTTATCCAGATAGATATTATCATCATACGATCTGGGATTACTGAGTAGTAACTAAAATTGTCAGACATAGCAGACACTTGACAAAAAGAAAGATATAAAATGAAAAGGATTTGAACGAAGGTTGCAGTGCTTTTTTCCCCAGCCTAAATCTAATTCCAGTGATAGAGCCAGTTGAGTATATTAGTGGAATTAGACCATTGTTGATTGCGACAGTCAGAATATTACTGTTTAAGTTATTGGATGCATTACTACAGTACCTTTCATAAGAGGGTTTATTTATATTTTTCGTCGAATACTGTAATGCCAATCACAGAATCAAAAGTCAAAATAAATTAATTCAGATTACCAGGTAAGTAAAAGTATAAGAACAATATAAACTCAAAGAGGTATACTACTGAATAAATCAAAACACGAACCCACATCACTCCATATTATCCAAGTCAGATGCAATAAATAGTGAGTGTTATAGTTTCTCAAAATGGTTGCTTGATAATAAATTGCACGAATTGTATGAACACTGTGATCACGAAACGAATATTATCTGTCTACCGCCAACGCTATACAACTATATTCACTCAAATGAGAGGGAAATATATATCCAAAAGAATATGTGGTTGACTGTATGAAACATGTTGCTAGGCTAGTAAAATACATTAGAATAAATATGAACAAATGCTAGTTTCTTTAATGGCTTACTAGCAATGTCTTATACCACCAATATATAATAAGAATGGCCGAAAACAGTAGGTGTTAACTTAAAAGACGGAATCAATTGGTCATCTTTCCGTGCAACTATGAGAACCACATCGGACACTAAATCTGAATAGTCTTTTTTTTGAGACTAGATATCAGTCACAATGCCTTTTAATTGAAATGAGTCATATGGAACAAACGTCAAATGAAAAGGAAAAGCCAGATCTCTGTTCATGGTCTTAATCCCTCTATGCTGAAGTATGGTAATCCCTAATCATATTTAAGCTCTACTAATTTTTTCCTTGTTTATCCAATCTGTATACTCTTTCTTTATTACGTCAATTGTTACTATTACTATTCTCACTTTGAATTGTTGCCGGTATTATTTCACTTGTCACCCTAAATCGATTTGGAATTTAACGTTGCAAATCAGTGTTAGCAAATTTCACACAGTGTTGCGTAACGTTTCGATTTGCCTACCAATCCTGTAGTTTCACAGTCCTTCCAAGTTCTATACATCCTATGAATTGTTCTATAAATGAAAGCGAGAATAAAAATGGGGACATGGAACGTCCGTAGAATGTACGAGACTGGGAAGGCTGCCCAGGTAGCCAACGAGATGCGAAGATATGGCTTGGAAGTGCTGAAGCAGAACAGGCAGACCGCAGGGGAAAAAGACCTCAAGACGTCATATCAGATAACCAGGTCTCTATTCGGGAAGAGATCAACTCAGATGATGAAACCAATAAAAGATGCTCAAAGGAACCTGGTCGCCAAGGAGGAGAAAGAAATAAAACAATGGGCTGATTCTTGAATCGACCACCACCTGCAACTCGCCCAGAAATACCACCAACAACACACAGGGAAATGCCAGTGGACACCACTCCTCCAACGAAACAAGAAATCCTGAATGCGATCAAGCTACTGAAGGCCAGCAGGACCAGATGGCATTCTTCCCGAAGCACTGAAGACGGCCCCAGAGATTACCGCAGATGTTCTCACTCCATTACTGCAAAAAGTTTGGAAAGAAGGAAAGGTGCCTACTGATTGGAAGAAAGGCTGGCTACCTCGTCAAACTGCCGAAGAAGAACGACATAGTTAGGCCTGTGCAAGAGCTGGCGTGGAATAATCCTCTTGTCCACGCCGAGTAAAATACTAAGTCGCATCATCGCTGAGAGAATGAAAGATGCACTGGATGCAGAACTCCACCAGCCCCACAGACCAGAACAAGCTGGATTCAGGGAAGGCGAATCATGTGTTGATCAAATTGCAACTCTACGCATCATCATCACAGAACAAAGCACAGAATGCCAGTCGAACCTCTTCCTCAACTTCGAAAAGGTCTTCAGTAGCGTCGACGAAGAAGTAATTTGGAAACTACTTCAACACTTTGGACTGCAGTGCCCCAAATCTTTATCAACCTCATTCGACAGCTGGCTATACGACAATGCCTGCCATGTGTCAGGTGATACACAACGGGAAACTCAGTGAGGCGTTCGAAGTGCATACAGGAGGAAGACAAGACTACAAGTTGTCACCCACGATGATATCCTTAATTGTGGTGGACTGGATTATGCATCAGGCTGTGGGGAGAGAGGAGACAGGAATATGCTGGACGACCGATAAGAAGATTGTAGAAGATCTGGATTTCGCAGATGATTTATGTCTAATGTCATACAGACTCGACGACTTACGGGCGAAAACCAACAAACTGGCTGAAGAGGCATCAAGTGAAAACGGGACTGCAGTTGAACACAGAGAAGACAAAGGTGATGAAGATAACCAATCAACAGCAGCAACAACAACAACAAACATCACCAATCGCCATCAACGGTAGAGATTTAACAGGGGTTACTTCCTTCACTTATTTACGAAGCATCGTTTCAACTACAGACGGAACGGACGAAGATGTCAAAGCCAGTCAGAATCGGAAAGGCAAGATATGCTTTCATCAACCTGAAACCAGTTTGGAAATCTTCCGCACTCAACATAACGAACAAGATTCGGATTTTCAACACCAATGTCAAGTCAGTCAGTCACTTCTTTTTTATGCGTTGGAAACTTGGCCGGCACGTCACGAAAAACATTTCCAACAGGCTACTGAAGACTTTTATCTACAGCTGCCAACTTCGCTGGCTCCTTAGTGAAGATTAAATGGCTGGCCAGAAAGAATTAGTAACAAGAAACTCCGGCTGAGAACAAATCAGCCAACCAAGAATCGGTCGCTCAACAAATATTTGGGAGAAAATAGGGTTGGATCGAGCATACATTGGGGAAACCGTTGAATGACATCGCACGCTAGGCCATGCCCTCGAGTGGAATCCAAATGGGAAGCGACGAGTGGGTCGTCGGTGCGAGGATGACATGGAGATCGTGCGAGGAGGAGATGAGAGATTGTGGACAATCATAGTCGAAGCTGAAGAGGACGGCAGAAGATAGGACGAAGTGCAGACGTGTTGTTCAAGCCCTATGCTCCACCCGGAACGTAAGGGAATAATAATAATAACAAAAATAATATAATAAATGACATTAATTGTTTTGCCACTTCACATTTAACTATAATTATAATCACAAACGCTTGGATTGCATTTCATACTATTATTATTTCGTGTATTCACTGGCTGGATTCAACATAGAACTTGGCACCGAAGTGCAACAGTTCGAGTTGCCACGTTCCAAATAGCCCACAAAGGTGGACAGGAAAATGAGTGAAGAGAATCAATAGAGTTTTGACAAGTATAAGAGTGAAACAGAACGAGTAATGGTAGAAAGGAATATGAAAGATTACAGAGTCTGAATACATCTGCGCCATAGACAACAATTTTGAGCCATGTCACCTATTGTCTCCAGCCATTGATTCTTAGAGTCCCGAGGGCCCCAACCCGGAAGTCTTCATCTCCCTACCTGACTCAGTTTAACTGTCAAGGATTTCATGGATTGATGCCATGTTTTTGTTTGGCCACCGCTTACTCTTTTCCAACGTGCACCTATATCAGCTAGTAACGCCCGTCGGGGGAGGCGATGGTTAGGCATGCGCAGCACGTGACCTAGCCATTTCAATCTATGCAACTTTATAGCCTCCTCTCCTATCAGGACTATGTCATCTGCATATTCTAAGTCCATAAGACTATACCCTGGTAACAAGTCGATTCCTAAGTCGTTAAGTTCAGTTGAGGATACTTCCATTAGCATATCTATGATGAAGTTAAACAGAAAAGGGTAAAGTGGACATCCTTGACGGACACCACTGGTTGTTATCAATTCAGATGACAATTCCCCATATGCCCTTACACAGCTACGTGAGTTTGGGTAGAGTGCCTTGATTAGTGCAGTGTACTTTCTTGGCACTCCCTTCACAGTCAAACATTGCCATAGTACCTCTCGATCCACGGAGTCGAAGGCCGCCTTCAAGTCAAGAAATATGGCAATTGTTGGACGCCTAAAAGTGTGTCTATGTTCTAGGATCTGTCGGAGAGTAAAGATATGATCTATGCACCCTCTACCTGGCCTAAAGCCCGCTTGATTTTCCCTCGTTTGTTCCTACCGAGTTCGGCTTAGTCTACGCATGATTACTGAGCCTAGGATTTTAGAGACTATGTTCTTCAGGCTGATTCCTCTATGATTATCACATGAGGACTTGTCTCCCTTTTCTCTTACAAGGAAGAAAAAAACATGATCTAAAATTCAGTATAAGGCTGAGTAGGTGGAGAAAGAGGCTTGAAGGTACCTGACATGTTGTTGAACTAATCACATGTAATCTTACATAGTTGAATAGCATAGCAACATTCCAAGTACATCAAAGTGTGTATAGATATTAGCAACATGTGTGATACAGAACAACGCGACACCTATATAGCCAGAGGCAATCAAACAGGGTAGGACTATGTATACGTAAAAACAATTAACTAAGATGTTAACTGTTTAATTTAACAATAAATGTACAAATGGAAAGTCAAAAAAATGTGGAGCTTTTTCGTTTTTTATTTATTATATAACAATGAATATGCGGATAAAAATAGGATATACAAATATATTCAGTGGATTTATCCTCATTAAATTGAATCATAGCGATCGAGGTCGTTTTGCTGATGGACCTCGATCAGGAGAATTTTGTCTTTTTAAAGATATTCGAAATTCTGAAGACTGAATACTACAATTCTCACTATCTGTTGTCTCCGATGAAACATATTCCTCTTCCTCGTTATCAAGAATTTCAACTGATTTTTCCAAGTCCTCATCTTCTTCATGACCTGAGAACAATGTACACGGTGACAACTGGGATTTATGAGATGAAGTTTCATCTGAAGAACTACGCGATATAGTCAGTTCACCTGGTTTCCCTTCTAGGTATATTTCAGCACCATGAAAAACGTACTGATTCGGACAGATGTAGGTATATGTCCCGGCTAGGGAATAGAAAACACCAAAACATTAGCAATAAAAATGTGATGAATTTTATGTCGGCGGAACAATGTGAGATAATAACATTAACTTGGTATATTAATCTTAATGATGATAACTGAAATTGAAAAAATCAGTTCTGATGCGACCTCTGGTTAGTGAACCAGTATTTAATGGACGTAACTTACTCCTGGACTTTAAATACAACACAACCTAACAGCATATAGGTGTGAAAATGCATTGATTCAACTACTTTAACGAACATAATTGTACGTAGATTGTTAAGTGATGGAGTAAATTTATAAAGACATACTCCTTACGGTTACATATGATTTTAGTTCAGAGAGCCGAGAAGAGTCAGTGGTTCAATGGAAGAATGCTTGCCAACCACTCATGTTATCCAGGTTTGATTGCCAGTCGACGCACTCCTAAACCTTGTGTCTGTCTAGCAGGCAGTAAACCTGGGAAAGAGGGAAGATTGGACGTGAGGCTAGTAACTTTATCCAATAAAAAAAATACTCCCACTAGTGATTTTTCAGCGTTCAAACCTTGAAGAGCTTAAAATCAATGAGTTACTTTCTGTCCAATTTGTTTGCGACAGTACAATCTCAACAATCTAAAGTATGGTTCCAGTGATTCGTTGAGATGAGTGTTTTTCATGATACGTTCACGAAATAATGAAATCAGGAAACTGTGATAGGTATCATATGAGAATGTAGCATAATTTACAATAGAAATAGCTTATACTTGTAGGAAGACAGCAGATTACTCACGTGGTAAATGTGATGCTACCTCCCATACACAATTTTTGTCTTCATTTTCACTGACTCCAATCGCAGTGTGATCTTCTGAGGAATCCTGGGCAATCACATCTGAACATTTCTCCGCCTTAGAAACTTCATCTGAATCAGAAATTGTTTCAGTGGACTGTATTTCACTATCTGCATGAGATTCGTCACTTGGTAATTCTATTGGCGCTATGCTTCCTGTAGTAGGATTGGATTGAGATGCATCTGGGGATTTTGGGATGGACTTTAGTAATTCAGTGGGAATCTTTAAGGAATTCAGTGGAACTTCAACAAGAGGTGTATAATTTGTAACTCCTGGAATCTCCCACCCTAGCCGATGGCATAACTCACTAACAATTACGTCACAATCTCCTAACAATTCAACATCAAAATCATGGTTTGATAAAGGTTCCCTATTTATCAATATTTGAGGGATGCCACTGGGAACATCATCTACATGAAAATAAAATACAACAGAAATCTAGTTTGAGGGAAACTATATATATACACATATACATACATATAATGCCAACAGGTGTTGCAAAAAAGAAATACGACCACTATCAGCTGACAGTTACGGTTATCAAGTTTCCCAGGCTTAAGTGGGCGGTGGTAGATTTGAACCTAGGAGCAGGCGCTAAAACGGACTCGTCACATCCTTGAATATTCTTTTGTACATCTAACCAATATGGCCTAAATTTTCATATGATGAATATACACAGCAGTAATTTTGCAAATTCGTCCAATGATTCATCAGGAAATGCCCCTTTAATGACCTAGTATGGGTAAAGGTAACTGAATCTTAGTCTTCCCCTCGTATTGCCTACATACTGCTAATTATTAATCGCCTGTGTGTCAGCTGAGTTTCAGTTCACTGTCTTCATGTAGCAAAAGATTTTTACATAAAAGTGAAACGGAGAAAATGAATGTCCTAAGTTATGACAAGAGTTCTAGGAATAGAACATCTATCTACAGGAGTTAGAAAACCCTCATTTTAAAACAACGTTGTACATGTACTCCAGTATCTTAAAGGGACGAATGGCATGTGAGTCCATTTTGAAATGCCTTGTGAATTACACTTCAAGTCAAAGGTTTGGAAATCGACCATAAGACGATTGTCTGACTCGGTTTAAGGGTCTTGACAATAACATAACCTTCACGATAAGAGTGACATATTTATTGGCGCCTACGCTGTACAGTGTTTGTGTATAACTTACAGCCGTAACAAAATGGATATCGTGTTGTTTGCATTTCAATATTTTTCTGAGTTATTTTCAGTCCCCGGGAAAATGATTTTTAACTATTATTATAATAGAGATATCATTTACTTAGTTTGCTTAAGATTCTAGGAATCAAATACAGGGAAATTCTACTTAGAAAGTTGTATTCGTGGCCCCGAGGAAGTCTGATGCATTGTCCGAACTTATGTCATTTATTTTACAATCTAAAGCAACCAATTCTCTCTGCTTGTTTTCTAAGTCACATATAAATTTGATCCTGTCTACTAAGTTCTCAATAAAGTGGAAATTAAGGTGACACTCAAACCTACAAACTTACTCATGGACAAACTATGTAGGCTAAAGGACACTGCTGACCTGATAAGACAAGATAACCTATTTTCCAAAATACTTCATCATGACTGTGGGGTAATTATATAGGCCAGTTCGATTATGGGAACATAGTAATTTAACCAAGTGCAGAATAAATGAGTCCCGAAAATGACTGACTTAGAGAAAAGTCCGGCGACAGCAGTGCACACATTCACATACACACACACACACAAATACACAGATATACAGTTATAAAAGGTGATATAGTTAGGTGGAGGAAGAGATTAATAGCTGAATCTTTGTTCATCTGCTCCAAACGCATGCAACATCAATAACGGAGATATGCAAAATATTACTGCCAATAGAATTGAGGGATAAGAAGTAAGAGAGCTATATAAACAAAATCTGAAAGTTATGTGAGCACCTTGGTATCATTTTGAGCATGCCTATGTCCCAGAAACTGTCAACGGGTGGAGATACAACCAATATACTCTTGTCCTAGCCTAAAGTTCACCTGATTTCCTCGCCTTCGTTTTTCTAAAGCTCCAATTAGTCTTCTTATAACTACGGAACCCATAATCTTAGATACTACGTTAAGCAACCAGGTGCACCTATGATTATCACAGGACGATTTATCTCCTTATAAACTAGGATGATCAACAACCTACACTAGTCCACTGAAAATACCTCCAAATTCTATAATGTTAATACCCTACCTAATCTAGTTAGTAGTTCATTCCCAACATTCCGGAGTCATTTTATAAAGCCTTAGATCAAAGGCATCTACTTCAACCTTAGTTACAGCTGGAAGAACGATGTCTATTCATCACGTAGAATATAATGTGGTTGTACGCTAGTTGAATTAAATCTCAAAATGTTGTGTTTAACATTCGAGTAGTCCCTATTGGGCAGTTATGAAGATTCTACTTTTCGTGGAAATCATTTAACTTACCACAGGCTTTTTACAATCCGTTTCCTTCATGTGATAATAATACTTACTTGGTATATGAGCTACAGGTCGTACTTTCAACGATGACCCCATAACCAGAACCAGATCAGTTTCCTTTACATCATATGCAAGGGAATCACTAAATTCACTAGGTAAATCTTCACCAAAAAATACAATATCTGGTTTTAATACACCATAAGATGCTTTTCTACGAGATTCTCCATCCTTAAGGGATTTAACTTTTGAAGCTGCACCATGAGATGTATGATTGGAATTGGAATTTTCATCTACAACAGAGGGATTTGACGAATTAGTAGTGGATTCTGAGTCGTCAACTTCATCTGATGGTTCTGGTGTATTCGACTTGGGTGGCCAACAATTTGTGCACCGTGGTATAGATTGAGCGAATACAGCCTCTTTGATAGAATCACATGAAACTTTACGTTTGCATGTTGTGCATGTAGCAGTAGCAAATGAACCTAAACAGTAAAAAGAATTGTACAAGTGATAAATGCATAGCTACATTTTGAGCAATAAAACTCTATTATTTCAATACTGAAAACATGAATGACAGACGAACTTTGAATACTTAATACGCTAATCCACAATACCAACTGATAACAGGGAAATAATCGGTAGCAAACAATCAATGCAAAAAAAATGAATTTCTAGCATAAGAGGTGTGCTTAGAACTGTTAAGGAAGCATATACATATCTAGATAAAAGTTATATATTAGCGAGGCAAATATTTGATTTTTCGAGACAACCTAAGAGTGAAGAAAACCGAATACTCAGAAGTCAATTTATTTTGTTTAGATGAAAGTTTTGCACACAGTTATACAGACTTTGGGTTATTTCCATACCGACAATACGCAAATATCGTTGAGATAGCCTTAATTTTGTAGATCGACGTTCACGTAATAGGATGGTGACTGAACAAAGGTCGAAATAATGGCTTCCAAATTGCTATCCGAATATTTCAGAAACCGACCTCCACAAGTATGTTTAAAATACAAAAATATTTCAATGAAAGGATTATATATATATATATATATATATATATATATATATATATAACCGTCAGAATCTTTGAAAACACAAGCCAAAGGATTATTCTGAAAATCAGCATGCTCTTATTACACATAAAGTCACAATTTAATATTACAAAAGATCATCGCATGAAGTGATTACTGAAGGAATTCAAATGGTATATATTTCAGAATAATCGTAATTCCCAAGGCTAATAACATAGATATTTCTAGATCAAATGATTTTGTTGCGATTTCTATAGCTGGAAGGCATCTTTCGCAAGCTTGTCATTGCCACAATAATCCTTAACTTATGCAAACCTGTGAATCGGAACAATTATGTAGTTTCTCTGGGATAGATATTCTTCTAAATGAATTTACCTCGACTATTAATTCACTACCATAAATCGTAGTGAGGCGGTTTACTGCATAGTTCATCTAACATGCAAATCTTATTATTAAAAAAAATTGACAACAGCCAATTAACCTCGGATAATATAAACAATACACTATAACACTTACTAAACAGGACTAAACAGTCTTTCAAATATACCCGAATTCTTGCTCAAAGGATACGTAAGACTATGTTTTACCTTCCTTCCAAACAGAGTAAAATTAAACACCTAGGTGTATACTTTGCCTTCAAACACCAAGTTTATGACCCTAGTAGCAATGAAATTATGAGGGGTCATATGGGTCATCTACAAGTATTCGATACTCGGTATGAAAACATACTTTAGTGAGTCAAACATGAGGGAACATTCTAATCAAACAAGTAATCTACGAAAGGCGTCTACATATTTCTCATTTTCGAAAAACTTACCGTGACACTGAATAAGTCGCGTTATTCCAGCTGCTTGTTCCAGAGTATCGATGTTCTGTGTGTAGTTACGCAGTAATTTGCCTTTGGACTCCAATAGAGCAATTAATCGATGAGTAATCGAAGGCGTAAACTGTCCAGGGAACAGCTCCTGATATTGTTAAGGTTAGAGATTATTAACAATAAACCCATTTTTCTATAAATATATTCCTAGAGACTGAAGTTGAATTTACATAACAATTCAAGGTAGGAAACTTATCATATTTTCAAAGTTTACAAAATAAGATTATGAGGTTTTGCCTATGCTATAAAAAGGCAGGGAAGAAGTTGTAGCTAAACATTTGAGTGCAAATTCCAAAAAGGTACAACACCTTTATTACCTTAGTATTAAATCTATGCGAAACATCACTGTACTTAAATAGTAACTTCTGTATTGTAATATCGGGAGGATGACAGCAAGTCAATTCAAAGAACAAGACGTCTTATTTAACCGAAACTTAACTTCATCACCAATTGCTTCTATACTTCTCTCCTTCGAAGTCAGTGTAACACCTCAATTTTAGCACAGTTGTGTTATGCAAGCTTGGTGGTTTAATTGCAAAGCGTTCAGTGTCCCAACTAGACATATTCAAGGAAAACTGCACAATGAAGTGTTTTTGGGATTTCCCATGAATAAAATAACTGTCTTTCCTGACAACTTTGATTATGATTAGTTGCCTCAAGAAACTTGTACACAGTCCTACTAACTTGGAATTTTGCCCGTCTTTCGATAATGTGGTTTATTATTAACTGGTTGATAAATATGAATTATATCAACATGTTTACTAAGTGAGAATTGATTTCAGCAGCAGGCTTTTTGGGAATTCCTCAACAATCGTTGTGCTGACTCTGTTGAAAATTTCCACATTTTCCCAGATGACTTGATATACATAGTTGTTCTCGTGAATTAATACGAATGGGCATGTCGTCTTTTGACTGTTAGTTTCTGTTCATGAATGCGTAGATGAAGCAAACGTCCGCTCGGGTGACAATAGTGTTTTGCACCGTTGATGCAATTTCCTTACATATGTTGTCCGTTTTGTCTTCTATTATTGTTGCATCTTCTGGTTCGCACAGTATAGACTGAAGAGAATTTGCTTGTTTGTAGACGAAACCTATTCTACTACTATTTATAATTTCACTACTCCAAACCTATGTGCTAAATGAATAAAGCATATCGGGCACCCCTAAGCATTTACAAGGTGAAATGGCTGCAATGTTGACTACAGAATATGGATTGCGCTTTGAGATAAAAGTATCTTTTTCAAATTCCCACAAACCATTTAAGTATCCAATAACAATCTTTCCAAATATATCAGGAAGTATAGATCCTTTGAGTTCACAAAATAAACTAGTACATTTCCATATTTTTGCAGGCGATCTATAGATACAAATCCCATTGAAAATAATATCCATAGACAGCACATTTCCTAATTCATAATATTCGATTTCGATAAACAGGTGATCCTAAGAGTTTGCTTTTTCTCCTTGCCTACATCTCTTCCTCAGTAAGGCAGAACGCCTAACAAACAGCAATACTGAATGTAGTGATGTGTGCGTCTCACAAATTAAAGATGGTCGACATTCCACAGTTTATTAACCACTAAGAAATGTATGCCTCATTGGTAGTCCACCTATGTTTATTCCATCACTTTATTCCCACTTCGTTGCAAAAAATAATACAGGATTTAATCTAATCATACTTTTATCACAGGAGGAAACTAGTAAATATGGTGATAAGAACTGAAGTTCTACAGATTCCAGTCTACAGCTTGTAGAAAAAGTTAGAAAACTTAAGAGATCTTACCTTTGCAAATTTGAAGAAAGGGACGGGATTCTTTGTAAAGTAGGACATGTCGAACATTGCTTGTGGACTTGATAGATCAGGAAAATCACGAGCCAATCGTGCATAAATACCATCACGCGAGCGAAAATCGGGTATGCCACATGACACTGAAATCCCAGCCCCAGTGATTACCAAAATTGATGTAGAAGTGGACAGAAGTGCGAGAACGTTATCTAAACTATTTATATGACGCAGTCTATGACGTGGGGTAGGTTCAGCCAAAATTGTTAATAATAAGCTTAACAAGTGATTGGGATCAGAAGGCAGAGAGTCTTCATCCATACCGAATACCTGAACCAACAGCATACGTGGATCACTGAATCCAGCTTGTATAAAGCTGTTCAATCTCTCGTCAGACCCTGATGATATTCAAGACAATAACAAGCATGAACAGCAACAGATATCACAGATATCCAAATAAACAAAACAAATTATTTAACCATATGAATTACACATTTGTTTAACTTTTAGTGATAAGCATTACAAAATATGTCGTTGAGGTTGGAAACTGACAGTTTGAAACGAAGCCATAGTTTTAAGTCGTCTGTGAACAAAGTGCACTTGTTTCTTAAATATACGCTAAAAACTGTTTCACTTCACCGAAATTTTTAGACTCTAGTATGCCCATTACTACTCACAGAAGTCAAATCAAATTTTCTACACACACAAAATGAAATCGCATCAAAATGTATGTACGTTTCAAAATCTGGATGCATCTTCAGCAAATGGACCATACTTACTGTTTAAGGTCGGTGTCAGTAAGTGGGTTTTCTAACCTCAGTAAATGAAGGTGACTCACTACATGTAAGTACTGCTTGCACCACTGATGTGTAACCCAGAAAAACAGAAATATACACCACAGTTGATATGTCATACTGACTACCATTTATAATTTCACTACTCCAAATCTATGTGCTAAATGAATAAAGCATACTGTGCACCCTAAGGCACTTGAAAAGCACTGTTAATTAGCAAAACCTAAAAGAGAATCCTTAACAATGCAAACGGAAAAGTGATATTCAAACCAGCAAACTCATTTAGAAACAAGCTTTGTCAGTTGAAGGATCCTGTGGAGCCTTCAAAACAAAACAATTTAGTTTACCTAATACCCTGTCTGCAATGACTGTCAGGTCAAATGAGTAGAACAGGAGCAGTCAGACTAGCGGTACATAAAAACCTAGCAAAATCTAGATTGGTTGACCCGAATAAGATAAGAAATCTAGAGAATAGTTGAGCTATACCACTACATGCAGTTGCACACAAACATAAATAGGATGGGATAGGATGACAGTTTTAAAATCTATTGTCACTGGGTTGAGGGAGAGATTAATAACAGAAGCTTTGTTCATCGAATCAAATGCAAACACGTGTAATAGGAATGACTCAACACCTGTCCCAGTGTCATCAAGTAAATAATACTATTTCACTGACTGTGATGTATCTGCTGAAAAAATTAATATAGAATTTCATACATTTGTTTCCCTTGATAAATTTCGATAGAGAAAGAAAGACCAGATTTGCAGTATAAAATGATATCATTCTATTTCACAGGTTCTCATCAGCTGCAAACTACCTGAAATTACAATGGTTATAATGACATTTCATACTTCATTGTTTGAAAGGTAATACAGAAAGAAAGAGAAGTACCCAACGGTTGAAAAGAAGAAAGTATTCATTTGCCTCCCATACAAAGGAGAAACAGTATCGCGAAAGATTGAAAAAAGGATGAAAGGAGCAATCAAGAGATGCTTCCCTGCAGCCAATCTAGTGACACTATACAGTACTACATGCTCTATAAGTCAATCGAAACTGGATAAATACCCTACTGATGTTACCTCCAACTGCATTTATAAATTTACGTGCACCTGCGGCAGCAAGTACATCGGAAGGACAGAAAGAAGGGCTTCTATCCGGCTTTCAGAGCATATTCCGAGAAACTTATGCTTAAAAGGAAGCAAATATTTACAAAGTGCAATTACCAGACACCTTGTGGATACAGGCCATTTTGTTGAGATTTCCAAATCCTTCAAAATATTAAACATACAAAGGACAGCGAATCTACTACGATTTGCTGAAGCAATTGCAAACAAACGCCTCAGACCAAACTTATGCACACAGAAAGAGAGTGTAGTCAATCTCTCACTCCCTTGGTAACCATATCACTTTCATTACAGTGATTACGCATAGACACTAGTGAGTTCAACTCGCTAAGCAAGTTTTCAAATTAATGAACTTTGACCTTATTGAATTGCCATTTTGACACTGTTTATTAGATTTTTCTGTTTTCTGTCTTCTCTCACCCCACCCCCCATTTTTCTTTCTTTTTTCCATAGTTTGATAGTATATAAATTGATGGTAACTTAAACTACAAAAAAATTTTAATCCTTATATTCCGGGTGCGTTTATCTTATAATGCTTTCTGTATTACCTTTCAAACAATGAAGTATGAAATGTCATTATAACCATTGTAATTTCAGGTAGTTTGCAGCTGATGAGAACCTGTGAAATAGAATGATATCATTTTATACTGCAAATCTGGTCTTTCTTTCTCTATGGTAATGTAGAATTACCACCACAGTGCCCAAGTTTTACACATACATTAATTAGCAAGACACTTTTAAAACTGAGACGGAAAACAATCTTGATAACCAAAATTTGAAAACTAGGAATGAATGGAGACTTACTGAAGATATCACGCCACTTCTCTGCTCCTCGTAAATCTTCAACACTCATAATTTCACAATGACTATCTGCAGATTCGTCATTATCGTCTTCATCGCCATCAAGAAATGCAACACTATTCGAGTCTCCTTCATGAGAATTTTGTAACTCATCTTCGTCTCCTGATCTGAGTACGAAAACCTCCGAATTATCCACGTGAAGTCGTGAACTTCCGTTAGTGTCCATTAGGTGGAACTAGTGTAACAACAGAAGATAAGGTTCAGGTAACAGATCGTTTATTTATATATTTTCATATACATTATTATAGTTTAGTTAAGCAAACAAACACAGTCTTCTGATTGGTTGTTTCTCACTTAAAGTTAATCTTTCATCTCTTTGTGACTGAATGTCAGATCATCTATATGTTAACTGTATCCACCTACCCAAAGTCTGCTGTGGTCGGTTTTGAATCGGTCTTTGTTCATATTTTCTCACGACAAATCTTGAGAACGTAAACATTGATGTAAATTACTGTCTACCGATTTGGCTAGCTAGCCAGCAATGATTTGGGGCGCATTGCAGACTTTTCGGGGCAGACCGAGGACGCATTGCAAAATTTTTGGCGAACTTTGGGCCCATTGCAGACTTTTTGGGGCATTCTTTTGAGCGGTGATTGGCTAGAAATCAACCAATGACAGCTAACTTTGCTAAACTGCGTTACAATGAATCTGAATTAGTGATTAGTAATACAAAAATTGAAATTATATACTTATTTAATATAAGCAATCAATTAAACATACTTTTAACTATCTGAATACATCATTATAGGCCACTTCATCAGAAGTCTTTTACTGGACTAGAAACCTTGGAAACGGTTGAATTCTCAGTTTGTATATCCACTGCCGTGAGTTTCCTGCGTGCTTGCCAACCTCCTAGTTTACCAATTTTTTGGAAGTATTTAATTGCATACTTATATGTTTAATATTACAATTATTACAGTACTGCCCATTTTTATTATAAGACATAGCATATAATCAGTGTAGACTGCAGAAATCCATTTCTTTAAATTTTTTCCGATTTCTTCCAGGTAAAATGAGCTTCAAGGGTTCTCTGTCCAGCATGACCAAGACACTAAACAACCTAAATGATAGCAGAACACCAGCTAGTGTCGAACCACAACGCCGGACGTATTTGAGACTACGCAAGTTACATTTATCAATCTTCTGTGACGAAGCAGCGAAACTTAATTTTGACTTAAGCCGATATAGGTCAATGTACTATCGACGTCCCAAGAAATGCAAACTGGAGTGAAAGAAGCATTTAAAAGGTAAGCTTGTTATTTCAAATTAATGTACACAGAATTACATTCCAAATCTCGTGAAATTGAACCGCAGCCAGAAATTACGCCAGTGAACATGGTTACTCCCCAACAACTTGTCGTTCCAGTTGATGTTCCTTGTGATACCATTGCATCTCCACCGTCATTGGAGGGACACTTAACGGCTGAACAACTGCCTGAGACTGAGAAAGCTAACCGCAGCAAGTGCACTGCAGTTCATGCTATTCGCAACATTGTCTACCGATGCAAGCTGAATATGGCAAATCCTCGTATTGTGCTGGAAGAACTTAGGTCCCTGCATCCTGAGTTGCCGACTGACCCCCGGACATTAATGAGGACTGAAGACTTTTTTCAAAGGAGAGCAGTTGGTCCTGGGATGTATGTTCACATTGGCCTTCGTCGTCAGATTTTGTCTCGCTTACAAATTCTCAATTGGTCTGCAGCTGAACATTGATGGTGCTCCAATTTTCAACAACTCCAAATTGCAGATGTGGCCAGTACAAGGGAAGTTACATTTGTCTGGCTGCGATCAGGTATTCTTGGTAGGTGTCTACTGTGGTTCATGTAAACCTTTAAGTATACACACTTTTTTGAGGGACACTATATTCGAATTCGAATGCATTTGGGCTAATGGTATCACATTACCCAACAGCCATCGCATTGACATTTAACTTAACGGCGTCATCTGTGACACGCCAGCGAGAGCACTAGTTAAGCAAGTAAGCGGTCACAAATCAACACAAAGATGAGATAAATGTGAAGCTGTATGCCGTCGTGCAAATAATCACATGGTTTATCCTACTACATGTGCCGCTTTAAGAACAGACACGGCTTTTCGCAGGCAAACGTTGCAATGTCACCATTAGGGTAAATCTCCATTCGAGAAATTGCATGTAGACATGATCACTGTTTTTCCTCTAGACAGCATGCATCTCATATACTTAGGTGTAGTTCGAAAGTTGATTGGCCTGTGGAAATTGAAGGCCACAGCTAGGGAAGATGGTATGCATAATACTATTTTAAACACTTAATTCTAGACTGCTAAGCTCATATAAGTTGACGCCCTCTGAATTCCAGCGTAAGTGTCGAACAAGGAATAAAAAAAACATGATCTAAAATTCAGTATAAGGCTGAGTAGGTGGAGAAAGAGGCTTGAAGGTACCTGACATGTTGTTGAACTAATCACATGTAATCTTACATAGTTGAATAGCATAGCAACATTCCAAGTACATCAAAGTGTGTATAGATATTAGCAACATGTGTGATACAGAACAACGCGACACCTATATAGCCAGAGGCAATCAAACAGGGTAGGACTATGTATACGTAAAAACAATTAACTAAGATGTTAACTGTTTAATTTAACAATAAATGTACAAATGGAAAGTCAAAAAAATGTGGAGCTTTTTCGTTTTTTATTTATTATATAACAATGAATATGCGGATAAAAATAGGATATACAAATATATTCAGTGGATTTATCCTCATTAAATTGAATCATAGCGATCGAGGTCGTTTTGCTGATGGACCTCGATCAGGAGAATTTTGTCTTTTTAAAGATATTCGAAATTCTGAAGACTGAATACTACAATTCTCACTATCTGTTGTCTCCGATGAAACATATTCCTCTTCCTCGTTATCAAGAATTTCAACTGATTTTTCCAAGTCCTCATCTTCTTCATGACCTGAGAACAATGTACACGGTGACAACTGGGATGTATGAGATGAAGTTTCATCTGAAGAACTACACGATATAGTCAGTTCACCTGGTTTCCCTTCTAGGTATATTTCAGCACCATGAAAAACGTACTGATTCGGACAGATGTAGGTATATGTCCCGGCTAGGGGATAGAAAACACCAAAACATTAGCAATAAAAATGTGATGAATTTTATGTCGGCGGAACAATGTGAGATAATAACATTAACTTGGTATATTAATCTTAATGATGTTGCTTCTCAATGAACTATTAATAGCTTACCGCTGACCGTGAAAGCTGTCACGACTGCCATGCAACGTTGGTTCCATAACAGTCGAGACAGACTGAAGTCGAGGATAAGAAGGCGACTGCGTTCCCCTTTGGTAGGTATTTATTTTTTCAAACTTCCATTTTCAGATCACCGTCGATGCCAACAAAGAGAACATTCCGGACTCTGAAAGCACACGGATGAATTTTTCGGCTGATTTATAATGTGTTTAAATTATATGAATTGTTGAAAGATTGTAAATTCCTTGTAAAATGTTGTTAAATGTATTTCTAATTAAAATCCACTGTATTTTGATATTGTGAATCGTTAAGCTGCTGCTAATTTGCTGTTTATTGAGGCGACTTATGTACGTAATAGATTTGAAGCAGTGTTAGTTGTCGACTGCGGGTTAAATGCGGAAACGTAGGCGCGTTGTATCAGGCTGTAGTATATAATAGTAACTTAGGGCGCACTGCAGACTTAAGTTCAAATACTCAAAATCTGCAATGCGCCCAAAGTTTTTTGCCCCGAAAAAAATGCCATCTGGGAGTAGACAGCTCTCACCACACTAGTAATGTAGAAAGTTGGAAATTTACTTTCCGAAAATTTAAAAAACATCAATTTACTTACAATGAAATTAAACACAATGATAGGAAATCCAATCCATTTAATATTGTAGAACCGCAACATTGCCGGCATACCCTTAGAGGCAATACCATAACAGTAATCCATCTTGGTGCGAAATGCCTTATTAAATCTTACAAACGGACTGTGACACAAGTTAACCAAGGAAATGGAGATAATCCAACGAAGTATCACAGGTTCGCACCACTGTTATTAAACGTCTGGAACCTCAGATATGTTTTATGGAACCATAAAAAAGCTCAAATCTCCCAGAATGACTTGGTGTAACAGTCTGACGCTCTTGTTTAGTTTTGGCTTTTGTTTTGTTATACGCTCCAAAAGTCCACAGATTAACTTTAAATCAGTTTATTCTGATCAAAGTTAGATTACTTTTCAGATCTGAGTCTATTTAAATTATAGGAAGTTGCGTCTTATAACATAATAGTTATATATATATTTTTGTGCACTCATTGGTTTTTATCGCTGATTTATAAAGGTCTATATACATTTAAAGTTATATTTAAATTTCTTCGCCAGTTCGCTCTAGACAGTATGCCCATCAAAAAAACCGCTGCGGAAGGGTTATGTGCCAATTCCCAGTGGATGAGGGAATGCAGTGTGATAAGTGCAAGAGGTGGTTTCACAGTATGTGCACAAACCTAACCCCTGCAGCATACAAACGCTGCTGCAAACCTCTAGCAAACTGGTTGTGCAATAACTGTTGTAGTACTACCAAATTCCGTATTACAGAAGCCATTACCACTCAGTGGGGCTTTAAAGCTGATGGACAGCAAGTGTCCTCCACTACAGGAGAACACCGACTATTGCTCAGACAACGATGACGTGACTATTGATGTTAAAAATATTATTTACAAAAACACCAGTGTTGTCGATAAGAATTATCCTTTAAATATTATGGACAGACAACTGTAGGACCTGATGAGAAAATTATCAAAAGAATATTCTTTGCTCGATCTTGTTATTTATCCAGATAGATATTATCATCATACGATCTGGGATTACTGAGTAGTAACTAAAATTGTCAGACATAGCAGACACTTGACAAAAAGAAAGATATAAAATGAAAAGGATTTGAACGAAGGTTGCAGTGCTTTTTTCCCCAGCCTAAATCTAATTCCAGTGATAGAGCCAGTTGAGTATATTAGTGGAATTAGACCATTGTTGATTGCGACAGTCAGAATATTACTGTTTAAGTTATTGGATGCATTACTACAGTACCTTTCATAAGAGGGTTTATTTATATTTTTCGTCGAATACTGTAATGCCAATCACAGAATCAAAAGTCAAAATAAATTAATTCAGATTACCAGGTAAGTAAAAGTATAAGAACAATATAAACTCAAAGAGGTATACTACTGAATAAATCAAAACACGAACCCACATCACTCCATATTATCCAAGTCAGATGCAATAAATAGTGAGTGTTATAGTTTCTCAAAATGGTTGCTTGATAATAAATTGCACGAATTGTATGAACACTGTGATCACGAAACGAATATTATCTGTCTACCGCCAACGCTATACAACTATATTCACTCAAATGAGAGGGAAATATATATCCAAAAGAATATGTGGTTGACTGTATGAAACATGTTGCTAGGCTAGTAAAATACATTAGAATAAATATGAACAAATGCTAGTTTCTTTAATGGCTTACTAGCAATGTCTTATACCACCAATATATAATAAGAATGGCCGAAAACAGTAGGTGTTAACTTAAAAGACGGAATCAATTGGTCATCTTTCCGTGCAACTATGAGAACCACATCGGACACTAAATCTGAATAGTCTTTTTTTTGAGACTAGATATCAGTCACAATGCCTTTTAATTGAAATGAGTCATATGGAACAAACGTCAAATGAAAAGGAAAAGCCAGATCTCTGTTCATGGTCTTAATCCCTCTATGCTGAAGTATGGTAATCCCTAATCATATTTAAGCTCTACTAATTTTTTCCTTGTTTATCCAATCTGTATACTCTTTCTTTATTACGTCAATTGTTACTATTACTATTCTCACTTTGAATTGTTGCCGGTATTATTTCACTTGTCACCCTAAATCGATTTGGAATTTAACGTTGCAAATCAGTGTTAGCAAATTTCACACAGTGTTGCGTAACGTTTCGATTTGCCTACCAATCCTGTAGTTTCACAGTCCTTCCAAGTTCTATACATCCTATGAATTGTTCTATAAATGAAAGCGAGAATAAAAATGGGGACATGGAACGTCCGTAGAATGTACGAGACTGGGAAGGCTGCCCAGGTAGCCAACGAGATGCGAAGATATGGCTTGGAAGTGCTGAAGCAGAACAGGCAGACCGCAGGGGAAAAAGACCTCAAGACGTCATATCAGATAACCAGGTCTCTATTCGGGAAGAGATCAACTCAGATGATGAAACCAATAAAAGATGCTCAAAGGAACCTGGTCGCCAAGGAGGAGAAAGAAATAAAACAATGGGCTGATTCTTGAATCGACCACCACCTGCAACTCGCCCAGAAATACCACCAACAACACACAGGGAAATGCCAGTGGACACCACTCCTCCAACGAAACAAGAAATCCTGAATGCGATCAAGCTACTGAAGGCCAGCAGGACCAGATGGCATTCTTCCCGAAGCACTGAAGACGGCCCCAGAGATTACCGCAGATGTTCTCACTCCATTACTGCAAAAAGTTTGGAAAGAAGGAAAGGTGCCTACTGATTGGAAGAAAGGCTGGCTACCTCGTCAAACTGCCGAAGAAGAACGACATAGTTAGGCCTGTGCAAGAGCTGGCGTGGAATAATCCTCTTGTCCACGCCGAGTAAAATACTAAGTCGCATCATCGCTGAGAGAATGAAAGATGCACTGGATGCAGAACTCCACCAGCCCCACAGACCAGAACAAGCTGGATTCAGGGAAGGCGAATCATGTGTTGATCAAATTGCAACTCTACGCATCATCATCACAGAACAAAGCACAGAATGCCAGTCGAACCTCTTCCTCAACTTCGAAAAGGTCTTCAGTAGCGTCGACGAAGAAGTAATTTGGAAACTACTTCAACACTTTGGACTGCAGTGCCCCAAATCTTTATCAACCTCATTCGACAGCTGGCTATACGACAATGCCTGCCATGTGTCAGGTGATACACAACGGGAAACTCAGTGAGGCGTTCGAAGTGCATACAGGAGGAAGACAAGACTACAAGTTGTCACCCACGATGATATCCTTAATTGTGGTGGACTGGATTATGCATCAGGCTGTGGGGAGAGAGGAGACAGGAATATGCTGGACGACCGATAAGAAGATTGTAGAAGATCTGGATTTCGCAGATGATTTATGTCTAATGTCATACAGACTCGACGACTTACGGGCGAAAACCAACAAACTGGCTGAAGAGGCATCAAGTGAAAACGGGACTGCAGTTGAACACAGAGAAGACAAAGGTGATGAAGATAACCAATCAACAGCAGCAACAACAACAACAAACATCACCAATCGCCATCAACGGTAGAGATTTAACAGGGGTTACTTCCTTCACTTATTTACGAAGCATCGTTTCAACTACAGACGGAACGGACGAAGATGTCAAAGCCAGTCAGAATCGGAAAGGCAAGATATGCTTTCATCAACCTGAAACCAGTTTGGAAATCTTCCGCACTCAACATAACGAACAAGATTCGGATTTTCAACACCAATGTCAAGTCAGTCAGTCACTTCTTTTTTATGCGTTGGAAACTTGGCCGGCACGTCACGAAAAACATTTCCAACAGGCTACTGAAGACTTTTATCTACAGCTGCCAACTTCGCTGGCTCCTTAGTGAAGATTAAATGGCTGGCCAGAAAGAATTAGTAACAAGAAACTCCGGCTGAGAACAAATCAGCCAACCAAGAATCGGTCGCTCAACAAATATTTGGGAGAAAATAGGGTTGGATCGAGCATACATTGGGGAAACCGTCGAATGACATCGCACGCTAGGCCATGCCCTCGAGTGGAATCCAAATGGGAAGCGACGAGTGGGTCGTCGGTGCGAGGATGACATGGAGATCGTGCGAGGAGGAGATGAGAGATTGTGGACAATCATAGTCGAAGCTGAAGAGGACGGCAGAAGATAGGACGAAGTGCAGACGTGTTGTTCAAGCCCTATGCTCCACCCGGAACGTAAGGGAATAATAATAATAACAAAAATAATATAATAAATGACATTAATTGTTTTGCCACTTCACATTTAACTATAATTATAATCACAAACGCTTGGATTGCATTTCATACTATTATTATTTCGTGTATTCACTGGCTGGATTCAACATAGAACTTGGCACCGAAGTGCAACAGTTCGAGTTGCCACGTTCCAAATAGCCCACAAAGGTGGACAGGAAAATGAGTGAAGAGAATCAACAGAGTTTTGACAAGTATAAGAGTGAAACAGAACGAGTAATGGTAGAAAGGAATATGAAAGATTACAGAGTCTGAATACATCTGCGCCATAGACAACAATTTTGAGCCATGTCACCTATTGTCTCCAGCCATTGATTCTTAGAGTCCCGAGGGCCCCAACCCGGAAGTCTTCATCTCCCTACCTGACTCAGTTTAACTGTCAAGGATTTCATGGATTGATGCCATGTTTTTGTTTGGCCACCGCTTACTCTTTTCCAACGTGCACCTATATCAGCTAGTAACGCCCGTCGGGGGAGACGATGGTTAGGCATGCGCAGCACGTGACCTAGCCATTTCAATCTATGCAACTTTATAGCCTCCTCTCCTATCAGGACTATGTCATCTGCATATTCTAAGTCCATAAGACTATACCCTGGTAACAAGTCGATTCCTAAGTCGTTAAGTTCAGTTGAGGATACTTCCATTAGCATATCTATGATGAAGTTAAACAGAAAAGGGTAAAGTGGACATCCTTGACGGACACCACTGGTTGTTATCAATTCAGATGACAATTCCCCATATGCCCTTACACAGCTACGTGAGTTTGGGTAGAGTGCCTTGATTAGTGCAGTGTACTTTCTTGGCACTCCCTTCACAGTCAAACATTGCCATAGTACCTCTCGATCCACGGAGTCGAAGGCCGCCTTCAAGTCAAGAAATATGGCAATTGTTGGACGCCTAAAAGTGTGTCTATGTTCTAGGATCTGTCGGAGAGTAAAGATATGATCTATGCACCCTCTACCTGGCCTAAAGCCCGCTTGATTTTCCCTCGTTTGTTCCTCCCGAATTCGGCTTAGTCTATGCATGATTACTGAGCCTAGGATTTTAGAGACTATGTTCTTCAGGCTGATTCCTCTATGATTATCACATGAGGACTTGTCTCCCTTCTTGAATATTGGTATAATAAGTGACTTACCCCAGTCTGATGGAACCGTCTCTGATTCCTAGACGTTACCTAGTACCTTAGTTAAACTATATACTAGTATGTCACCCCCATAGTTAAACACCTCCGGAATAATTCCGTCGGGTCCTGCCGCTTTGCCTCGTTTCAAATTACAGATAGCTTTTGTGACCTCACTTACAGACGGCGGGTCAGTGTCTACATCCCATTCTGGTGTGTGCTGGATGGCGGGGAGGCTCAGTGTGGCTGTAGGCAAGTTAAATTGTTCCTCAAAGTGTTCTTTCCGGCGTTCAAGGCGTCTATCCTGAGAGCTAATTAAGGAGCCATTTTTCTCACAAATAGTCTCACTCATGATTTGCCTTCTCCCACCTTTTTCCCTGATGAGTCTAAAGAGTTGTCTAGTGTTGCCTATCGCCGATGCTTTTTCCATCTCTTTCGCCTTTGTCACCCACCACTGTTCACGGTCCTTGCGGAGACTTTTCGTAAGTTTCCTTCTGTGCAGCTTTCGCTCCTCATTGAATTCGGAACTCGCCGGAATAAGTCTTCTAGCATCAATCAGTTCGGATGAGGCAGTCGAAATCCAATGGTTTTTACTCACCTTTGGATTTACCTTATTCACAGCTTTTACAGCTGTATTCATCATGTATTCACACCCATGACTCAATTCCCTCACCGGATATAATATCTTAGATACCATACATATGTGATTGTACAGCTTGTTAATAAATTCGTTGAAAAGAGTCTCTTCGCTGAACCACCTGTTTTGATTTTCTAAATGAGAAAGAAACCTATCACAATCTCACTTTCTAATTAACGCCAAGATAGACGCAAACACACACGAACTGAATAATGCCTGGACAGATCAACGCCACGAACTCAGAATTATATAACTGTATAGCAAAACAAATAGTAGTATGACGGTTTACTCGATGAAATAAATTAGTACAATTACAGCGGAAAAAGAAAATGAGTAATATACTTTATGATCTTAGTTGAAAAGGTAACCAAATAACTGACACTGTGACCAAAATATGCGAATTTTAATAATGACTAATATTGATAATAATAATAATAAACGCTGGAAAGCGTTGAACAAGAAAAAAAAGTGTGCTTTAAATTATACACAAATGCGATTTTTCTTACAAGGAAGAAAAAAACATGATCTAAAATTCAGTATAAGGCTGAGTAGGTGGAGAAAGAGGCTTGAAGGTACCTGACATGTTGTTGAACTAATCACATGTAATCTTACATAGTTGAATAGCATAGCAACATTCCAAGTACATCAAAGTGTGTATAGATATTAGCAACATGTGTGATACAGAACAACGCGACACCTATATAGCCAGAGGCAATCAAACAGGGTAGGACTATGTATACGTAAAAACAATTAACTAAGATGTTAACTGTTTAATTTAACAATAAATGTACAAATGGAAAGTCAAAAAAATGTGGAGCTTTTTCGTTTTTTATTTATTATATAACAATGAATATGCGGATAAAAATAGGATATACAAATATATTCAGTGGATTTATCCTCATTAAATTGAATCATAGCGATCGAGGTCGTTTTGCTGATGGACCTCGATCAGGAGAATTTTGTCTTTTTAAAGATATTCGAAATTCTGAAGACTGAATACTACAATTCTCACTATCTGTTGTCTCCGATGAAACATATTCCTCTTCCTCGTTATCAAGAATTTCAACTGATTTTTCCAAGTCCTCATCTTCTTCATGACCTGAGAACAATGTACACGGTGACAACTGGGATGTATGAGATGAAGTTTCATCTGAAGAACTACACGATATAGTCAGTTCACCTGGTTTCCCTTCTAGGTATATTTCAGCACCATGAAAAACGTACTGATTCGGACAGATGTAGGTATATGTCCCGGCTAGGGAAAAGAAAACACCAAAACATTAGCAATAAAAATGTGATGAATTTTATGTCGGCGGAACAATGTGAGATAATAACATTAACTTGGTATATTAATCTTAATGATGATAACTGAAATTGAAAAAATCAGTTCTGATGCGACCTCTGGTTAGTGAACCAGTATTTAATGGACGTAACTTACTCCTGGACTTTAAATACAACACAACCTAACAGCATATAGGTGTGAAAATGCATTGGTTCAACTACTTTAACGAACATAATTGTACGTAGATTGTTAAGTGATGGAGTAAATTTATAAAGACATATTCCTTACGGTTACATATGATTTTAGTTCAGAGAGCCGAGAAGAGTCAGTGGTTCGATGGAAGAATGCTTGCCAACCACTCATGTAATCCAGGTTTGATTGCCGGTCGACGCACTCCTAAACCTTGTGTCTGTCTAGCAGGCAGTAAACCTGGGAAAGAGGGAAGATTGGACGTGAGGCTAGTAAATTTATCCAATAAAAAAATACTCCCACTAGTGATTTTTCAGCGTTCAAACCTTGAAGAGCTTAAAATCAATGAGTTACTTTCTGTCCAATTTGTTTGCGACAGTACAATCTCAACAATCTAAAATATGGTTCCAGTGATTCGTTGAGATGAGTTTTTTTCATGATACTTTCACGAAATAATGAAATCAGGAAACTGTGATAGGTATCATATGAGAATGTAGCATAATTTACAATAGAAATAGCTTATACTTGTAGGAAGACAGCAGATTACTCACGTGGTAAATGTGATGCTACCTCCCATACACAATTTTTGTCTTCATTTTCACTGACTCCAATCGCAGTGTGATCTTCTGAGGAATCCTGGGCAATCACATCTGAACATTTCTCCGCCTTAGAAACTTCATCTGAATCAGAAATTGTTTCAGTGGACTGTATTTCACTATCTGCATGAGATTCGTCACTTGGTAATTCTATTGGCGCTATGCTTCCTGTAGTAGGATTGGATTGAGATGCATCTGGGGATTTTGGGATGGACTTTAGTAATTCAGTGGGAATCTTTAAGGAATTCAGTGGAACTTCAACAAGAGGTGTATAATTTGTAACTCCTGGAATCTCCCACCCTAGCCGATGGCATAACTCACTAACAATTACGTCACAATCTCCTAACAATTCAACATCAAAATCATGGTTTGATAAAGGTTCCCTATTTATCAATATTTGAGGGATTCCACTGGGAACAGCATCTACACGAAAATAAAATACAACAGAAATCTAGTTTGAGGGAAACTATATATATACATATACATACATATAATGCCAACACGTGTTGCAAAAAAGAAATACGACCACTATCAGCTGACAGTTACGGTTATCAAGTTTCCCAGGCTTAAGTGGGCGGTGGTAGATTTGAACCTAGGAGCAAGCGCTAAAACGGACTCGTCACATCCTTGAATATTCTTTTGTACATCTAACCAATATGGCCTAAATTTTCATATGATGAATGTACATAGCAGTAATTTTGCAAATTTGTCCAATGATTCATCAGGAAATGCCCCTTTAATGACCTAGTATGGGTAAAGGTAACTGAATCCTAGTCTTCCCCTCGTATTGCCTACATACTGCTAATTATTAATCGCCTGTGTGTCAGCTGAGTTTCAGTTCACTGTCTTCATGTAGCAAAAGATTTTTACATAAAAGTGAAACGGAGAAAATGAATGTCCTAAGTTATGACAAGAGTTCTAGGAATAGAACATCTATCTACAGGAGTTAGAAAACCCTCATTTTAAAACAACGTTGTACATGTACTCCAGTATCTTAAAGGGACGAATGGTATGTGAGTCCATTTTGAAATGCCTTGTGAATTACACTTCAAGTCAAAGGGTTGGAAATCGACCATAAGACGATTGTCTGACTCGGTTTAAGGGTCTTGACAATAACATAACCTTCATGATAAGAGTGACATATTTATTGGCGCCTACGCTGTACAGTGTTTGTGTATAACTTACAGCCGTAACAAAGTGGATATCGTGTTGTTTGCATTTCAATATTTTTCTGAGTTATTTTGAGTCCCCAGGAAAATGATTTTTAACTATTATTATAATAGAGCTATCATTTACTTAGTTTGCTTAAGATTCTAGGAATCAAATACAGGGAAATTCTACTTAGACTGCATTTTTTGTTTATCCGAAAGTTGTATTCGTGGCCCCGAGGAAGTCTGATGCATTGTCCGAACTTATGTCATTTATTTTACAATCTAAAGCAACCAATTCTCTCTGCTTGCTTTCTAAGTCACATATAAATTTGATCCTGTCTATTAAGTTCTCAATAAAGTGGAAATTAAGGTGACACTCAAACCTACAAACTTACTCATGGACAAACTATGTAGGCTAAAGGACACTGTTGACCTGATAAGACAAGATAACCTATTTTCCAAAATACTTCATCATGACTGTGGGGTAATTATATAGGCCAGTTCGATTATGGGAACATAGTAATTTAACCAAGTGCAGAATAAATGAGTCCCGAAAATGACTGACTTAGAGAAAAGTCCGGCGACAGCAGTGCACACATTCACACACACACACACACAAATACACAGATATACAGTTATAAAAGGTGATATAGTTAGGTGGAGGAAGAGATTAATAGCTGAATCATTGTTCATCTGCTCCAAACGCATGCAACATCAATAACGGAGATATGCAAAATATTACTGCCAATAGAATTGAGGGATAAGAAGTAAGAGAGCTATATAAACAAAATCTGAAAGTTATGTGAGCACCTCGGTATCATTTTGAGCATGCCTATGTCCCAGAAACTGTCAACGGGTGGAGATACAACCAATATACTCTTGTCCTAGCCTAAAGTTCACCTGATTTCCTCGCCTTCGTTTTTCTAAAGCTCCAATTAGTCTTCTTATAACTACGGAACCCATAATCTTAGATACTACGTTAAGCAACCAGATGCACCTATGATTATCACAGGACGATTTATCTCCTTATAAACTAGGATGATCAACAACCTACACTAGTCCACTGAAAATACCTCCAAATTCTATAATGTTAATACCCTACCTAATCTAGTTAGTAGTTCATTCCCAACATTCCGGAGTCATTTTATAAGGCCTTAGATCAAAGGCATCTACTTCAACCTTAGTTACAGCTGGAAGAACGATTTCTATTCATCACGTAGAATATAATGTGGTTGTACGCTAGTTGAATTAAATCTCAAAATGTTGTGTTTAACATTCGAGTAGTCCCTATTGGGCAGTTATGAAGATTCTACTTTTCGTGGAAATCATTTAACTTACCACAGGCTTTTTACAATTCGTTTCCTTCATGTGATAATAATACTTACTTGGTATATGAGCTACAGGTCGTACTTTCAACGATGACCCCATAACCAGAACCAGATCAGTTTCCTTTACATCATATGCAAGGGAATCATGAAATTCACTAGATAAACCTTCACCAAAAAATACAATATCTGGTTTTAATACACCATAAGATGCTTTTCTACGAGATTCTCCATCCTTAAGGGATTTAACTTTTGAAGCTGCACCATGAGATGTATGATTGGAATTGGAATTTTCATCTACAACAGAGGGATTTGACGAATTAGTAGTGGATTCTGAGTCGTCAACTTCATCTGATGGTTCTGGTGTATTCGACTTGGGTGGCCAACAATTTGTACACCGTGGTATAGATTGAGCGAATACAGCCTCTTTGATAGAATCACATGAAACTTTACGTTTGCATGTTGTGCATGTAGCAGTAGCAAATGAACCTAAACAGTAAAAAGAATTGTACAAGTGATAAATGCATAGCTACATTTTGAGCAATAAAACTCTATTATTTCAATACTGAAAACATGAATGACAGACGAACTTTGAATACTTAATACGCTAATCCACAATACCAACTGATAACAGGGAGATAATCGGTAGCAAACAGTCAATGCAAAAAAAATGAATTTCTAGCATAAGAGGTGTGCTTAGAACTGTTAAGGAAGCATATACATATCTAGATAAAAGTTATATATTAGCGAGGCAAATATTTGATTTTTCGAGACAACCTAAGAGTGAAGAAAACCGAATACTCAGAAGTCAATTTATTTTGTTTAGATGAAAGTTTTGCACACAGTTATACAGACTTTGGGTTATTTCCATACCGACAATACGCAAATATCGTTGAGATAGCCTTAATTTTGTAGATCGATGTTCACGTAATAAGATGGTGACTGAACAAAGGTCGAAATAATGGCTTCCAAATTGCTATCCGAATATTTCAGAAACCGACCTCCACAAGTATGTTTAAAATACAAAAATATTTCAATGAAAGGATTATATATATATATATATATATATATTTATATAACCGTCAGAATCTTTGAAAACACAAGCCAAAGGATTATTCTGAAAATCAGCATGCTCTTATTACACATAAAGTCACAATTTAATATTACAAAAGATCATCGCATGAAGTGATTACTGAAGGAATTCAAATGGTATATATTTCAGAATAATCGTAATTCCCAAGGCTAATAACATAGATATTTCTAGATCAAATGATTTTGTTGCGATTTCTATAGCTGGAAGGCATCTTTCGCAAGCTTGTCATTGCCACAATAATCCTTAATTTATGCAAACCTGTGAATCGGAACAATTATGTAGTTTCTCTGGAATAGATAGATATTCTTCTAAATGAATTTACCTCGACTATTAATTCACTACCATAAATCGTAGTGAGGCGGTTTACTGCATAGTTCATCTAACATGCAAATCTTATTGTTAAAGAAAATTGACAACAGCCAATTAACCTCGGATAATATAAACAATACACTATAACACTTACTAAACAGGACTAAACAGTCTTTCAAATATACCCGAATTCTTGCTCAAAGGATACGTAAGACTATGTTTTACCTTCCTTCCAAACAGAGTAAAATTAAACACCTAGGTGTATACTTTGCCTTCAAACACCAAGTTTATGACCCTAGTAGCAATGAAATTATGAGGGGTCATATGGGTCATCTACAAGTATTCGATACTCGGTATGAAAACATACTTTAGTGAGTCAAACATGAGGGAACATTCTAATCAAACAAGTAATCTACGAAAGGCGTCTACATATTTCTCATTTTCGAAAAACTTACCGTGACACTGAATAAGTCGCGTTATTCCAGCTGCTTGTTCCAGAGTATCGATGTTCTGTGTGTAGTTACGCAGTAATTTGCCTTTGGACTCCAATAGAGCAATTAATCGATGAGTAATCGAAGGCGTAAACTGTCCAGGGAACAGCTCCTGATATTGTTAAGGTTAGAGATTATTAACAATAAACCCATTTTTCTATAAATATATTCCTAGAGACTGAAGTTGAATTTACATAACAATTCAAGGTAGGAAACTTATCATATTTTCAAAGTTTACAAAATAAGATTATGAGGTTTTGCCTATGCTATAAAAAGGCAGGGAAGAAGTTGTAGCTAAACATTTGAGTGCAAATTCCAAAAAGGTACAACACCTTTATTACCTTAGTATTAAATCTATGCGAAACATCACTGTACTTAAATAGTAACTTCTGTATTGTAATCGGGAGGATGACAGCAAGTCAATTCAAAGAACAAGACGCCTTATTTAACCGAAACTTAACTTCATCACCAATTGCTTCTATACTTCTCTCCTTCGAAGTCAGTGTAACACCTCAATTTTAGCACAGTTGTGTTATGCAAGCTTGGTGGTTTAATTGTAAAGCGTTCAGTGTCCCAATTAGACATATTCAAGGAAAACTGCACAATGAAGTGTTTTTGGGATTTCCCATGAATAAAATAACTGTCTTTCCTGACAACTTTGATTATGATTAGTTGCCTCAAGAAACTTGTACACAGTCCTACTAACTTGGAATTTTGCCCGTCTTTCGATAATGTGGTTTATTATTAACTGGTTGATAAATATGAATTATATCAGCATGTTTACTAAGTGAGAATTGATTTCAGCAGCAGGCTTTTTGGGAATTCCTCAACAATCGTTGTGCTGACTCTGTTGAAAATTTCCACATTTTCCCAGATGACTTGATATACATAGTTGTTCTCGTGAATTAATACGAATGGGCATGTCGTCTTTTGACTGTTAGTTTCTGTTCATGAATGCGTAGATGAAGCAAACGTCCGCTCGGGTGACAATAGTGTTTTGCACCGTTGATGCAATTTCCTTACATATGTTGTCCGTTTTGTCTTCTATTATTGTTGCATCTTCTGGTCCGCACAGTATAGACTGAAGAGAATTTGCTTGTTTGTAGACGAAACTACTCTAAAAGGCCTTAATAGTTTAAGCCATTTAGGAAATGTTTTTTACATACGGCCGAACAATACTCTTTCTGGTTTTAAATGATGATTTTGCGGTTGTTTCACGTTAGCTGCCCTTTGATAAAGTTGGATAGATATTCACTTTTTCGGAAAACTGTCAGAAGGTTACTCTTTTATTAGGGTAGGCATATCGCATTAGGTCCTCATATAGCTTCTTTTGTAAGTTGTTGGATTGCTCCCTGTGGGTTGGTTTTCTGTGTTACTCATTTTCTTATAATTGTTCTCCTCTTCGAGACAAACAAAAATGGAATCTCGTCGAGTGATTCCTCTTCTTAGGAAAATTTCTAATCATTACTGATTTGTCGTCAATGTAATGTATGCAAATTTTGGGTCCAATTATCGGTAGAATTACGGGTCCTCACCTTTGTATAACAGCTGCAGAAATGAATCCTAATACAGGTGATCCCATGGATATCCTTTTAATCTGCTCATATATTTGAATATTGAATTCACAATAAATTCTAAAGCAAAATTATGAACTTTACCCAGTGTGAACATTGTATCTGCAGAAGTTAAGAGAGGTATCTATCACGGTTGAGAAGTTGTGACTTTTTGGCCAGCTTTGTCCAAATGAGGTGCACGAAGCTGTGATGTCAGAGGATATCCCAATTTCGTTATTATGCTTAAAAATAAATTCGTAAAGCAAATCTGTCATTAGTAAAACTAAAAGATGAGAAAGTGGCATTCTGATTCATGATTGTGCTTATTACAACTGCTATCTTGAGTTCCGCGTGGAACATACTGTTTCAGCAGTACATCATTTCACTCCATCCTCTGTAGTCTTTTTTAGCTGGTTTAACGACTGCCCATAAGTTTCATCTTCTCAATGTCACTTCCGGACGCCCAAGTTGCCGTTTCCTTTTCGAGGGACTAGCACATGATGTCATTTAACGGCCTCTTCAGAGTATGCCCAATCCATCTCCACTTTCTTCTGTACACTACTTTCGTTGCAAGAGTTGTTTATCATTCACGGCCGGTCATCTGATCTTCCGTATCGAGCCGGCGAGGGCAACGGTTAGTAAACGTCTGAAGCCTGTCCGAAATGCTTTTGGTGGTGGGTTAAGTCTCTATTCCATACATAGACATCAGTGTTCCTGAGGTTGAGTGCAGCAGATTTCCACGCAGATTTCAGAGGGATGAAAGTCTGTTTTGCTTTATCGATCCTGGCTTTGACATCCCATTCCATTTCGCCTGTAGTTGAAACGATGTTGCCTATTTAAGTGAAAAATATGACCTCTTTTTGATTTTCATCATGTGTCTTTTTTATGTTCACTTGAAGTCCCGACTTCGCTGATTGAACGCCAACTTGTTTGTTTTTACTTGTAGATCTTCGAGATGATGGCAGTAATTTGGTTTTCTAACCTCAGTAAATGAGGGTGACTCACTACATGTAAGTTACTGATTGCACTACTGATGTGTAACCCAGAAAAACATAAATTTACACCACATTTGATATGTCATACTGACTACCATTTATAATTTCACTACTCCAAACCTATGTGCTAAATGAATAAAGCATATCGGGCACCCCTAAGCATTTACAAGGTGAAATGGCTGCAATGTTGACTACAGAATATGGATTGCGCTTTGAGATAAAAGTATCTTTTTCAAATTCCCACAAACCATTTAAGTATCCAATAACAATCTTTCCAAATATATCAGGAAGTATAGATCCTTTGAGTTCACAAAATAAACTAGTACAGTTCCATATTTTTGCAGGCGATCTATAGATACAAATCCCATTGAAAATAATATCCATAGACAGCACATTTCCTAATTCATGATATTCGATTTCGATAAACAGGTGATCCTAAGAATTTGCTTTTTCTCCTTGCCTACATCTCTTCCTCAGTAAGGCAGAACGCCTAACAAATAGCAATACTGAATGTAGTGATGTGTGCGTCTCACAAATTAGAGATGGTCGACATTCCACAGTTTATTAACCACTAAGAAATGTATGCCTCATTGGTAGTCCACCTATGTTTATTCCATCACTTTATTCCCACTCCGTTGCAAAAAATAATACAGGATTTAATCTAATCATACTTTTATCACAGGAGGAAACTAGTAAATATGGTGATAAGAACTGAAGTTCTACAGATTCCAGTCTACAGCTTGTAGAAAAAGTTAGAAAACTTAAGAGATCTTACCTTTGCAAATTTGAAGAAAGGGACGGGATTCTTTGTAAAGTAGGACATGTCGAACATTGCTTGTGGACTTGATAGATCAGGAAAATCACGAGCCAATCGTGCATAAATACCATCACGCGAGCGAAAATCGGGTATGCCACATGACACTGAAATCCCAGCCCCAGTGATTACCAAAATTGATGTGGAAGTGGACAGAAGTGCGAGAACGTTATCTAAACTATTTATATGACGCAGTCTATGACGTGGGGTAGGTTCAGCCAAAATTGTTAATAATAAGCTTAACAAGTGATTGGGATCAGAAGGCAGAGAGTCTTCATCCATACCGAATACCTGAACCAACAACATACGTGGATCACTGAATCCAGCTTGTATAAGGCTGTTTAATCTCTCGTAAGGCCCTGATGATATTCAAGACAATAACAAGCATGAACAGCAACAGATATCACAGATATCCAAATAAACAAAACAAATTATTTAACCATATGAATTACACATTTGTTTAACTTTTAGTGATAAGCATTACAAAATATGTCGTTGAGGTTGGAAACTGACAGTTTGAAACGAAGCCATAGTTTTAAGTCGTCTGTGAACAAAGTGCACTTGTTTCTTAAATATACGCTAAAAACTGTTTCACTTCACCGAAATTTTTAGACTCTAGTATGCCCATTACTACTCACAGAAGTCAAATCAAATTTTCTACACACACAAAATGAAATCGCATCAAAATGCATGTACGTTTCAAAATCTGGATGCATCTTCAGCAAATGGACCATACTTACTGTTTAAGGTCGGTGTCAGTAAGTGGGTTTTCTAACCTCAGTAAATGAAGGTGACTCACTACATGTAAGTACTGCTTGCACCACTGATGTGTAACCCAGAAAAACAGAAATATACACCACAGTTGATATGTCATACTGACTACCATTTATAATTTCACTACTCCAAATCTATGTGCTAAATGAATAAAGCATACTGTGCACCCTAAGGCACTTGAAAAGCACTGTTAATTAGCAAAACCTAAAAGAGAATCCTTAACAATGCAAACGGAAAAGTGATATTCAAACCAGCAAACTCATTTAGAAACAAGCTTTGTCGGTTGAAGGATCCTGTGGAGCCTTTAAAACAAAACAATTTAGTTCACCTAATACCCTGTCTGCAATGACTGTCAGGTCAAATGAGTAGAACAGGAGCAGTCAGACTAGCGGGACATAAAAACCTAGCAAAATCTAGATTGGTTGACCCGAATAAGATAAGAAATCTAGAGAATAGTTGAGCTATACCACTACATGCAGTTGCACACAAACATAAATAGGATGGGATAGGATGACAGTTTTAAAATCTATTGTCACTGGGTTGAGGGAGAGATTAATAACAGAAGCTTTGTTCATCGAATCAAATGCAAACACGTGTAATAGGAATGACTCAACACCTGTCCCAGTGTCATCAAGTAAATAATACTATTTCACTCACTGTGATGTATCTGCTATAAAAATTAATATAGAATTACTACCACAATGCCCAAGTTTTACACATACATTAATTAGCAAGACACTTTTAAAACTGAGACGGAAAACAATCTTGATAACCAAAATTCGAAAACTAAGAATGAATGGAGACTTACTTTGGATATCACGCCACTTCTCTTCTCCTCTTAAATCTTCAACACTCATAATTTCACAATCACTATCGGCAGATTCATCATTATCGTCTTCATCGCCATCAAGAAATGCAACACTATTCGAGTCTTCTTCATGAGAATTTTGTAACTCATCTTCGTCTCCTGAACTGAGTACGACAACCTCCGAATTATCCACGTGAAGTCGTGAACTTCCGTTAGTGTCCATTAGGTGGAACTAGTGTAACAGGAGAATACAACATCCAGGTAACAGATCGTTTATTAAGGAAATCAAAGCATATTTATATATTTTCATGTACATTATTATAGTTTAGTTAAGCAAACAAACACAGTCTTCTGATTGGTTGTTTCTCACTTAAAGTTAATCTTTCATCTCTTTGTGACTGAATGTCAGATCATCTATATGTTAACTGTATCCGCCTACGCAAAATCTGCTGTGGTCGGTTTTGAATCAGTCTTTGTTCATATTTTCTCACGACAAATCTTGAGAACGTAAACACTGACGTAAATTACTGTCTACCAATTTGGCTAGTAGACAGCTCTCACCACACTAGTAATGTAGAAAGTTGGAAATTTACTTTACTTTCCGAAAATTTAAAAAACATCAATTTACTTACAATGAAATTAAACACAATGATAGGAAATCCAATCCATTTAATATTGTAGTACTTGTAGAACCGCAACATTGCCGGCATACCCTTAGAGGCAATACCATAACAGTAATCCATCTTGGTGCGAAATGCCTTATTAAATCTTACAAACGGACTGTGACACAAGTTAACCAAGGAAATGGAGATAATCCAACGAAGTATCACAGGTTCGCACTACTGTTATTAAACGTCTGGAACCTCAGATATGTTTTATGGAACCATAAAAAAGCTCAAATCTCCCAGAATGACTTGGTGTAACAGTCTGACGCTCATCTAAGCTGTCTTGTCCTTTGGTTTCGGTCGGTCGGTTTCCGACATAGAACCTTGCGGCAGTTCAAGTCGCCACACTCCATGGTTTAGTATTCTTTACCTTCTTCTGCCGCAATCCTACTTCAGTCATAATAAATTTCGCAACAAACTGTCGTCTACACACGTTGTCTCAATTGGGAAATGCACATGGGTAAGGTGGGCAAAACGTGGACTAAATGGGAGATTTTGATTGGCGAAGGCATGTAGGAGCTGGTGACAGTATCCAGGTGCTCTGTTCGAATATTCGAACAGACTGTCTAAGAAAACTGAAGTGTTACGCATTCCTCTAAAATTCATAATATCAAAGTGTTCATTCAAATTGACTCTACTACTCGTTACGCAATCACAACTAGTGTTTTCAACAAAAGACGATATAAAGTACAAAAGTTTCCCATTATAAGACCATTTCTCTATAATTTAAACCAACAGAGAACTGGGAATCGAAACTCGTCTGGATAATACACAAAAAGAGCAAAAGTCTCACTCCACCGGACTACGAAAAATTCTCGAAGTACCGTAAACAACAAAACGCCTCTACTATGATATTTTCATGTTCAATATTCAATACAATCTTTTTAAGCTAGTGTGAGTCAACGCAGTTTGTCCCGCTACTTGACTGTTGTAGCATTGGTTGACTCCAGGGGGATTAATCAGGTATTTGGATGTATACTTTGAATAGAACTGAGCCTTTCATCCATTCGTCGCCCAGGGTGGTTGAATAGATAGATGATAATGGCAGGTATAATTGGTGGAGATGAAGTACATTTCGAAAGGAAAACGTACAAACAAATCGATAATGAAGTGCGAGAATTAAAATAAATAATTTTAAATAACTTTAAAAAACTAGCAGCAAAATAAGTGAATTAACAGTTGAGCAGTCAGAAGAGTGACTGAGGGGTAGTGGAAAGGAGGATTTTAGATGCATACCCACTAATAGTAAGGTGTGTGAGTATTAAGGGGCTAGACCATTTGGACTCAGTGCAAGAGCTTTCCACCCATGGTACAGTGGGTAAGTCCTCTGGTGAAGAGTTCCAGGGACGGCGAACTCAAAATGGAAAGAAATGGGACAGAGCTCTCCTTTGTACGTTGCTATGATGCCTATAACACCTAAATGACAGGACATTTTTGTTTGGTAGTTCCTGCCACTTGCACTGCCTTCAGAGATCCAAAGTTCAAAAAATCTACCGTCATTATGGAAAGATTTCACATGCTGACTTCACAATTATCTTGTAGATTAGCAGACTGACGGGACCTCATTTATATTAAACGCATCAGCAGAAACTCCAATCAACCAGCTTTTTCTAAGATTTTCTAATCCAAAGAATTGCGGGCGTAGTGTATGCTACGGCAGTGGTGGCGCCATACTCCTGTATATCCCAAGCCTAATATTTAACAATATAATCTTGGGAAGGCTTAAAGATGCATTTGACGGAAGGCTTATCCCTGGACAGTTAAAATTTGGGGAAAACAAGCTAATTTTGTCGGAGATAATCTTTTAGCCTGACATTATAGTGCGGTTTAAGAATCATTTTGTGAAAGGAAAGTTCTTCACCTGTATACCTTTGCAGCGAATTCTTCGGGTAATATTTAATTTCAGCAAATGTTCTCCCATAGGAAGGCGATTTGACTACTCATGTTGGAATTTGAAAGGACTTCTGAGTTAATTCGCATCAAGCAGTTACCTGAAAAATATGTAGACCTACCAACGAATGATTATCTAGAGTGCAAAGTTTTCCCCGGGTCCTATCACACGGCTCCATGGTCTTTCTGACTTTCTTTTCAGTTACCTACAGTGTCGTCTGAGCTGTCGTGCTCTTCTGTACTATGATTACGTAAGGAGTCCGACAGCAATAAACTTTCTGGAATTCTCAGGTTTCAGGCAGACCTAAAAATCCTGGGAGAATGGGCGCCAGTTAGTGGTTAGGCTTTCAACCTAAAACAATTGTCGAGCATTTCACAGAAGGTAAGTAAACACCCGTTCACTGGTCAGAGGCAAGTATAATTCCACCTAACGACAAGGTGCTGGGTAACACACGGGCAGCAGATCTCTAAATTGTTTCCTTCACAACCTAACCAAGTTTCGGCTGTTGTCTTTACTTAGCTCCCTCCTCCAGGTGGCGAGTTAAGCTTGGAAGACAGTATCAGTGCATCCGCCAATATTCTAGGTGGAACCCGCAGACGGCCCAACCGAATACACCAAGTCGTGAACGTTTAGTGATAAACATGACCACGTCACCATGTAGCCACGCTGGACTTTGACTACAAAGTAGTCTGTGGCGATTTCAACTTACCTTGAGTAAACTGGGATACCTGCACAGGACCTAGAATCCATGACGAGCTACTACAAGCTATAGAAGTAGGCGGATGGAAGCAGTGAGTACGCCCCCCTACAAGAAACAAAAATACTCTTGGCTTAATCCTCTGTCATGAAATAGAGCCCATATCGATAGAGGTAGGAAATAAACTTGATAACAGTGATCACAACATATTGTACTGCACGATTACCTTCCGACTAACAACTAAATACACACCTAAAAATCCCCCGGTGCACTATCAATATAGGGACTATAAGAATGCCGATTGGGAATTCCTATCAGATCTGTTGAGAAGTTCTGACTAGGAAGAATACTTCATCAACAATAACTTAGAAGTATCACTTGAGATTTTCTACAAAACAATTGGCTCAGCAAGAGATACAATCGCACCCCTAAAATCTGCTCTAAAGACACCAACTCCATTTATAGACCGCAAAACACGACTAAAACTTAGGAAATTGAAAAGGAAATACCGTGTATTTAAGGAATTAAATGCGTTAAACCAAATACATGAAACTCTTAAACGGCTTGAAGATAAACACAAAATGATGTCACAACTTGAAGAAAATAAAGCGCTTGTGGGCAACTCCAAAACTCAGGAACTTTGTAGGATATTGCAGAAACGTCTAAAAAGCAGTAAAGACAATACTATAAGCAGCTTGGAACATAAGGGTATAATATACAATGATCCCCAGGTTATAAGTGAACTCCTCAGTGAGTGGTTTCGCAATGACACCAGAGTGCACGCGACCCAAAATTTCCAAATGACCTGCAAAAGTAACCACAAATTAGGCGAAATAGACTTTAATATACAAAATATAGACTCAGTGATTAAGACATTGAAGTCCAGTGGTGGTACTGGAACAGACGACATACCATCTATCATATGCAAAAATGGTAGCACGGAAATGGTAGTCTTGTTACTTAGATTATTTACTCTCTCGTTGGAAACTGGAACTTATCCTGAAGTGTGGAAAACCACATACATATTCCCTAAGCACAAAGCAGGGGCCAAAACCAGTGCATACAACTATAGACCTATCAATATAACACCGGTAATATCCCGAATAATGGAGAAAGTGGTTAAAGACCAAGTGTCAGACAACTTACTAGAATATGAACTTATCAATCCATCACAACACGGATTTCTCAAAAAGAGATCATGTGTGACCTGTCACATAGACTTTTCCAACGAAGTTACACGAAGTAGGGACAACAGAGAACTAGTAATTGTGCTATATTTCGATATAACGAAAGCCTTCGACAGAGTTCCCCATAATCTGCTAGTCAGCAGGTTATGCTCACTAGGGATATGTGACCCTCTCCTGAGCTGGACGAAATCATTTCTCTGTGGCCGAAGTCAGACAACGGAAGTTGGCTCGATAATCTCAAGGCCTAAGCCAGTAAGTAGTGGTGTGATCCAGGGAAGTGTATTATTATTATTCTCTAACTGATATCAGTCCGTGATCAACTCGTAAAACATAACTAATCCTTACAAACCAAACAATAGAAAATTCTTTAATTCCTAGAGGACCATAGGGCTTCAGCCGTGCGTCTCCATTGAGTTCGGTTCTCTGCGAGATTCTTCACCTGGCTCCATGTCTGCCCACACATTTTATATATATTTATTCCTGTTTATGCAGGAACATACCAATTGTACATGCATGGATAAGTTATTATATAAATTACACATGTTTCGATGTATGTTAAATTTACAGTTTGTTTGTTCTTTCTGACATTACAGTCAGTCGGAACAGTCTGCAAAATAGTCTGTCTGTGTAACACATAAAGAGATATAGAAATATTGTCTTCGCATTAACAAAAAACCCAGACATCAGATGAATGTAATACAAATATCTGGGAAAAATAAAGCTTGAAGTCATTCTCCTATTTAACTTTGTTGTGGAAAGCATCCTTGAGTTAATGTTCATTGATGTATTATGTTGAGATCATTGATATATTTGTTCCAATTTTTTCAGCAGTCTAATCGTAATTTTATAATAGGAAAGAAATTTGATTGTGGATACGAAAACTAAATTAGGTCATGTTGGATTGTTTTACTGCATGGAATGGGGCCGAGGTCGATTCTAGAACTATCCATTGGCGCCATTTGTGTCAGCATGGCAGACTGTA